TATATTGACATCCTGCTCATTGCTAGTACATGTTCCCTATACCTCACAATGAAGACAAGGCCCCAACTACCTTTAGTTGCGCCTTCTGTCTACATACTCGTCTACCAACATACACAGATGCTGCATTACCTGACGTTGGGGTTGGTAATTTGTCGGCGACGAAGTGCTTACGCAGTCCCCATCCGAGATTCCAAATTCCACAAGAATCGAACCACGGGAAAATAAAAACACCTCGGATCAAGGTGTTTTGTGCTGGCCCCAGACAAGACCCCAAGAGAAACCCCCAGCAAAAGCGACCAAAACCTGACGGCTTATACCGTTTCCCGCCAGCCCTGTCGGATCCCCCCATGCTATGGCGATGTTTCTCGGAGACCGCTCCGCCACTGTAGGGCCGCCTGGTTGGTCTTTTCTAGTTGTCTTCTTTTTCTCTTTCTTGTTTCCTTCGAGACACGCCCCTCCCCCTTCCCCGGTCGTTCTGTTGATTTAATCGGAGCTAAATACATTGTTCCCTTTCAGTCCTGCAATGATTGGAGCGGCGCATTCGCTGGCGATTTTCGGATTAGTATTCTGCTTGCTACTACTACTACTACTAATACTATGTGCGGTGATTCGAGGCCCTTGTCTCCGGCCGTAATGCCGCCCTCACCTAGATCAAGTCCAAGGGATCGTGTGCGTCAAGCCTGCTTCTGCTTGCTTGATTGCAACAAGGCAGAATCTTGGCAGCCTTTCAGCTGCTCCTCTACTGTTTCAACCCCGCAATCCATACCATCAACCTTGACTGTTTTCTATTGTGTTCTCTTTCGTCACAGACGACAAAATAACCCGTCCAGATCAGAAAGAGATACTGGAATAGGTTGACATTCTCTATATGCCAACCCCTCCGCTGGCATTTCCTCTCCATCTTCTCTCCCATGCCATGTCATCCATGTAAAAAGCAGGGCAGCCAAGGTCAGCATGCATCCAGGCAGTCGGTATCGATGCACCGCTGTCTTCACCTACCTAGGGTGCAATAACCCTGCGCTCTTGGGCGTACCTGTGCTATACATACATACACACCCCCAGATGCTGGGTATTAGTATTCCAAAGTTTCCAGTGAGATATCCAATCTTTCTCTCGCCCGTTTTTTTTTTTTTTTTTTTTTTTTTTTTCATCCGTAGCTCGGCTATTATCATTCAGACAACCCCCAATGTTCCTCTTGTGTTACCATCCATCTTTCTTGTAAATTGATATGTTGCTTGATTTGATACAGCCGACCGAATCCATGCCGGTTCTCCAATCTCGCACTTTGCCTTGGAAAACTTTCCCTTTCACCGTCAATACCACCCCAACTAATAAGCTGCTGCCCATCTCACCCTCGCCGTCATCGCCCTTTCTGCCGGCACATGCCAGGAAATCAGTTATGATCAATCACTATTCATCAGCACATACCTGATCATTCATGCACCTCTACACTCAAAAAATAACAGAAGGCGTATCAAATCAAACAATCCAAGAACCTCCTAAACAAATCAGAAAAATAGAGATAGAAAAAACAAACAAGATTTTCATCTACATGAAGAGAAAAATTATGATAAAGCATATTTCCATCCAACCACCTCTCTCGCACGCCCTCTTTCTCTCTTCCAACCCCCCCTGTCAATGATGCTAAACGAGTAAACTTCTCACCTATTCCTTTTGGCTTTTCTCGTGGTCTATCGATCCGATGCTTTTTTAGTGCCCATATTCCATACCACCCTCTTGCTTTTCTGTAACCCTTTTTTACTTTTTCTTCTTTTTCTTCTTTTTCTCTCTCTTCTCTCTCTCTCATTCGCAGGATCCAAGTGTGCCCTTGTAAGCTTGCTGATCACTTCCTCTGCGCCTTATGGGCATACTACTATTAAACTTCTCGACATCACCCGAGGGAAAAATCTCCACACTACGCCGTCCCGTCACTCCGCGAGAAGATCGCCCTCTGATAGTTCGGCCCTCGATCCCTTGCTACTACTACTTTCCTTCCATCATCAGTAATATCCTTCCCCCAGTGCCATGTTGGTAATATCACCACATCTATGTACAAGGTAATATGCGATTTGTCTCTTTTCCTTCTTCCACTCCATAATATCAGCACTCACCCACAACAACTCCCCAAAACCACCCCCCCAAAACTGAAAAATCTCCCCAAAAAGGCATCCAAACTAAACCTGTTAACCCCCCCCCCCTTGATCCAACACAACCAACAGCCATCCCATGCCGCTGCCACCCACCCACCCAGTCAACAAACAAACAACCAACAACCTCCTCCCTTCTGACGATGCATCAAAAACGACACGGGAAGCCCACCCACATCAGCGAATCCTTCCCGGCCACGGCAAGTGAGAAAACGGAAAATGATGCGCAGAGGAGCCCGCTTAAACGTCCCCTTTGCCGCGAAAAAGGATAATAATGATTCCCAATGCTGCTGTAACCTTGCATGCTTTCTTCGCCTGTAAACCAACAACAACACCAGCAACTACAGGTCTTTTTTTTTTTTTTTTTTCTAGTAGTAGTAGTGGTGTTACCAGCTGCCCCGTGTCTCTCTCTCTCTCTCTCTCATTACAACCCTTCTACTGGTGGACATGGGCAAGATTCTCACCCATTCTTATGTGCATATGCCAAGCATCGAGATGACGAACGTCCAGACAAATAGAATCGACGATCCCCAAGCTCGTTCTATCTAGTTTTTTTCCTCCCAAAGAAAAAGAAAAAGCAAAAAAAAGAAGAAAAAAATTAAGGCCGTGGATGATTTACACCAAGGTCAAGGTCAAGGTCCAGGTTCCCATCACCGAACCCCCAGGTCCCTTACGTTCGTAAAGCCCCCCCATGTTCACCTCATGCCAATAATCCCTTCAAAGCCTCACATCACATGCCTCTCTCCCGTATCAATTCATCCATAGTAATATTTAACAAGAAGAAAAGAAAAGGATAAACTTTATCTCATCCTTGTCTCTTCTCTCCCATGGCCTGATCATGATCCCATCCCTCAATCTCATCCATCTCCATCTCATCTCATCTCATCTTTCCCAGGGTCTGTTTTTCCTTATTCCAGAACCGATACCTTGTGTCATTACTTGGGCCAATAGAGCATGGCATATGCGCCTAGCATCTGACACGAATAAAACGTGCATCGCCCTAACAAAACACAGTGAGAAGAATCATCCATCACGGTTGAATTTGTTCCTTCCTCTGCCTCTCTACCGTTTTTCCTCTCTGCAAGAAGGATTACGAGTCCCCCCCCCCCCAAAATCCCACCTAGACCCCATCCAGAAGGGATCCTGTATAACACCAGGGCAGACAAGGACAACAACATGGCAAGTCAGCAAAAGATCCCTGTTCCCTCTGTCCCGTCCAAGGATTCAATAAGAGCCAAGACCACAAGCCAAGAGAAGCAACAAACAGGGGCAAGGAAAAAGAGAGAAAAATAAAAGGGAAACAAACCGAGGTTCAAGGGGATAAAACAGAGTTTGAGATACAGAAATAACGAAGCTGCCTACCTATCTATGTACGATGTGCGTATCATAGATTGCTTTCCACTTCGATAAGAATAGAAACAAGTGACGATCAAGAAAAAAAAAATCACACCAGTCAAGGTTTGCGCTTCTGCAGCAATCTCAATGTCCGTCACCTTTTGTTTATTTTTTCTGCAGGGTTCCTCAGCTGCGTCTTCTTTTGGCGAGAACTGCCGTCTTCAGCGCTGTTACCCTACCTACCTAATACATTGTTGTATGTAGTACCATGTCTTCAATCACCAACAGGCATCAACCACAGCAATAAAATACATACACCCTGATAGGTGGTAGATTGCTGCTGCTGCTACTAGTATGTAGTACTCCAATTACCTGACCTGAGCTACTGATACTGCCTACATACTAGATACATGGTTGCTACTGCAAGTGGCAGTTATAGTTCCCCCGATTCCAAACAGGCCGCTACTCCGGTCCGACGTATTGTGCAAGTCTCGTGTAATGGCAAAACTTGATGCATCACATTTGTCTACCTCCATTCAGCACAGTAGCAGCGCTTGACACCAAGGATGAGGGTGTACTAATACCTGCATTGCTGCATCCCACGGCGCAATAATAGCCCATTTGCGTCCTTCTAATAAACAAGGTCCCACCCATCTCTAGGGAGTCCAAGAAGCAGTATCAGCAGTGGCTGTAGCCGTAGCTGTAGCTGTAGCCGTAGCAATCAATAATAACTCGCAGTCATTCAGACACACACAAACAGACAGACACACACACAGTACAAAGAGATGTGTTCCTCTTGCTCCTATGTACTCCTGCATTGATAAGTCATTTCTGCCCGTTTGAAACGCTTCCCAAAATGACCAAGCCAAAAACAAAAGAGATCAACAAGGGAGGGACAAACTGAAGTCCCGACTTTCGCCCACCGTGTAAATCGCAGATGTCCCCTTTGGTCTAGTAATCACACCCTCATCGATATGTATTACCAGCCCGGAAAAAAAACGAAAAGTAGAAAGCCAAAATCTCGCTGTTCTCTCGTGTATGTTTTTCTGAAGACAAACAAAATCGTCATCAAACAGACGTTAAATATCAACGTCGCTCTTCGGCCTGTGCCCTCATCTTCTGAATCAATCTTAGTCATGAGAAAATAATTGCGGGCTGGCGAGGGTATATCGAAAAAAAAATAAAAGACAGGGCGGGAATTAGAAGTCTGAAGAGAAAAAAAGGCAAATAAATGAAGAGGAACGCGCATGTCGGCCGTTATTGTGTCATCGTCTGTCCTCCAGCCCACCCAGGGGTCCAGGAAATCCCGCCAACCGAACCGCTGTCGTTAATGTATGCATATCCGTCCGTGCCGGCAGTGTGTCCAACCAACAGAAAAGAGAGAAAAGAGAGAAAGAAGCGTCCGATCTGCTATGCCGCGAGGCCAGCGACCACCAGGGCAGGTGGTCACATTGGTCTTGTGTATGGAACTCTAAATCGTCCGTGGGACGAGGGTAGCGATGCTACCCTCGTGATTTCTCAGTATGCATATGGAGACGAGTTGTATGCGTACGTATTGGTCCGCTGCTCCAGGTTCGAGCCCAGACTTGCGGCACCGCAAATATCCGTGGGTGCGGGACTCTGCATGCCGTTGGTGGCATAAGCAGCACCGGGCATAGTCTGGAGATTGCTGTTCGCATGTGGCACGTAATCCGACCCTACCATCGGAGTGTCGGACATACCCATGTACTGCTGCGGCTGTTGCTGCTGCTGCTGCTGTTGTTGATGGGCGTCGTATCCCGGAGAGGGAGGCGCATTCTGAAAAGTGTAGCTCGGCGAAGGTATCTGCGGCTGCGTCGGCTGAGGCATGTATGCGTGCCGCTGGTAATAAGCGACCATGGCCGGGTTCGGACCGCCCGTCGACATGCCGTACTGGAGCATGTGGTCCGGCTCAGGAGTCGGCGTGGCAGACGGAACAGCTGCCCTGGCGTGGCCGTGGATGGCCAGCCGGCACTCGCTGCGGATGGGAGTGACAAAGTCCGCGCGAAAGTTCTGGATGGCGCCATTGGGGCTGGACCCAAGCGCGATGGCGTACTGGACAAGGAACTGCATGTCGCCAAGGTGCCTAGTCTCCAGCCGCTTTCTCAGGACGCTGCTCGTCTGGGAATTCCACCGCAGGCGGCTCGGGTCTGCGTCTGGCCACAGCGACTGCGACCAGGTAGTCAGGACGCTCGACTGCCGCAGCAGGTTGCGCATCCTCGCCGAGTAGCTCCACTGGCCGCTGCTTGCGCCCTCGTCGAAATGCTTGACGACATGGCTCACGTACTCCTTGAAGGTTGGGCCAGCATGGGCATCGCTTGGCGCCTCAAAGACCTGCAGGCAGTTCTCGAAGCCGCACGCAAACACCGTCTGCGGACACAGTGGGATCTTGGCATCGTCCAGGTTCATCCTCGACCCGCCGTGGGCGTTCTTCAGATGGGCCTTGTAAGCCGTTTGCCAGTCAAAGACCATCTGGCAGCCCCGATGCCTGCAGAACCATTGCGCGTTTGTGTGGTGGAAGTCTTCCATGTGGCGCTTGAGGTCGTTCTTGCGGGTACATGTCTTCTGGATGCCCTCCTCGAGACAGAAGCCACAGGTGAAGGAGCCCTTTTGCTTGGGGGCTGCTGTTGTAGGAGTGGTGTCTTCGGCATCCCAGGACGACTCGTCCGTAAGGGCTGTGCTGGCTCGAGGCGCCGACGGGCTGGCGTTGCGCTTGCGATTGTTGCTTGCTCGGGGCGAGAGGTTGGAAGCGACGCTGCCACATGTCGACGACGTATCTGAGAATGTGTTGCTGCTGCTGCCCGTTGAATCGAACACGTTTGATGAATCATCGTGCGAGCTTCGGTTGGATGTGTTGCTGCTCGAGAGCATAAAGGATCGTTCCTCATCTGTATGGAGGTGGACATGTCAGAAGCGCCACCACGGATTTCCAAAAAGCTTACAACAGACGAAGCTGTGCATGTCAACCAGTAGCAGAAAGTATATTAAGCACTCACATGATGATGGTGACAGGCGTCCTTCTTCTTGTAACAGCCGTCCCAGTTCCTCTCGTGAGTATTTGCCAAGTAGGTGCCGGATCATTTGACGGTCGACCCGCTCTTGGTGAGGTAGGTTAAGTTCGGGCGAGGCACCCTCATGATCTGGCCAAAGTCCCTGAGCCATGTCTGTTGTGAAACCAGTCTAGTAGAGAAGATTCCGATGTTCCAAATTCATGTATCAAATGAGAAGGGGCGGGAGTTGGACTGATATACAAAGACGAATCAAGCCAGAACCTCTTGACACTAGGCAACAGGGTGATGTTGAGCTTGGAAGCAGCAAAGGCAAGCAAAGGACAAGTAGCAAACGCAGGCAACGGGCAGTATATCGAGATGATGCGGGAGACGTTGCCCGCCTGTCACAATCGGTTATTATAAGCAAAAGGTCGAAAGAATATGTGACCAAGGGCGGTGAAGCGGTTGTCAGATATAAGTAGTAACGGTGCCCGAGAGAGTTCAGGACGCGGAGACGAGATCCCTCTAACTCGTGAGAGACGAGCAGGGTCTGGTGAGAATTAAGTGGGATGGGTTGGTGATGGGGGGGGATCGCTCAACACGTGCTGACCGAGGCGTTCGTGTAGGCCCGTGATCTAGCTTCCGTTTAGTCGGCCGATGCGAACGACCAGCGGGTATGACGATGACGAATTTGGGTTGCTTTAGACGAAAAGGTCCTCCACCCTGTTTTGGAGCAAGTGAGCAGAAGGAGTCGGTTAGAGAATTAAGATGCGCCGGAGGCGTCTGTCTTTATGGAGACGTTGATCTGAGGGAGGGCTCCGCCTCGGTCGTTACGGCACCTCCTAGTGCGGGCGAGCAAAGCAGGAACAAGGACGAAATATCAATGCCACGCAGAAATACCGCGCCAGATGGCGATGAGATACTAGCAGCAGCAGCAGCAGAACCAGCAGCGGAGCGTCGCCGAGCGGCCCTGCAACCGGACGCCCTCCAGAAGGGGACGGCTGCGGTTTCTGTTGCTGGAGCCAGGCCAGGCGAGCCGAGGGGCAGGCCATCGACCCGTGTGCCACCAACTGACAGCACGAGGGAGCGCATACGTAGGACGCTAGTGAAGCTGGGGGGGTGTGAGAGGATCAGGACGACGGGATGGAGCGGTTGTCGACGAGCCATTGCGACAGGACAGGCGGGTGACAATGGGCGAGAAGGTTCCCACCAGCCAGAGCGGTAACCAGGCGGATATCGCTCGTTGTCTGCTTGTCTGGGCAACAGTCCAAAGTTTGGATGGATGGAGACCTTCTTGTCCATCTCCATGTCAAGGGAGCCTGTCTTGCGGCATCGAGACCTGGTCTAAGCCTCTTCCCCCTTAGCGGTTTCTGGTGCTGATTGTGCTTGGTCCCCTTTATCTCGCCTGTCGTTGCTCGTCTTGGCTGTGTTGCAGGCAGTAAGGTATGTACAAGTAGTACTACTAGTATGCGTATGTACTTGTAGTATGCAGGGCGTGGTGATAGCACCAGCACTAGGTAGCAAGTAGGCTATCGACTCGGTGGCTTGCTACCGTACAGACGGTTCGGAGGACCGCCAACCAGGCATTGAAGATGAGTGAGCAGGTGAAGAGGGGCGTGCGGCATGAGTGACATGGGTTGGGTGGTTGCTAGTATCCCTGCACCTTCGATGGATCCAGATACAAGGCCGGGTGGCTGTCACCAAGCCAGCGGACTGGAACCGCAGGTTCCACTCAAGCAAACTGGGCTGCCAGGTACTGAACTGTCTACTTCAGAAACAGAAGCGAGCTTCCAACGTCGTCGGAAGACAGAAACCAGATAAACTCGTAACCCCGAAGAATGAGCAAGAAAGGCCCGGCGTATGCAGAACGGCCTCAATGGAAATCGCAGACGGAGACTCAGGCCTAATCATCCCACGCGATTGAGGCTCCTGCAATCCCTTCCTTCGACTCTTGGTTCGTTTCAATTGCATCGTTAGCTCGCATCCGCACGCATTCTTCAGATCAATCAAGGCATTGGGCTGACAACAATTGGGCCGAAAACCCCAATCTAACACCAATGAATGCCAAGCGGAAACTTTTTCGAGTTACGCTGAGAATGGACAGCATATTGCCTCCGTGCTTCATCAGTCCTCTCTGGTTGCGGAGGGCTAAGAAGAGGCGGATAAATTTGATGCCCGACTTTCTGGAGCCTAGTTGAAAGCCACCGAGATGTGTGGGTATGCGGCTGTTTGACCGAGTAAGGCAGCGCTTTCGTGCCTTATTAGACAGAGACAAGACTGTGGAACACGAGTGCGGCTAATAAAGGAGACGGGCTATGGTTAGCTTCCTAGACGAGCGATTGCCAAAGGCAGTGGCAGAAAGCTTGAGTTACCAGTAGTACAGGGGCTTGTACAATTCAACGTCACGGCGTGCGTCAATGTCTTCTCCACGCCGACATAGGGCAGACCTGCAACGAACGGGTCTGAATTTTGCGACGTTGTCTGCAAGAGTGAAGAGGACTTGATGAAGCGCCTAGTATCCGCAGTCAGCCGTAGTGTTGCGGAGTACAATGCCCCGGTCTCTGAAGGGAAGTGATGTCCTCTCCACCCTGGTTGGGTCGGCGTGCGGTCCAAGAAGCATTCCCGCATTTCCTCCATGCACGCCCTCACACGACCCGACAGCAGGGCTGAGTAGCGACTGGGATATCCCAGAACATTTAGTACTGAACGACAGCGCCGAGGGGCCGTGCTCTCGGGACCAGATTGCGATGTGATTTGGATATCAACAGGGGCCTCTCGCAGACAACGACCCCTCCAACACCCTTTTTTTTGTCTCTTCTTATGGCTAAAGCGCCTGGCGAGACAAAAGAGCCACCCTGAGATGCTGTTACCTGGGGTTGTTAATCCGCTCTGTGATTAAGCAGAAGCTGTGACAATTCGATATCAGCTGCAACAGCCCAGCTCTGCGTTAAGTGATACATATCTGAATAATGATTTCATTGCCTTACCTTCTCTCCTCCCCCCCTTTTCTCAGTCCAATGGCTGTAGGCACACTGCCCCTGACTGCCTCGGTGCAGCCTCTGTGGTGCCTCCGGCCCGTGCTTCGTCTTACCTTCCAGGCACTGCAGCTTCACCATAAACTTGAAAGACTGTGGCGATAGAATACTGAGCTCTTTAGGTCGAGTTAGCCGCATCTCTGGCATCACTGACTGCCGGACAACATTGACGGGGATATGAGAAGAAGAAGAAGAAGAAATAAAAAAGAGGCATCTATTACCTACTCGTCGGCAACACTGAATAAAGGGTAGGTAGTACTCGAACGTGTTTGAACGACCGCATTGACACCCAGCTGGGCTCTTTGATATCCGAGTCATGAACGCGGATATGCCTGTCACCAGCGAGAGCCGAACGGACGAACTCGGATTGACATATCCTGGCAATCCCCTATAACCCAAGACAGGCGTACGGCAGACTGCTGAGCCTGCCTCTGCTGTTTACTACTATTGCAGCATCAGTAGCACTTCGGACTAACAGCAATGCTCCTCCTGCACGTAATGTGTGGTTGACGAGCTAATCGTAAGGCTGCGTGCTGTACTCGTCGCAACCTCTCCTACCCTTCTAGAAACCAGGCTCAAGGTACATAGTGGTCCATTGTGAACCGCTAAGACGAGTACATACATACTCCGTGTCGTGAGCAGGGCCGTCGGCGTATTCGGTGTATAGCGTCGTCCTGTGTCGTACAACCATCTGCCCATGCTGCACGACATACCTAGGAGCAGAGGAGCCGAACCCCGTCTGGTAGCTGTCAAAAGGCTTCGCAAGCGCTGTGGATATACGACAAGCCCAGGCAATTGAGAGCTTGGTCGACCGTCGCATCCCCCAGGACAGCCAACACTCGTAAGTTGAACCGGCTAACGTCGCTCGCTTTTGCATCAAGAGGGAATGGTGCCATGTACTCCGTAAGCAAACTATCTTAGTTCGCATAGAATGCCCTACTTGTACAAGCATCCGGCAAGGGTACATAGTTCCATCAGATATGAGCCACGGGTGGTGCGGATAGAACGGTCTCCGGCACAGTGTCAGCCGTCTGCAAGACATGGCGTGTCACCGCGCTGCAGGTATCGTGTGCCATTGGCTGGTCGGCACAAGTTGCCAGATAATTAGCAGAAGTTATCGGCTCGGGGTTAAGGCGCAAAGAACAAATAGAACAAACACACCGACCTTAGTCATGCCAACAAGGCGGAAGACCAGCAGATCTGGCTTCCGAAATTGCGGCGATCACCAGAGGCGACGCCATGGGAGCCATGGGATGGCGATGCCAGCCAGGCCATGCCAGGCCACGCAGCCTGGCAAAACGGCGGGTGCGTCAGAACGGCAGATGCTGCAGTGCGGTGCGACGGAGAGGCTGTTGGTTGGTCAAGGTACGAGCACGAAGCAGAGGGATGCGATGCGGCCAGATGCAGAGCAACAGAATGCGAGCCATGTAACGCGATCAGTCAACATGAGGCGGCAGGAGAATGACGATGGAGTCGAGTGAGCATGGAAGTTAGCAGCTCGCTACGGCCAACTAACGAGCACTGGTGGAGGCTGTCGGAAGAATCCAAGGACCGACTGTACCTAAGTACCTAGGTAGTATACATGTATTATGGCAGGTAGAGGACGCGGCAAGGACGGGCAGGCGGCAGGAGGCAGTCGCCAGATGCAGGATGGTGGTGAGTGGTGGCAGTATCGTAAGGTAGTATGGCTTATTGGACGCACGAGTTGTAGCAAGATACGCTTCGAAGAAACCCGTCTTCTCCCCTTCTTCCCCCTCAAACCCCCCCGCCTCTGCCGCTCCCGTTTACCCTCACCCGTTTTCCCTTTTTCTCTGTCGGATATAAGGGCCGTTGTGATGACAGCAGCAGCAGATACCTGGGCCACTTTCACACACCCCTGGACAGCGATCGTCCCGGGCGTCCCGTCAGCCAGCAAAAAGACCCTGACGGGCCCTGAGAAAATCAAATCAGGATCTCCCGCCCTGTGATTAGAATGATATTGCTCAGCGGCGAGGGACCTGGCAAGGCCCTCCTGTGCTAATCCCTTTCCTGCAGTTGCTTTTGTAATCATCCGCCCAACGACCGACTGCAATTGCTGCAAACGCCTGCCAGTGGCGTCTCGGGTACGCAATCCGGAATACGGCATAAGGGCGGGCAGATACTGGGAGCACGGGTGGGCGGTCGTGGCAGCAATCTTCCTGTCCCTCCCGAGTGGCGGGAGCGCCTCATTGGAGTTGTTCCTGGTAATTACATACCTTGACCCCTCACGGTACGCTATATGCTGACCAAAGGTGAATAAACTCTCAGAGTCGAAAGCAACGGATGTGTGAGTGTAGCTGGATACTCCCTCAAGCGGCGCTAGGACGGTCTTTTGATGCTTGGCCCCTTGCCTGAGTTTACAGAGCCGAAACTGTTCATTACACGTGGTGGGGTGTCCTCTTTCAACGAACGCTGTCTGTGGGACTTGGAGCTCCTGAGAGAGTAAGCACCTAGTACTGCCTACTCCGTGCTCGTGGTAGGGATGCTGCTGGATGCACTCGTACGCCAAAGAGCTTCTGGATGGACTCCCATGGCCCGGAGGAGATCTCAGCTGCCATTATACTTTGAGCGCATGATCATCTGAACACTAGGATAAGCTGGGCCCCTTTAGGTGGGTTGATCTGCTTCACCGTCGTGGCAGCGGCCTTGGTTCATGGATGCGTGCCCCAGACTAACTAGCAAATAGGGACAAACGCAAGGTGACAGGGATCCCGGCCCAGTCAGATCGCTTAAGGCCGCAATATCCTTCCTCAGCATCCTTCATGTGGCAGCAGGTCCACCCATAGGGCGGAGCTTTGGTCGCTGCTTGTCAATGCCCGTCTTGTTCTGCGCAAATGAGCCACAAATGCCACCTCCGCCGAAAGCCAGGCCATACCGGCCTCTCTCCTGTGCAAGTACGGAGTACGGAGTGCGCACGACTCCATCCACACCTGCAATACTACAGTACACTACACGGCACGAGCAGGTCGCACACGTCCTCTAGCTTAGCCATAAGCATGCATATATTCACCAGTAGTGGTGCTACCATTTGGATGCTACCCGCAGACTGAAAGCTGCCAGACGTCGAGCCGCTCGTCCAGAAACTTGACCCTTTGCGTTGACAACATCCGGCACCACTCGGCGGCATTGCAGCACTACGAGCCCAAGCTATGCCTCAGGCTGCCATACTACCGAGGTAGGCTGGTAGGTATAACTTGTCTTGCCGAGTACATACGAGTACGCTCTGACTACCGGATCCTTGCGCCGGTAGCGATCTACTAACCTGCTTCGATGCAACTACTGAATACGGTACTAGATACGCACGGAAAGCTTCCAGGATCACGAGCATTTCTAATCCTCCAGTCAGGACGGCTCCTTCAACCACTGGTTCGCTTCCTGCAGAAGCAAGTTCTGCTCTAATCCTGGCATTGATTAGATGCCTGGAGACTAGAGTTGAGATGATCATTGCTTCTACGCTAACGACTTCCCAGGCGGACGAAACCATCGCTTGACGAGAGCCAAGAGTCCGCTCCGGGTGTCTTTTAGTCGATTACATGGCAGGGAAAGCACACAGAAAACGAGAGGGTCGACAATTAGCCCACTTTACCACAACGTGGCAGATGCTAGCCAGCTTCACAAGTCTTACGTACAGCCTTAGCTGCTTTGGCACCTTGCTCATCCAAAGCACATACCCTACGAAGGGTGCTGTGATACTTTCACTTGCCAAAGATGACTCCTTAGCCGATGTGCTGCAGAGGTGATCGATCGCTGAGCTGTTCTAAGGCCGGTTGGTACGTTTCTCTGTGTCCAAGGAAGCAATTCAGATGACAGCCTACTACCGGCCCATGCAACACAATGAAGTATTGCGCGACAGATTACTCCTACAAGCGATACATGTGATGTATTCGCAACACAAGAACCTTAGAAATACATCCCTTGATGCAGCTGTTGTCCACTGGGCGCTCTCACGATCCTTGCGATAACGTTGGCCGGTCACTCTGGTCTGAGAGCTTCTCCATTCTGGTGAATGGCGCCTTGATCCTTGATAGCCTTACCGGGAGGGCGCATGCGCCTACCGCAGGAAGTACTTCGTGCATCTGCGCCTGCTCTGGCTGATGCTATTTTTGGTATCAGGGGGATGAGGATTCCGGGGTCGGACGACACTCAGGATGAGAGCTAGTCAACAGCCTATTGATCCTCGTCGATCAAGAGGAACATAGTACCGCCTTTCGACTCAGTCGTCGCAGCCGTGACAGAGGATATGGTAATCCGAAATGTGTATAATCTCGATTCTCATTCAGGTATGGGCCCCAGTTACACATGTATACTGACCCAGGCGTCTAGCTGCGCAGATGATCAAGATGCTGGAGAGTCGAACGCGCCCTGGCAACGCTGTACCATGACAGCCAAGAGCATCTTCTGGTCAAGAATGACAATTTCATTTGATACATGATGATATACTCCGAAGCCCCAGGAGATGCCATCAATAAGGGGCAATGACTGGTGCTCCGGACCGCTACAGCTAGTGGATGACAGGGACAACTGGACTGGTTCCCGGAGGCATATACAGAGCTGGATTACGCCTCTCTTTCAATTGAGAACTAGGTGGACCAATGATGCGAGACAGAATCGGCAACCACACGTCTGAGAAGAAAGGAGATCTTGCCAGGAGGAATGCAGACTACGTTTGATACGGAACAAGAACCGAAGACGGAGAACGGGGTGCTGGACCGGAGCAGGCCTCAATGGAGGGCACCTTGTCACCGCCGACGCCCCTGGTGTCTCGTTATGAACGAGATGACTGCCATTTCCCGAACAAGAGAAAGCGTCGAGATTGTAGATGGACCCGCGTTGTGTACAGTATTGGTGTCATGCCGCTCCAGTCCCACGGCGGGCAAATCAGGAAACCACCTCCGGCACTCGGCGTTGCTCGGCGGTTGAACATGTGGCACAGATGCCGCAGTGTGTGTCGTATATGGTGGGCAACGGCACGCCGAGATGCTGCTGCAACTTCTTCTGCCTGCAGTTGAGCCGTCACGGCTCGTGTGGCTCAGCTCTTTCGATGGCGAGGGACTGGGGCCAAAGATTGGCAGTAATACATGGCTATGCGTGCTTTTGCTATCGTGGCCATGTCACCGTCCATGCTTACCGTGTGTCTAACTAAATAGCAAAACAGTTGGCCTGGTTTAGCTGACACAGGAGACGCCAGACAAGAAGAGGAGGCACCTCTGTTAGTGATTATCCCTTCTCCATATTTTGTTTTCGGTTTTCGCGCCTGGACTGATGATTCTCCTGGTAGTACTACCTGTACATCCTCCGCATTACCGACCGCGAGGTCCGCTAAACAAGCGGCAAGCCCGCCGAGCCCAGAGATGGAAGTGGTAGCTCCTTGATGAGCCTGCTAAGCCTTACAGGTTCCTCTCCGGTGGTTAGTCCAAACAGCCATTTGTTCGAAAGAGGAAAGGCTGTCGAGCAGATAACATCGGAGGCTGAAGAGGCACGCCCCTCGCGAACGAAGTCCAGGCGGTTTCGACTTCGGCGTTACTCTCAGGTCGTTGATGACCAGGTCTTCGTACCAATGGCATGTTCTTTAATAGACCTTATTGGCAATCTCCGGCACATATCCGAAAATCAAGCGTCATACGGAGTATTATCTCTGGTATCCAGGAGTTCTTCCCATGTTCAACGAAGCTTGGAAGCTTCAGAGTAGCAACGGTCGTTCTCTTCCTTGTCATCCCCACCGTTCCAGCCTTGGTGACACCGCGCTATTCCCGGACCCCTGTTGCTTGCCATGCTGCCGACAGCCATCCGACCCTTTGTTGACGATTGTATCTGGACAAGCCTCTCATTTCCTGGACATATGACTGACCAGACGGCTCGATATTGAAAGTTCGGACAGATTGCATATCCGACGCAAAATATTTCCTCCAATGGACGGGCAAATAGCGACATTTTAGTTTATTTCCTCACCCGGGCCGGTTTGCTCTCGGGAGAAGCCGTTTATTACTCTGAGGACATGTAACAATGTCCATTCCTCATGCGGATAACACCCCATGTGTGGTATCCTATGAATCGTCTGGGCATCCCTGAAGATGGCAACAGGGCAGCAGGTTGCAACGAGACAGAAATAGGCCAAACGCACGATAGGAACCCAAAAGTGTCTCCGCATTGGATGCTTTGATTCCCCCCAGCCGAATCGCTTGGACTCCAATCGCTTCTTTATTTGACTGCATTTTACTATATGAACGGTTTTCTCAGTGTTCTCACAGCCGCAGCGTGGTCTTGCCGGCACGCTTTCGCCCATTTCGGCAGTTGTAATCTCGAGGTTCCTCATCATGAGGCGGAATCCGCCTTTCCCAGAGCAAAAGAAAAAGAGTCAGAGGGGGAGACAGACAGAGACGGCAGTACGCTCTCCGTTATGCGACGCTTATTCGCTACCGAGAGTCTTTCCCCCTTCCCTTTTCCTTGACACATTCTTCTTTTTTTCCTAATTCCCTTGTTTGCCACGCTTCTTGAGGGGTCTTGGCTACGAGATTGACTTCTTCTGTGTGGGGTGGGCGTGTCAGACGACCAATTGTGGTAATAGTATTCCCCTTTCCAAATGCTCACCAGTCCCGGGTTTTGAAGCCTGGGTGTGTGTGTGTATGTGTGTGGCAGACAAGGGGTCGAGAGGCCAGGAAGGAGGGTGAGGGGGAAGGGTGTGTGTGAGAGAAAGAAAGGTGAGCGCATCAAGGGACCGTGTTCCCGTCTCATTCGGGGCCAGACAACGCCGTGCTAGTGAGACGACTTGGCTCTCTTGCCTTTGTTCTGATACGGAATGGCTCCCCCGAAGGAGTTGGTTGCGGGCCGTGTTTGAGGCAAGTGAGGCGACGATGAAGCTTTTCCTTTGCCCGTGGGTGGAAATAAGTTTTTGGAGGGACTTTTATCGTATATGTGATAGAACACGAGAGAGGCAATGATTGGGTTGGCTTCATGGGGCTTCTTGGTGAGTCGCTTTTTAACCCCCCTCCCCCCCCCCCCCCCTTTTTTTTTTGCCGTGTCTCAACAGCACAACTACCGGACCGTGCAGTCAGCTCACAGGGATTCCAGGATAAACTCATCGGCTCATTGTCATGATGGACGAGCTCAACATCGTGTCATGCTTAGGGGCCTGCCTGTTGGAATCTAGCATATCAGCAAGGTGGTCAAGCGCGGCTTTGTTACACAAGAGATGTACGTGTAAGTCGTGTAAGTTGAACCGGCGAAACAAGTACGTGGAGCCCAGTGTTGTGTATTCCAGATTGACTGCTTGCTTATCATATTCTTGTCTAGACAAACGACTCTTGGTATGTCCAAAATATATCATATCAGCGGCTTGAAGAAGAACGACTGGATCCATACTCCATTGCGGACTCGTTCACATTACTTGTGTGTCTTTTTTTGTTGTTGTTTTTTTTCGTTGCCCACCCTTTCCCACCCTTAATTCCTTCAACTTAGTTGGCCTCCCTCAACTATAAAGACGGCGCTCCCTCGACCGGGCCGGCTCACGACCACGGCCTGCTCCTTCTGCTCGTCGGTCAGGTCCAGCTTGGAATAGTACTGCTGCTCCAGCGCCTCCTTGACGGCCTGCACCTTGTCGGCCGGCACAAGGTGGACGCTGCATCCTCCCCACCCAGCTCCCGTCAGCCTGCTGCTATAAGCCCCTGCGCCACGTGAGATGCGACATATCTCGTCTAGCTCGGGGCAGCTGCACTCGTACAGGTCCCTGCACGAGTCCTGGGTCTCGTTCATGAGCCTGCCCAGCTCCTGGTTGAACTGGGTGGTGTCTGTCCGTCCCGTGTGGAGGGGCCCCTCGAGCAGGGCGAGGAACTGGACGACGCGTAGCGCCTCGGTGAAGACGTGTAGGGCTCGCTGCCTGAGCTTGAAGCGGTCGGCGCGGACGGGGAATCTGGACATGAAGCGCTGCTCTAGCTCCGGCACGGACATTTGGAGGACGGAGGCGATTTCCTCCCGCGTGTAGCCGTCCTCGCGGGTCAGCGTGTCCTTGGTGATGTCTATCAGCCGGCGCAGCTCCTCCTCCTTGGTGAGGCTCTTGGCGGCAGCGTAGTCTGACCCGCCGTTGTGGTAGAAGAAGGCATCGTGGAACCCCTGAAGGCTGATGCCAAGGGGGCCTGCGTCCTGTGGCAGCTCCGTGCCGGGTGGGTTGAGCTTGGCATGGAGGTAAGCAGCCGCAAAGCTAACCTCTACGACACGGAGGTTGTAGTGGATGGGTCCAGTGACATGCTTGTTGGAGGTGACGAATGATTGCGCGATCACAAAGCACAGCTCGGGCCTTGTTGGGGGGAACTTGACGGGCCGGGCAGACAGGCTGGGGGTGAAGGACACGAATGTGGCGGATCCCTGTTCCGAGAAGACGGAAGCAGCCTGGTCCATGCTGTGGCGATGACTGTCAGCATTGTACTAGTAGTAGTAATAGTATATATGCGATGTTTAGGGCGAGGAGATCTGGTGGTGCGATAGTAGTAGTAGTAGTAGTAGTACAACGCTCCTGGTCCCAGGTTTAAAGGGGGGTTAGGGGGGGATGGAGGAGAAGGGGGAAGAGGAGGGGTGGGAGGTGTGGGCTTGCTGCCTGCGTTGCTTGCTTGCTTACTTGCTTGCTGCAGGACAAGCGGTGGAGTACATGATAACGCAGGAGGTGATACTACTACTCTATGGAGCAGCAGATACGTGTATCCACCTGCTGCGAGGAAGATCATGGGGGATTGCGGGTGCAGATTATACGGGGTGAAGGCAAAGCAGACAACGGGGGCCACATGGCAGCCGAGAAGAAATCACCAAAAGACACGTACCCTCCGGAGTTGACGCCCACCGCGCGCTCGCTGACGATGGCGAGCTCGGTCAGCTCCTTCTTGTCGACGGCGCTCTCGCCGTTGGCGGCCATGACGGCCAGGGCGCTGGCGGTGACAAAGGCGGCGCTGGAGCTCAGGCCGCCGCCGACGGGGACGTTGCCGTCCATGAGCACGTCCATGTCGCAGGGGCGGAAGTCGGGGCCCCTTTTCTTGTAGAGGAGGCCGAGGGCGCCGCGGAGGCCGCTCTTGAAGTAGTTTGTCCACTCGAACTTTGTGGAGTCGATGTCGACGTCGGCGCCAAAGGGCACGTCGAAGTCGGCCGGGGGGAACTTTGCGCCCTGGACGTTGCGCACGCGGATGGTGAAGGCGGCGGCGTCCGGGGCGGCGGGCTTGGTGGCGACGGCGATGAGGGCGTCGGCGGTGATGGCCATGGGCAGGACCGAGTAGAGCGAGTAGTCGATGTGCTCGCCGATGATGTTGACGCGGCCGGGGGAGCGCGAGACGAAGCGCGCCGGGCGGCCGAACTCAGTCTGGAACTTGGCCAGCAGGGCGTTCCATCTCGGGGCCTCTGCGGCGAGGGCCGACGGCGGGTAGATGTCGGCCAGGGACGTGGCGGTTGGGACGGGGCCGGACATGTTGGGCGAAGCTTTTCCTCTCTCTGAATCTCTTTCTCTCTTTGTCTGTCTGTCTGTCTGTCTGTCTGTGTTTGTGTTTTGTGATTGTTTGAAGCGGTCTCGATACGACGACAACGAGGACGACGAGAAGAGAGTAAAAGGCGCCACGATGCGAGGCTTGGGTATAGAGATAGACAAGGTAAGGTAGGTATGCGAGGCTGTTCTTGATACCCCGCAGTGGTGTTTCGGAGAGATGAAGATCAGGGGTTTCTTTTGCGCTGCCCTCTATGACGTATGCAGGCAGCTCCGGAGTCACAAACAGAACACAGACGACGTGCGATGCGCCGATACGGACGACAGAATAGGTGAAAGAATTGATTAAAATCAGAAGACGATGAAGCTCTTTACAAAGCAATTGTTGAGGGTAACGGGGAACGATGTGTGCGATGAGGTATATAAAGCGCAGAAGCATGTGATGGTCAAGAAGTTGGAAGGAATGCTAATTGCAACAAAGATGCATGAACACGCGATTAAAGTACAAGTAAATTGGCGATCACTTTGGCGTGAATCCTGTGGGAAGAAACCCCGCTGCGGATGTTGTTCGTTTTGCTCGGCCGTTTTGCGGGGGCCACAGACGGGGGAAAGGTGGGAGGGGAAGGGATGTTGGTTTTTTAATGCCCCAATTCTCAAAAGTCCGGTTTTTTGCTATAAGCGCACGAGTTACAATGAATGATGGCTGCTGGTTCAAAGGGGAAGAAGAAGCTCCAAGCTGATTTGGAAGTCGTTGGTGATGCAGGCTGGGAAGGGGGATTGTGTTTATTCTTGTGAGTTCTTGGGAGTGGGATTTGTCGCTTTAGGTGTAAGTGAGAAATCCCGCTGGATTCCGTGGGAAATTCATCGGCTTTTTGCGACCATGTCGCGCCGAGAGTAATTGCGAGCTCTATATCTGCTGGACTACCTACCTACCTACCACATTTGTCACCCTCTTTTTTTTTTTTTTTTATTCCTTCTTGAGATTGTGTAGATACAACAGGAGCCTTTCTTTTTTTTTTAGCCTGACGGAAGATTATTCGGGGGAGGATGAGTTTCAGATTGTCTAAAGACTGGCAGTAGATGGCGTAGTGACTAAAGGCTGGTTTTTGTGGTGTCGTGTGTTGAACGCAGGGTAGGTCTGAACAGCCAACTACCTACCTTAAATAGCAGCAGAAAGTTGTGAGCTTGACGACGACAACAAATTCTCCAAGCAATCTATTTCAGAACTTGCCCCCCCCCCTCTTGCTGTTTCATTTTCAGTGCATTAGATACATGTAATATGGGGAGTATCTGTGCCGCATTGGGGATCGTGTCGCTGCTGGCAGATGGTATGCGTATGCTGGGTATAGGTCTTAGGCAGCAGTAGTTGAAGTAGATGGCCTGCGAAGTATTGGCCTACGAATGACAATCGTACAAGTAGATGCTAGAACTTACTCAAGGTAAAGACAAAAGAAGACTATAAAGAGATAATTGAGCCATTTCCTTTTTCTTCTTCCTGATAATCCAAAGGGTTGTTCAGAAAGGTAGAGTCTATTTGTTCTTACCCCTATCGCCCCATCACCACTATCATCAACATCACTTGCAACTACCTGATACCTCACGCAACGAATCATGCATCTCGCAAGCAAACCCCACAATCATACCAATCTTCAACTCGGCATCTTCAGAATTGATCTCCGCCTATTACAGTCTCTTCCTTCAGACGGCGAAAGTTCATAACAAATCGAACAGCGCCTGCCAAAATACATCCCAACTTAACCTCCCCTCCCCAAGAGCGCCGAATCATCAATATATATCCCCACAAACGCAGTTCTTCACAAGGACAATCTTCCGAAAGGGGGCCATCTTCGCTCAACGAATCACCCGGCAACCGGCACTCTAAACCGTGAGCCAGCACCGACAACCGGCAGTCCCAGCACCACAGTCGATCGCCACCAGGCATCATGCGTTTCCAACGCCGGCGGCGCTACTGCTGCTGCTGCTGCTTCCCGGTGCCAGCAGCGCCTCCAGCATCAAACACGGACAAGGGATTGCTGCTCTAGCTGGCTGCTTGCTCCTTTCCTTGTGTGCTATATATCTGTTCTTCGTGCGTCTGCAACTGATGTACTGCCACGCCCTTTAGCCTCTTCTGCCCCTTTTCCTCGCGCTGTCCGGACAGAAGTTTGGGTTCTGTTGCCACAATTTGCAAAAAAACACGGGTACGTGTACCAACCCGTGATATCACTGTTCTTTGTCTTCTCAAAGGCCCCAAATGTCGTACTTGAGCTGTCTAAAGCAGTTGAGAAACCTGGCCCGGCGTCTATCAAGGGGGTTGTCGCCCATGCACGTCCAAACGCATCATCACTTTCGTTCTCTTTCACCCCCTCCGTCTTGTGCTTTACACTCCTCTCTTCTTCGTCTCATCCCACCGACAATATCCTCAGTCAGAGTAGAGCACCAGCAATGTTAATGTCGGTAACAAATACGATCGGACAGATTTCTGGCCCGCCACAAAGGTCTGCTTCAAGATGACGCTTTCACCTGGCGGACGAGATGGTCTCGGGTACTAGTATGAGCCCGGGGGGGGGGGGGGGGGGGGGGGGGAAACCAGCTGCCGCGGCCGTTGATGGTTTGGAGCTGGTCTACTCCCAGGGGGAAAGACTATTCTCGCAGACAGGCGTGTTGCAGGGTGAGCCCAGCAGCGGGACAATGCCGAGCGAGGTGCCGAAGGGAGAGACGGTGACAGGTCAAACCCCGTTGCTGCGACGAGTTGCCACTTCCATGCTTAGAGGGGGGAGTAAAACTATGTACGCCACCATCAATGCTGAAATCCATAATAACCTACCAGCTCAACCTGAAAGATCCGCGAGCTTCAGCGGTACCACGCCCTCATGAGCTGACACTGGACCCTGTCGTTGTCGTTTTTTCGTGTTTGCGTTCTGTCACAAGAGGAAGAAAGAGAGGGAGGGGGGCTTATACACATACTCGCGCCATTAGTACTTACACCGGGGGTGATTGCTCCTTATCGAAACCATCCTCGAACCACTCTGTCGGGCCAAAGAACAAGCCAAGAACGAAAAAAAAACCCACCGAGATGGCCCCTTGATTCTCCCCTCCGATTCTCATCGCCAAGGTTTCCGGGGTTCAGACCGGGGATAGGGAGGAAAGGCAAGGATAAAGGGGGGGTGGACAACGTGAGTGTGACTTTGGGTGAAACAGGGGGTGCGTGAAGTGATTTTCCCCTTCTTTTACAAATCATTCTTCGAGGGGCTGGTGGATAGGCATCACTTACAGCTTCTAACAGAGGTATAGAGCAGAAGCACTACTACAGCTGGTCGTCTGCAGCAACTACGCGAAATAGGGGAATGGTATGATTGTTAGCTTCTTCTAGGTTACTGTACAACGGCAGATGAACTAGAGACCTTGGGAAGATAAAAATAAAAAACACTAAGATGCTTGCAAACAGGGTCCTTCTGCACAGGGGATAGTCATACCAGCAGCATGTACTTCCTCATCAGGGGGGTATGTGTAACCGGTGAGCCGTCTCGGTGGCGGTGCAAGGATATCATCCAGCAGCCGAAGGAAAAGCACAGTTGATACACCCCCTCCCCGACCGTCTTCCCTGACCGACGCTTGGTCCAGCCGATGATGGGATAGACGGCAAGGTTCAGGGGTCTGCGATGCTTTCCCCAGTTCGTCGTTCGTGTCTATCAACAGAGATAGGTCCGCAGTCGTGCCAGCTGTGTGAAGACGGCTTGCAATGATGCCGACGTGAAGACCGCGGAGTAATGGGTGTGTGATAGGTCAGTCCGCTTGAAGCAGGTTAGTATTGCGAGTTGGACTGAGCTGCCAGTTGAGGGCGTTGCTCAATGTGACCCTGCAGATGGATCAGTACTAGATAGGCCGTCAGACTGGCTATGAACAAGCACGCAAGCAAGCATCATCCCCGTGATAGTTGCCGTCCGATAGGGAGTACAGTTACTCCTTTAACCGCTGTACTGTGCTTCATTAGGTATCGACGCCATTGACACGAGTTAAGCCTGCCGTAACCCGTGCTCTCCCAGAACATCACACGGCAAAAAGAGACGCTTCTCCTGAGCCCCTGGCCCGACCATTGCACAAAGTCGCGGAATAGGTTCCTCGTCGTGATACCGCTGCTGCGGACAAGCCGCGATAACCATCCTGGCAAGCGTGCAGATTTCTGAGTCGGCGATTTCGCTTGCTTGTCATCGGGGTCCTTTGAACCCCCTTGCAGTTGCGGCTGCTGACATTTCCCCAGGATACCGACACGGCTGGCTGGATCCTTGACGTCTATGCAGGCAGGCAAACAGGGTCCAGAACAGTGCGATAGCATGCAGTAATACCCAATGTAGGGGTCCTGTGAGCTGTGCTGGCTGAGTGTCTTGATGCTAAATTAGGTATCTCCTGTGAGATTCGTAAGAGCTTATCGGGAGGAAAGACATATGATGTTCCCTGCTTCTGCGGCGTTTGCTGTGTGAGTGTGTTCCGGGGGGCGAAAAAGCGTCGTAACAGCGCTGCAACGAGTACAAGTATGAGGCGACTGCGAGGATCAAGTTCATCCTGTTAGTCGATGCGTGTACGGCGACTACTTGTTTGCAGCTTCTTCCCGAATTGGTATGTCATGTAATGCCCCATTGAGTCGTAGCTGGAAGAGGAATCTGACATGACTGACCAGGCCGACTCCAAGAAAGCGTTTCTGTTCCAGACAAGGTAGATAGCAGGTATCACTCGGAGGACAGAACGAGAAAACCTGAAAGTCGCTGTAACACCTCGTAATCCCTTGTGCTATGCGAAGCCGCACTGCATCATGCTGTGTAACGTAGAACAATTTGGAGAAAGGGACAAAAGAACCCGCCTGTCAGTGGGCACAAGGCTGGTTGTCGATCATTCCGATCGCCGATACCATTGGGCGGCCGGCTTGGCGGGGAAAGACGGCGAATACCGAATAGTCAAGACTACTAAGAGGGAACGAGGAGGCCAGATGGAGATGGGGCTCGACGGTGCAGATGAGATACTCGTAGATAGGCGGCAGCTCCTGTTGTGTTGCTCATGCCCCTCGTTGCCCAGCATCGTGAGATTTGTTGATGCTACCCATATTCACCTCGCACAGGGTCGGTGAGCAGCTTCACACGAGTGATAAGACTTTGAGGCTGTACACACAGCCGTCTGCTTTGTTTTGCACTGCATGTCAGCAGTAGCACCTTGGCAAGCCCCTACCTTGTCCCTTGCCTCACATGAGCATCGTGGCCACCCGTGAAACGAGTGCCACTGATAAGTGAGACGTCTTGTTCCGCCGCCTACCAGACGAAAACCTGCTGACTGCTTCACCACGAGGCAACGACGAGACATCAGACGTCACACCCGTCTTGACACCCCGAGGAAGCAGTCATTCGAACGGGCCACGTTGGCGATGATCCGACGGCTCCAGCGCTAAAAGCATGAAATTCATGCACACAGTATCGATTCTCGTCATGGCCATCAGCCAAACAGAGTCCGTCTCTATTGTCCCACCCACGTTTTCTGGCCTGACTGGGGGGTACATCGACCCTTTCGAAACTCCACTGTTGGATCTGGAAGACCCATGGGATCGCCTGTGGAAGGACAAGGGTGAGATGGTGTGTGTGATATATTACGAGAAATAAAGAGAAGAAGAAGAAGCTGATGACAAAGTCAGAGGGAGCAGAAGAAGACGATGAAGAAGAAGGATATGGCGAAGGAGTAGGAGCAGGAAAGGAGACGAAACGGAGAGGAACTGGGTGATGACAACAAGACATGTCTTCGTCATTTAGTCCATCTTCAGCAGCTGGAGAAGGAGAAGCTCAATGAGTGCCGGATGAGTTGCTCCCATTTTTGTCAACTTCTGCGGCATTCTGACGCCGAGAAAACCCAAGCAAAATGAGGGGTACCAGCTGATGAGGGGCCAAAAAAAAAAAAAAAAAAGAAAGAAAAACAGAGAAGGAAAAAGGCAGTGGAAACGAAAAGCTGCACAGTGCCACAAGACTCGCTCTATTGCTCTTTCTCTTTCTTTTGGCGCCGCATGACAGACAGTATGAAATAGGTAGACAGATTTAGTAGTAGCAAAGGAAGGAACACGAGTAATGGAGTTCCTTCCCGTGCAAATCTCGGGCCGTACAGCACAGTACGGCAACAGCTCAAACTTAATCTGCCCTTGCCTTTCCTTTCCTGCTGAGCCAAAGTGCCATCTATCCGCCTTGGCTATAGGTATATAAAGCTGACCGCCCAATTTCCCCTCTTCCATCATCTTTTCGCTTCTCCCCTCCAAAGCAAAACCTGCAAGCTCTCACTTCAAGAAACAGCCATTTTTTCTTCTTCACACTTCTTCTACCAAATCAACAACAAATTCGACATCATGGGTGGTTGCGGTTGTGCTGAATCTGGCTCTTGCGGCTGCGGCTCCGGCTGCACCTGTGACAACTGCCCTGTGAGTAGCCTTCCATCTCTCTCTCCCTCGCGACTCGAGGTCTTGATTCGATCGTGGACCATAGCTGACCCATTCCATCCGCAGCACAAATAAACAAAAACCTGAACGCTTCACAACCAGAGGCATTGACAGTCGACCCATGTTCCTCCACAACTCCGTTCGAGCTCGATACGCCGGCAGCGACTCGATCATCATTTGACCGCAACTACATGATCAGTATGGTGGATTGTGGAGGACTTGAGGGGCTGAGTGAGCGGACGACATGAGAAAGCAATAAGAGTAGCACAATCAAGGTGTTTCATTGCTCACACGCTGCCATACCCTTCCGTGACCGTAGCATGTATGACGCCCCGACTGTTGTTTCGTGAAGAATGTGACACTATACAAGTATGTACCTAGGCAGACGCAAGTTCCTGGATCGTGAGGTGTCGTCGATGGCGAATGGCTGGGTAAGGTGTGTTACACAGAGGCTACGTTGCGTCGTTGTAGATTGCGATGCATGTCCGCGTCCAGTGGATGCACCCTCGTTGCAGCGAGTGTGTGAGGGAAGAGACTGGCTGAGGTACTGCTGTAGATGTCAACGGGAGACGTTGCTGACGCTTTAGAATCAGTCATAGGTAGTACCTTATTCGCATTCACTACTTGACATGATATCATTGCAGTGGGAGTCATGGCAGTGCTATGCCTCAGCTTATCTTCTACCACGGACAACAGCATCAGAAAAGATCCAAGTCTTCACATAACCAGTCAGTCCTACGATATCGTCAAAGTACTGCGTGCTCATGCATCGTCAAGATTTGGACCTGGAAGCGGAACTCGGGTACCGTATTAGGTACTTCATGGGAACTTGGGTACCAACGCACCTGGCACTTGCTGCCAACATCATCAGAGCCCTGATTGGCCCGGCCCACGCCTTCTGTGGGCCGCTCTGACATCAATTATCGCTGCCTCGTGGTTGGAGAAGAAGCTCTGTCACGCCTTCGAGCGGCTGATGCCTCTCATTTCAACGTTCTTTGTCCTCCGCACGCCTCAGCAAAATCTACGAAATCGACGACGATAGCGCCTCTGCACAGCAAAGCACTTCTCCAGATATCCCTCACCGGTCCCGCGACCTTGTTTCTGACATCTGTCGAAGCCATCGCCTCTGCCTGCATCGCCCCGCGCTGCGCCAGCTGTTCCGCCGCGCCCGCGTGCCTCCATCTTAAGCGCAGAGATGATGCTACGATCACAAACCTAAGTCTCGCATACGGAACTCGCTATCAGCCTCGACACGAAGGAAAACCGAGATCGAGGGGACCAGCGACGAATATACAGCCATGGACTCGTCGGCCAAGGCCGAGCCTCAGTCTCCATCCTCCTCCTCCTCCCCACCCTCCGCAGCCATCCAAGCGGCCGCCGTCGACCGCCCCTCCGATGCGCCGCGACGATGCTTCATCTGCCTGACGGACGAAGACCCCTCCGACCCCCCGGGCTCGTGGGTCGACCCGTGCCCCTGCACGCTCGAGGCGCACCAGGACTGCATGCTGTCGTGGGTGACGGACTGCGAGCGCTCCAACAAGCCGCTCAAATGCCCCGTATGCAAATCCGCCATCGAGATGGATGGGCCCTGGGACCCCATCGCCTCGCTGCACGACGCCATCCAGCAGAGGTTCACCCGCGCGAGCCCCTTCATCTTGCTGACGGGCGTGTCCGTCGGCGTCCAGTTCAGCCTGCAGATGTACGGCGCCATGGCCCTGTGGACGTTTGCCGGCAAGGAGGCACTGCTGCGGTTCGCGCTGGGGCCCGATATGGTGATTGATGGGCGGCCGCCGGGGGCGTTGCGGTTCGCAAAGGAGCGCATCGTGAATGCGCTCATTCTGACGAATGTCGCGCCTACGCTCCTCGTGAGCCAGCTACTGCCGGGGCTCACCAACAGATACTTTATGCAGTCTGCCTCTATTGTGAGTTCTCCGAATTCGTTGAAAATGGCAGAAAAAACTGGCGGAGATGAAACATGATGTACGATGCTAACGCATGACTCAATAGTACGGCATTTATAGCATGATTCGAAACGAGAACTTTTTAGAGTGGCCTCCCTCTCCCCGAATGGCCATGGTGGCCCTGCCCATTCTTCGAAAGATGTACTTTAGCTTCTGGAGAGACTTCATCATGCCATACGAAGTGAAGCTTAACCGACAGATTTCCGGGCTGCCACCTCTCGACCCTCAGCAAGAGGCCGATGGCGCTCATCGGCAGGACCTGGAGCGCAACGGAGAGGGAGGCTTCATCGGCCTCCTCCAGAACATCCTGGACGTGCTGGATCCGGATGAAGAGGAGCCCGCCGCCGGGGCCAATAATGGAGGCCGCGAGGCGCGAGGAGGCGCCCAGCATGAGATCCGTCTGGAGCAACGCGAGGAGGGGGACGAGATCCGCGTTGAGCTTCTCATCGAAGAAGTGGTGGAAGATGGGGACGACGAGGTACAGGTCGTGGTACCCGAGGATGAGGAGTTTGGTGGCCAGCGCTGGGGCCAGGCCCAGGATGAGTTGGCCAACGGACACGCTCAGGAGAATCAACGGGAAGCACCTCAAGCGCCACCCGCACGAAGAATGGGCCTTGGTGGTCTCCTGTCCAGCGTGTCCAACTCCATCGTCGGGGCTCTCCTCTTGCCGGGTATCTCCTTTGCCATGGGCGAGGCTCTGCGGTTGATGCTGCCGCGGTCCTGGACAACAGCTCCTCCCAAAAACAACTGGCTATTTGGCCCCTCGCCGTCGGGGCGGCCTGGCCTGCTGCAGCAGCAATGGGGACGCAGCTTGGTTGGCGGGTGTCTCTATGTCGTCTTGAACGATGTCATCCGGGTGTACAGCAAGTCTCGCAAGGTGGCGGCCATGCAAAACCGTAAGGTGAAGAATGTAGATCGACCGCGACGGAGAAAGTGAGTGAGCGGTGACAAAGGAAGTTGCCACAATTGGGGAGCGACTGATGCTGCGATTCGTTCTGCATCAAACACACACACACACTGGCAGCGAGCATGGGACACAGGGCATGGAACTGGAGTTTGGGCGGTTACAGGGCGGCCAATTGCTCTTTTTATTATTTGACATGAATCTGGCGGAAAGGTTGCGTACCTCAGTTGCTATCAAGACTCACTTGCAGGGTCCTATCAGAATGGTACTCTTGGGTGGACAAGGCAAAGGGGGGCTTCCTTCGGGTTGGTTGGTACATGGCCGGCATATTCGTTTCCAGTAATACAGCTGGGCTCAGCTGTACGTGTATTAGTAGGTACCTTAGCCAGCAAATAGGTCGATGACTTGATATGCTTCTCTATTCAACAACTGAACGACTCTGCATTTCATGAAGGGACTGGGGTTTATCGTTCAGCACATGTTATCATCAGTATCAATTCCTCTACAATAACGGAACTGATAAAATAGAAAAAAGAATATTCCAGCATCCACGCCTTGCCACTTCCAGCCTAAAACCCGGTCAAGTCCACGCTACGAAGATACAAACCAGGCCAAACCAAAACTGAGGCCCCGCGGGGTCCCTCTTTCATACTGCATCTGTGGCCTCCAGCTTTTCCCCCCCTCCAATCTCGGAAATCTTGCTGCTTCTTCCGCCGATCATCCTCTGCTTGTCATCCTCCTTTCCCAACGTTTTGTCGGATCTGAATAGCTTCAACTTTCTTTCCTTTATATATATCTCAGAGCTCCTCTACAACTTCTTCCTTTGCGCTTCTCTATATACAGCAGCGCGCCAAACGCAACTCCAGCCATGGTACGAATCCCGCAATCCCTCAATCTCCTCCCCCCTCCCCAGCCTTGAATCCGCAAAAAGTCCATCACCATCACCACAACCCATCATGCAAAACACCCAACGCAGAAAGCCACACAAGAATAAACGCCTCATCGCGATCCATCCAACCATCATACCATAACCTTCCACAACGGAATCAATGCCAAACTAACGCAACCATGTGAAAATCACAAAAATCACAGGCCGCCCAACAAACCCCCAAGCAGCGCCTCGCGCTCGCCATCTGCGACTTCCTCTCCACCTCCACGACAGACGGCACCCTCACCGCCGACGACAAGGACTCCATCGACGTGGCCATCAACTGCATCGCCGAGTCCTTCAAGGTCGACCCCTCGGACGAGGCCGCCGTCAAGGCCGCCGTCGGCCCCCAGAAGCTCCTCACTGTCTTTTCCCTCTACGAGAAGCTCAAGCCAAAGGACAACTCCTCCTCCGCTTCAACCTCCGGAGCCTCCTCAACATCACCAACCGCCGACCAATCCTCCTCCTCCACCACCTCAGCCTCTTCCTCCCTCCCCGAACCGACCGAGGCCCAAAAGAAAGAAGCCGAATCCCTCAAGTCAAAGGGCAACGCCGCCATGGCCCAAAAGGACTACGCCGCCGCCATCGACCTCTACACCCAGGCCCTGGCCCTCCACCCCCGCAACGCAGTCTTCCTCTCCAACCGCGCCGCCGCCCACTCCGCCGCAAAGGACCACGCCTCCGCCCGCATCGACGCCGAGGCCGCCGTCGCCATCGACCCTTCCTACACAAAGGCCTGGTCCCGCCTCGGCCTCGCCCGCTTCGCCCTCGGCGACCCCAAGGGCGCCATGGAAGCCTACCAGAAGGGCATCGAGTACGAGGGCAACGGCGGCTCCGACGCCATGAAGAAGGGCTACGAGACGGCCAAGCGCCGCGTCGAGGAGCTCGAGGCAGACGATAACGTCGCCTCCTCCCGCGGCGGCCCCGGCGCCGGTGCCGGTGCCGGTGCCGGTGGCATGCCCGACTTTAGCAACCTCGCTTCCATGTTCGGCGGCGGTGGTGCCGGTGGCGGCGGCGGCGGCATGCCCGACCTGAGCTCCATCATGAGCAACCCCATGTTCGCCAGCATGGCCCAGAACCTTATGAGCAACCCGGACCTCATGAACAACCTGATGAGCAACCCTCGTCTTCGTGACATGGCCAACCAGTTCAGCAGCGGAGGCGGCATGCCCGACTTGGGCTCCCTCATGTCCGACCCCAACATTGCCGAGATGTAAGTCTTCCGTTTCAATCCAAAAAGAACAACAACAACAAGGCAAAGGTGCACCATGCTAACCAGCATACTCTAGGGCGCGGAATATGATGGGTGGTGGCGGTGCTGGAGGTGCTCCTGGCTCCGGTGGTGCGGGACGATAAGGCAAAATCGGGAATTGCAAGAGGAGGACGAAGCAGAACCAAGGAAATAGGTACAGAAACGCAAAGACCCTACATCTCTAGCTAGGTAGTTAGGACTGAGTAATGGGCGCAATCGCCGAAGCGCGCGTTGTATTTGATAAACTAGAGCAAACAAAACAGACACTCCATTTCCATCATGATGATGATGCTCGCCCTGGTGACTCTTGAGTCAAGCCAAGCAGAGTGTCTCTGGATTCATTCATAGTATATACACATATAAGTCTGGTATACTCTCGCCTCTCTTTGCCCTTTCTTCCGTGCTTCCCCTTCATTATTCATTCTCTTAACACTCCCATCCCTTCCCTCACCCGACTCACGCAAGATGTTCACTGCCCAGCGAATGCGTGCAGTACAACTCCGTCTGGGCGGGCTTAACGATTATGTATATGATAATGTCTATACAAATCAAAACAATACTTGCGTCACAAAGCACCCAAATAGTCCTAGGTGTCTTCTGTCGTGATCCCCTGGATTGGATTGTGGTTGCTAGCTGTTGGGTGCTGTTGGGCCTTGGGGGCCGCGGCCTCGGCGTGCACGTTCGGCTCCGGCTCGCATGCGTCTGATGCTTCGACCAGGTCGGCTGGAAGTTGCCGCGGTCGACCGACTCTCACCACTCTTTTGCGGTGGTAGATTCTCGTTCCTGGTGGGAGTACCTGTTGCCGGTACAGGAGTCGTATCTCTCACCACTTTGGTGACCGTAGGAGTCCTTTCCCATCTTCTCTCCGGGCTTTCCTTGAGAGCAGAGGTTGGGTATATGCCGCATTTGCCATCACTAGAGTTGCGCGGAGGAATCGGCAGTTGCCTCACAGCGGGCAGGCCTTTGCTGCCAGGCTTGGGAATCAGAGATGGCGCCGGGCTGCCGGTGCCGCTGCCGGTGCCGCTGCTGATGGCCTGGGAAATCGGGGCGGATACACGACGTTGCTCCTGTCAGATGGCTTAGTCGACTTGCGATTCCGTCAGTGAAACCGTCAGATATACATACCGGAACGTTATCTGTCGGCTTTGCTGGAGGCAGGTTGCGGTCGGCAGACTCGGTCGCCGGGGAATTCGAAACGGGCTCGCTCCTTGACTGGACGCGACGGGAGTAGCGCGGGCGCATGAACGTGACGCTGCCAACCTTGGAGGGTACGGTGTTTGTATCTCCGGTGCTTTTTGTATCGCCAGGTGTGGGTTGGCTGGCTTCATGTTGTGTAGACGGCGCGGCGCTGTTCGTCTTTGCTTTCGTCTCTGCTTTCGTCTCCACGAGATGCGGCTTCACGCTTGAACCTTGGACAATCACTAGGGGCATGATCCTTGGTGCGCGAAGTTCTGAAACGGCGAAACTGCTCTCGGAACTGCCCTTTGCTTCGGAGTGGCGACTTGAGTCGGTCAAGAGGCTCTTGGGTGTGCTATTCATCCCGCGTTCGTCCAAAATGGACACTTCGTCAGACCATCGTAGTTTGCTTGGATGACCGGTGACTGCCTAAGTCCCAGTCTTGCCAATAGTCGAAGAGACAATCGGATATGCCGCAGAGGTCGATTTGGTAGAGGTATTCGTCGCGGTTGCTGCCATTGACCGAGGGGTGAATTCAGGGGCCACTGGATTCAATCGGGACCCCTAACAGGATCCGTCAGTATCTTGTGGAGCGTCAGAATTAATGTCAGAATCTACCTCCTTCTGACACTTCTTGCCTTCCGGCGCTTTGACATCGCTCTCTTGCGTCGCCTTGCCATTGCTTTCTTGCACGGCCTTCCCATCACCTTCTTGGGCCACTCTGGAGTGTGTGCTTCCATCTTGCGGCTCGCTCGGCTCAGTGGACGTTCTCTCGGAGCAGGAGTCGTTGGCAAGGGTCTTCCCATCATCCGACACCTTCGCAGAGTCGTCGTCCTTCGGCTTTAGAAAGACTTGCTTTGACCATAGATCCGCGTATCGCCCATTGGTATTGATGAGCTCATCGTGAGTACCCTGCTCGATGATCTTACCATTCTCAACGACAACAATACGGTCTGCATTCATGATGGTCGAGAGCCGGTGACTGTATCGACAGTGGTCAGTTAATGTTTCAACGGCTCACTGAGTGCAAGAGGAGACATACGCCACAATGAAGGTGGTGCGACCCTGACAAAGCTTGTTGAAAGACCGCTGAATCTGTTGCTCGGTATCTGTGTCAACCGCGCTTGTAGCCTCATCTAAAAGCACAATGTCAGGCTGCTTCAAGATGGCCCGGGCAATCGCCACACGCTGAAGCTCCCCTCCTGACAGTTTCCTGCAAGAGTCAGCTCAAGGCTCTGGAATCAGGGAGGACTTTTTGGGGAGTAAAGCTCGGTACTCACACTCCTCGTTCGCCAACCCGTGTTTCGTAGCCTGTCACAAGGTCAGGAAACATGTCCTCATACCGGATACTAAGCCCATACCATTCGTAAAACTCAAGATCTTATCATGAATGCTGGCAGCCTTGCACGCTTCAAAAACTTCTTCATCGCTTGCCGTGATCTTCCCATAGCGCACGTTGTTCATGATGGTGTCATCAAACAGAATGGGATTCTGGGGGACAATTCCCACACGATCGCGCAGACTAGAGGGTAAGAACAAATTAGCATGGGTTAAAGGAGCCATATGATGACAACTTACCTGAAGAGATCAACATCGCGAATATCTTCACCGTCAATCCGGATACTGCCCCCTGTGACATCGTAGAACCTGGTCAGGAGTTTGAGCAGAGTCGATTTACCTGCTCCAGTTGCCCCTACAAAGGCCACCGTGAGCCCCCCCGGGACCTGCAAGCTGACGCCATTGAGGATATTCTTCTGCTTATCATAGCTGAAGCAGACATCCTCAAACACAACCTCTCCAGATGCAAACTTGAGTGGCCGTGCGTTCTTCTTGTTCTGAACCGTAGACTTGGTCTTCATGATGGCCAAAAGACGTTCCGCATCAATGAAGTTATCACTCATGCCCTTGCCCAGCTTGGCGAAGAATTGTAGCGGTGAAGTGAGCTGAGCCCAATACATAAGAAGCATCGCAAATTGTCCCGGTGTCGCCTGTTCATTGCGAATACGGTAAACAGCGAGGAAAGCACTTGCCATGAGGCCTGCAGTGAGAACAATCGTCTGGAAGGCAATGGAAACAAACCAATTCATCACATACTGCTGCTCCTTAAGCCATCGGTTCGTCACTGCGTTGGCATGCCTGTTGTCCTCAAAGCCAATCTGGTTGAAAGTGCTGACAGTTTGCCATCCAACCAGGCCAGCGTGCCGAATGTGATGCTCTTGATATATGGCGTTGACGCGTTTGCGGCTGGCTGACTTGGATTCGGCGACAAGGCGCGTTGCAAGCATGATGTAGACGGTTCCAGTAGCCACGGTAATGAGGCCTTCGTACGGGCCGAAAGTGATGGAAAGGTAGACGATGGCGACGCACATGTCAACCAGCGATGGGACGGCAGCGAGAAGAACATTCTCGATTGCGTTTGAGACAGCATGGCCTGCTTGGATGGCCATCATCATGTCTGACGAGCTCTTAGAGTCGTGGAAGTCGGCCGATAGGTTCATCATATGAGAAAACGACGCGCGAGTCAAGGCATCCTGAGAATAGTATTTGACAGGAATCCACAGCCACTGGCGGACAAGCTCGATTCCAGACTCGGAAGCTGCCAGTCGGAGTAACGCGAAACCCAGGACGGCCGCCCAGGGACTGCCAGATGAATCACCAAGGTTGTCCATGATGATGCCGGTTTGGCGGGGTATAAGAAGATGCAGCGCATTCGAAATTAGAAGGCAGAGCATGACGGCTGCCGCTCGCAACTGCAGTGTGGGGTTTCCAACTGGCCAAATGTAGGGGAATAGAATCTAGTAGAGAGAGTTTGTCAGCTGAACAAGATTCGATCACTTTCCGAGGTGTAATGCTCTGCCAGTGATGGAAAAGATTTTGTGCCGTTTAACTATAAGCTCTCAAGCCGGCGTGACTCAAGACGGAATGAATGATGGATATTGAGTGATAAGGTCTGGGATGATGTATACGGGGGATACATACCGCGAAGCCTTTGGCGTATTCCCACCAGTTTCCGACTTCTTCAAGCCTCTTCTCCATGCTTTCACGGGCTTCTCTTTGTCTTCTTTCCCAGCTAAACTCTGGGTCGGACGCATTGTCGCTTTGTGCTGTTGATCCATAAGTGGGACTATTGCCAGAACTTCCAGCAGTTCCTTGGGTGCCGGCCTCGTTTCCATCAGGCTTTGGCAAAAGTGACTGTCTTTCCTGATCCGTCGCCGGGGGTCTGGCTTTCGTCCATATTCCGAGACAAGTCCATACCGTTAGAGTAAGGAGCGAAACAAGCCTCAGGCCGAGGACTGCCATGTGGAGCATATTATAAGTGGTCTTCACGGCTTGACCTGAATCGAGAACCGTCATGACTGCGATGACAACCTCGAAGAAGAGCGCGATAAACCATGAACCACGGAAAGGATACCATACAATGGTGTCGGATTCACGAAGCTGAATGAAGAGGATGCCGAAGACAAGAGTGCATGACAGAAAGTTGATAACCTGATGCTCGAGGGGAACAGCTTTTTCGAGGATGGATTGTATGCCGAGAATAGTCAATTGAACGACGTATGTAGCCAGGAAAAGTCCGAGTATGCAAACGACGGCCTTCCGACCAGGACGCTCCGGCCGGGCATTCTGAGTCTTCTTGAGAGCTTGCAGAGTGCATGTAGCCAGGAGAGACGAGGCGAGATAGTAGAGAAAGACAGCAGCTGGATACAGATACTTGAGAGCCACAAGGACTGCGCCCTCATTGGCAAAGGCGGCCATGTTGAGCCAACAGCCAGATACCGGGACACCTAAACAGAAGGATATGGCCTAGCCCTCTGACGAATCCGGATTGCAGGCTAGATGTAGATCCAAGGCCGAGGCCGATTGATCTCGACGGCTGAGGTTGCAATAAGCAGACGTCTGTGAGAGCTAAGGATCCTGGGGCTTGGAGCTGGCGTCTGTGTGGCCGTGTCGGTTCGGGACAAAGCTTTCTGGCAGGGAAAAGAGAGGAAAGCTGACTTCCTAGACAAAATAGGGTTGACTAGAATGTCTGCGGTAACGCGGTAGTATGAAGTGGACTAGAGTACCGGATGACGGTTTGGAGATGGGCGAGAAGATGTAGCGCTGAGATTGTGAGTTGGCATGCGCTGTCTGCAAGATGCGGGTGAACAGTAAACAATGGGCTTGAGGCGAGATTGAAGGAAGTAAAAAGGTAAGAAGGAGAGAAAGGTGATGAAGGCGAAGAGACAGACGATGAGTGAGGACGAGGGAAAGAAGGACGGTGGTTTGATGGCTGGAGGAGGAAGGAGGTAGTCGCGGTCTTGCACTTACAACCCAACTGGACTCGGTGAATGAGGCAGGAAGCTCTCGGAAAGGCGACCGGGGACTCCTGCTATTTCGAGACGTAGCAATTGATTGGCAACTGCAGGAGGTGACGCAAGAGAGACACAAATGGAGAGAGAACAAAGGAGGAGGTCTGAAAATGAAGACGGAAGAGTCACTCGGGGAGAATCTCAGGTTTGACACCTCCGGTAAACAAAGGACGAGCACAGACGACAATTGCTAGGCATGGCGTCCAGCTCGAGATGCTTGTTTGACTCGCGCGTCTGGCGACTCGAGCGCCTTTCGGCCGTTCTGCTGTTTGTCCTGGCCGTGGCTCGAGCTCATCAAGGTTCTTCCAATGGCTGTCGGTCTCCCTGCCCCTGGCCACTGTCCACTGTCCGCCGTGCGACTGAGGGCAATGGTCGTGAACAGAGCATGGAGATGAGCCTTCGCATCTGGGGCTGCCTCTGGAGCTGCCTGAGGTGCCATGCTTGCTTGCTTTTGTACCGGCATGTATGTACAAGTTCTCAATTTGACGAGGCTCAAGCCCATCGGGGTTGACGGAGGGAGCACACACATGCAGCTTGGGTCGCATTACAAGTACACCCAGAGTCCCGGGATCCCCTGTCGCGCCATGCCTTGCGCCGAATTTGGAGTACATGTGCACTCGGTTGGGACCCGATATGCCCAGAGGTCCCTTGCTTCAAGTGTACGAAGTACGTTGTTTGCGGTGCTGGCGCAGATGCATATCGACCAGCTGCATGCTTATTCCCATGCGGTTGCTTCTGCAATAATCGCTTTGTTTTCTCCTGGCCCCTGTCCTATAGCAGAGCATTGAAACCACAGACTAATCCAGTGGCTTCGGGAACCTCTTGTTAGCCCTCAGGCACCAACTCAAAACTTTTGTTGTCCTGAAGACCTGCGCCCTTCAGCTCTCATCACGGACGGCCACTTCTGCAATCGACTTCCCGCATCACCCACCAATCGAAACAGCCGTGTGCCAAAATCAACAGCGTTTGAAAGTCTAAAACGCTGCGGCCGCCATCAGAGAGCTACTCCTCTAGCTCGAATTGGGCCGTGCAAGGATTGCATTAGCACGAAGCAGTGGTCCATGAGGCCACCAAGCGGTCGGTGTGAAGCACTCATGAGGTCCCGACGCACACAAATCCCCGTCCAGCCGGAGCATACGAAGTGTTGTTCCCAAGCAGTAGACGGAGGGGCCAAGCAAAGGTGGACTAGACTCTCAAAGCGTTGTACGGACTGTGGGACGCATGGGGTTCGAAATACCTTACGCCGAGATGCTCAAGCGCCCCATCAGAACCCCAACAAAGAGAGAATGGACAACCACTGAGCCTGAGCAATGACATGCAGCCACGGTTACGGCCCGAAACCCTCTCGCCTTGGCTCTGCCTATCACCGTCTCGGCTGACGAAGTACGCCTTGCCGCAGGATCATATTCGCCAAGAGAGCAGTCCTAGCTAGAGCTGACCCATCCACTCGGAGCCGACCAGCCCCTCGTCGGATGTGACATCAAGATCTCTGCTCCATGGCCTGTCTCGCCGGCTTTCCTGCATATGCAAGGCCTCTCCAGGCGCCTGTACTCGTGCCTGAGGCGGCAACTGAGCACAAGGTAGGATGTTGTTTGCATCCTCGTTGAGTACGGGCAACACCGACCTCGATGTATTGATGCCATGTGAAGTGGCGAGGCTCGGGCTATTGGCAGCTCTACGGCTCGCGCACCACTCATCGTTCTGTCTATGGACATATCATTGTGAGCCACGTCTAACGGTCAAGCAGGTGTTTCCCATGTCTCGCCCTTCACGCGATCATGGGCATGTGGGGGAGACGGGGGTCCATGCTCCATATGCCAACACAACCATCAGCGTCGAAATGAAGGTACACATCCAATTGACCACCTTACCTACCTGTTGCCCCTGAGGTAAGTAGCTCTCCTTGATCTTTACTGTACGATGGAGACTGCATGGGTCACTACCAAAGCTATACGCTGGAGAGAACAACCTCAGCCGTCAAACATTCGATACATGCCCTTATCGCGAAAGCGGTCAGCGGAGCAACGGCGAGTTCTACATGATCAACCGGCACTCTTGACTCCTATCAACTGATTTCATGCATTATACATGTAACGCACCACCACTCGGTTCCTTACCAGGCCATTTTAGCGTTTCTCATCCGGGATCACCGGCTGGTCTGCGGGCGGCAACCACAGCTTCTGGCGTAAAGTCAGTTCTTCCCGTGTTAATGGTGGTGATGGGCCGACAACTTGAACTCACCCAACACTGGCCACAGGTATGTACGTGTACTGATACTATGGGCAGGTTCCCAACCGCGGCATTAATTTCACACTCTACCCGCCTGGGTTTCCATTCGATGTAAGGCAGCTATGCCTGATGCTTCATTAGCCAACGACGACACTGATGATGACGGGCCCCATGCAACGACGCGGTGAAAGACCCGAGTGGTTGGCTGGGGCCATGGCGGCTGGGGGAGTGTGTCTCCATGAGTCGGGGACCTTTGTGCTTCGAGCTGCCACCTCGGCAAACGGATTCTACGACCCCATTGATGCTGTAGCGCCCCAGCACACGCGTGGTACCGTGTTATTCCAAAGCGGAAGTACAAATCCTCATCTCTGCATGCCGAGCTGAGGCAAGCTGCATTCGCATACCGATCCTCCACTGTTGTCGGCAGTCTCGAAAGGCCATGGGAGCCACATCTTGTTCTGGTTCAACAGGCCACGCCGGACCTGTCCTATCTTTGCATTACGACTTACAGAGTTGCACGGGTATTTGCGTAAGGGTTTCTCGGCCATTGCCTGTTACTTTGCCATTTTCGCGTGTACTGGCTGGTTGATGTCCAACGTCCTCAATTGCACATGATATTTACAGCCACATCTACTTTGATTGCTTCTTACGAAACGAGGAAACTTTTGGGCACAGACTCAAGGATGCCGGACTGAGTTGTCAATCCAATAAGAAAGCGTTTGTCGCTGGACTTTTGGAGCTGAAGGATCTGGTAGGGTAGGACAAAGGTATCATGGCGAACTTTCTGTCCACTCTCCATCATGGTAGGGTCACCCATCCATCCCAAGGGGTCCCATGTGACCCTCTCAGCAGCATTAAGAGGTAGGACAGAATCGTTGCCGCCCGAGAATGAAATTCTTGTCCAGTCGCACCACAGCAGCCACGTCGGTGGTGCTGGTGCCCGAGCAAAAAGATGCCGACCAGCCTCGAGATACACGCATTGTCTGTTTGCGTCTTGTTTAGCAACAAATGGGCTTTAATGATGCCGGGGAGCCTCAAGCTTTCGTATGATGTAGGTTTGTAGAGTTGGAAGACGGCATCTGGTGGAGATGGTATGTCGGTTACTGTCGCTGTCTGGCTAAGTAGTTACATGATGAGGCTGATTCGTCCATGAATCGAGGAATACTTACCGGACGAGCTTTCCGAGTCGAAATTGTTGCGATCCCAAGTCCCAAGTAATATGGAACTACGGGAAACAGGGTAGGATAGGGTCGTACCTCGATCTTGAGAAGGCATCTTATCAGCCTCATGACGGCAGCGTCCAAGCCATTGGTCCACCGACTTCGCTTCCAAGTTGCCGTCGATGAGCTTCTTCAAGGCATGCCATGGTCTTTGCCTTGGCCCAATTCTGCGCTCACACGCGACTTGTGAGATTTGGCGTAGACCATGATCAACATCTGCAAGGATTGAGTCTCATATGGAAACATAACTTTGACTTTGCACCTGAAGACTTTCTCCTTTTTGTTCCCCTTTATTCACATCGAACAAGATCGATGATACATATCTCGAGATGCTGCAAGATGCAAACATGTGAAATTGACCACAGATGAGGTTAGGGTGTCTTCCAAGCCGGAACGATGGCCAACAAACGCAAAAATACCTGACCCAACGAACCGTTTCCCAGCAGAACCCCAGCACAAGAGATTCGCCCAACGGCGGAAGAAGCCGTTTGTCCATGGGGAGGCAAGGAGCCAACAGGCGCTCTGCCCTCCTCTGTCATATGTTTCACAGGGATAGAATGGAGTCGAGCTTCGAGTCTGTGAGAGGGCTGTGTCTCCTCGGCAATGGGCTCCCCGGGCGATGTTCTGGCTCTTCGAGAGGGGGGGATAGGACAAAGATGGTTACTGCTGCTACGTCGATCGGCATCGAGATTCAGATCGAAGCACAGACATATACGCGGGGACACGGACACGGACACTGACACAAAGGGAATCACAAACCTAAGCGTTGTTTGCTCGCGAACTCATCATCATCCTGTGTAGGTATGTATTTATGTATCTGTTTGGGCGGTGCCACGCCTTGACAGATTGAGAAAGCACCATACTCCCCTGATGGCTAGACACTTTCGCCATTTCTGTATCTCGAATCCTCGATTCTGCTCATCACCGCTCGGATGCTCGAGTGAACTGCCCTCTCGTTTTGCTTGTTGCATGCCTGGCTGGGTGAGGCTCGGAACGTGCTCATAAGGCATGGATTGAGGCCGCGGGCGATGAGACCGTCCTTTCTATAGCACGTCTTTTGGCAAGGGGGCGTACTACTCACACACGGATTGATCTGAACATATGTGGCGTCAATCCGTTGAGGACTGTTTGGGTGATTGTGTGTTTGAATGCTGTTCTGGGAGATGTGCCGTTTGAGACCGCGTGGGTAGAGCTGCGACGTATTTGCTTCTGAGTCATTGCACGGCCTTACACATAAATGTAGGTATTTCTGATTGCCGAATACTCGACCATCTTCGGTATGAGGTGGGAGCCTTAGTGCAGTCGTTGGTCCCTTGAAGTTTTCTCGAGTGACGGGCGCGCCTCGCTGGACCGCGAAATGTAATTTCACTTGCCATTACACAGAAGCTCTGTTTCTCTTGCTGTCGTATGATCGCTGTGGCATTAATCATAACTTCCACTATTCTTCCTACGGAGAAATATCAAAGGGTATCATGTAATAGAGAAGGGCCTTGTGAACCGAGAAGCGTATCAAGGGAACGCCTTATATATGGGATGATCGTTCCGTTCACCTTGTTTAGACTGTATAACACGTGTAAACAGAAATAAGAGGTATAAACTCACGCTGAAGACCCGGGAGAATCCTTGCTTAGAAGAGTCAACGTATTCCAGTTCTATGTCATTATCATTGCTTAGGTACCTATCGAGAGAGAAGCATGACCTGGAGATTGGGCGTTAGCGGTAAAACAGCATGAAGTGCCTAGCGAACACAGAGCGACTGCATCGCATTAGGATGATGCCAAAGACAGCCCTAGCAGTTGATGCTCTTCATTGTGCGATACACATGACATGAGACAGACGATAGAGGAAGGAACGGAGCGAGAGGATCATTGTGCGAATCGGTGTCCGGTTGACCCAAGAAACACTAGCCTCTTGGGATCTACCAGGTTGTACTTCATCATCTATCGGGAATATTAAAGTGATGTTGGCTTTCTGGATTCCAGATGGCATGTTGTCTACGTAGCTGTGCCCGCATTGTCAACGGCTAAAGTGTCATTGAGGCATGTATTGTCAGAGATAATCGTGGATAGCATCGGCAAGAGGCTCTCCAAGACATTTAGCCTCATCTCTAGCAAGAGTCCATACTCGGCATATAAAGTAGGGAAAAGAATGAGCACTTTCGCATCATCACGTTTCCAAGACATAAATATCCTGAAAATGGCGAGGTAAGCCGACTGTTGCCATATACGGATTCATCAAGGGATTGTGATCTTGCACTTTGAGAGGAGACCCAGCAGCGAGCATTAGTAACTGGCTTCTGCTCCTGTTCAACTGCCCAGCTTTTTTTATATTTTCCGTCGTACGACAAAAGGGCATCTTCCCCTCAATGTTCATCATGCAGAAGCAACGTAGTAACAACCTTTGCAATGTTCGATTTGAGCAGGTGTCATAGGCATCAACCGCAAGCTTCGAGACAAAACCAGGGCGACGCCGGCGGTAAAGGGTGGATCTTGCAAGTCAGCCGACCATATTGAGCCACGGTATCAATGTCCGATTCCAATGTACGGGGTTTGTAATAAAAAAAGGAGAAGAGAAAAGGGTCCCGAACTGGAAGTGACGGGGAAGGCTGATGAGGAGAAGCTGCATGTCGTTGGTCCAGTTCGGATAGCAAAGGGCCCTGTGAGGAGGAGAAGCTGTACTTACATTGATACCTACCTAGTAGGCACGCATGGACAATGATGTAAGGTACTTACTGATAGGAAGAGTTTCGGGTCCTTCGACATCATACTATAGTTGATTAACATATGAGGGGTCCTCATTGGTGAGATGCCGTCGGATATGTTGAAAGAGGAGCAGATCAGATCCGCCCCGATGCGATGAACCGCTAAAGCTCGCAACACCAAGGCATTTGATCTTTTCCCCATCTTTGGTATGGCATACTACTGTATTATCGATGAACGAGTTTTGCAGTTTGCCTCTGCCTGAACAAGCAATGGCGCCCGCCACACAAGATCCAGATGCAGGTCCGCAGGGGAGAAACAAAAATCTGGGGAATCTCCTGTTTGGGAGTGTTTTCGGCGGCGCTAACCATTCAAGGAGGTGCCGAATTTGGAAACGCCGCCGCCGAGTCGAAAGGGTCGAGCTGTGAGTTCCACCACCAGGGGGAGCTTGACCCGTTTGTACAACCGACAAGCAACACATGGCGATGGTTTTTCTTGTTGTTTTTGGTATTTCTCATTCTTGAGGGGCGGATGAGGGTCTTGAATGACGTAAAAAGAAAGATTATTCAGAGTACCTATGTAGGGAAAGACGGGCATGGGATGGCGAGATACTTAAGGGCTGCTGTGTCCTCGGGGGTGCAAATGGCCCTCTTCGTCAAGAGAACGACCTGAGTTCAAGATTGATGATATACGCTCCGTACCAAGGCCAAAGACCTCCTTGGAAGCATATCATCTCCCATCACTTCCTATTCATACCTACCTTACGACTCCTTCACACATACTCGGGCTACCATTGCCCTTTCAAGCACACACGATAGTATACAGATAAGGTACCATGGCACCAACAGCCATCGCTGACCTCGGCGAGACCTACACTGCCGGCCAGAAGCTGGAAGACGTCTCCGACGCCGTCGACGACGTCAACTGCATCAAGTACGACTCAGAGTCCAAGTTCGACGCCAGCAAGGACAAGACAAACTTCCGCCAGTACGAGGATGCCTGCGACCGGGTCAAGAACTTCTACAAGGAGCAGCACGAGAAGCAGACCGTCGCCTACAACCTCGCTGCTCGCAACCGCTTCCACAGCGCCTCGCGCGTGCGCCCGGAAATGACCGTCTGGGAGGCCATCGAGAAGCTCAACACCCTGGTGGACGAGTCCGACCCCGACACGTCGCTGTCCCAGATCGAGCACCTGCTGCAGTCCGCCGAGGCCATCCGTCGCGACGGCAAGCCGCGCTGGATGCAGGTCACCGGCCTGATACACGACCTCGGCAAGCTCATGCTCTTCTTCGACGACCTCGGCACCCAGGGCCAGTGGGACGTCGTCGGCGACACGTTCCCCGTCGGCTGCGCCTTTGACAAGCGCATCATCCTGTCCGACACCTTTGCCGGAAACCCCGACACCAAGGACCCCGTGTACTCGACCAAGTACGGCATCTACTCGCCCGGCTGCGGCCTCGACAACATGATGCTCAGCTGGGGCCACGACGAGTACCTCTACCACGTGGTCCGCGACCAGTCGACGCTGCCGGACGAGGCGCTGGCCATGATCCGCTACCACTCCTTCTATCCCTGGCACCGCGAGGGCGCGTACCGGGAGTTTATGTGCGACAAGGACTGGGCCATGATGAAGGCTGTGCAGGCGTTTAACCCGTACGACCTGTACAGCAAGAGCGACGATGTGCCGAGCGTGGAGGAGCTGAAGCCGTATTATCTCGAGCTCATTGACGAGTTTTTTCCGCAAAAGGTGGTCAAGTGGTGAAGATGCAAGCTTGGGAAGGATTCTTGTTTGAAGCGGGCGTTTTGGGTACTCGATCTTGTTCTGTTGTTTTCAGCGATGTCTTCTTTGTATGATGCTCAGGAATGATATGACTATACGAGGCTGTTTATCAGCCATCATGACCACAAACTTGATAGACAACCAAGCAAAGATATATCGAGTCAGGTAATCTTGCGCTTGAAACTTGGCATCATCCTGTCCGGACCTCTGTCTTTCTGCTCTGTTCCCTTAGGGGTCAAACGCGACTTTCATGTGGCTATTCCATCTGTGCAGAACCGTATCGTCCTTTAGCTTTCGGCGATGAATCCATCAAAATTAGAATGAGCTTCGCTCTCGATATTCATCGTCTGATAATGTAAAAGCCCTGGATGAGTTTATACCTAAGGTATTCATTGCTCGTGGTTCGGTCGACATCTCTCTGTATCCATGCCTCGAAATCACGTGGCTGCCCATAATAACGGTACAAGCCCCTCGTACCTGTCCAGAGCTCCCCAACTCGCTGCACCTCCAGTATCCATAATTCCCAAGCTGTCGTCACTGGCACTCAGCCAAGCCACTTTGCGCTGCCCTCTGCCTTGTCCTCACCAAACCTCCAGACAAAGCCGATCACCACCCAGACCTCGGCGCGGCGCAAACCCTCTTCGCCCTGCTTGATCAATGCGCAGCTGAGAGCCTCAATTCTCCGACTAACCGTCCCTCCAAAGCTACCCCGCCGCCTGTTCGAAGAGAAGCGACAATGGCCACGCCGGCCCCCCTGGAGGATCAGGCCCGACTGCTGGAGGATGCCCTGGTGGCAGTGCGCCAGCAGACGTCGCTGATGCGGAAATGCCTCGACACGCCCGGGAAGCTCATGGACGCCCTCAAGTGCTGGTAAGTGCCCATGCGAGGGGATCAAGGAAAGATGAGAGGATATGAGAGGGGAATTGGCGGGAGACATTGAGAGAGAGTGTGTGTGTGTGATACAGATGAACATAGAGGGAGGCTGACGTACTTGATATCCTCGATACAGCTCGACGCTCGTCTCTGAGCTCCGCACCAGCAGCCTCGGCCCCAAGCAGTACTACGAGCTCTACATGGCCATCTTCGACGCCCTGCGCTTCCTGGCGGTCCATCTTCGAGAAAACCACCCTGTTAATCACCTGGCCGATCTCTACGAACTGGTCCAATACGCCGGAAACATCATCCCCAGGCTCTATCTCATGGTCACTGTGGGAACCGCCTACATGTCCATACCCGATGCGCCGGTCAAGGAGCTGATGAAGGACATGATGGACATGAGCCGCGGCGTCCAGCACCCTATCAGGGGCTTGTTTCTGCGATACTACATGTCCGGTCAAGCTAGAGACTACCTTCCTACCGGCAGCGGCGACGGGCCCGAGGGCAACCTCAACGACTCCATCAGCTTCATCCTGACCAATTTTGTCGAGATGAACAAGCTGTGGGTTCGTCTGCAGCATCAGGGACACTCGCGAGAGAGGGAGCAGAGGATCCGTGAGAGGAAAGAGCTCCAGCTTCTCGTAGGGAGCAACATTGTGCGCCTGAGCCAGCTGGTTGACCTCGAGACGTACAAGTCGGCCATCCTCGGGCCTCTGCTGGAACAAGTCGTGCAGTGCCGAGACGTCCTGGCCCAGGAGTATTTGCTCGAGGTCATCACCCAGGTCTTCCCCGACGAATTCCACCTGCACACGCTGGACCAGTTCCTGGGTGCCGTATCGAGGCTCAACCCCCACGTCAACGTCAAGGCCATTGTTAGCGGCCTCATGGACCGTCTTTCCGAGTATGCCGAACGCGAAGGCGGGAGGGAGAAGGGGCCAGATCAGGAAAAGGCAGAAGCGGAAGCGCTGGCCAAATTGCTCGAGAAGGTGAAGCTTCAGAAGGAGGAGCCAGAAGTGGCTCAACCAGCGGCCTCGGAACAGACTCCTGCAGAGGATGCCAATGACAACAACAAGACCAGCACTGAGACTGAACAATCGCCAGTAGAGGGCGAGGCGTCGGCGCCTTCTGCAGAGGGAGAAACAGATGGAGCCGCTGCGGCGGATGCGACAGCGCCTTCAGCCGCCGAAACCGAGACAACGGCTGTCAACGGGCAAGAAGGGCTTGACGCTAAAGACGTACCGCTGTATGAAGTCTTCTTCACACAAGTCAAAAATCTTGTCGAAGCTCAGCACCTCCCTATCCAAGACACCATTGCGCTCTTGGTATCGCTCTGTAACCTGGCGCTCAACAACTACCCTGACCGACTGGACTACGTCGATCAGATTTTGGCCTATGCCACCACCAAGACAAAGGAGAACATCAACAACGCCGATCTCCACTCCCCCGCGGCTCAGCAGAGCCTTCTCGCGCTGTTGCAGGCGCCTCTCAACCGCTATGTATCCATCTTTACCGCCCTATCCCTTCCCACATACGTCCCTCTGTTCCAGGCTCAGTCATATCCAACCCGTCGGGCGGTTGCGGGCGGCATCATCCGCGGCCTCCTGAAGGATCAAATCAAGATTTCCAAGACAGATCAGTTGGAGCATGTCCTAGACGTGCTATCGGTGCTCATTAAGGAGGGAACGCAGGCGCCTCAAGGATACCCCGGAGCTACTCAGCGACGAGCCGTAGAGACGGACGAGACTATGGAGGAGCAGGGGTGGCTGGCGAGAATGGTGCATCTGCTCCAGGCCGAGGACAACGACACCCAGTTCAAGCTGCTGCAGATGACGCGGAAAGCGTTCTCGGAGGGCAACGACCGCATCCGAACAACCACGCCACCCCTGATAACAGCGTCTCTCAAGCTGGCGCGGCAATTCAAGCTGCGAGAGCATTTCGACGACAACTGGGAGACGCAGATCAACGCCCTGTACAAGTTCATCCACTCTGCCATCAGCACGCTGTACACCCGCGTGAACGGCGCGGGCGTGGCTGAGCTGGCCCTGCGTCTGTTCTGCTGGGCAGGACAGACGGCCGACCTGACCGGGTTCGAGGAGGTGGCATATGAGTTTTACGCACAGGCCTTTACCGCCTACGAGGAGTCCATCTCAGACTCCAAGGCCCAGTTCCAGGCCGTTTGCGTCATTGCCACCTCGCTGCACCAGACTCGCAACTTTGGCAAGGAGAATTACGACACGCTCATCACCAAGTGCGCGCAGCATGGCAGCAAGCTTTTGCGGAAACCAGACCAGTGCCGAGCGGTCTATCTGGCGAGTCACTTGTGGTGGGCGACGCCGAACGCTGTCAATGGGGAGACGGAAGAGACCGAGGTAAGATTTGGAGGGGAAGAGCAAAAGCAGAGCAGCATGCGCTAACACTTGCTTGACAGCTCTATCGTGACGGCAAGCGGGTGCTTGAATGCCTGCAGCGTGCCCTACGTGTGGCCGATTCATGCATGGAGTCGGCCACTTCGATAGAGCTGTTTGTCGAGATTCTTGACCGCTACGTCTACTACTATGACCAACAGAACGAATCGGTATGTCGAGCTGAGATTATCCTTTGCCAAGCGATTACTGACCATCTTCTTTCACCTTCACCAGGTGACTACGAAATACTTGAACGGCCTGATTGAGCTGATTCACTCAAACGTGGCGGGCAACCAGCCAGACTCGGCCTCGGTCGAGGCCAGCAAGAAGCACTTCTATCAGACGCTGGAGAACATCAAGTCCAGACAGTATGAGGGAGTTGTGCTGTATCCAAGCTAGAAGATTGGGGTGACTGCTCGATCGATTAGGTTGCTTTGAGGTTAGTTTCCGCGATACAGTCAAGAGGGGAGAAGGTGAGGTCTATATATATACTCAGGACGGAAGATGATGTTTAGTAGGGTTTCTAAGCCAAGCCGGCGTGGGATGGGAGCGCACGAGGATAGATGTATGATTTCACTGAGACGCAGCCGGAGCAAGAACAGGGCATGACAATTGATGTATTCTAGGTACAGACAGTCGGTTAATATACATTCGGACTTGGAGCTGCGTGGTGCAAGTGTGAGAATCAAGAGGAGAAGGGCTTATGTGTTGCGTAGGTATTACCTACGTCTACTTCATATCCTTGCTTGTTATTGTTATAATCTCTTACTACATCAGCAATTGAACTGAACAATTGCTATTTGCTTCCAGAGAACTACTACTAAGGTGACAGAGTCGATGAGATTCTATATCTCCGTTACCCCGACGGGCCGCATGTCCTTGTCATGGATTGCGGGTTGAGCACTAGTAGTTCAGCGTGGCTCAGACAACCTGGCAGCATTCCCACTGTATTAACGACCAAGCTTGACAGATCAGGTTCGCAGATTCGGCATCCATCGCGTGTGGAGATCAGGGCGAAGGCGAGCTGAGGTTCAGGGTCCGCCTGGCTGGGATTGTATCGGGTGTAAGTAAACCTCGAAAGTCTTCTGGAACTTCCAAAAAGGGAATTATGAGTTTTGCCTTTACTGTTATCAATTTGTACCTACTTTTTCATTATACCTATAGGTAGTCAACTTGGAGTCAGGACGAATTGCCACTTTTTACTTGGCAAATGATTTGTGAGGTAATACTTGTCCTAGAGTCCAGTCGTGTTAATAATAGCACTTGGCCAAATGAGGTGCAGCTGGGGCGGATTTTTAATGTGACCCCGTCTTGTTTCGAAGGGTCGGGAGGCGATTTGCAATTTATAGGGGGGGGCCTGAGGCGGGATTCTCTGGGAACATGAAGATCAAGGGACGATACACTTGATGATATCGACAGTGACTGATGGCAAGGGACAACAAGCAAAGGCATTTAGAGGCTATCTATAGGTACTTTATAAGCTGTTCAAAAGATGGATTTAATTTCACTACTACCACCCTCTAAACTCGGCTTTTCAATCATCGCTCCATTGCTCCGCATTACCTACTATTAGGCTCGTCGTCTCCTCGATCCCAAAAAGCGGGCAGTGCAATCAATCAAAAAAGCAGCAGCAGCAGCAGCACCTCTAGAGCCAAAAGCGGAGCCCCCGGCCTTTTGCAGCGGTCCTGCAGCATCGTCATCCCTTATCTTTTCGTCGTCAGCACCTCTTGATCCCATTTCATTCATTCCATCTGTTGGCCTCATTTGCTCGTCCGGCTTCTTTTTCTTTTCCCTCTTCCGCCTCGAACCCTCCAGCGAAACCAAGTGTGAAGTCGAGAATCGGCTGCTGTCTGCCATTCAGCCCTTCTTGTCCTGTCTGCTGTTTTCGTTTCTTCTGGATAATTATGCGGCGCTGGTAATTCCGGCATTCCTTCTTCTTAAGCCCACCATTTTCTTGGCCCCGACGCTCTCAAGTCGGTTCTTGTTTGTTTCAACTACTAGGCTCTTCCTCCGACCTCTATTCTTCTCTCTTCCTCGTATTATTTGTTTGCTTCCACCTACTCTCCCTTGCCATCTACGCTCTCATTCCATTTTCTCGACATTCGTTTGATTACCGAGCCTTCATATTGGCTGTGTTCCTCGACGGACAAACGGCACCGACAATCGCCCCTCGACTCGACCTGAATGGCCCCCTCGGCATCGCGTGCTCTTCCATACCAGTCTTTCGAATCCCATCTCTAGACGATACGTACATACGATCCTCTGCGGATGATTGCGCAACCGTGCTTGCACACGACGATACCCTTGTTTCTCTTCGCCCTCCTCTCACATTCAGCCCACGATGCCTTCGGAAAAGGTGCCGTTCTATGACCCGGTGCCGCCGACGTACGATGAGGCATTGGCCGGCAGCAGCCGCGGCTGGACGCCCTCGCACACCCGAGACGCCATCGACGAGCGCAACGCGACCGAGACGGAATCGCGGTCACTGCTGCCCCGAGGCGGCGGCGACAGCAGCGGCCATGGCCAGGGCTCCAGCAGAAGGCCCGACGGCTACCGGGCGCCGACGGTGGAAACGGACGACGAGGACAGCCTGTGGGACAGCGACAGCGATGCCGACGAGACGGACCAGGTGCGCCGCGAGATGGAGGAGCTGGAGATTGACGAGCCCAACCGCACGGGCGGCTCGCTCTGGGGCAAGAGGATAGGCTTCAACCTGTCGCTGCCGGCGTGGAAGTGGTCGTGGCGGCCCAGGCTGCCGCGGATTCGCATCCGGCTGCCGTCGCGGCCGTCCGCAGCGCCCGCCGACAGCACTGCCGCCGCCGCCGAGGAGGCCGCCGTCGATCGGGAGGACCTCGACAACGTGCGGTCGTGGATGCGCGACTTTGCCTTCCCCAAGGTCAACAGCATGATGGTGATTGTCACCGTGGCGCGGCTGCTGGCGCTCGCCATCGTCATCGGCTTCATGTACTTCCTCTTCGCCAGCGGCATGCTGACGGGGCTGACCAACGGCGTCAACAACGGCGGCATGCGCTTCGACCCGGAGGACCTGCGCGTCCACCTGCAGAAGAGCGTGGATCCCAGGAGGATGCGCGCCGCCGTCAAGATCTTCTCGAGCTACGCCCACATTGCCGGCACCGAGGGCGACTACGCGACGGCGCTCGACGTCGAGTCCATGTTCAACAAGGCCGGCCTGGACATTGTCGAGATGGACGACTACTACGTCTACCTCAACTACCCGCGCGAGAACGGCCGGACCGTGCAGATCCTGGACGAGAGCGGCGATTATGCCGTCTGGACTGCCGCGCTCGAGGAGGTTGAGCGCGGCGGCGAGACGGCGGGCAAGCAGACGCCCGTGTTCCACGGGCACTCCAAGTCCGGCGACGTCCGGGGCCCGCTGATTTACGCCAACTACGGATCCCGGGAAGATTACCAGAAGATCAAGGACATGGGCATCAATGTCACCGGGGCGATTGCCCTGGTTCGATACTACGGCACGCAGACGGACCGTGGGCTCAAGGTCAAGGGGGCGGAGCTGGCGGGCTTTGCGGGCTGCATCATCTACAGCGACCCCATCGACGACGGCTTCCTCAAGGGCGACGTCGCCCCCAACGGGCGGTACATGCCCGAGGACGGCGTCCAGCGAGGCTCCGTCAGTCTGATGAGCTGGGTGGTTGGCGACGTGCTGACGCCGGGCTGGGAGAGCAAGAAGGAGGTGCCTCGCCTCAAGGTCAACGAAACCCCCGGCCTGGTGCAGATCCCCAGCCTTCCGCTCTCGTGGAGAGACGCGCAGGTCCTGCTCAAGAATCTCCAGGGCTTTGGGCAAAAGGTACCGGCCGAGTGGAAGGGCGGCGTGCCAGAGGTGGACGAGTGGTGGACTGGCAACTCGTCGTCGCCGGTCGTCCGTCTGCAAAACGAGCAGGATGAGAATGAGAAGCAGCCCATCTGGAACGTGTACGGCAAGATCATCGGCATGGAGCAGTCCGCCAAGTCCATCATCCTGGGCAACCATCGAGATGCGTGGGCGTTTGGCGCGACTGATCCGCACACGGGCACGGCCATTATGGTTGAGCTGGCTCGCATCTTTGGCGACTTGGTGGATCGCGGCTGGAGGCCCCTGCGGTCGATTGAGTTCATGTCGTGGGATGCCGAGGAGTACAACCTGATTGGGTCGACCGAGTTTGTCGAGAAGAACCTCGATTCCCTACGCGAGAACGCCTTTGCCTACATCAACCTGGACACTGTCGTCTCTGGTGGCGAGTTGCGAGCTTCCGGTTCGCCGCCCCTGCGCAAGAGCCTGTTTCACGCCATGGAACGGGTCGTCGACCCCAACTTCAACACCACTCTCAAGGACCTATGGGACCGTCGGGGTGGCACACTGGAGGGTCTGGGAGCGGGTAGCGATTTCGTCGCTTTCCAAGACATTGCCGGGACGAGCTCGCTCGACCTCGAGTTCATAGGCGAGCCGTTCCCCTACCACTCCAGCTACGACAACTTTGAGCTGATGGACCAGGTGATCGACCCCGGCTTTACGTATCACGAGCTGCTGGCGCAGGTCGTCGGCCTCATCATTCTCGAACTGGCGGATCGGCCCATTCTGCCGTTTGACATGGTCAACTACGGGCGCAGCCTCGAGGCGTGGGTCCAGGAGCTGGAGTCGTGGGCGAAGGAGGAGGAGAAGAAGAAGAAGAAGAAAGAGGGCGACAACAAGAGCGTCCTGAAATTCGAGGAGCTCAAGGACGCGGCGGCGACGGTCTCGGTCAAGGCGCAGCAGTTTTCCAAGTGGGAGATGGAGTGGGACCGGCTGGTGATTCGCAGCGGCGGGTGGGAGACGAAGGAGCTGGGGACGGCGAGGATCGAGTACAATGACAAGATGGCTGCGTTTGAGACGGCCCTGTTGGATCTGGAGCTCGGCGGCGGTGTAAGTTCTTTCCCTCTTTCTGATGATGATGATGATGTTTGTGTATGACTCGGAGAAGAGATTAGTTACTGATTGGTTTTACGTTGCAGATTCCCAACCGGACGCAGTTCAAGCACGTCGTCTTCGGGCCGCAGCTGTGGTCGGGCTACGACGAGGCGTTTTTCCCTGCCGTCCGGGATCTCGTCGACGCAGGGGCGTGGGACGACGCCAACAAGTACATTGCCAAGACGGCCGCTCTGATGAAGAAGGCGGCGGCGATTCTGGAGCTGTAAACGGCAGCGTGATGCTCACTTCGTCAACAGCGCCCTCTTATACCCCACGACTTTTCTTTTGAGTTTCCTTGCACCACATGTCACATTACGCACGCACACATATATCTCATATATATATATACCTTATCACACCCCAAGAAAACAGGTACACAATCCGCCCCTTTTTTTTGTCTTTCTGTTTTGTCTATTCCAACAACGAGAGACTGAGGCGGAGTCGATTGGATAAGGGGTGCGAGGATGGGGGCGGTTTTTTCTTAGAAGACGGAGTGTGTGAATATCTCCGGGGCGCGCACTCTGCTGTGTTGGGACATTTTTGCGTCTCACTTTGACGGCTTCACCAGCGCCAGCTTTCTTATTGTCTTGTTTTATCCAAGGACTATGCTTGTTTGTTATTTTTTCTTGTTCAAAGAATGCGCTCGTGTCATCCGGAGATGATGGATAGGTATTGAGGAGGCTGGCGATATCATGGCTGTGCCTGTTGCGGTTGTCATAACCTGGATATATCCGATCCAGTTTTGTTTACCTGTTATTTTGTGAGATGCTTTCTCGTGTCAGAGAAATGGCATGGCATTGGAGTTGAAAGGTCGCCTTTGTTTCGAGTTATAGTATGTATCATCTCCAGTCTTTGTTCAAAAATGAAGCGAAATTATAAAGAACAACACGCAGCGTACATCATCAAATCGCACACACTCTCTCTACACAAGTCCATGCAGTCTCATAAGAACAAGTCGTGATTCCGCTCGCTACCTCACCTCAGTCATCAGATCCCCCCGTCTCCAAGGAAACACTCCAATCTACTCCTTCTTGCTCATCTCCTCAAACTCCCTCACACTGACCAACCTCCCAATAACATCATACTTTTCACTAAACCGCTCCTCCCACCCCCTCAACGCCTCCATCTCCTCATCCCCCAAATCCTTCAAGTCATCCAGCGGGCCATCCAAATCCTTGGTCAGCATCTCCTCGTCAAAGCTCCCGCACGCCAACCCGCGACTCGCGTCCCTGCCCGCGAAATTCTCGTAAGGACCGCCGGGCCCGTAAAAGTTGCGCCCGCGCGAGACGTCGTAGACTGCGCCGCGGACGGCGAGGAACACGGGCTTGTTGTCTTCGCCGTTGAAGGGGAGCAGGGTGCGCGGCGTGTAGGTCTTGAAGACGATGGGTGGGGGAGGGCGCGGGAGGACCGGGTAGGATGGTTTGGAGAGGAAGGTTTTGTAGGCTGTGTGGAGGAGGATGAGGAGGAGGACGATGTTGAGGGGGGAGAGGAGGCCGTTGGTGGTGCTGGTGGTGGTGTTGCTGTTGGAGGATTTTGTTAGTGAGGTTTGTTTCTGTAAAGGGGGGAGATGAGTGGGGGGGGGGTTATACTTGGCGGCTTGTTTGAGGGCCTCGTCGTTCATGCGGTGCTCGACGTAGTCCATCTTTGGCGTAAAGAGGGCTCTGGGGAGGAGAGCTATCGTGGGAGAAGCTGGTGCTGGTGGTGATGGGGCTTTGTCGAAGCCTTGAGCGATTGCAAAGACAGATTCAAGGCGGGAATATGCTATGATTGTTGAATGAATCAAGGGCGAGCTTCGAGGGCACCTTCTTTCTCGCGCAGCGGCACGCTCGGGAGGTTGGAGTTGTAAGAGACGTGGACGAGGCACAGGATTCCCCGCGGATGGATGGACGGGAGTCCGAGGCGTTGAGGTTGTGTTGCAGGCGGCAAAAGCTCGGAGGTGCTGGGATCCTACCGATGGTGGATTGCGCGCTGTCACTGCTGAGTCTGTGACCTATTATTACTACCTACTTGCTGTTGGCTTGTTGGGTGGCATCACTGCATAAGGTATCTAGTAGGTGAGACGCAACAGGACAGTGAAGAAGCTACTTCATTCATCTATCTACAGTTGGTAATAGGGACTTGATCGTAGGCATCTGAAAAGAGTAGCCGAGTGTATGGGCCCTCTATTGACTTGCGAGTCAAACTGATGTAGACATAAACGCTTCATGGCCGAGTAAATGCATGTGCCGATTAGCTACCTATGCGTTACAAATCTGAGGCATGGCCCCTGTTGCTATTGTCCATCCTATCCGATCCGATCGAGATTCCAAAACAATAAAAGGCTCATCCTGAGCAATGCCGCTGAACTTGGGCACCTGTACCTGGGTATCCTGATAACCAACTCCAAATGCCGCCTTTACCATATCTATCAAACAAATCAAAATGCATCGCTGGCCATGTATGCCGGGTATATCGAGGGCAAAAAACAGAGAGAAAGAGAAAAAAGAGAAAACAAGAAAGAAAAATTTGCTGCGTGAAGGTGACAGACGGCTGATCATCTCGTCTGTCAAACCGGCCCTCGGAAACTCATCGTTAACGATGTGATCGCAAAATGGAAGCCGCGAGCCCTGTATCATACTCTGACTCGTTTTGACGAAGCAGGCGAGATTGGTGTCGGTGGTGCTTTGCGCTTCTTGCATGGCTTACGCGCGACGGCGTCAACGATCGGTTGTCCAGAATTGATCGCAGCGCCATCCTGCGGAGGAGAAAGCTGGGGAGTAGTGGGAGCCTTTGCCTTCATCACTCCCTCTGCTTTGGCCTGCGCCCTGGCCTGGCGCCGTTTCTCGCGCGCCTCCCTCAGTCTCCTCATCCACGCCGGCTCATACTCGGGATCCGACGAGGACGACGAAGAATCAAGATGCAGCAGCGCCTCCTGCGCTCTCTTGCGTGCCTCGCGCACCTCGTCCGCCAGCGGCCGCGGCGTCCTCGAGATGGGCCACTCGTTTGCGAAGTCGACGCCGTAAATGTTTTCGCGCACGGATTGCCTCAACGCAAGCCCGCGCAGGCGCTCAAAGAGGTCCTTGCAGAACGAGCTAGGGTCGTGACGAGACGCTACTACTGCCTTTGGCGAGGGAGGAGCCGAGATGAGGTGTGCGCCTCGGGTCTCTACAGGGCACGGGAGGTCTTGCTACAAGAAGAGAGTTAGAACAGGCTGCTAGGGACAAGGGCGAGGAAGGGGGGCGGCAGGGCGGCGGTACATACGTAATTGTTGAGCTCGGTGAACCTGGCGTGCCAATACGTCCAGTTGTAGCTCAGCTTGGGCTCTGTGAGTTCCTCCTCCTCCTCCACCTCGAGCTCCCTTGTCTGGTCCGCCGTCGTGGTGGCCGTCCGTGTCGCTGTCACCATCATTGCCGCGGGTGCGTCCGGCGCAAGGTTTGGACATAATTCGACCTCATCGTGCTCTGTTGGGGAGGCCATTAGGCCGGTGGGTTCCGGTAGGCCGAGGCGGAGGCAGCGGCGCTGGTCGTGCTCGAGAAGAGATTGCAGGCAAACACAGGATTCGAGTTGCAGGACAGAAAACTGCCTGCCTGCCTGCCTACCCTTAACAGCTTTGTGAAGCAATGAATGTCACCCGCCGTCTCGGTCATGTGACGTCGTGTTACACCCGCGCTGGCCCGAGATTGTCCCGGTCGCGTCTGGATTGCCTCGAGACGCGACAATGCAAGGCATCTGATGACCTTGCGAGAAGAGTGCCTGTGCGTTGCTTGATTGACTACGTCTATTTCTCAAGCAGCTACCTACAGGGTACACTCGAACTGGGTGGTGGTTGTGGCATCTCCCATGTTGCAGTTACTCTCGGGCTCTGCAGCTGACAGCGAGTGAGCCGATGAGCACACTGAACCTTTGAAATGTTATTTCTTCCAAAGGCCATCTTCAGTCGTCCGAAATGCTACCAGGAATTCAGATTCTGGTAATGGGTTTGTCGATTGCTGTCTCTTGGAATTTCTAACTAGACTTGGTGTCCAAACAAGTCTGCCTATCTGTCCAAAGGCGTGATATACCCTTCTATTGCTTCGACGTCTCTCCAGTTCAGTCGCCCTGCTTTGTCCTTGTCCTTTGCCTATCACTAACACCGGGGGCCGGACGTTTAGCATTTCCAGCCCGCATGTCACTGTCACAAGCCGCAGTAGATCCAGCAACACCCCTGGCTTCTATCAAGACTCTTTCCTGCAACAACTCCGACGTCTCCAATAGGCGACTGATGCACTCTGCACTAGTCGGCCGCCTTCTCCTCTGCACTGCGATATCTGACTCTGGAAATCGAAAGGCAGCAAGCAGAAAGTCGCAGATGGGCTCTGGAACAGGGCAGGTAAAATCATAAGCAACGGAAGCAGAGAGAAGTTGAGTCACGGGTCAAATCTGGAAGGGGGGGGAAAGGAAACTCACCACCGAGCCTCTGATAATGTTCGGCGATCCTGTTTACGGAGCTGGCATATCGCGAATGAAACCGTCTACGCGCTTCGACCGTGCCGCCCGCCTTCCAGGAATTGCCTTCCGGCCCGTAGGACCACGGCAGCACGCCAAAGACGGCCCCAAAGATGCTGACCCCCAGAGCCCAGACGTCCGTTCGCCCGTCGTACTCTGACAGTTCATGCTCTGGCGAATGAAAGCCGATGGTCCCATTGCACCCAGGCCTTGCTTTGATAGTGGTCTGGCCTCCGGGAATCTGCGTTATGGAGTCAATGTCAAGTAATACGGCTCGGGGAGGGCGAGAATAAGACGCCAGTTGGGCGGGCTTCTGCATGTCGTCTCTGTCAAAGTCAACGAGTCCGATATTGGCCGGCTTGATGTCGGTGTGCACCATGTCATTTGAATGCAAAAAGGCAAGACCTCGAAGGCAATCGTGCAGTATAAGTTCGTGCTTGTTTGGACTTGAACAAGGGGCATATATCAGCCACAGAGACAGGGGGGGTGGAACGAGGCGTTGATCCAGCTTACTGAGTGTTATTTGGTATTTCGTGAAGCGTAAAGCCAATATACGGCTCCAGGACAACATGGAATTCATTCATTTGTCGTCCTGGAACGTAGATGCTCTCAATCATGGTCAAGATGTTGTGCTGTTTTTCTGCTTTCGACAGCCGCGACAGAGATTCCATCAGCTCGATTTTCCTCTGGGTATCCCGCGTCCTGCTGGGCCGAGCGTCCATCGTCTTGATGGCCACTGTCTTTTGTCCGTCCGGTGTCACTGCCGGACGAACACGGCCAAAGGAACCAAGTCCCGTCAAGCCGCCTGTGACAGTATACCTGCCAATGGTTTGGGCATGTGTTATCTGAGGAGTAGGGGTGGCCTGGAGGACCTCCTTTGTTGGCTGATTATTGCCGTGAATAGCTTTAATAAAGTTACTCAGATCTGCTTGACCTTTGGACCCATGGCAATATGACGTGTAGTCGAGCGAGTACATTAGGTCGCCGAAATGAACGCGATTGTCTGCCAGTGTGCAGCCCGCAATGTCGCCCTTGGAAGTCAAGGACGTCGTATTGACAACGGTAGAGCTTCCGAATTCCAAGGAAACGATCGCTAGACGTGTCTCTGGGGAGAAGTTGACGACCGAGTGCCTTCTGGCAACGCCACCGGCCCGGTTTGCGGCCAGTGCTATGTCGACGGTGGGCTGGGCAAAGGAGATGCTCCTCCTGCTGAGACGACCAACCACCCAGCCGGTATCAGAGTTGAGCGGTTTGACGTTGGTATCAATAAAGTAAAAGCCCGTCCAGATCAGTGTAGAGAATGATTCTTCGTCTTCAACATGAGATGCCGTCGATGATGAGCTTTCGGCGACCTTCTTGTCGTTCACATATCGCGAGACAGCGGGATCGTGGATTTGTTCATCAGAGAACCACATGTACTTTGCAAAGTGGCTTCGAACATTGGTGGACTCTTCACCATCGTTCTGGGCGTGATGTTGCTCTTTGAGGAAGTCAACGACCTCGGAAAAGGCCAACTTGGCTGCCTCGTTCTCCGGACGTAGGATCTGTAACAGGCAAAGGCCGAGCCGTTAGCAACCAACTAGATAGGTAGGCAGTGGTGTGTCACAATTCGTCGTTCACGATGATTCAAGTACGTGAAGGCACCTGGGTATAGATAGCAACGAATGTCACGCCAAGGGACTGACCATAAGCGCAGTTCCAGCAGGGCTGTTGGGTCCCATAGGGTCCCAGTTGGTGGCCTCGCTGGTACTTGGAGATGCCATGGCGTCTCGAGGGCTCGTTTGGATTGTTTGAAAAGACACGACGATACAAGACTGCGTTTCTCCTCGGGCTTCAGGCATACCAAGGAGAGGTGCATGCATCACGTGCGACATGCTTGACCCCGCTTCTCTCTCTGAAGTTCACGAGCCCAATTTCTTGTGCATTTGACAGCTTTCACGGACGAATAGCCCAACGAGGTGACTTCAGGCACCAGGGGCTGCTGGAAGCCTAGGTTGGGAGAGGTCAAACTAGCGATGATTTCAATTGACACTGAGCATACAGCAATTCTCAGCTTGTATATGATACCTTAATCTGGAAAGACATGACGCATTCATCGAGTTTCGTCACACGTCGTGGTCAAAAGTACCGGTGGAACACGCATCCTAAGTGAAAGGAGCAGGGAGGCTGGCAGTTACGGCCGTGAACCCGCGACATTGAGGGTGTCTCATCTTCGCTTCCATCCCAGCAACTGTATTCTATCATCAGCCATGCCCACACAATATCGACACTTGCGTGTCGTCACGAACGCAGTATAAATGTCAACTTACCATCCTCTGTCGCGTTAGTAGAAGCAGAGACGTTGTTTAACAGTCGTCACCTTAAAGCGATCGGGCGCCGCTGGAAACTGGAAGCCGAGCGAGGGGTAAGAGTGCAGTGAGCGCTGAACAAAGAGAAACCAAAGGTAAAGAATGAAATCAATAGATGTAATCGATAATAAATTGACGAAGAAAGGAAGAACCCCAGGAAAAGTTATCTAGCAAGAGTCATCGACAACTTGCTCCGGTAAAAGAGTGCCACGGCGAAACCAAAAGCAAAAGGCGCAAAAAATTAAACACGTGGAGACAGAGGGATTTGAACCCCCGACCTTTTACAGGCTTGTATTGAATGAACAATGCAAAGCAAACGTGATACCCCTACACCATATCCCCTCGTTGGAAATTAGTAGTAATTATGGAGCATTATAAGGGAACAGTTTGGCGCTAGGTCAACGCTAGGTGTTACCTTAGGTACCTCATCGTCTAGGTATCATCGGCGCATTCGTGTGCGTACCCGGGAGAGATTCGAAATATGAAGATTTCATAAAATGTTCCGCATAGCCATCGTTAAGAAAGCAACGATAAATAAACTTGTTGTTTTATTGCTTATGTATGCTCATGTTACTCATATGTGTGTTGAAATTCCCTTCTATGCTAACAGTCATTGATCAAAGTCGGTTGCTGATATGCTAATTGTCAATCTCCCCGAACCCTATTGTAGAACATCTGCGTGGCTTCTTCCATGACCGCCTTGAAACAACCCTCTCGATCCTCTACAACAGGTCTTCAGGGCCCATAGCAGTGGTATAGCCCCAGGCCCGAAAATGACATTCAGTTCGGCACACGTCCTGCAACTCTGGGTCGTCACTGTAATCGTGAAAAGTGAACATGTTCGTGCAGATGTGTTCCCAGCCGCAGTTGTCATTGATGCTCCGCGTGGGATCCAATGTTCTAGAAGCTATGCGCAAATTGATATAATAGTAGGCCATTGCACCAAGTATATGTGACGAAGAGCAAATACTTACCTACTTGGTCAAACAATAGAGCAAGCGTATGTGATTGCGCTGTTCAGCATCGTTCTTGAGCAAAGGATACCCCTAGCTCTCATTCACTGACGTCCAAGTCACCACCGACAGATGGCTGATGGCCAGCTTGACAGATTCCGTACACTCCTGACTGGAACAGTCGAGATATTGCCGGCTAAATTGATAAGTATTTACCATTTCGGATCAGACTAGAAACCCCTTGCGATCTACCCCACTGATAGAAGCGCGGACTTCAACTTTTTGATACTTCCGACAGCCGTTGAAGCCCATCTTCCTGGCACACACAACGTCCTTCTCCAAACTGTAGCTGGATTCAGGGGTGAGAAAGGTAGCTGGCCAGTAGCCCTGATCCAGACAAAGCATTTGAAAGCAAGGGGCATCATCCAGCCGCCATAGTCCGACGCCGCTGGACCATTGTATTGACTGCATACCCATCGTCATTGTGACTTCATTCGATTGCTTGCCTGTATAAGAATCCAAGAGCCTGAGTGTCACATCATACAGTTGAGGGTGTTCCGGCGACTAGATATTAGGGCCGTCTCACCAACAAGAAGAGTCGTTCGGTGGCGCCTCCGGCAGCGTTGACTCTGGAAGAGCAGATACACTGCCTTTAGACAGTCGTGCGCTCAGATCAAACCACAGACACGGACCGTCACCCGATGGACGTCACGGGTGTCTGCATCCAGGGTATCCGTCACGTCAAACTGGAACGGGACGTGGCCTCCCCGATGGGTGCCGACAAGGCTTCTGTTGACCCAGAAAGAGGCCTCGTAATGTGCCGACAAAGCTTCTGTTGACCCAGACAGAGGCTCCGTCATCCACGGCGCCGAACCGCAGCAGGAGACAACGGCCGTCTTGTCGTTCAGCCTGGTTGCGTAAGTCTGTAATGCTTTCTTTCTTTCCAATGCACTTCGTGAATGCCGCGTTTGTTGATGCCCGACGCAGGGGGACTGGAAGACACAAGAGAGAACAATGAGTTGGTTGTGGTTGATGTTGGCAAATCCGTTTGTCGTAAAGACATTGTCCTTGTGTAGATCTTGGGTCCCGGCCGCGATGCGCTGAGTGATGGTGTCGCTTTCAGTCTTATAGCCGCCTTTCTGGGCTGCCCCCTTCGACGGCAACTTCAGTTGGTAAGCCGGATTGGTGCCATCAAAGGGCCAATCTGACATCGTCATTGTCAAAGAGTCATTCACAAGAGCTGTCCAGTGACAGCCAGCGCGATCCGGTGCGCTGAAAGTCGGGGCGGGGATACTCTGGCAAGTCGTGATACTGATGGCCTTGCATCTTCGGTGACTGGGAATTTTGTCAGGAGTGTCCGATCTGGAAGCATTCGAGGTCATTGCCAGACCATGCCAGATGTAGTCACGCCCGCTGTTGCTTCGACTACCGTCTGATGTCTTTTCAACCGAGCATCTTTCACTTACGTTGCCGCATTTCGGAGAGGGAACGCAATCATCTCTGCCAATTCCGAATGGTCCATCGCGGTTCGCATGTCCCATCATTAGCCAAAGCCAGTGCCAGACCCAGTCTTTGCATGCGATGCCAAAAATTGACGCGGCTGGCTGCCATAAACCCATTGAGTGAACGAAGACCGCAGTACGGATCTTACCATCGTCACACGGATGGCTGTTTGCAGCTCATTTTCCAAACCTCTTGTGTACATACTGTCACTGGACTCGAGCAACTTCCTATTGCACATGTAGCCACATCTAGATCATCGCATCAAGGTGAGATGAGTGCGATGACGGAGATGGCCGAGTCTAGGCGTAATTGGCAAAGCCTGAGATACGCAGTTACACAACTGTTGGATGTCGAGCCATGGCCAAAGGACTGGCCACGGTACTGTAGAGTTATCTGGCCGATTGCACAGTAAGAGCGGTCAATGGACTGGCTGACTGTCGTATAACACCAGCCACGTTCGGTGTCCTCAGTAGGTGAGCACGACATGAGAAAAAGAGCACCCAACTCGCAGCAAAGCCCAACAATTGATATTGAACCGTTGTGGCTCAAGGTTGTCGTGGGACGGGGATCCCGGCTGCAGGCAGTGACCGGTAGATTGCACGATTGCAAGATCCGCGCGTCTTACCAAACGATGATGGCAATGGATAGTGAAGGTTCTGGAAGATGCTGCCTGAGCCGGGAAATCTCCCGAGATCAGGTCAGGTTTGTATCATTGGGGACATCGAACGAATATGGAGAGGAGTGGATCAGGCACATGTTTGCAGTAGCATCTTCAGCTTCTGCCGTGTCAAGGAGCTTGCCGTTCCGACAGCTTGCATGACGTATCCGAGGCCCCAGCGGCCGAGGACATGGAGACAGGGCGGCATTGACGGCCCTGTCGAGGCTGCGGCGGCCGAGCCAATGTTTGCCGACTCGGAGAGATGCGAAATACGACAGTGTCACTCTGTGTGAGCTGATGTGCAACGCAAAACAGAGTCGAACGAGTGCCACGCCACCTTTTCTACCAGGCAGCAGCCTCGCGTGCTCGGCGGTTTTCTCTCGCGTTGGCCAGAACAAGTCAATAACCTGGACTCACAGTGCTCTGTGATAATGTGTAGAGTGAATTACATAGCAAAGCGAGTTCGCAGAGCGGGCTTCCTCCCTTGAGCGTGGCAATGCAAGGGGACGGGGGGATCCATTGTTGCTCCGATTCGAGGGCCAACCGCAACTTGCTGGAGCTCTTGGGCAGTGTTACCCTGACCAGGGCCAATAAGCATAAAAATTCGAACCTCGGGCTTCGATATTAGGTATGTGTGTACTAGTGTCGGCAGAGATGACTGGTTGGTGGACGGTGGATGGAGTTTCGCTGAGATCAACTGTCGAGGTCTGGGTTGTCTGACGATAACGTTGTGTCCTTAGCAGGGATGAAATCGTCTCTCTGACACTGGAATCCGAAAGAGGCAAGATGCGAGATATCGAGGGCGATGTGATACATGGAGGGAAGAAGAGAAGGTGGAAGATGCAAGTCAGGATAGTAAATTGAATGTCTCAGAAAATCTTTTCGTGGTTGCTTGATAGAGGATGAGGGAAGTTGGGAAGGTGCGGTTGAGGTCCGAGATGGACCATGCACATGACCCGATACCAGCACATGTTCGTATCCGTATAAGTTATACATACATGCAATTGGTGGTACAAGCCATACCCTATTGCCTGCTGCATGTCTCTTCCCGCAGACAATGACCTGTTGTTGGCATTCTTGTTTTCCCAAGATGCTACAGTACGCTCTGCACAAGCTGAAAATAGAACAGAACGAAGAGGGCGATGCTACCGTATGTACAGTACCTATCCCTTTAACGCCGGTAAGGCACATCAGAGGTACCCACCCACACACCGCCTTTGTTAGCAAAGGGGTACATGATTGTAATAAGAGCTTGATTAGAAGAATCTTAATAGAAAATACTATAATTTTAATTCCATCTTAACTCTTTAATAGATCTAGAAGATTAAAAAATTTTAAAAAAAGAGGCATTAGATAGTAAAAGTAACCTTAAAGATGCTAAAAGCAAGATATTATTACTTTTGCCTTACTTTACTATTATAATTATAAATAAAGTATTTATGCTATTATAGGTTAGGTAATATAACCTAATTATTTATAAGCTACCCTTAATACTGCTGGCTCTTTTTTAGCACTTCTTACTTATTTTCCTAGTAACCTAATAGGTAGAATATACTAATTAATTATAACTGCCTAGCCTATATAAACTGCTGCTAAAATAAAGTCTAATTTTTATAAAAGAGGTCTATTTATAAATTAGAATATTAATTTATATAAGAATTTATAAGGAAATTAATATTAAAGACTACTAGAAGACCTTAAATATAAAAATACTATGCCTAAATTATAACTTTATTAAGTTTATATTATATAACTAATTTTACTAAATTTTATAATAAATTTAAATCTTTAACCTTATAATAATTACAGCTGCAGCAGCTAAAAGCTTTAAATATATTAAGGAATAGTCTAATTATATATAAGCTGCGTTAATAGCTTTATAAAGCCTAGGCATAAATGTAGCTGTAGATAAGTGTATAGTCTGCTATATAAGGAGGTTATTTAAGATAATAATTATATATAAAAAGCCTATTTTAATTAGCTTTAAGGCTTAGGTTATTATATAAGCTAGGTATTTCCTTTAATAGGAATTTTATCTTTTACCTTTAATTATCTCTTAGAAATAAAAAAAAGGTATAAAAGGCCTAGACTTACTAGCTTTAACTTAAGCTATAGTTTTTTCCTTAGTTAATAAACTAGAAAAGGCTAGCTATTATATCTTTATAAATAACCTCTTTTTTATACTGCTGCTTTTTAAATTCCTTTATAATTAAGGCTATACTATAACTAGCATGCTATGTATAAATTACTATGCCTTAAAGCAGCTTATTAAGGCTAAAAATAATAATTATAAAGGAAGGTGCTGGCCTTAAGGCTAGCTAATAACTAATACTACTTAAGATAGTTTTATAAGGCTTTTTATAAATAGATTTATTAAGAAAATGCATACTAATTTATTTTATAATATCCTAGGTTAACTAAATTATATAAAAAGATAACTTACTAGTCCTTTTCCTTAGCACTATATATAAAGGCAATAAATTTACTTAATAAATATAAAAATAACTAAAGGCTATATAGCTATATATATAGCCTATTAAGCTTATTTTTAATAATAAAAGAAGGAAGGAGCTTTTAATCTTAGTTATTATAACTGACTATAACTTTAAAATAGGCTCTATAAATATTAGTGATTAGCTTTAAAGCGGCTTAGGATATTCCTATTATTTTTATAAAGGAGGTTAGCAGGCATTAGCATAGTTATTTCTCCTTAACGTTTACCTTATTAATAGCTATAAATTATAATATTAAGGATGCCTTAACTAGGAGAGTATTATAACTTAAGTTAAGTGGCATACTTGCTTTTATAGTAAAATTTTTTATATATATAGCCTAAAGGGCTCTTTAAGATAAAGATTTTATGCTAGTAATATTTATATACCTATTTTATAGCATAAACATATCCTATTTAAAAAATAGGCATCTTATATAGCCTGCAAGGGCTACTGCGTTAGGGAAATTTAATTATGCTTATTAGCTATTAAAAAACACATATGCAGCGCGATGACTTTCTGGCGTTATATTAGTTATAATGTAGCTATTTATATATAGCTAGATTGTTAGTACTTCTATTATAGGCTAATTTTAGCGTAAATTAATATATCTTTAATTTTATTATGTCTGATTGGCTATAGCTTCTCTACAGCTACTTGCGATATGCCTTACCGGCGTCAAAGGGATGAACCACCTTGCCATCGAGGCTAGGCCTGATTGACAGTTACATCCAGGCCCAGAAATACGAGGTCGCCGGCTGTCGATCACCGCAGCGCTCCACCGCCGTTAGCGTCCGCCTGCCGCTATCTAATTGGCCGCTGGCACTAGCCCAGCGATCCAGCGATCCCTTCAGGCGGTGACTGTCGCTGGGGCTGCACGCCCAAAGGGACTGCAGGTGGACTTGAGGTGAGCTCCAGCTGCCATCGAATTGCCAGCACCGCCCTGGAGTGGACTCGTCACTGTGACTCGTACTTTGTATGGACGAGAGCCTCAATGACCCTGCATCCGCCTCCCTACAGCTGCATCTGCAGTCCGCCAGACAACAACGTCGACATGTCACCGTCACATTGTGTTCCGCCATCTGGAGATACCTACATACCTAGGAGTACTACCTAGTGCTTGCTTCCAGAGACAGAACCCGGTATACGGTACTCGGGGTCGAGCATGCAAAAGCACCAAAGATTTGGTACAGGCTACACCGCGCCGCCTTGCCGACGGCTCCAAGCCAAGGCCTCGATCCGCCACCCGATTCTCTCTGCTCCTTAGGTAGTGCTTTTTTCCCTTTTTATTTTCTCCGCGCAAACGACGGGAATACGAGATGTGTGCTACGTCATGAGGAATGGCTGGGTCCGGTGCTCGAACCTCCAGCCTCTTGTGCATCGCCAGTCAAGCTTGCCCGCGGACGTGATCGGAGGGCCCAGCGTTACCCAGCCATTGCTCGATTGCTGTATAAGAGGGAGCGACGATCCACGAACTCGAGACCGCCAGCATCGAAGAGCATCACCACAGTCCCGACTTCTTCAACGAGAATCCCATCTGCCGCCTTTGTCTTTTGCTGCTTTGACGGCATCGTCTCCTGCTGCAATACAACATCGTCACGAGAGAACGGAAACGAACATCGACATCTCCAACCCCACACTCACTCATACACACTTATACACACATGATAATACTACCCACCACCATGCTGAGCCTTCTGTCTACTACTACTTGCGCCCTCCTCCTCCTCGCCAGCTCGGCCCTGGCCGCGCCCTACAGCCCTCCGCCCACCACCAACCCCTACCCACCGCCATGCACGAGCCAGTCCTCCAACGTCTCCGAGTGGACAATCAACAACTTTGACTTCCACGCCTCGTACATCTTCACCACGCCCGCGCACCAGAACTCGTGGGGCTACGTCAACTTCACCCTGTCCAACCCGGCCGTCAGCTACACGCCCGTGTGCAGCGCGGCGTCGGACCAGCTCTCGGACTTTTTCTACGGCAACTTTGTCTACAAGTGCACCAACGTGCCGGTCCCCGGCGACAAGGCGACCTTTACCTTCAACCGCGGCGACAACCAGCTGCTCGTCAACCAGACGTGGGCCTGCGCCGGCGAGGGTAGCCGCTTCACGGCGCTGGGCGGCGTCCGGCTGGACCTCAACTGCAGCGACACCACGTGGCAGAACCCGAACTGGACGCCTGGTAACATCTACTCCCAGCGGACGGTTACCTGCGGCAAGACGACGGTCCCTGCGAAGATTGACGAGATGAGTGCTGTGCTGTAGAACAGAAACGGCACCTCGGTTGCTCCGCATGGCGACAGGCCTGTCCGTCACTTGATTCTGAGAGGGATTCATCGACACGAATAGTAGTTCAGTCTGAGCTGGTGGGAATTTTCTTGAAAAGGGGGTTCAACAGCAGCCTAGTTCGGGGATGACGGGGGTTGTCTACTTGCTTCGGGCATGGTTTTTTTTTTTTTTTTTTTCTTTTTTTTTGTCGACAAAGTCTTGTCTCTTGATGATCAACAACGTTCTTTATGATAATGAAGGGAAGGGAAGGCAAGGGTCCTGGGTTCGGTGGGTTTACCAAATACGCTCTGCCTGCACCATAGGTAGTAGCTATACTGCATACATACTTAATATTAGTAACTTAATCACACCATTATCGATGATGCCCTTCATGTGACGGAGGCTGATATAGATCGATCAAGTCTGATGGCTCAATTCTTGCCCATCTGATTCTAGAATCGAGCCTTGGATACTCGCTCGTTCAGCTTCGATTCGCAAGCAAGCCTCATTCTGAGGCCATCCGAAGTGCCAAGTCCAGACCTTGGCACAACTCTACTTATCCATCAAGCCAAGCGTCAAAGCCAACATCGAAACCTCAGCTTCTCCAGCCAAGCTTCCGGGCCGTTTTAGCTGCCCGAGTCATGCCACACCGATAGCACGAGGGCAGGACTTACTCGTTTGATAGAACGAGGCATTATGTACGATCCCCCATGGTCTTGGTCTGGGCGAGGCGTCATGCTCCCCCCCATGGGCGCGGCCCCTGATTACGCTTGTCAGATAGTAGTTGAGTACTCAAGTAGAAGTGGGTTGATATATGGTAGGTAGTTGTACGAGTGTCACGGAATATCGAGACATGGGAGGTCCTATCCATCACGTAAGGGAAACCGTGGCGACGGACGGGCTAAAGCCTTTGGAGATGGTTCGAGCATCCACTCGGCGTGTTTTGTAGTATGGTGCCTTTGAAAGAGAGGTGCCTAACTATACATCCCGGATTCCGCATTGCCGGCCCGGTCTTGTTCCTGGATTGACTTGCTACTAGTAATGAGACGCTACTGTATGATACTTGTCCATGGCTTTACATGCTGCTTCGAATTCTTTGAATGTGTCTTGTCTTGTGTATCAACATCTCCTCTGAGCCTGTAATTTTGGTCTTCCATGCAAGGTTTAAGCTCACCTGCACTCACAAGTAAGCTTCTTCAGCGCCACCAGAATAACCTCCGTAGCGCCCCCCCTAAGCCTTGTTCTCCCATACCAATGGGCACCATCATCAATCCTTCATAGAACCTTCCATGCATATAAATCAAGCCTTGTATTCACAGAGGCCAACTCTTGTCCATTTTTCTCTTTTTTTGCCATCCGCAGGCAGGGTATAAAAAAAAAAAAAACAGGGGACCGTCCGTGATTGGAGAAGCTCCGATCGCGTCATCGGCCCTCGCCGGGTCCGGGCGCGACAGAATCGGGAAAGGCCCCGATGTCGTGATCGCTGGTCCGGCGCTGGGTGGGGCCTCTTGTTTTTTTTTCTCTTTTTGAATTTTCTTCAACGTCGGAACGGCTTTTCTTGGTTTTGCTGTGTGATGATGATGATGATGAGGCCCCTTGTTCGAAAAGGATTCCAGGGGGGGGGGGTTCTTTAAAAACGCTTTGTTCGTCTGATGAGCTTTAATGCCTAGTTGCAGTAGTATCAGTGACTATGTAAGGTAAGGTAGTTTGCATGTGAAGGTGTGATGATGGATAGCATCGGCTTCAAGGTCTTGAAGCGCGGAATCTACTACGATATATCAAGTTGTGTGATGATGGTTGCGATGGCACCATTGAGCCTCAAGTTTGTGGTTCAGTTCCTTCAATCTACATAGTATCACATGGCTCTCCCTAAGGTACATGTAATCTTCAAAGTAATGGCATGTACAAGTAGCACCAGGAAGAGGCAACTTACTCGCCGCTCCAAAACTGCTACTAGTCCGCGACTCATGAGCCACGCCTCTCGTGGGGTATAAGCCCAGAGTCATCAAACACAAAAAAACTCCTTTCATCACAGAGAAGTGTAGGCGTCCATCTGCAAACAAGAAAACCTTTCAGTATCATCATCTCAAGTAAAACCAAGTTTCCATAGTCCTTCCATGACGTGCCACACCCATTCAAAACGCTTCATCCGAACGCCCCCCCCCCCCTCCCCAAGACAAAACAAGCAATACCCAAACCACCAATCCTTAAGCCTTGTCCCGAACATCACCACCACCACACCGTTACCTAAAAGAAAGGGGAGGGTCTCTTTTGCGTTCGTTTAGCATCCGATGGCACCATGCGGGCCAGCCCCGCCCAAGGAACCAAAGCTTTTCTCACTACTCTTTTAGGTATTATCTGATGCTCTCTTCTTTGCTACTACCATGCCTTTGCTCATCAAGCCATCTTTTTCTTCCAATAAGCCTCTTTCGTTCTGGCGTGGTTCTAGCCTTGAACCTTTTGCCGTTTGCCTTGTGTGTGATCCACCGCCATGGACCCAGGTTCGTTGCGTAGTAGTAGTATAAGTCTATAATAGAAAGGCGATCCCTTCATTTTTCTTTTGCTCCTCCTCCTCCTGATATTCATTAGTGTTCAATAAGTTGTGTTCTTGGGCCCCCCCTTTTTCTGTTTTGGCTCTTGGTTGTTTGTGGCCTTTTCTTTTCATATACAGCTGTTCCTTGGCCCTTTTCCAAAAAAAAAAAACACAGCACTTGCTGTGTGGGCAAAAACACAACCATCGCCATGTCCGGCATCAAGAGCTTCTTCTCGCCCAAGAGCGAGGATGTCACAAAGCTGAGCCAACAGCCCGGCAGTGACGCCGCCTCTGTCCAGAATGGAACCGAATGTACGTGTCTCAACTCATCATCACCAACCCCCTTTCATCCAAAACCAATCATGCTCACTGTTTGAAATCGAAACAGCCCAGTTCCAGCAAGCCCGTGAGGCCAAGCGCCAAATCGGCGTCCCGTCCGCCTCCATGCTCATCTTCAACCGCATCATCGGCACCGGCATCTTCGCCACGCCCGGCTCCATCCTCGCCCTCTCCGGCAGCACGGGCCTCTCCCTCTTCCTCTGGGTCGCCGGCAGCATCATCGCCTGGGCCGGCACCGCCGTCTACATGGAGTTCGGCACCGGCCTGCCCAAGAACGGCGGCGAGAAGAACTACCTCGAGTACGTCTACCGCAAGCCGCGCTTCCTCGTCACCGGAATGTACACCACCTACGTGATCCTGCTCGGCTGGGCCGCCGGCAACTCGGTCGTCTTTGGCGAGTACATCCTCAACGCCGCCCGCGTCGAGGTCACCGACTGGAACCAGCGCGGCATCGCCGTCGCCTGCATCACCACCGCCTTCCTCATCCACGGCACCGCCCTCAAATGGGGCCTCCGCCTGCAAAACGTCCTCGGCGTCATCAAGATCTGCATCGTCATCATCGTCATCATCGCGCCCCTGGCCAACATCAAAAAGGTGAAAGAAATCAACTGCCTGCACAACGCCTTCGAGGGCACCACCGGTAGCGCCTACGGCGTCGTCACCTCCCTCTACAACGTCATCTGGAGCTTCGTCGGCTACAGCAACGCAAACTACGCCCTCAGCGAGACAAAGAACCCGACCCGCACCCTCAAGATCGCCGCGCCCCTCGCCGTCGGCTCCGTCACCATCCTCTACATGCTCGCCAACGTCTCCTACTTCGCCGGCGTCTCCAAGACGGAGATCCTCGAGGCCAAGCGCCTCGTCGCCGCCTCCCTCTTCCGCAACATGTTTGGCGAGCGCGCCGAGAGGGCCCTGTCCGTCTTTGTCGCCCTCTCTGCCTTTGGAAACGTCATGAGCGTCATCTTCTCCCAGGGCCGTCTCGTTCAGGAGCTCGGCCGTGAGGGCGTCCTGCCCTTTTCGCGCCTCTGGGCGAGCAACCGTCCCTTTAACGCGCCCCTGGCCGGTCTCTTTGAGCACTGGCTCATCACCATGATTACTGTCCTCGCTCCCCCGGCAGGCGACGCCTACAACTTTGTCCTCAAGTAAGTTTAAACCCTTGTCACATACATGTATAACCCGAAAAAAAAAAGAAAGCATCAGGATACTAACAATGTTCGCCAGCCTCATCTCTTACCCCCTCGCCATCATCAACGTCTTCGTCGCCGGAGCCCTCGTTCATCTCTACCGCAACCGCGCCGCCTGGAACTGGAACCCCCCGATCAAGGCCACATACCCCGTCGTCATCTTCTTCCTCCTCAGCAACATCTACCTCGTCGTCGCCCCCTTCGTGCCGCCCGAGGACGGTCAGAGCGTGTACGAGTCCCTTCCATACTGGATTCATTGCGTCGTCGGCTTCGGCGTGCTCTTCGCCGGTGCCGTGTACTGGTTGCTTTGGGCCAAGATTATGCCTTGGATCGGCAAGTACGAGCTCGTGGAGGAGACTGTTGTCGATGAGATTGACGGATGGGAGAGGAGTTACTTTACCACTAGGTCACTGAAGTGAAGGATGTAAAAAAAAAAAAAAAAAAAAAAAAAAGATATATAGTGAGAGCAGGAGAGTGATGAAGCGTTTGGATACCCCGATAGAGTAATTAATCTTAATTGTTGTATATCAACTTGCCACAACATACAAGTTCCCCACGAGGTGAGGAGCTCACGCGGAAAATATGTGATAAAAAGCGCTCTTGTCACGGATACATAGCACTCAATGTTTGAAAGGCAATCCATATGCGAAGATGACATACATACTCATTCCCAACTCATACAATATCCACCAACCAAAGCCACAAATTTCCCTGTCCCTGACATCTATTGTGGCAATCCCAGAAAAGCACAATCTGAAGAAAATCCGAAGAGGGGAACCCTATCCTGGGAAGAATTCCTGGAAGACAATCTGAGAACCGCAAACCTGAACATGAAGTGTTGTCCACCGGTAGCAAGGAAAATAAATCAAAAGCCTTACATGTAATAAAACAAACGACAGAGAAGAGGAAATCGAATGCGACAGAGCTAAAAGGAGGAAGAGGATTTGCCGTATGTACTCCATATAGTGGAGAATCAGCGCTCCTTCCAAAGTATTGGTCTATATGTTCGTTTTGTGTAGATGTGCAACTCGCATGAAGAGAAGGCAAGGGGGGTAGTGAGGAGCTGGGTATGAATCACAAGCCGCCTCTTCCTCTCAAAGCGAGAATGAGAAAATCGACGGGACTGTCCTCAGTCGGCGGCGTACTCCGTTTCGCAGCCGTTATTTCTGTGCTTGCTTCTGTGCCTGTTTCTGCGACTGTTTAGGAGTTGGCTTTGATGCCGGCTTAGGGGCGGGCTTCTGCCGCGTGGTGGTGCGAGTGCCCTGGGTGATCTGCCGGAGCTTTCGGTTCTTGTTCATGTTCACCTTCATGTTGTTGCCCTTGTGCTGTTTGCACAAACGTTTGTTAGCAGCCAGCCGCAGATGAGTCGGTAAGGAGCTAGGTGAGACTCACTCCAAGTTCCCCCTGGGGGTTGTTGGCGATGCGGAGCTTCCAGCCATCACCCGCGGACAAGAGTGACTTGACGAGCTGTTTGGATTTCTACAACGACGGTCAGCTGGTAAGAGCTCCTCTGCTGGGGCTCGACTTACCCGCAAAGCATAGCACATGGCCTCTATGCGCTGCGCAAACGATTCGTAAGCTTCCTAAGCTCCGTCGGCGCCGCACCAGTGGGCTATCTGAGTTTTTCCCTGCTGGGACTGAATGGCAGCCTCCTGAAGCGCAAACAGGTCAGTACGTTCCCGGATTCATCACCCACACCTGCGTAGGCTGCGGGGAATACAACTCAGGGGAGCACATGGCAACTTACAATGAGCTCCCAACATAGCCATTCGACCGTCTGGTCGCTGAGCAAGCGTCCCAAGATCTTCTTCTGCTGCATCTCAAGAGGCGGCAGAATGGCCTCAAGCTCCTGCGGACTGGGCCTCATGTCGTCCAACGAAATATCCACTTCAGCATTGTCACTCCCAGCGTGTCTGCGTCGCAAACGATCAATGATTCGATTTCGATCCTCCGTCTTCAGAGCTTGCGACCATTCTCTAAAATTTGACCAGTCGTTGATGGCGTCGAAAAGGTTCTTGATGTAGCCGATCTTGTCTTCATCGGTAACGGGAAATGTCTCGTCGTTGGACGGGTAGCTGCAGTTCTCCTTGGGCTTTCGATACAACTCCAGAAGCCTCTGAAGCTTCTTCCTCGCTACATCACAGTTCTGAAAGTAACCCTGGAAGACTCTGGTAGGAGCCATCTCGCTGTCCTTTTGAATCTCGAAATCCTCGCTGTTGTCGACCTTTGCCGTCAGCTGGGGCTTTATGACGCGCTTCTTGGGGGCGACGGGACTCTTTTCGAGGCCGGCTGCTGCGTGATTGCGTTTGCGAGAGGACGAGCCAGCAGATCGCGGAGGGGAAACGACGGATAGTGGCGATGAGACGTTCAAGTGCGGCTGGCTGGGATGAGCAAAAACCATGGATCCTGGCACTGGCCCTTCTGCATCATGCAAAGGCATTACCGGCTCTTCTGGGACCCCCTGTCCGTTGTGTCTTCTGAAGGAGACAAAGCCGGGTGATGTTTCGTACACCGACTGCTGGGGCAAACTGCCTTGCATGACGCCTCCCGCTTCCCCTGCGAAAGGCTGAATGGCCATTTCTGGGTCGTAAAGAGCGTCAGGGTTCTGATTTAGCACGCCAGAAGCGTAGTAGGTATCTTGAAACGGATTAATTTCCTCAACATTGGATTCAGAAGCAAAAGGGTCCGACTCTGGCCAGGGAAGCTGGGCTTCGTATTCGCTGTTGACGTTGTCAGTGCCGTATGCGGTAAAAGGCCCCGAGACGCCCTCATATTCGCTGTTGAGTAGCAGGCTGGGAGAGGGTTCTGAAGGATACCAGGCTGGCCCTGCGCTCGGGTTGGGTGACCAGGCGCTGAGGTGAGCGTTTCCGGCAGTTGTGCTGGACAGTATCATCAACGCCATTAGCATATCGTCGTCTCTCCGGCTGCACGATGAAGACTCCAAAATACGAGCAGGTACTCACAAAGGGAAGCGGTCTTCATAGCGCTCCTTTATAAAAGGAGAAGACTGAGTGCCGTGGGGAGTCGTTCTGTCATGGACATATGGGGGGCGATGCTCGTGCCAATTGGACGAAGGATCGTCGTTGGCGTCGCGTTGGTAGACGGGAGACAGACTTGTTGCCATCAAATTGTCTCTAGCATTGTAGGCTTCCATGAATGCCATCTCGCCGCCAGAAGATGGGAGTCTGTAGCTGGGTTCTCTGGCGTCCATGGCTTTGGGCTGCTTGCCTCGTCTCATATGTTTTGTTCTCTCGTCCTTTCCCGACACTGGGCTCAGTCTGTTGTCGTTACTTCAGAGAGTTTCTGCAGTCAAGAGCGAAAGACCAACTATTTAGAAATGTTGAGATTCAGAAGGGCAAGGTTTTCGAATCACTAGGTGGTAAGAAGGAGGAGGGGGAGGGTGGGTGGACGAAGAATCGGATGATGGAGGAAGACTTGGAAGAAGAGATGAAAGAAATAGAAGATACGGCGTCGGAAACGGTACGCGAGGGTGCAGAAACGCGCAGGGTCGAGCCGTCCGTCTGAGGCCGCTGATGCTGTGTCTCCGTTTGCGTGTGCTGGCTGGTGAATCGAGGGGAGGTAAAAGGATGAGTTCGCGAACCGACGAGCTGGGTCTGGACGTCAGACGTAAAGCTGCATGTTTTGCAGAGCTGAAGCAACGGGGTTGAAAAAATTCGGCAGCGGCAAACGCGAAGCCCTAGCCCTGAGACGCGTCCACCGCAGGCGTTTGGTGGGAGGCCATCACCAGGCCAGCTGGCCAAGGCAGTGGCAGCAACTGTCAACAGCTGGCAGTCAGCCTCCAGCCTCGTCCATCAGCTTCCGGCGGACTCCGTGATGCTCCATTCGAGGCTCTCTCTGCCAGGTACACAGAGGCAATCCATTCTGCGCGTCGCTGCTGCAGCTGTCACTCGGGCAGAGGTGGGTATCTGCATCCGGCCGCGTAGAAGAAGGAGGATGGCTGCATGATAGGGCTTCCATAGCACTGCTGCCGCTGCGACGCTGTGACTGGCGAGAGAAGATGGCGGATATTCGAGACCCCGCCGTTTGAACGATGAAGAAGAAGAGAGCATTGTTTCTGTAGTGCCTACCTCCTTAGGATACCATAGGGAAGGTACGGTAAGGGACGTGGGCTTCAACAGCGGGTAGGTGCTATCTTGACATTTGCTCCTCCCTCTTTCCCCCTTACCGCCCCTCCTCTTTTCCTCTTCCTCTTCCCATTCTCTCATCTTCTTTTTTTCTTTCCTTTCTCCCCTCACCGAACTCTTTACTGCCCTAAAAATACTGCTATTCCGTCCTCTGGCTAAGCCCTGAGCTTCCTCCACTTCCTCTACGGAGACGAACGCATGATAGTCCCGAGTGATCCCCTATTCTTCCGATTGTTCAGCGCAAGGAGATTCTTGGTTAGAAGCGAAACAGTTCCCCCTTCACGGTCATGTTGGCAATTATCTCAGTCCACAAGAAGCTGGCAAAGCAAGTCATTGGGCTACTCCTGAATACTACCATTCGGTCTGATTGTCCAATTGGTCCAAGTCTTTCCTGGAGCCGGCTTGGATCGGTACTCAGAGCCGCAACCAGCCTTTGAATCCTTCTGCAAAGTCTGAGGAGGTGAGGTATGGCGTTTCACCGGTCCGCCTCGGCGCCGGCCGGGAAAGAATCGCGGCAACGGAGATATGAATAGAAGTGGCCTTCTAGAACGAAAAGCCTCCCGTGTGCGTCGTTGGCGAGGCGGCTGAATTAGGAACCGACCCCTTGCTTGGTTTCCATAGCAAATAGTAGGTGAGTGCCATTGAGTCTTGACGTTTTTACGCTGCTACTACTGCTGCTGCTGCTGATAACACCCGTACTAAGGTCTCAATCAGCCCAGATCCGAGGATTGGCTGCGGCCCGGCCAAATGTCATTCCCACGTGCTGCACGTCTACGGCTGCAACCACGACCTCTGAAGCTTGCCTGGACCTGCGTTTGTCGTAGGCTTGAGGCAGGTTTGAGGATCCAGCGATGTTTGACTCGTGCAAAGACGGGGGTGGAGACGCGGGGAGGCAAGATTCTGGGGCATATCTCGAAGCGAAGTTGCACTTGCACCAACAATCGTGTCCTTTGCTCGCTTTGAGTTTGAGCCAGTCTTGGATCCTCCACAAGGCGGACCGCAGGAGAGCACGAGTCGCCACTGGACCGCGTCGATGCCAGGCCAGCGAGGTGTACGAGCACCTTCAAGACAATTTACCCTCACAGAGCGCCCCGCGGCAAACACCCTCCATACAATGAATTGGAGCTATTGATTTCTCATCGCGACCAAACCGTGGAGGGATGCCGCTAGCCCGGAGGAACCCTTGTGGGAGAAGTCCGGGGGAAGAATTCCGCACGCTTTCGATGACTTTCTCTTCTCCAAATCCCCCAAAGGCGGGCTGCGGAGAAGACTCTGGTCACAAGTGATGGAGGGATGCTCTGCTGCTAGACCCAGGGCTAGAGAGGCTAGGGAGGCTCTACGGGCTGCTAGATGGCGGCGTCAGCACACTGTTAAAGCCCGTCAAGCCCGATATGGGAGCGAAAACCCGGGGAATCTGGGGCGAAGAGAAGCATGACGACTGCGTGTGAGAACCTTCCAAGGATTCCTTATTGCGGGTGGCGGGATGCGGGGAATCTCTTGGGTCTTCTTGGGCGGCCCTTGGCGCGGAGGGCCAATGACAGAAGATGCCTCGGGATATTTCCATGGGTCCAGGTTGGTGTTGGCATGGCGTTGTCGATGCAGAATGGTTGCGGCCGAGTAGGGGTTTCCAGCTCTTCAACGTCAACCTGAATGCCCTTGTTTTTGACCCTGGACGAAACCTGCAGACATCAGCTTTGCGCGAGTGACCGCCTCAGCTCGGCCCAGCTTCTAATCCGATGCTCCCCCAACGCATCTGTTCGTCACGCCTCCCCACACACGCGAATACTGCTGCAACAGCAAGTCGGCAGCCGGCGAGTCTGGAGCAAACGGGGATCCCTGGGCAGCCAAGGGTCAGGATGCGGATCCACAGACGCCACGATCTGTGGGATGCCAAGGTGCCCTTTGACCGTTGCAGCAAAGCGCAGCTGGTCCAAATGCCACTGCTTTGATTGGGGGAGACCCCGGATGGCGAGAACGGCAACCAGATGGGCTGGATCAGAGTCAGTCTTACGAAGTACCAGCGGCTGCCCTTGCGCTTGTGCTGTAGGCTGGCATGGCCTGGCTGGGAGGCCAAGTCCGTGGACCGCCACCGCCGGTCCGGCACCGCAAGGCCAAGTTGCTCCTGCTGGAGAAAGAAACGTGGTGGCTCCCGTCGCTCGCTTGTTGGACGATCCCAGTGGCTGTCCGCTAGCTTCTCGTCTTGTATTAGCCTCGAGGAGCGTCAATGGAACTGAATGAAGCATCCTGGGGCATCCGGATGCACGAGCACCTTGCAGCTGAGTACAAATAGGGTCCGGCAGATCCCTTTTGTGTTCCCACTCGCTTGTCTCTTCGTCCTGCCAACACCACGCCGAAGCCTGTGCTTCCTCTCCCTCCACTATTTCACGTGGACTTTGCCCTCTTTCTCTGAGTTGTCTGAAAGGGAAAGCAGTTGTCTTTCGTCCTCGCCGTGTGAAGCGGGAGAGAGGTTCTGTTCCAGGCTTGGTGTAAGTCAGTTCTTGCCTGACCACGCAACGAGCGCACTACGCGCTTCAGCCTACACCAGACGGACACAATGGCTGTCCTGGACGAAAAGCATAGCGGCTCAGGTCGCAACTCGACCGATGTTCACGATACCGAAGTCGCGATTGGTGCCGAGCAGGTCGTTTGCCCGGCGCACACGACTGAGCGCCGGTTGATGACAAAGGTCGACATGCGAGTGGTGCCGTTCCTCTGCATCATGTACCTGCTTGCGTTTCTGGGTGAGTAGTCTTATATGCGCGGTCATTTGATGGCTTGTCGCGACTATCGTCCCAGCATGTTGCGTGTCATTGCTAATCATCCACCATGACCCAGACCGCGTCAACATTGCGAATGCAAAGCTGTTTGGCCTGGCCAAGGACCTGGACCTCGGGACCGGCGACAAGTACAACACGGCGCTGGTCATCTTCTTCGTTCCCTACTGCATCTTCGAGGTGCCGTCCAACATCCTGCTCAAGAAGTTCAAGCCCCATGTCTGGCTCTCTCTCAACATGTTCCTCTTTGGCTTCACCACCATGATGCAAGGCCTCGTCAAGAACTACAGCGGCCTGCTTGCTACGCGCTTCTTCCTCGGCCTCTTTGAGACGGGCATGTTCCCAGGAGGTGAGTCTACGACGCTCGATGCATGGTCCGGCCTGCATGGCGCGGCGGCGACTGTTTTGTCCGACGAGCTAACCAAGTAAACCTCGCCAGCCTTCTATCTCATCGGCATGTGGTATAAGCGGTCCGAAGCTCAGCGACGCTACTCCTTCTTCTTCAACAGCACGACGCTCGCCGGCGCCTTTGGTGGCCTTCTGGCCGCCGCCATCGGCAAGATGGACGGCATGCGGGGCTACAGCGGCTGGCGCTGGATCTTCCTGATCGAAGGCGGCCTCACGGTTTTTGTCAGCTTCTTCTTTTTCTTCCTGCTGCCTGACTTCCCCGAGGAAGCAAAGTGGCTGAAGGAGGACGAGCGTGCATATGTTGCGGCACGACTCCGCGTCGACCAGGGCACCGGCTCGGGCGCTGCGCGATCCATGACGGTCAAGGACGCGTTGAACGTCTTCAAGGACTGGAAAATCATTGCCGGCGGCTTCATGTACTTTGGCCTCATCGTGCCGGCGTACGGCTACGCGTACTTTGCTCCCACGATCATCTCGACCTTCCACTACGGCCCCATCGAGACCCAGCTGCGCAGCGTCCCACCGTGGGCCGCCGCATTCGGCTTCTCGCTGCTCATTGCGACCTTGTCGGACCGGCTGCGACATCGGTTTGCGTTTGCCATTGCCAGCATGCTGATTGCCATTGCCGGCTTCGCTATTCTGCTAGCTGAGCACAGCAACAGCGACGTGCAGTACGGCGCGCTGTTCCTCATCACGTCCGGCGCCTACACGGCCATGCCCATTATTGTGTGCTGGTTCAACATGAACCTCGGAAACCACACCCGCCGCGCCGTTGGCAGCGCGTGGCAGGTCGGCTACGGCAACCTGGGCGGCATCATTGCCGTCTTCATCTTCTTGACCAAGGACGCGCCCAAGTTCACGACGGGCTACAGCGTGTGCCTGGGCTTTACCGTTTTGTCCATGGTGGCGTCAGCCCTCTACGGATTCGGATGCATGATGGCGAATAAGCAGCGAGACAGCATGACGGACGTGCCCGAGCTGACGGAGGATGAAAAGACGGCCCTGGGCGACTTGTCCCCCGATTATCGGTATCTGCTGTAGATGATTTTTTTTCTTCTCTAGATCTCTGTAGCTGTCACGAGTCATGCCGAATAGTTTAATGACTAGTTTTTATGGAACGATTGGATATGTTTTGAGTGCCAAGGTCATTCTTCTCCATTACCTTATTCTTCATCCAAAGTCGGAAGGCATTTGCGCCCCGCTGCCTTGACGGAGTCCTCCGATGACGGGGGGAACGTGCGTGTCTGTCTGTCTGTCTGTCTGTCTGTCTGTCCGGCGTAGCTGCATGCTGTGATCCTGCAGCATCTGGGTATTTTTCCCCCTTCCGGAGACGGTCAGGCTAGCTGAGATGCATGACGGCTGAGTGCAGATGAATGGAATCGGCGTCATGGCCTGTCGAAGGGAAAACGCCGTCATACCAGTTGCTGCATCACTGATGATGTAGGCTATTTACGGGCGTGGAGGGTTATACTACTATACTACTAATTGGCGGGAATGTGAAGATTGTGGAAAATTTTGGCGTGGCATTTACAAGTGAAAGCCACACCTAATGCTAATAAAGGAAAGGAAAGGAAAGAAAAGTTGTGTGTGTGCCTTTTAACTGGACTTGTGTGTTAGTTAGGTGGGCTTGAATTGCTTCGGAGTGCTTCCGGGTTTGGGCATGGGCTTGATGAGGGGCGGCTTGATTTTTTTACTGGTGAGGCTTGAGTCAGGTTGTTCGTTCCCTTCCCGTGTGCGGAGAAAATATGGGGTTGGGTTGGGTAGTACGTAGTAGTAGTAGTAATTGGTTTGGAAAGGAAAAGCTGAAGGATTCTTGTGTGGGTTCTGTTTCTTGGGGCGAGCGGGAGTCAGGTAGACTCCGTGTTATGTATTAGAGAGCTGCTTGGGTTGGTGTTGTGCTCCTTGATGGTTGTTTTCTTGATGTGAGGCTGGTGATGTGTTTGTTGTAAGGTAGGGGGCCTGTAGGCTCTTGGTATTACCTACTAGTAGTACTACTCGAAGAAGATGTTAAAGTCATAATATGAGAAGCGAGATTTGTATTTGATGAAACTAACTTTCGTTGGTAACCTTTGTATTTGACCTTCATGTTCCATGGCTACTACCTTAGGTACTCAGTTGCCTGCTCCCCTTCCCTGAATTGCGCATATCAGTAGATTTCGTACGAACCAGCAAATGCGAGGAGATTCTTCAACTGTATGCCGGCAGAGACGATCCGGCTATTCCTTGGAGTGTAGACTGGATTTTTTTTTTCCATTTCCGATATTGGTATCAAGGGTGAAAAGTGAAAGACTGTGGATGGGTCTGTGCAACACTGCCGCGGCGATGTACCACTTGGCTGTTTTCTTCAAAAGCGGACTAGAGTCTCTCAAAGCTTCATATCAGACGTGTAAATCGAAGTTATGTGATGAAAATGTGTGACAATGACGAGGAGTGATGACGATGTGTGATCTGTATGCCGACTTGACTTGGATTCCTTTTTGCTGCTATCACGGAGGTTTTTGTCTGGTTTCCTTTCTCTCTTTTCGTATTGTAATTCGGAAAACTGTTAAAATAAAATAGAGAAGCAAAGAGCTTGATGCCTGAAAGTTGAATGTCGACCATGCGCGGATACATGCAGGTACACTCACCTATTCACCAGTGAAAGCCGCGGACTTTCCGTGTCCCTGGTTTGTGAGTCTGTTGCTGTTAGAGATGGCATGATGCCTCTTACGGGCGCAAGAACGTCTGGAAGAGAGATCCAGAAAGATCCTCAGGATACAAGGCGGCAGCAGAAGCTCACTTCCTGTCCTGCACTGCCAGATATCCCACCCAATACTGCTCGTTGCTCCTCGCATACCAATTCACAGGGGCAAAGTCGTTGAGCAGCTTGAGCAGCGTCTTCCACGCGTCCTCGGCCCGCGCCGCCGTCCGCGCCGTCTCCTAGAGCATGGCGACGAGCAGCTTGAACCTCTCCGTGGGCAGAAACGCCGCCTTGCAAATCGTCAGCGCCAACCGCGTCCAGTTGTCGACGAAGCTCTGGCTGAAGGTGGCCTGCGCGTGGCGGAACTCGAGCGCGTGCGTCACGCCGCCGTCTTCGTGCGCGTGGGAGGTGATGTGCAGCGCCGTGGTGCGGGACTTGTCGCGGGCGCGCGGGTGGAGGAGGGAGAGCAGCTGCTGGACTTGATCGGTGTCGGTGGCCGTCCAGAGGTGCTTGATGGCTCTTTCGACGGGACCGCTGCCGGCGAGGACGTTGGGGGGTAGGTTTGCTTGTGCGGGTTGACAAGCTGGTGTGTTGGGGGCGTGGGCGAGGCCTGAGCCTGTGGCAAGCTGGTGGTAGACTTGGCGGCGGCTGGGGTGGCAGAGGTGGAAGAGGAGTTTGTCCTCGAGCACGACGACGAGCGTGGCGACGCGCTGGGCCTGGAGAGTGGTGAGAGTTGGCCGGGGTGGTTGGACTTCCCTGTTTGTGCTTCCTCGGTGCTGTCGCTGGAGCCCCTGAGTCAGCCCCTGAGAAAGCGAGGCCATGATGCCGAGAGACGGGACAACAGCCGGGCCAACCTCGACATGGAGGCCGCAGGCAATGTGGGTGTTGAGCTTGGCCGGATGCGCAATCCAGATTTCATAGACGGCCGTGTTGATGCCCGGAAACAGGTTGTTGGCCTCGGACTCGCGCAGCATCGGGCTGCTGAGCTCCATTGGCTGCCAGTTGAGGTGCACTCCCTGGCGTTGGACTTCGGCCGTGTTCTCGGTACCGGCCTTGAGCAGCCAGTATCTGAGCAGCGGATTGTCCTTGGCGCCCGCGTTGATCCAGGGGGTGGACGACTGGGGGTTCATGACGAACATGTCGGGGTTGTGCTTGGTCTTGACGATGTACTTGCTAGGCATCTGGGGGAGCTGTGAGCCTTCAGCCTCTGGGGCATCTTCGTTCTCGCTGTCCTTGCGGATGCTGTCCTTGCCTGGGGTTGCCTGCTCGCCCTCATCCTCGGCCTCGTCTTCCTTGGCCTCGTCTTGCTTGTCGAGGAGAAAGGCGGCCTGGAGACCAGCCCTCTGCAGCGCAAGGGCAAAGTAGTACAGGTTGCGTTCGCGGTCGGAGACGCCTGGCCAGGGGTGCGAGGCGGCGACAGGGGGAGCGCGGAATTCAAGCTTGATGCCGAACTGGATCTCGGTGACGAGGGAGATGGCCGGCTGGGGCTTGGGGAGAGAAAAGTTGCGCATCGTGAGGTTTCGTGCTGTTTCTGTGGGTAACCTAACCTGTGCTTGTCTGTTTGATTTTCTTGCTCTGAATGGAAGAAATGATGACCATCTGGTTATGCTTATCTGGTCAAGGTACGTTTGGGAAAGTGGAAAAAGGGCTTCAAGTGGAGTTGAGGAATGGAGGCGGATGTCGAGGTATGTCTTGATGGAACCACGGGTGAAGACGAGATATGTGCGTCTGAAAGTTGGGCAGCTGACCTGCTCAGTGTGAGAAGAAAGTGAACTGAAACTCAGCACGGGGTCAACGAAGACGGAGGTGCTACATGTTTATCCGAGGACTCACGCCGAATAGAGGGAGCGGAGAGATGAACGGCCGAGACCCGAGGATGATGAAATGTGCTCGCCATGTTGCCCGAGATTGAAAGTGCCGTGAGAGAAAGGCTTAATGGTGAAACGGACGGCGTGACTGTTGACTTCTGGGTGAGCTTGTATATAGTTGCAGCATATGTCATTTTGAACGGCCAAGTGCTATTCGATCATACATTAATAATGGATCAAACGATAGGACGTAACTAGAATATACCTATTTGCGAGAGGACTACCTAGATACGAGAATCAACTAAGCCTTTCGAGTCATTAACCGTACTGTACCTCTCTCAATCAACGTCGCCAAAGCTCTACGACTCAACACACGTAAATCACATCACCAGCATCAGCTCCAGCCCAACCAGCTCTAACCCTTCACCTCGAGAAAATCAAAAAGTAAGACGCCTTGACAATCAACAATTACCCCGACCATCAATCAGCATTTCACCGAAACCTCACCCTCACCGCACCCTCCAACGCCAATCCTTATACATCAGCGACATCACGATCATCCGGCATTTGACCAGTCCCTCTAGTACTACCCCCAGAAAGTCAACGCCAAAGGTCAAGTGCCAATGACATCTTATCGGGGAGTGTCGGGCATCGCATAATCGTAATACTACTAGTATGTAGCACAGCAAGGGGGGAGGGGTACTCTCCCCGGACGGCGGAGAATCCGACACCGATCGCATTGACTTCTTATGACGGAACAGACAAAGGAATACTACTGGATTGGGTATTTCGGCGGGTAAATGGCCCATTTCTCAGCTGACCTTTATATACGTGTACCTAGTAGGTAGGTTTGATAAGTCGGGGATTAAACTGGACTTTCTGAGCCCAGCCTCTTAGTCCCGGTAGTCGGATCTCGTCTTATACAAGGTGCAACCTACTTACCTCTATATATACGATAGTCGACACAAAGAAAGGCCATACCATACTGAACCTCTCATCCATATCCTACATATACTTATAAATCATACAGCAAGCATGTCCACAACACAAGTCGCAACAAGCGAAACCATCCTCCTCGAACCACTCCCTCCCGCTCCCACAGCCTCCATCCCGCGCCGCTCCTCCAACCCCGATCCCCCCATCATCCCCTGGCCAGAGCCCTCCATCCACGATGCCGAGTCAGCCCTACCCCCGTCGACAGCCGTCTCAACCGCCCAGCGATGGAACGACCCGCCTCGGAACAAGTACCGCGTGCTGTCCTGCTTCTTCGCCTTCTTCGTCTACGGGATGAACGACGGCGCGCCGGGGGCAATGGTCCCTCTGTTTGGCGAATACTACCGCCTCCGGCACTCCATTGTTTCGCTCATCTTCTTGAGTCCCATGGTCGGCTGCGTGCTCGCGTCTTTTGCGTCGAACCGGCTCCATGCCGTGGCAGGACGGCGGGGCGTGGCGTTGACGGCGACGGGGGCGTATGTCCTCGCGTACCTGGGCCTGTCGCAGCATCCGCCCTTTGGAGTTGTTGTCTTCTTGCTCGTGTTGACGGGGTTTGGGAGCGGGCTGATGAATGGGAGCTGGAATAGCTGGGTTGGGGGCTTGGTTTCGGGGAGCACGCTGCTGGGCTTTCTGCATGGGTTCTGGGGGGCTGGGGCTACGCTGTCTCCCATCTTGGTTTGTCGTCTTCCTTTTTCTTCTTCTTGTTGTTGTTTCTGGTGTGCTCAGGCTTTATTTGGCATTGTTAGTAATGGGATTTAGTTACTGATGCCCTGGCTGTGTAGATTACGAGAATTGCGACCAAGGTAGAGCATTGGTGGATCTTCTATAGTAAGTCGCTGATGGAATATCGTCCGTCTCCTTTGGAGTTGCCCAGCTAACGCTACCCAGCCATGATGGTGCGTTGACCCATCAAGCATCATGCGAACTACCCTCGCCAACATAGGTACTCACGTTTATATAGACCGGCCTTGCTTGTGTCGCCTGCGCAGGCGTCACATCCTCCTTCTGGGACGACGCCGGGGCGGGCTTCCATCGACAGTCCGTCGCCCCTAGAGGCAACGCAAACGCCCAACCAGGCACCATCAAAGTCCTAAAGAACAAGGTATCAACTCCAACGCCAGCAGCAGCAACCCAAACCCCTTCTTCCAAACTTGAACTGACAAGAACATCTAGATAACCCTGACGTTTTCCGCCTTCATGGTCCTCTACGTCGGCTCCGAGGTGACCATTGGCGGCTGGCTCCTCACCTTCATGATGAGCGTCCGCAACGGCTCGCCCACGGCCTCGTCCCTCGCCACCTCGGGCTTCTGGATCGGCCTCACGGTCGGCCGCTTCGCGCTGGGCTGGGTGACGGGGTACGTGGGCGAGAAGGTCATGGTGACGGTGTACCTGCTCAGCGCCATTGGTCTGGAGCTCGGCTTCTGGCTGGGTAAAGAGTTTGCGGTGAGCGCGGTCATGGCTGCGCTTGTGGGGGTGTCGATTGGGATGATTATGCCGTCTGTGAGTCCCTCGTCTCTTGGGCCCTTTTTTTTTTGTCTATGATTGAAACATATTGTTAATGGAAAGGGACAGGGGATCCGGATGATGACCAAGTTGCTGCCGCCGGAGAAGCACCTCATCTCGGTGGGCTTTGCAACGGCGTTTGCAGTCTCTGGATCTGCCGTGTATGTGTTTCCCCCTTTAAAACTCATCGTCCGAACTTGGAGACTAAAACGCGTCTTTGCATTTGTCATATCGTCCAGCTTCCCGTTTGTAGTCGGGGCACTCGCCGAGGCGTACGGCGTCGAGGTCCTCCAGCCCGTGGCCCTGGCCCTGTTTGGCACGCAGCTGGCTCTATGGCTGTTTATTTCTCGAAACAAGGTCAAGGTGTAAAGATGCAAGGTCGAGGTAAACTCATCGATATATTGTCATTTCTCGTTCCTTTTTCCCGTTATTCGTCGAGCTACTCGGCAGTCATTTTTAAGCAATCCACGGCATGTCCTCGAGGTGGATCAAAGACTCCAAGTCTCTATAGCCCTACGACATCGCATAAGGTAGGTAAATGTAGATAGTGGATCGAAAGGGCGAACTTTGACAACCGCAAAGGCGCGCAGAGACAAAATACTAAATCAAAAGACAAGGCAAATCCACGACTGCTGACTCGCTGCCAAACATGCGCCGGACGCCGAAAAACCCCGCCATCTGTTACTGCTGCCCCTCACTGAATTGACTTCAATGAATCCCGCCCGAATTGACTACTACTATTTGCCCCACCGGAGAGTTCTCCAACCTTCAACTTATAAAGAGCCGCGCTTCTGCTTTGCTAAAGTCTTGCGGACAGGGTCAAAATTCAAATAGGGGCGTGTTTGGTTGCTTTCAATTGATTTGCTTTCGCGATCCGCAATTCAGTTCCAGATACAATGGCGGCAACGGTTCGACACGCCCGGCGCGAGGGTATGTTCTTCTCATTCTATCTCTCTTCCTCCTGGACTCTCTTCTCACGATGACATTCCACTGAATGAACCTGCCATTGTACGCCAGACGTGCCCACGATCCTGGGCTTCATCCAGGCCCTCGCCGACTACGAAAAGGAGCCCGACGCCGTCCTGGCCACCGTCGAGACGCTCGAAAACACAATCGCCTTTGCGCCCGCCGGCGTCGTCAGCCCGCACGACTCCCTGCCCGTGACGGAGCCCATCTCCGCGACCCGCCCCGCGCGCTGCCTCCTCGCCCTCGACGCCCAGGGCAAGCCCGCCGGCATGGCCCTCTACTTTTACAACTACAGCACCTGGCGCTCCAAGGCCGGCATCTACCTCGAGGACCTCTTCGTCGACCCCTCGCAGCGCGGTAAAGGCTTCGGCAAGCTGCTGCTGGCGTCGCTGGCCAAGGAGGTCGTCGCCATGGACGGCGGGCGCCTGGACTGGTCGGTCCTCAAGTGGAACGAGCCGAGCATCAAGTTCTATGAGCTCATTGGGGCCACGGCGATGAACGAGTGGGTGGGCATGCGCGTGGACGGACCTGCGCTGGACAAGCTTGCCCATCTGGCCGATTAGACACTGCGTATCTATATGTCCCTTTCCCTCTTAAATAATAGAGCAAAACAAAGGCGTTTCTTTTTCTCTTCTTTTCCTCTCATGACGATGGTGACTTGTCCTGTTTGCGACCGCGCTCATCCACGCCTTCGAATATGTCGAGCTGGTGCTTGGCCGCGGGAGGGAATCGTGGTTGAATGCTGCCCCAGGTGAACGAGTACTTGAGCGTGTTGGGATCCTGCGTCATGGTTGGTGTGAGCTGCCATGTCCTGCTGTACGCCCTCTGGAACCACCTCTTGGACAACTCGCGGTCGCGATCCTTGACGCTGTACGGGCCATTGTCCTTTTGCCCGGTCCGCCGCTGTTGTTTGAGCGCCTTTGGCTTTTCGACAATGGCCGCCGGCTTCGTCGCGTAGTCTTTCCAATTCCATTGCGCGCGTGCAGGCTCATCTTCCGTTGCCGCCGGAGAGGTTGCGAGCGGACGCCTCGCCGGTATCTGCCACTCGCTCCGCTCCTGGGCTCCAGCCGTCAGCTCCTTGAGAACCTCCCATTCACCCCTGCCCAAGGGCGGCATGATCTTGTCGGCATTTCTGCGCCACCAGTGAGCCCTCTTTGTCTGTTTCAGAGCCTCGCAGGGCGGCTTTCCCCAGATGGTCTGCTGAGGGATGAACTGGTCGGGGTCGATTGTCTTGACGGGATTCCCCGGCCAGCTGGCCGTCCCCTTTGTGTCTCGCTGCTGCTGTCGCTGCGACCTTAGGATCCGCAGGAGCTTGTCTTGGTCCCATTTCTCGAAAAAGGCCTTTTTGAGCTTTGTTGCGCCCTTGACTGCGCTTTCTGCGCCTTCTTCTCCTGTTCCTTCTCCTTCTCCAGCAGATGAGACGAGGGCCTTTTCGAGGGCGCTCGAGTCTTTGGGGCCTTGCGGGATCACGAACTTCGCCATCAATTCTCGTCGTCTGCTGCCTGATCTGCCGAAGCCTTTGAAGATTAAGCCCTCCATGGCTGCCTTGTCGCCGCTGTTGGCCGCCCGGAGCGATCGCAAGGCTGTGCGTGCTCGCGCGAGATGAGCCTTTGCGCGCGGGTCATGTTTGCGGTGGCGGTGGAAGCGGTCTTGGATCGTCGACGTGATCTCGGTGCGGAAGACTGGCGGGAGGTAGGAGCATTCTCGGAGGAGGTGGCGGTAGAGCTGGAGGGGGGATGGCGATGCGGGCAGGGGATATGCTGGGGCGGGCATGTTGGATCGTCGAGGCTGCGGCCTGGAAAAGAGCTACCTACATCAGGCCAATGAGGAGGAGGGTAGGGTCTCTCCAGATGATGAGGGTTGAAAGAATCGTAAGGTTCTGCAGACTGCGAGCTATCAGTGGATGGAGCTGCTACTAGTAGCACATTTAACTTATCTCTCTCTCTCTCTTATCGCAGACGGAAATATTTTCGATTGTGATTGGTTGAACCACGCTTCATCTGAATTGCCGTGCTCCATCCAGGGACCTCAACACATATTACCCCAAAGGAATGGACATGATTGAGTATGTAGATGCAAGATTACAATCCTTATACACTGGATCTTTGCTATGTTGTAGTTTTCATAAATGGTCTCTAATTCCCATGTTTCCCAGCTGTAACCCTACAGCGGTATCTCTCAAGCCTAGCTTTCTGGCCTGGTCTTTTTCCCTCCATAGACTTTTTATCCATCATAAATCTCGCAATGAAAGAAACAACAAAGTAACATGACGCCATTGGGCTAAGGCAGCTCAGCCACTCTGTCCTTGTATGTCTTCTCCGCTCTCGTCCAGACACCCTCAGTATCCCGCTTGTCCAGAGTGAGCAGGGCCGGCAGCAGCAGGCCAGAGTACTCATCGCTGGACTCGCGGGCAATCAAGGTGGGGAGGTGGTCGATGGCAATGATTCTCAGCTCAGGGCCGTCAACGGGCTTGGATGTCGGGATCGTGGGCTTGTCAAAGCTGGACCAGGTGGAGTACAAGGGGATCGGGTTGTTCTCGCTGCTCAAGCGTTAGTACCTCAAGCTCAATATACGACTTGGGAAAAGAACTAGACTCGGGGAGCACTGACCTGTTGGGATCACACGAGATATCGGCAATGACGCGGAGTCGTCTCTCTGGGGTCGCAAGCGATTCGAATGTGACAAAGGGAGGAGTGGGAGTAGGGCCAAGGTAGACGCAGTTGATGAAGATGTCGGAAGTGGTGATTTCCTCGAAAGGCCCTCCCTTGGCAGTCTCCTGCATATCCCACTTGAGGATGGAGTCCTCAGGAAGACCAACCTCGCGGCAAAAGTCCACGGCTCCCTTGCCGCATCGTCCCAGAGCGCCAATCACAATGACGCGGGGAAGTTGGCCGTTGTTGGCACGAATCGCGGGCTCGAGCGCAGCCTTGACATGCGCGACCAGAGCAGGCGCGCTGTCGAACAGAGGCACCGGGGGCTGGGGGACGCCGGGGTTGAGGATCTGGTGAGCCCACGAGATGAAGGCAATGGCGGCGCCGGCATATCCAGCAAAGTAGCCAAAGGCCGCGATTCTGCGGCCGTTCTCCTCAGTCAGGAATTCCAGGTCGTAGAGCGTGCCGCCGGCGCGAGCAAAGCGCTTCAGGGAGGGCGCCCAGCCGAGCTGCTTCTTGAAGATGTGCTGGAAGTGGATGTATGTGTGAGGCAGGTCAATGTCGTCGTCGGGCAGCTCCTTGAGGCCCAGGATGATGTCCTCCTTGGGAGCCTTGATCCATGATCCGGCAGGGACCAATTCGGCGCCAACGGCCTCGAACTCTTCGTCCTTGTAGATGCGCTCTGAAGATCGCTCAACGCGGACGACGTAGCCAGCGTCGAGGAGGGCCTTGGCGGTTGGGGGGGACACTGGTCTGGGTGTTAGACGGCGCTGGCGACAGAGGACGATGGTCTCAGTAGAGTCGACTTACGCGGCGAGCGACGCTCAAACGGCTTGGTATCGGCTCTCAGATGGATGACGGTAGGCATTTTGGCACGAATTGATTGTTGTTGTTTTTTGTGGTATGATAATGAGGGGGAAAATAGTTGAACGGACTTGGAGATATCGTCGGCATAAAAAAAGACAATCAAAGCCGATATCTCGCAATCGTCCTGAGTCACAACCGCTGCAATGGTGGGGTAGCAAAATCGAAATGGCGGGGCAGAGCAAGCTGGGCGGTCACGTGGAGCGCCGATTGAGTGTTTGACAGCTCCGACAACGCTGTAGATGTCGAACGTTGCGGGTGCTTTGACTGCTGCTTGTTGGGTGCGAATTGAGCGGTTGAGTCACTAATGACATGGTCTTGCAGCATTCATGTTGTCTGGTTCATTCGCTGGGCCTATAGCGGAAGAGTTTGTTACCGAACGTTGGAGTGTCATTGTTGCTTTTCCTAATGCACACGCGGATCTATATGGCCGTAGCCGGAGAGGTTGTCATCGCCAAACAGAGCTGCACCTACAGTAATGTTCACTCAAAAGCCAGCAACGGCACCCCCAGACAATGACAAGATGTTGGACATCAACTGAGTGAGTACTAATATACAAAGACCCTCTCCGGCTGCTACCCAATGATGGCATCTCGCTCTCGGCAGCGCAGCACCACATCAGCTGGACAGGTCGAAGAGATGGAGAGCAGAGGTCATTACTACCTTAAGTAGTCAGCTGTCAACCCTCTCGCTGGCGACTGATTGGCAGTAACAGACCTGAAGGCGGGTTGTTGACGGTACATGTAAACAAATGCCTTTGAATGGCCCTCTCCCGCCCGAAACAGCGCCACTCAAACCATCCATCTCCAACATGCCATGCCGTCTACATACTACCTAAGTAAAAGCCCAGCAAGTCAGAGAGCGAGGCCAGGGCTGTTTTGGACCCCACCACGGACACGGCCCTTCTCGCCGTCGGCATTCAAAAGCACCCAAAAATGGGCCACTATCGTATGGCGCGTGGCGCGACACTCCACGACACGAAATCACGAAACCGACACGTCTTTTTAATTGAAAAAAAGGATTGCAGTGCTCATCAACGCGCCCTCGAGCCGAATGCTACTCTGTACCTCGTGCCTCGTGTTACCTACCTATTAGTACGGAAAGTGCCTCGAACCTCGCACCGCACAGACAAATCGCCTGTGATTCCTGCAGTGCAGGTCTGATGCACATACATACGGGGGAGCCTTGGGATGCATAGTATGTGCCTTCTCTGGTTGTTCTGTCTTGGAGGCGCCCCCCCACGCTCGTCATCTCCGCTGCATCACGGCTTGGTCCTTTGTTACCTGCTGCTCCGTGTCTCCCTGATTCTGTGCCTATAAAGTCATATAAAGTAATCACTGCAAGTACCTCCTGTGAGGCTGCGAGACCCTCTCTTTGTACCTGGTAATACTACTACTAGGTAGTAGCCCTTGGTTAGGGTCTTGGTACTGGTTCTGAGACTTTGAGCCTCACTTCGCGCGTCCCTGCTGTGGATTCTGTCTGCCCCTGCAAAAAGCTAGTGTTGATATCTTCACTCCTATCATCTACCGCCCTTTTCATTCGTTGCCATCCTGCAAAGCGGAGACATTGCCGGCCCCCTCTCTCTCCAGAAACAGCAACAGTTGCATACATACATACATACATACCTTAACCTGATCTTTGATCTTGACTTTGCACATACGACTGTAATCTTCTGCTGCAGATTTGCTGCTTGTCACCCTGCCAGCAGCCACGCGGGCCGCCATCTCATTTCGCTTCCCCGGCCCAGGCCCCGTTGCCCGACTCTCCGACCGACAAGCAGCTTTGCGACGACCAAAAAGAGACACACAAAGAAGAAGCAGAATCAAGCAGGAAAAAAAAGAAAGAAAAATAACAAAAGAGAGAGGCGACGCATTACGAAGCCTGCGCGCATCGCCTTCTTCTTATTCTCGTATATGGCTTAGGTTCTATTTGAGTTTGGGGAGAAGCTGCTCGCTATTACCTACCTAGTGCCGCCAGCTTGTCGTCCCAACACCCGTGCGACGACTGACCGGCATTTCAAACGTCGCCAACCTTTTCTTCCTCTTCTTCCTCGGACAAAACACCACGCTCAGACCCATGATGCCCTCTGCGTCGCAATCGTCGCAACAGTCCTTCACCATGAGCCAGCAGTCTCAGCCGGGGCGCACCGCCTCCTTCAACCGCGGCTACAGCGGTACCGTCGAAGGGCCCCAGATCTACTCGGTATGTGATGCTCCAGCCAATGCCCCCCCTGCCTTGAGCCGACGCAGCAGCTTCCGGACCATCGGGAAGCCATTGACTGACTGACCGACGTTGTGCGAAACAGGCGTCGTATTCGGGGGTCGACGTGTACGAGATGGAGGTCAACAACATCGCCGTCATGCGCCGCCGCCACGACTCGTGGCTCAATGCCACCCAGATCCTCAAGGTTGCCGGCGTCGACAAGGGCAAGCGCACCAAGATACTCGAGAAGGAGATCCAGATTGGCGAGCACGAAAAGGTCCAGGGCGGCTACGGCAAATACCAGGGCACCTGGATCAAGTTTGACCGCGGCGTCGAGGTCTGCCGCCAGTACGGCGTCGAGGAGCTGCTGCGGCCGCTGCTCACGTACGACATGGGCCAGGATGGTGGTGTCGCGGGACGCGGCGACTTCAATACGCCCACCAAGGAGCAGGCCATGGCCGCGCAGCGGAAACGCATGTACAATGCCGGCGCCGACGGGAGGCCCAATGGTCTGTCGGGCACCTTTTTCAAGAACATCTCGAGCACCGCGTCCCATGCGGTCGCCGCCATCAGCAAGGCTCGCTTTGGCTCGCCGGGGCCCAGGAACCGGAACGGGCCGACACGAGCCCCCAGCTTCAGCCGCCAGCCCTCGATGCAGAACGGCGATGACTTCCCCGGCAACTCGCAGCAGAGCTACGCCTCCGACTACACCAACCCGGCCGTCGACTCGGCCTACTCCACGCAGCAGCAGCAGCAGCAGCAGCAACCTCCGCAGCCGCAACCACACCAGCAGTCGTCGCAACATCAACAGCCCCAGCTGAATGGCAGCGTCAGCATGCCCGACAACGAGCCGCCTAGGAAACGAGCACGGGTCACCATGACTCCCGCCGACAGCTTTGCGTCCTATAGCCAGAATATCGATCCATATGGCTCCAACTTTGCGGGCTCGCCCACCGAACCAAACGAGTCCTTTGTCTATACGCAAAACACATTGAATGACCGCGACGCCGTCGTCGACGAAGGCAACGGCCCCTCACCTCCGCTGCCCTACGAGATGTCTCCGGACGTGGAGATGAAACGGAGCATGCTGATGGGGCTCTTTATGGACTCGGCTACAGAGGAGCTATCGCACGATATGCTTCAGACATTTACACCTCTTGAACTCGACATGCCCATCGATCCGCAGAGCCACACCGCACTCCACTGGGCAGCCACCCTGGCAAGGATGCCTCTGCTACGGGCTCTCATTGCCGCTGGAGCCTCGCCCCGGCGGGTGAATGCATCGGGGGAGACCGCCTTGATGCGGGCGTGTCTGGTTACCAACTCCATGGACCAGGGCTCATTCCCCGATCTTCTGGAAGTCTTGGGAAGCACCATTGAGTTTCGTGACCACAAGGGACGGACCGTCCTGCACCATATCGCGGTTACGAGTGCGGTCAAAGGGCGCAACGCCGCCAGCCGGTATTACCTCGAGAGCCTCCTGGAGTGGGTAGTAAGACAGGGGAGCGTCCCCAACAGTCAGGCAACACAACTGAACGGTCACGGACTCAACGGGTCGCAAAGCATTCCTAAGATGGGCATTGCGCGGTTCATGTCTGAGATTGTCAATGCCCAGGACAGCTCGGGGGACACGGCCCTCAACATTGCAGCTCGCATTGGAAACAGGAGTATAATATCCCAGCTTCTAGAGGTCGGGGCTGATCCGGAGATTGCCAACCGCGTCGGTTTGCGGCCTCTGGATTTTGGCATTGGCGGCGAGAACGCCGAGGGAAAGCCAAACGGGGATGCCGCCGTCGAGAAGAATGGCGCTCCGGGATCCAACCAGCGAAGCCGTGAGAGCAGCGACGAGATTATTGAATGTAAGCAGATCTATTTCGTTCTCGCCCCTCTCAATTACCCCCCCATCTGTCATTTGCTAACTCAACTACGCAACAGCCATCACCCATCTCCTGAACGAAACTGGCGCCACCTTCCAGCAGGAAATGAAGGCCAAACAGGCCTCCCTCGACAACCTACACGCCACCCTCCGAACGACCTCTACCCAGCTCGGCGAGGCCCGCCGCAGCGTCGAGCAGATCACCGCCACGCTTAAGAAGCAGCAGCTCGCCCGCCAAAAGGTCGCCAACCTCACGCACGCCCGGGAAGACGACCAGTTCAGGATCATGAACGAGCAGTCCAACGCCGCGCAGTCCAACCCGTCATCGTCATGGGAGACGGAGCTCGCCGCCATGCTTGAGGCCGCAGACGAAGCCTCGGCGTCGGGTGGCGGCGGCGGCTTCGCCAGCGAGGGCATGCTGCCTTCCGCGACGATCCTGCGGGCGCGCATCCGGGCCATTGAGAGCCGCAAGGAGGTGACGCGCAAGATGGTCCAGGCGCTCAAGGGGCGGAGCCGCGACGTGGAGATCAAGTATCGTCGCGTCGTGGCCCTGTGCACGGGCGTTCCGGAGACGGAGGTGGATGCCGTCGTCGACGGCCTGCTCAAGGCTGTGGAGAGCGAGAAGGACGAGCTGGAGATTGGCAGGGTGAGGAGGTTTCTGGGGGGGGTCGAGGGGGTGGTGCACTAGTGATGTCTGCTGCTTTTTTTTTTTTTACTTTTTCCTCGACGTCTCTCCCATCTTTCTACCTTGCTCTCTTGTAAACCCCCTCTTTGTGTTTTTATTGTTTTCATCCTTTTTTTTTTTTTTCTGGCTTGTTTGGATCAGGATTGTTTGACTTCTTTGTATATCTGTATATTGCATATGTGGGAAGGGTGTTTGTTCTGGACAACTATTTTGCTTTTGGCTTTGCTGTTGTTATCTTTTTATCTCTTCTTGGGCTGGATAGATGGTTGCTTGGTTCTGGACTACTCGAGGTGACATCGCTTTTTTTTATCTTTGATACACATATGTATCAACTTACCTTATAGTCATATACATATATCTGTATTGATACTTGCGTGTGACGTCTCCCCTGCTTGGGAATTAGTAGACAAGGTGATGGGGTAGTGGTATCTTGTATGTTCTGCGTCGTTACATTTTCGGCATATTGGATGAACTTCTTTCTTGACGCCCAGGAGCCTGTACAGTGATTTTGATTTTCGAACCTCGGTTTCGCTGTGTATGTCTAGCAGTAGAGAGTTATTGGGCGTTTCATGAATGCCCTTGTGATTTAACGAATCCATGATTCAACATGCTACGTACTGCCCTGGGAATGTTGTCAAGAAGCTTCCATTGAAGACCAACCCATAGAAAAGGTATCGAAGAAGCATAGAAGTGAAAGAAAGAAAAGACCTAATTACCATTGCCTCTTGAGCAGTATAGCAGATATCCACATGCCCACCCAACCAAAACGCCATACAATGCATATATGTCAACGGTGAAATCAACGATCCAACCCGTCTCATGCAGTTCAAGCAAGAAGAGTTCTTGAACCGGTGCCAAGAAGAAAGGATTCCCCAAACTCTGCTTAGGAACCGTTCCGATACGCCACCTCCCACTTCCTCTCCACATCCCCAATCCTCTTCCTCAGCCCCTGAATTTCGCCATTCAGCTCATCCAGATTCCTCGACAGGGCGCTGACTTCTTCAAATCTCCTGGCGCCAGTAGCTGACTTGACCATTTCCTCCACCAGAAACTTTTGCTCTTCCAGGACGATGAGTCGTTCCTTCAGCTCCTTTTCCTCCGTTTCCAGCAGGCTCACTACCGTGCTCGCCTCGCTGGGCGCTTGAGAAGCTATGTCAGACTCGGCAAGCTCTGAATGCCGCAGGCTGGACGTCGAGTGGTTGGTCGAGGGAAGGAAATGTGAGTGTGACGATGATGATGAAGGCGTGGATCGATGGCGCAGCATCTGAGGTATGTTCTTCAGCGGCAGCATGTTGGTGTGTAGAAATGAGCTGGCATAAGCATATACCGCGAGCTGCAGTCTCTGCTGGGTCGGGTTATCCGCCTTGAGGTCGCGCAGTCTCCTGGCGGCAGACCCGTACTTGGTAAAGCTGTCTATCAGGCGTTTCCGTATTTTGCTCGCTTCCTGGATTTGCGCGTGGGTAGGCGGAGGCTTGTTGAGGTCAATCTCCCCGTTCTCCTTGACCTCGGGTTGCAAGGCCACAAGGGCGCGGTGAAAGCTCGGTAGGAGCTGTCGAATGCCTCGTTCGAATTGCCGAAGCGTCTCATATGCTCGCTGGTCCGGCGGTCTATACGCCAAGGATGCTGCAAAGTCGCGGGCAGAGAAGATGGTGTCGTTGCAGTCCTTGCACATCCGTATGTTCACGGCTATGTGGCCGTTGCTAGCTGCAGAAGGCGGCTTCTCTACGCCAGGGCCGGTTGCTACACCTGGAGTTAGCACAGGGAACACAAGGGGGGAAAAGTGTCGAGGGTGAGAGGCACGTACGTCCGGCGATGCTAAGACTGACTTCGGATGAGCAGCCAGTTTGAGGGTCACCGCATACTACGCGCCCACATATCCGACAGTGATGCCGCCTAAACGTCCAAGAGCGGAATTCCTGGTGGCAAAAGGGGCACTCGGGCACCTTGTCATCCTCCTCCCACGTCACCACAGACTGCTCAATCAGTTTCCGGGAATTCTTTTGCCCCGTCAGAGACTGAACAGGGGCCAGCAAAGAGCCGTTTGATGCGTTGGAAAGCGCCTCGGGCGAGTTTGCAAGGAGCCTCGTCAGCTTGGTCAACCGTTTCTCCAGCCGCGTAACCTCCAAGGTGTGCCTCTCGACCTTCTTTCTTCTGACGGCCTTGAACATGTCGGTGTGATCGACCGAGAGCCCGTTGTGGTCGTTGTATCCTTCCCTCGACTTGTAGCACGTCTCGCATACTCTTGCCCAGTATCCGCGGACTGGCTCGTGGCTGGCACTCCGACTGAGCTTCATCTGGTACATGGTGTGCTGCTCGCAAAAGAGACGGCCGCATTTGCGACAGTTGACGCTTCCGTTCAAGGGCCCCAGCCTCTTCTCACACGTAGGATCCGTACATACATCATAGCTCGTCGAGCGCTGCCAGTGACTCCTGGTTATTAATTCCTCCGGGTCGATGGGCGCTTCTATGGGGAGCTTGCCGGCGGAGCTTGTGGCTGTCGGTGGGACGATGGGATGGGAATCGTTGGACTCGAACACTTCGAGGCCGCGCAGCTTCAGGTTGATCATGGACAGCGGCTGGAAGCGCTTCGCTTTGAGGACCTGCTTGTCGAACCATGTCTTGACCTCGTTTTGCTCCTCGACCGGGAGTTCCTGGTGGGTATCGTCGATGTGCCGGTTAAGCTGCAGCAGCGTGACCTTGAACACGCCATGTTAGACAACGTTTACCCCCCTCTGCGGCACCACGGCACTCATACCATCTCCTCGCTGCAAATGGGACACACGAGGCTTGACGCATCGGCTGCGCTGCCCTTGGGCTGTGTCCCGACGCTGATGCTGGAGCCAATATCCTGGGTCAGGTCGGCCAGGCTGCCGCTGGCAGGCGGCGAGATGGAGGAGGAGGCGACGGAAACGGTGCTCTCGGAGGGGGCGAAGGGACTGGAAGACCGAGCAACTGGCGGAGGGGTCGGGCCAAGGCCCTTGCCGCTGCCCAGGATCCTGCCGCCGCCGAGCCTGCGTCCAGACATGGTGGTTGTGATGGGGGTCGGTTGAGCGAGGGAGAGGCGGAAGAGAACAGAAGACACATACAGAGAGAGGGAGAGGAGGGGAAACAAGAGCAAGAGAAAGGGCCAAAGAGGGGACAGGACAAGATCACAGAGGCAACCCGCAACGACGAGACGACCAGAGGAGGCCGATCCGGGCCTCGAGCTGCATAGTAGTAGCAGAAGCAAATAACATGAAGGAAGCAATTCCTGGGAAGGCTAATAAATGACAAGCTGCCTGTCTGCCTGCAGGCGGGAAGACTGTTGGCTGTGAGGGGGGGCTTGTGGGCACATGTATATCTACATGCGCAGCCTGTTGCGTCGCTGCCGAGGATGGCTCCCCGCTAATGGCTCGATGCTACAGGGATCAGCTTGCTGTGCCAGGGCGCTAACCGGGCGCCATTACAGCGGGCGGCGGCGTGTCAAGCGCGCTGGGAGGTGCTGTGGCTTCCAGTAGCCGGTACAAGATAGCACTGCAGTCGTCACATCACATCAGCTTTGCCGCATGCTACGTATTATCAGCTCGCCTTATCGGAGTCGAAAAGTGCCCCAATTCCGATCCGGACATCCACCTAGTCCAAGACATCCATACCAACAAAATCAAATCCAAGAGTCGCATCTGGAACATTGAAGCACTGTCGCGTGGGCTCAAAATCACCACTTATACTGTACAGTTTGCTTCGCATCCCTGCTTTTGACAATGGCCAAGCAGTTTCCCCAGGTCCAGCCGGGAGGCAGCCTGATCCTGGCCTGGCGCGTCAAGGACAAGAACGTGTTAGTGGTCGGCGGTGGTGAGGTATGTCAGCGGCTTGCTTCTCCATGTCGTTTTCTTCGCCCCAGCATCAAATGCATGAAGCCATCGCGACTGACAGGCGCATCCCCGGCAGGTCGCGGCCGGCCGCATCCTCAACTGCCTCAATGCCGACGCCCAAGTCACCGTCGTCTGCCCTGCCTCCGGGCTCAACGACGAGGTCGCCTTCCGCATCGCCGAGAAGCAGGTGACACACATCGACCGCCTGTTCGAGCCGTCCGACCTCGACAGGGCCGACATGGTGCTGGTCGCCATTGACGACCCAGCAGCCTCGACGGCCATCTGGAAGCTGTGCAAGGAGAAGAGGATCCCGGCCAACATCGCCGACGTGCCGCCCGAGTGCGACTTTTACTTTGGCAGCGTCCACCGCGACGGGCCTCTGCAGGTCATGGTCAGCACCAACGGCAAGGGGCCGCGGCTGGCGGCATCGCTGCGGCGGCACATTGCCAGCCAGCTGCCGCCGAATGTTGGGAATGCCATTGAGGCCATTGGGGAGCTGAGGACGCGGCTGCGCAGGGTGGCTCCCAACCACGACGACAGCATGAAGCGCATGCGATGGTGAGACGAAGTGACAACTGGCTCTTGGGTCGCACATGAAGATACTGACAAACGGGGTGTTGTGCATAGGATGTCCAAAGTCAGCGATACCTACAAGTGGGAGGAAATGAGCGAGCTCACGGAAGAGGACATGGAGAACCTGCTGCTGTTCTACCCGGCAAACAAGGTTCCCGATATCGACATTTTAAAGTCCCTGCGCGGTCCAGACAACGACGTGAAGAAGCTCGACATATTTGACGGATCATTCGGATTCAGCGTCGGCTCATGAAGGGGTGCCAGTACAGTCTTATTATATTTGGCGGAGGATCTGTATGATGTGTTGTTTTGGAGTATGGCCGAGCTGAAGGCATATTTTGTGTTGATGTATTATAGCAAGCAGGTCTTTTGGATAGGTAAGGTAAGGTAAGGTATAAGGAAATCATAGAACATTGCATCGCCTTCATTTAGGGTTCTTCAGCATTGCGGACATCAACGCGGCCACTCTTTCTGGGATATTGATGGGCAAAAGCCCAATTGCGCTGCTCAATTTCCGAGATGCCGAAACGCGGCATGTCGCCGGTTGGGTGACCGGAGATGCGCCTCATTCTCCGGTCAGGTCTTTCGGATACGATCCTGAAGCAACACCGAACATCAGATCTGCCACAGCTCGCCGATTGACTCACCCGGTGAAAAGATTTATTTTCCTGGACAAGGTGGCTGGAAAATAATTTCTTTCGCCGTATATATACAGCTACGGGGGGGAAGCAAGCATGGACGGGTCAAGAGATATGCGCAGCCTTGCTATTGCTACGCCAACGCTTGTTCGGCCTACCACCAACGCATAACACATAAAAGAAAGGGATATTCAGCTGGAAAACATGGCTCCCCCGACCGTCCTGATCATTGGCTGTGGCGTGGCCGGCCCTTTCCTTGCGATTCTACTCAAGAGAAAAGGCTATCAGCCGATTGTCTTTGAAAAGGTTCGGGAACTGGGCAATGCCGGGGCATCATTGATGATCATGTCCAATGGGTAAGTGCCGAGCTCACTGATTACAGTAGTATCGAGCATCTTACAAGAAATTGAGTGCTTACAAGATTTGTAGACTCAAAGTATTTGACTTGATTGGAGTTGCAGACGCCATCAAGGCCGAATCTCTCCCTCTCACGACCCTCTGGGATGCCAAAGCCTCGGGTGAGGTCCTCGGACAGTCCAATCTACCGAGCACCTTTGCCGACACCTACCGACAACCTGCCACTGGCATCAGGCGGACAACGCTCAATCTGCTTTTGAAGAGAAAGGTGCTGGAGGAGGGCATCGAGCTCAGGGAGGGGTGGGCGCTGGTCGATATCCAGGAGCACGAGGACTCGGTGACGGCAACTTTCAGCAATGGACAGTCGGTGACGGGCTTGTTTCTTGTTGGATGCGATGGTATCAAGTCGGCTTCAAGAGCCATTCTACAAAGGCAAAGGGGGGTTGAAGAAGGACTTCCTTCGTATACAGGTCTCACACAGGTATGTCTCAGACATGGCCAGTTTAGGATGACGGCGGAGTATGAAATGGCTAATGAAGGTGAGTGAACAGACGGCTTTCCTGTCAGAAACACCGGCGACACTTGAGGCCACGGCAGCGATGCGCAACTGGTACGGCGACGGAGTCCATGTCATTGCCTACCCAGTCGGCCCCAAGACAACGTCATGGGCCCTCACGCAGCGAGAGACTCAGGAGAGAGAAGAGACGTGGCGTCCGTTCACCGGTGACGAGATGGATACTCAGCGAGAGGCCCTTTGCAAGCTGCTCGACGGCTGGGATGCCAGCATCGCGCAGGGAGTGAGAGCGGCTGAGCGCATCATCAAGTTTGGCCTGTTTGACCGTGAGGAGCTGAGGCCGGAGGAATGGTTCTCGAGGCGTTGCGTCTTGGTGGGCGATGCTGCGCATCCTACGAGCCCTCACCTTGGACAGGGTGCCAACCAGGCCATGTCAGTTGATTCGAAATCCTTCCTCGCACTTATACGGAGTTTGTCCTAACACTCTCACCGCACAGGGAGGACTGCTACCACCTGAGCACCATGCTGCCGGATCTATCCCCCGGCAGCCAGCATGAAGACGACATCAACAAGAGCCTCGAGGACGTGCTGAGGAACAATCTCGCGGAATCCGTCTTCAGGCCATTTGCAGAGAAGCGCCAGCCCCGAACATCGACCCTCGTCAAGGGCGCGCGGGCGCTGGGCGAGATGCGGGTTGCCGTGGGCAGCGACAAGGGTCGAGAGCGAGACGAGGCGGTTTCCAGGTCGTACGAGGGCGATGCTGCTGCCATAGTGGCCAAGTTTGAGAATCTGTTGAGGCAGCCGTTTAATTAGTTATATAGAGCCTGATAAGCTGGGACAGAGACGGCATCAAGTTGTTGTCTTGACTTGTCGAGTGGCGGAGTATGGACGGGGATTTCTTGTGATATGCCTATACATCATCATACATGTACATACATATTCAATAGTGATTTGATGGCTCTGATATTGACACTTGTTTGATGAAAAGTTCGAGTTTTACCTCTATTGTAGTCGGCGAATGACTCTTATCGTCTTGGTTCTTGACTCCATAGGTACCGGGGAGCAGCCCAAAGTTTTAGTTGAGCAGCTGAAATTGAACTCTGCCATCACCTTGATATCTTACTCCCAATACCACATAATTTCAATCCCCCATTGACTCTTGATTCAGCTCTCGTTCAATCTTACCTCACCGAGCTTTTCAGACTCTTTCCCTTCATCCCTCTCCATTGTCTAGGTATCACAAGGGTAACCCCCTCGCTGAACAATTTCCGCCCGACCGGAGAATCTGCCCCTTCTCCGAACGCTGCCCTGCTCCCCTCATGTCCGCATCTCCGGTCAACCATCACCACCAGCAGCCCTCCGGTCCCAAAGAGGCCCATCGCCGCGGCGGCCGCAAGCCCCTGAGCTGCCTCGCCTGTCGCCGGCACAAGCTGAGATGCGACCGCAAGGTGCCCTGCGGGACGTGCATCCGCTACCGCCGGGAGACGCTGTGCCGCCAGAATCCGGCGCCTCCGAAGCGAGGCCGGAATGCTCGCGGTACTCACGGCCACAAGGCAGATGTTTGTGCTATCGACCCGGACGCTGGTTCGGAGGCGCCGGATGCCCAATCGGGGATTGCTGGAGAACCAGAAGCCCCGGGTCGGGGATCTGCGGACCGGGGGACTGCTCGCCTTCGTGTTCAGAGCAGCTTCGATCGGGTGCCTGGAGGCGACGAGCCACAGAAGACGACGGCCTTCTTTCTCCAATCTCTCGGTTTTGATGCAAAGACGACTTCCATCCCCGTGTCTTCGCTGCCGCAGCTCCTCGCTGAGGTTCAGAGCGCCGGTCAGCCGTCGGGGCTCTGGCACATGATGGAGGGAGCTTCGAGGAGGCGATACTGGGAGACGCAGCTGCGTTCCGCCTTGCCCTCGCGGTCCATGTGCGATTTGCTGCTCAACTATTACCTGGACCACATCAACTGGATATTCCAGATCACGCACGTGCCGTCTTTCCGCCACAGGTACGAGGAGGAGTTTTGGGACGTCGCTCCAGACCGCGAGCTGGACTTTATATTCGCGGCGCTTGTCTTTACCATCATCTCCGTCAGCGCTCTCTATGTTCCCCTTGGGGCAGTCGAGATATTCGGGTGTCCGCGGGAGTCGATCCGGGATCTTGCGCACGTGTGGCACAGGGCGTCGCATCAGGCGTTGCTGGCGGGTGATTATGAGGCGAGGCCTTGTGTGGTGCAGCTTCAGACGTTTGCGATTACGCAGTTTTACTGGTATGCGACCAACGGGATTGGTGCGCTCAACTCGTAAGTTGGCAATCGAGACGTTGGAGTGATGGAGAGTATGTGTGTGTGTGTGTGTGTGTGTGTGCTGATTGATTGTATAGACGGTTGGGGCAGGCTGTGAGAACTGCGCAGACTCTTGGGCTGGATAGGGATGTGACTCCGTCTCGCACGCTGGAGGAGGAGATGAGGCATCGGATATGGTGGGATCTCGTCGACTCCGATACGTAAGTGAGCCTCCCTATGCAAGTGATATAAAAGTGCCAAAAAAACCTAACATGTCTGGCTTTCAGGTTTCAGTCCATCTGCTTGAATCGTCCTCCCCTGATACGGCTCGAGTCTCCGGGCGTCCCCCTGCCACTCAACTGCAACGACAGCGACATCACAGACTCCTTCGTCAAGCCACGCCCCCACGATGAACCGACCATCATGATGCTCAACATCTTCAGAGCTCGCTTCTTCAAGCTCATGAATCACCATCTCTGCCACAGCAGCGCCGAAGACGCGCGCTCCTACGAGGCCATCTGCAAGCTTGACGACGAGGTCCTCAGCATCACCAAGTCTTACCCCTGGTTCTTCCAGCTCGATCCCGACGGCAGGCCACCCTTGCTTCCGCAGCCTCTCGGCGAAATACTCGTGTGGCAAAATCACATTATATGGACATGCATCAGCACGCAGCGCATACGCATGTACCGTCCCTTCCTAGCATCCCGCGTCGGTTCCTCATGGACAAAGTGCATCGAGGCGGCAGAAGACGCAATGGCCGTGTACAGATCCTCCATCCGAACCAATCGATCGCCTACCTCGCTGCAAAAGTTCCTGCCGCAGGCGTATCAGATCTTTTCCGTTGCGGTGACAGTCACGGCGCTGCTTCTCGTGGAGGGCTCGCTGCCGATTGCGAATGCACGGCAGCAGATTCGGGACATGGCTGATGATTTGCGGATGGTGGAGGACCAGGGCTGTGTCTCCCCTGTGGCTAGTCGTGGGAGACGGGTTCTTCTCAAGATGCTGAGGCTTGTGGATATGGGGAGTGAAGGGTTGGGTTCAGCTTCGGGGCAAGATGAAGATGCAGAGGCAGATGCAGACGCAGATGGGCTTGTGGCGGAGATTGGATTCATCTTTGGCGGAGAGCAGGCTGCGCGGACGTACATGCAGCGGCTTGCGTCACGAAATCAGAGGCGCACGAGTAGGTCGATGGCGTTGACGACGAAGAAGCAACAGCAACAGCAACAGCAACGAACTGCAACAATGGAGGAGGCGTCGCTTCCGGACCAGCAGGTCGGGGATCCGCTTGAGAGGGCGGACGAAGGCACGGCGTACATGTCGTCTGTGGGAGCGCCGCTGCAGTATGTCGGTGAGGCGGATCCGTACCAGATGAGTCTCGACGTGATGGATGATGTGGTGTTGCAGAATCTGTTCAACTTTGATATGACGGCGCTCATGGCTGATGCACGGTATGACTGAGGGCGTGGCCATTAGGCACGTATGTATATTGTTGTAGATATATTTTCTGGTAAACACGAGTACCTGTTATGCCATAACCCGGTCTATTGGTATGATTCTCTGCAAAACAATCAATCGGACTCTAACTCCCTAGAGTCGACATGCTCTATACTACAGGCGACTCTGTGCAAAACATTCAACCTCAACGAGCTACAACACTGCGTCCACCATCACGCGTGACCCTCTCACGCACCCGAATCTTTAGGTGTCCATGAGACAACTTGACGAGCTGCGGGTGTCTCTTTTGCTTCTTCTCATCGTTATCCTCCAATTTGACGCCGTCGCCGTTTGCGATGGAGTTCCTCTCGGACTTGGTCACGCTTCGACGCACGTCAATGATGGCCGAGGGGCAGAAAAGCAGAGCCTCGCCACGTCGCAGAGCGACAATCTTGGTGAAGAGCTCTGTTGTGAGCTCGTTGGCAGTGAGGGGCAACTTGACAACCTTGCGGTCAAAGTCGTCGTCGTCATCATCATCATCATCGTCATCGTCGTCGTTGCAAACTTCGTCCAACGGTACGATGGAGGCGCCGGCTAGATGCTTCTTCAAAGCCTGCATCCAGTCCGGCGAAGTGAAGCGGTGGACGATTGTGGTCGAGCACAGGTCGAGCAGCTTTGGCGAGATTGTCGGCTCTTGCGTCGAGATGATGACTCGAATGCCCAAGTGGCGCTGGACGCGAATGTTCTCAAAGAGCTTTGCCGTGAGGACGGCGCTCTCGACAGTGTCCGTCATGTACTTGTGGGCCTCGTCGAGGGCAATGACAAGGCCGGCGTCTGCTCGGTGTTGCAGGAAGAGGTCGAGACAGATGTTGAAGAGCGAGCAGGCCGTCTCTTCGGTGACGCAGGGACACGAGAGGTCCACAATGGTGAGTTGGCCAGGCTGCAATATATATCTTGTTAGCCTGTTGTATTGATCAAGAGTGTGTGTGTGTGAAGGCTTGCCTTGCATTCCCAGCTATTTCCCTTGCCCTGGCTCTGCAAGGCCTTCTTGTTTGCAATTTTGACCACTTGCTCCCGTACCATGAAGCTCTCGAGGTTGTCGAGACGCTGCTGAAGAGGGCCGAGTTGACCAGGGGCCAGAGCTGCGTCAATCGTCAGGCGACTCTTGAACTCTCTGTAGTTGAACGTTGTGCCGTTCAACTGCTCCTCAATGCGCAGGTCCTTGAGAATGCGCTGGACGACGTGGAGATACAGCGGGATGCTGCCCTGCACGGAGCTGACGGCCATGAGCTCCATCATCTTGCGCGTGTCGAGGTCCGACTGGTTGATACGGAGCTCCTCCACCACAACTTGCGGCAAGTGAGAGTATATTGCCTACAAAGAGGTGATTAGACATGAGATGAATGCTCGAGTCATGTAGACGTCTTGTCACATACCTTGATGTCCTTGATGTTGGTTGGAGCACAAAGCACCCTCACAGAGATGTCCTTGGCCGACGACAGATAGGCCGCCTCGCAAGGCGAGCCACCGAACGGATCGTAGTGGAAGACGATGCCTGTCAGCGGACGAGGCAGCACGTTGGCCTTTGACTGGGTGAGGAAGTTTTCGAGAAGACAGCTCAGGGAATGGCTCTTGCCAGACCCCTGACTACCGCATATGAAGACGCTGGAGGGAGCAGTCGTGTTGAAGAAGAGACGGATGTCCTTCTCGTGGGTTTCGGAAGGGTTCTTCAGGGCGTTGCTGCTTTCGAGGATACCGGCGAGAAGGCCATACTGGGCAATGCTTTCTTCCTTGCCATTTGCCTTGAGGTTAGTGCCGTATTCGAGAACGGCCTGAGTGAACACGGGGGTCGCTGCGAGCTCCTCTGCGTCCTCGTTGCCGTCGTCCAGGCTCAGCAGGGACAGGTGAGCAGCGAGAGTCAAGTCTTTGCTGGATGCAGAACCGGCGGAGGGCGAGCTGCTAATTGAGGCTGAAGAAGACGAGCCGCTGCTCGAGGTTGATGGCGGAGAGCCCATTGTGTCGAACACCTTGCGAGCGCAGGGACAGAGTTGCAGGTCCTCGATGGAGCACAGGAATGTTGAGATGTAGACTCAAGAGCAGGAGCTGAGACCCGAATGAGGATGAAGAGATGCAATCAGTTAAGATAAACAAAGGCTTCCTGATCCAACAATTGAAGGTAAATAAGAGCTCTTTGACCAATGGTTGGAGGGCTTCAAGCAAACGGGTCGACAACATTCACTCGAGGCCTGGATATGGGGTTGTGGGCCACCCAAGCGGGAGGCCTTCAAATGTCTCGAGTCGACTCGGTATGGGTAAGACATTTGGCTTGTGGTAGATATAAAGGCTGAAATTTCATCATGCAGGGAGCTTCAAAGTACCATCTCGGAGCATGATAGGAGGAATTGGGATTGGGTAGATGAACGTGCTACGTCGGTTGCGATCTTGCTTGAACCGTTGAATGATTTCGTGGTTGCAGTCTTGCGTTCTCTCTCGGTCTATAAGTTGATGTGCTCTGTCACGACATGAGTGGGTAAGTGCTGTATGATGATTCAGTAAAAAAACGGTGAATATTCTTTCAAAGGGAAGAATGAGATTCACTGTAGCATCCAGATTCTAAGGCTATCCACGCTGTGACGGATATCGCAGCTCCCGTGACGCTGAGGATTTAGACCAAGCAAGCAATCCCAATCTTGAGATCTGTAAACTACGATATCATCCAAACGCAACCCAAGACTGCAGAGACGTTTATGAATTGATATTTACACATAGATTAGCTACCTTTTTGTGGTTGCCTGAAGGTCGCTTAGTTTGCACTCATATGGTAGTACTACATGTATCTAGGTATGAGGCTCTGCAGTGGAGGTTCGCCACGCGGGGTGCGAGTATTAGATAACGTCATGGGATCTGGACATCTTGACGACAAACTCGCCTTCGTCTTCATCTTCCTTTTCTTTGAAAATAAGCAGAACATCTGACATTCTTCTACATCAATTCAGTTAAGAGACTCATTTCAAACACATCACAGAATGGGCAGCGTCGACACTTCGATTCACTCAGCAGCCAGCGGCGCTGCCGCTCAACTGGTAGCTCGCCACGCAGACGAACAGCCACTCAAGCTCTACGCAGGCTGGTTCTGCCCCTTTGTCCAACGAGCCTGGATGACGCTCGAGGAGAAGAAGATCCCGTACCAGTACATCGAGATCAACCCCTACAAAAAGGAGCCAGACTTCCTCAAGCTGAACCCGCGCGGCCTCGTGCCCACGCTGGGCGTGCCCGTCGACGCCGCGGGGACGCAGCAGAAGCCGCTCTTTGAAAGCTCCATCATCATGGAGTACCTCGACGAGGCGTACGCAGACGAGGCCCAGCACGGCCCTCGCCTGCTGCCGGGGGATCCGTATCAGAGGGCCAGGGCGAGGCTGTGGATCGATCACGTCAATTCGAGGATCATTCCGGCGTTTTACAAGTTCCTGCAGCACACGCCTGAGAAGGACTATTCTATCGACGAGGCACGCGAAGAGCTTCACAAGCACATCAAGACTCTGGTGGCGGAGATGGATCCTGAGGGCCCGTGGTTCCTGGGGAGGGACATAAGCTTGGTGGACATAAGCTTGGCGCCTTGGGCGAAGAGGCTGTTTTTGATCAATCACTACAAGCCTGGCGGGCTTCAGATCCCAGGGGAGGGTGGTGAGGGGAATGTGTGGACGAGATGGAGCTCGTGGATGAAGGCGATTGAGGATCGGCCAAGCGTCAAGAATACATGGAGCGAGGAGGACAAGTATATCGAGGTGTACAAGAGATATGCAGAGGACACGACGAATTCGCAGGTGGGACAGGCGACACGTAAGGGAACCAAGCTTCCATAGATGATGATTCTCTACAACTATTCGGTTCCAGAATCATGATGCACAGTCGAGCCCTCTTTGCTTTATGTGACCACATCTACGTACAGTGAAATCCAGGGTATCACGATGGACATGAAGCTGCCTCGCCACAGTGTCAACCCGCATAGACCTGCACGGTAACACTCTGATAACAACTTAAAGCTACCGATAAGCAGCAGCCAAATCGCCTGTAGCGCAACAACCTCCAGCACAAAACCTCCACCCTTCCCACCTCCAAACCCCCAATCAATCAACCAAGAACCGCCCGCCATGTCGAACCAGCAAGCCTCGCGCTTCACGCCCCAGAACAAGACGACCAACGAGCGCCTGTCGACACACACAGTCGGCCTCGTAGCGCTCTCCGACTTCCGCAAGCGGCGCGCCGAAGTCCTCGAGCAGCAGGAGCGCGAGGCCCGCGAGGCCGCGCTCTCAGGCACGTCATCTTCTTCTACTTCAAAACTGCCGGACCGCTCGCAGACTGGCACTCCTGACAACGCTGGCAGTGACTCGACCACCGCCGCCGGCACCGGCACCGGCACCGATTCCGGGCCGCTGAAGAAGAAGGCCAAGAAGAAGAAGGCGAAGCAGAACCCGGGCAAGAAGCTCTTGTCTTTTGGCGACGACGATGACGAGCAGGAGGAGGATGCTGCTGCTGCTGCGGAATCGGAAGCTGTGAGCGTGAGCGCGCGCGGCGCTTCGACGGAGCCCTCGAGCGACAAGGACGCGGCGTCGGGCGGCGAGAAAAGGGCAAAGATCAAGGCCAATGCGGCGGTTGGGGTGATCCCCAAGGCCGTGACCAAGGCGGCGCTGCGCAAGGAGGCTGCGGAGCGAGAGGCGCTGCGGCGAGAGTTTGTCGCCCTGCAAGAGGCCGTCAAGAACACCGAGATTGCGATACCCTTTGTCTTTTACGACGGCGCCAACATCCCCGGCGGGACGGTCCGCATGAAAAAGGGCGACTTTGTCTGGGTGTTTCTGGACAAGGGCCGCAAGGTCGGCGCGGAGCTGGGTGTTGGAGAGCAGACGAATGCACAGAGAGCATGGGCGAGAGCAGGTGTGGACGATTTGATGCTGGTGAGAGGGACTGTCATTATTCCTCATGTGAGTCTTGTTTGTCTATCTATTCCGTTGATGCGTTTGATTTATCCTCCACTCTATTCTATGCTTCCTTCTATGCTTCCTTCTATGCCCCCCCCCCCTCCCTTTCTATGCAGCCATTGTATTCCCGTCTATCGCTTGTCGTATGCAGGCATATGCTGATACCGGTACCAGCATTACGATTTCTATTACTTCATCGTCAACAAGACCACCGGGCCCGGTGGCAAGCGCCTCTTCGACTACAGCGCCGAAGCGCCGATCCGACCAAGCTCGACCGACGACTCGGACGGTACAAGCGGTGGTGTGTTGGTGACTCCGGCTGAGAAGGCTGCAGCGGCCAAAGCGCGACAGCCCGACATCTCCACGCTGGAAGGGTACAACGAGGACCCGACCCTGACAAAGGTGGTGGATCGCAGGTGGTACGAGAGGCACAAGCACATCTACCCGGCCAGCACGTGGCAGGAGTTTGATCCGGAGATGGATTACTCGACGCAGATTCGGAAAGACAACGGCGGTAACACGTTTTTCTTTGCAAAGTGAAGAGGTCGGATAGTGTAGGCGTGAGTAGTGAGACTGGAGCTCATAGGATGGAGCAGCGTCGAGTAACCGAGAACCGGCCGTTTGCCGCTGGTCGTGTGGAGCTGGAGGTGGTTCTCTTTGTCTCTTGATGAGGTGTTGCGAGAGCGTTTGTCACTCAATCGATTTGATTCATTGACCAGTCAAATCAGCCGGCGAGTTGCCTCAGAGCAAGGACGGCAGCACCGAGAAAGATCCAGCCAGGCCAGAAGACGAGGAGGAAGAAGGCGTTGCCGCAGCCGAGGATGAAGACTGCAAACTCGTAAAAGAGCTTTGCGCGGATTTTCTGGATCCTCCTGGACTGCCAGAAGTCGACTACGGTCTTTGAGAACATGGCGGATGCGTGCGTGAGGAAGGACTGCGAGGCGAATAAGGCATGAGAAAGGAGATGCTTGCCGGCGCAGGACGAGGCGAGGAGCAGGGCACGCGAGATGAAGAAGGAGTAATAGCCTTGCAGAGAGACGACGACGACGATGATTGTATTTGTATAGACGTGCAGAGAGACGAGTATGTTGTAGACACGAAGAGAGATGGAGGAGCAGAGGCGGGCGAGGCGGGCCTGATATTCAAGGGCAAGGGGAAGCGCAGCGACGGTCAAGAGGCTTCCAAGAGCGACGATGATGGACGAGTGGGGCCGGAAGCCGGCGGTGGGCTCGAGCCGAGATGACGTCAACAGGGTGACTTTGTCCATTGGCCAAGAGATGGATTGGGCAAAAGGCGGCGGAGACGGTGAGGGTCTGTGGTGAGGAGGTGCGAAGATGCTGGAAGCTGCAGAGAAATGAGGTGATTTTTTTTTTTTTTGGATGAAAAGTTTTAGAGGAAGAAAAGGAAAAAGAAAGTGAATGGTGGTGTTATTTATTCAATTAGTATATGGAAATGGATGGTTGTGTGTTTTTGAGGGGGGGATTCTCTCGATGCGAACCGAACCCGCCTACGAAGTGCCGCGAACGGATGATCCATGAACATGCCGCTCATTACTGGATCTCGCTACAGGTACAACTAGGTATTGAGGGACATGACGGATGAGATTATTCGAACCAGGCTCCCTTGATTTCCAAAGATCCGCCATCGTCGAGTTGCAACGAGCCAATCGGAGGCGCGAATTCGGGCAGATGACGGGCTTCCCCTTCACCCCAGCGCTCATCTTTCCAACGGCACAGCAGTGCACGCCTTGTTTTTTTTCGTCGTGTTACTCGCTGTATGTATGACGAGGGAGCTAGAGGGAGCCATGCATGGGACCAAGGGGGAACACGTGTGAAATGCAGGAAATGGGTGCATGTTGCTGCTGCATGCGGCAGGACGGGAAGCGTGGAGAGATTGGGTTGAAGTCGTCGGTTATTACTTGTAGAGAATCGCGGAGGGAGTTTGGTGATGGGCCACGTGGGGGAGATGCTTGGTGTTGAGTTGGTCGTTTGGGGGGATACGATAAGGTAAGGTGGAGGCTTTACATGTAGTGTGTGTGTGTGACCAAACTCGTGAGCTAGGAACTGTAGCCCGTGATAAGCATTGTATTGATTATAAAACGTGGACTGAATGAGTCGTGTATGAGATGGTATTGACTGTCGAATGGGGGACGAGTCTCATGTTGAATGAAACAAAAGAGATTGATGAGATTTGATGAGATTTGATCAAGTTGCTAAGCGAGCTTTGCTACCGAGAGCTGCTAATCTGAATCTATGGAGTTCGCTGGCGAAAAGACAAAGGACGGCTAATTTCAAACGAGCGAGCATGGGCATGAGGCGTTTAAACAAGCGCTCGAATGAGATGCATCTCGCCTAATCAACTCGAGTGTGAACAGGAGGACCCTGCATTTGCCAGGTCCAAGCGCGATCGATATATTATTACCTATTGTTTGAAACCTGTACCTGTTTGGTGTTGATGTGTTTGTTCCTGAGGTTTGGCTTGGGCTTGGGCTTGGCTAGCCAATACCTATCCATAGGTAAGTCATGGCTAATGGTGAGCCCACGTGGCTGTCTGATGGACTTTGCTGGTATTACACGTTGAAGGAGTTTGGCATCGATAAGTCATGAGATGGCATGACATGGAGATGAGTTCATGGGCAGGTCGTTTGCAGGGAAAGAATCAGCTTGGATGGTTTGATCGAACATGTCTGGTGGTGAATGGTACATGTATCATGGAATGTCACTGTTATCAATATCTTCTGGAGCGTCTACAGGTTGATACACACACATCAGACAGGACACACAATCTCCCAACACCACGCACATCAACCATCAACTTCACTATTCTGCTGGGCTCAAAACACATGCCCCCCTCCATCAACAACAACATCCGCCCCGTTCAGATAACTCCCCGCCCGGCTCAGCATCATCACCACCACCCCAGCCACCTCCTCCGGCAACCCCATCCTGCCCATCGGATTCCTCTCGTTCCAGATGCTCCTCGCGGCCGCCAGCCCCTCGCCCTCGTTGAGCACCGTGTCCATGTACCCCGGGCTGACGCTATTAACCGTGATGCCGTACCGCGCCCACTCCGCCGCCAGCGAGCTCTTGAGCATCAGCAGCGCCCCCTTGCTGACGTTGTACGCGGCCTGCGGCTGCGGGAAGTTGACCCTGTGCGCGGATATCGACGCCGTCAGGACGATGCGCCCGCCCGTGCCCTGCGAGACCATGGCGCGGGCGGCGGCGCGCGCGCAGATGAATGCCCCCGTGGTGTTGACGTCGAGGACCTTGCGCCAGGTGGAAATGGGCGTGTCCAGGGCGTGCGAGCAGGACACGATGCCCGCGAGGCAGACGAGCATGTCGACGGAGCCCAGGGACTGAACCGCTTCTTCCGTAATGGCTGCGTTGACGGCATCTTCGTCCGTCACATCTACGGAGCGAGCTGCGATGGAAGCCTGCGGGAACTCGTCTCGGAGCGCCTGCACGGCGAGCTGGGATGATGAGGCGTCGACGTTGAGGTCGAGCAGCATCAGGCCCGAGGCGCCGTGCTGCAGGATCGCGCGGGCGACGACGAGCCCGATGGCGCCGGTGCCGCCTGTGATGACGGCGTTGCCGGCGATGCTGAAGCGGTCGAGTGCGGAGTCGTGGGCGGAGGAGGAGGAGGAGGAGGAGGAGGGGGGGGGGGAGAGGCCGGAGGAGAGGGTCATTTGGGGGAGGATGCGGGAGGTGAGGGCTTCGCGGTCCGAGGTGTGTGAGTTGGCCATGGTGATGATTATGATATGTGATTGATTGAGGTGAAGGGAGGTATATGAGGTTGTGAGGCTTGATGAGATTGGAGGTTGTGAAGTTTTGAGGAGTTGATGGGATGAGTTGTGTATGTAGGTAGATCCGGCTAAATGGGAGGATCGTCATGTTAGTCAGGTAGGTAGCTGGTGAAGACTGTCAAGTATTAGGGAGTACTCTAGACTATGGACTATACCTGTGCAGTGTAAATCTTCTCCAGTCTCTAAATAAGGTATAAAAGTTACCAATCGCTTATCCTGACATTGAAGCTGACCATGTGGCAGTTGTATATGTGTATGGCGACCAGGTATATAAGTGAGGATCTCTCAATATCCGGGCAAGATATCGCTACATGTACACTTGAAGCATCGACTCATCAACGGTTTCCCGGGGAATATTGTATAAACAACAATATACCTCTCGAAACATCTTCATCATCTCCAAAAGAGTGTCCACAAGATGCTCTATCAAGTTGCGAATCCGTATAATCATAAGCCGCTTATACAGCACATGCACTCAAACCCCCCACCTAAGCTCTTATATCCGGGTGAAGCCTCACATATCCTTTCATACCCAACTTCCTACTTACACACGCCCCCAACCGCTCCAACAGAGAACTCACCAATACATTCACACAAGAAACATATAGTTGAAAAAAAAAAAAAATGACACAAACAGACCAAATCCACAAAGACGCAACCCTCGTCTACAACTACCACAAAATGAACCTTCCCCTCCGCCCCGCCTCCGCAATCTTCTGCCTCTGCAGCCTCGACACGCGCATCGCCGCCCACGCAGCCCAGCTCTACCTCGACGGCATCGCGCCCTACCTCATCTTCTCGGGAGACTCAGGCGTCCTGACAAAGGGTCTCTTTGCCGAGCCCGAAGCGGTAGTCTTCGCGGCCATTGCGCGCGAAATGGGCGTCCCCGACGACAGAATCATCGTCGAGCCGCGCGCGAGAAACACGGGCGAAAACGTTCGCTTCACGTATGACATGTTGCGCGAGAAAGGGCTGCTGGAGGAGTTGAAGCGGAGCCTGGTGCTTGTGCAGAAGCCGTACATGGAGAGGCGGACGTATGCGACGTTTCGGAAGCAGTGGCCCGATCAGCGGACGCTGTTTACCGTGTCTTCGCCGGACCTGAGCTTTGGCGAGTATCCTGATGCGAGGAATCCGCGGGAGCTGGTGACGAGTATCATGGTCGGGGATCTGGTGAGGATCAAAGAGTATCCTGCGCGGGGGTTTCAGATTGAGCAGGAGATTCCGGACGAGGTCTGGGAGGCGGGGAAGAGGCTTGTGGAGGCGGGTTTTGATAAGCATTTGCCTTGAATCGCTTGGGGATGGATGCTCATGTATATAGAAAGACGGTGCTTCTTGTATTGACTTGGCTTGCAGTGAGAGAGGATATATGAATAGACTTGAATAGATCAGATGGCAGAGTTCTTCTCCCCGTGCTCGGCGGCCTTCTCCCCGTGCTCGGCGGCCTTCTCCCCGTGCTCGGCGGCCTTCTCCTTCATGTCCTTGGCGGCCTTCTCCGACGCACTCTTCAAGAACCCGCGGAAGCTTTCAAAAGCCAACTCATCGTGCCCTTCCAGCCACCGCGCCTCGACAGAGACATGCTCTCGCGAAACCTTCACGGCAACGCGGAAGCCAAACGTGCACACCTGCTCCGTCGCCTTGTCTTCACCCTTTCCTTGTTCGCCCGCCTCCGCCTCGCGCTTCTTCCGCCGCCGCCACGCCCGGGCCCAGACCTTGTCCACTGCCCTTCCGACGCCCTGGAGCTTCTCTCTGTCCCAGTCCCAGGACATGAGATCTAGTGCTCCAACGGCGCTGCTCAGATTCTCCGCAAAGAGACCAATGCTCCCGCCGAGCGGCATCTGGAAAGCAACATACTCTGTGATGCCCGGCAGGATCCCCTTTGACAAAGCCGCCTTGGTCCCTCTCGCGACGTGTTGTGCAGGACGCAACGGGCCGAAGCTCCATCCAATCGCCCACCGCCTCGTCTTGTTGCCCTGCTGAAACTCGGTGACGGCGTAGTTGTCAATCTTGTGCTCCCTCAGCTTGTCTATCAGACGCGTGAGGCTGGACAAGAAGCCCACCATGGCGGTGTACCAGCGCACGCGCTCGCGCAGCACGAGCGACTCTTGGAAGATGCGCTCGATGAAGCCCACCTCTCCGCCTTGCGTCACCATCTCGACCTTTGCGCCGGTGCATGCGGTGAATGGCGGGCGGGACTTTTCTTGTGCGCTTTTCACCATTGCCTCTTCGGATTCGTAAAAGGGCGGGTTGGTCATGGTGAAGTCGAGGGAGTCGACTTTGATGTCTTCTAGTGGGATGAGGGCGTCGTCCGGCTTGCGGCTGATGACTTGGATTCGGCTTTCAAGGTCGTTGAGCTTGATATTCTTTCTGGCCCACTCCAGGCTTTTGTCGTCAATGTCTTTCAGAGCTGTTAGTACGGCTGTGAGGTAAACGGTAGAGCCAGAAGGAAAAACGCACCGGTTGCAATGAATGACCACGGACGCTGGACGCATCCAAGCAGCGGGTATATGCAGCTCGCCCCGGTGCCAATGTCCAGCCCTACGGCTTTCCCGCCAGGCTCGTCGTATGATGTCGTGTCCAACAGGTCCTTGAGCCACAGAATATAATTGTGTCTATTTGCAACCTGGCCTCCCTGTTAGACTCAATTTCACACCAGAAAAAGGGGGGGTCTCTCTCACAGGAGGACATAGTCGATCCTCTGGCAACTCTATTTTCAGATCAAAGTCTACTTTGAGAAGAGACTTGGTGATTTGCATCACGGATTTTGGGTCGTTAAAGTTGAGGTCTCGTCCCTTGACGCTATTCTCACGTTAGCATGGCCATTCGAGCCATGGGAGGGACACAACAAACACGGCTGCGAATTCCGGGTCCAGGTGAGCCATCGCCTTGAAGTCGGGTGCTTTTGTGTAGAGATTCCGGAAATAGGCATCTTTCGATTCCTTGGCCAGGTGTCGATGGGATCCCCTCCCAGCTTTGGCAGGAGGCGGAGGCGGAGGGCGACCCGACGCATCTTCATCACCGCCCATTGTTGTAAAGTCACGCTTGACCGAAGAGTTGCAGGTCTCCATGAGCAGTGTAGAGGCGATAAAAAATTGAAGAATTGAAGAAAATTAAAATTGCCAGACTACAATGTGGTATGAAGAAAACATAGAAAGAGAAACGCGGGTGGCCCAAACCGGGTTGCGCTTTAAGCACACGCTTCGTTAACATCATGCACCTTTAGTAGGATATATCTCGTCATCATCGCTTCTCACAGCCAATTCACCGGCGAGTTGGCACCAAGCCGCCCACCTCGGCTGCTTCACTCGGCTTCACCACAGAATCACCCTCCATCTCCATCCCTCGAGCGCCTTCAGGTCCCGTTCCTCAATCTCCTGGCTGCTGTACTCGAGGCGCTGCGACAGCTTCTTGAGGCGCTTCTGCACCGTCTTGGCCACCCGCAGCGTCACCTCGTTCTGGAACACGTAGAGGACGGAGAAGACGAAAAAGGCAATGCTCGCCAGGCGGCCGTGGCCGAGCACCGAGTCCTTGATCCGCTGCAGGAGGCCCTTTGACTTGCGGAACGCGTACTCGGTGTTGTTGGACGAGACCAGCGACTCTGCGTCTGTGCCGCGGCGAAACAGCTTGCGCACGGCAGGGATGAAGGTTGCGCTGATGAGATGCAGTTTAGTTTTTTTCTTTACACAACCCCCACGATGAGATGAGACGAGACGAGACGAGTCGAGACGAGATGAGATGAAGCATGGAAACGGAAGGACTTACAGGATGCCTCCAAACAACCATCGTCGCCAGCGGTGGTTCTTTGCGTCCTTGACCATCCGGCGGACCCCGTCCTGCAGCGTCCGCAGCTCGCCGATCAAGACGCCCGTCTGGCCGCGAATCTGCCACTCCAGATCGACGGCCTGCGACGAGTAGCCAAAGGCGCGCCGCTGGTTCTGCAGGTACATGAGGTGCTTGAGGTTGCGCTGGCAGCTGGCCTTGACGTCCTCCAGGCCCAGCTGCGGCACCGCGGGCTTGTACGGCGACTGCAGCTGCTGCATCGGCCGCGCGACCTGGACCGGGTACTCGTACGGCCGCGGCGGGAAGTCGTGCGCCTTGGGATAGTCGCTGGCGACGGCGGCCCTGGGTGCGTAGTCGTTGGGCTTTGGCGGGAAGTCGCTGGGCTTGAACTCGGCGGAGCGCGAGACGGGCGTCGCCCTGGGGAGGTCCATGCCGCTCGGGTGGTTCGTCTGCTGCTGCTGCTGCTGCTGTTGGTGGTCCATGGCCGGGCGCATGGGCAGCGTCGTCGTGGGCGGCGCCGTCGTGATGCCAAAGGGTCTACTGGACACGGGCGAGTCAATGGGCTGCGGGTCGAGCTCCTTCAAGGGCGTGTTGGGATCCATGGTCTGGCGATGATGGAGGTTTCTATGTCACGCAGCAGCAGAGGAGAAGCGAAGAGAAGACGGGCAAGAGTTCACGGCTTGGGAGATGGATGGGCTTGGGGCAGAGCTTCAGCGGCGTTGGGAAGAGGATAGCAGTAGTATGGCGACGGTCGGTTTGGGGGTGGCTGGTAATAATGAGGCAGATGATGCACAGGGTCAAGCTTGAAGTTATTGCATGCTGCGATTTTATTTCGTTAGCCAAGCTGGACACGGACCCCGGACCAAGCTGAGGCGGGTAATAGTGGGGGCTTGGCATCATCCCGTATTAGCTGTTATGCAATTGAGCGAGGCGGTGGCTGTCACTGATGCGTGTAGGCGGGATGCCGTCATTGTGTCGGTACATGGTGGCTGACACCTGAAGCTGAAGCTGAAAATGAATACATTGGTGGTGCATGGTTGGATGTTTGACTCCAGTCAATTGATTCAGTTCGAACTTGAAGGGTTTCTCTTCATAAGGTAACGTTGGATATGCTACATACGATTTCACTTGTTCCCCCCCCACAGGGACTCCATACACCGGCACCGCCTCACCCTGAAAAGGCCCTCACCGACATGTGAGTATGTATATGTAAGTGCATTCCCACGTCTCCTGGCCAAGAGCAGTCTGTGCACCTTGTGAAGATTTTACCCCTAAACCCCTTTGTTTCTGGATTAGGTTTTTCGTATAGACTTGGTCGTGTCTGTCGAATCAAAGCCGGGTTCATCATGGCTATCTATACCGTTGTCCCATTGATACCAAGCCATAGAAAATCAGGCCATATTGCAAACTCAACATCAATAGATAGACATAATAGTAGCACCTCGGATAACGACCATAAATGTTGTATTGATGTAATATGCATCCCCTCCGGCTCAGCCACTTCAGCTCAGACTAAAGCGGACCCCCCGGCTGCTACTCGACCATCCATGCCACCTTTTGGCAGCTTTGACGATCGGTTTACTAGTGCCCATGTAGCCACTTTAACGCTCTTCAGACTCGTATGGAGTACAGTATGTATCATCACGGCTCCCAAGCAATGCCGCATGCAGGGACCTCTCGAAAGTCCAGGCACCTCTCATTCGGCCAGTTACTACCTATTCAACTAATTACTGCGTCGCATTCATACTATTATAATTGATCAACAAGGACGACGTGGCAGCCGGGAGATGCAACGAATCGGGAAGCACAAACACGAAGCAGGCATCAATGTGTGTGACTCTGATATGCACTTACACGCCGCTGCCCCGCGTCTGCCTGCGCTGCAGCCTGTTTGCTAGGCGCATGAGAATCTGCTTTAGCTTTGAGCCGGGCAGCTTTGCTGTTGTGTTTAGTTGATGGAGATGCGCCTCGGTTGGTTGGTTGGCTGGTTGAAGGACGGATGAATCGATTGCATTGCATGGTGCTGCGGCTGGGAAAGCGTCATAACGTATGATCTCTTGGCAGATGTGCGTATATATAAAGAGGCCATCATCCGTCTCTGAGCTTCGTGCATTCTCAACTTGAACAACCTTGATTAGCAACTACCTAGTATTGCTTGCTGTACAAGCGGATCGGTGTCGCTTGCAGTATTTCAAAGGCTCTCATATGCAATCCCTCTTGACAGTGTAATTGGCGAGCAGGTGAACTGAACAACATACTGTACCTTCAAAATGGGTGTCTCCGCCATCAGCGACCTGGAGACTGTCCACAAGCTCGAATACTTCGTCAGCGACCTCAACACCTCCTCCGTCACCCTCTTCCCCTCCAGGGCGCAGGTCCACCGAGAACTCAAGGGCGTCCAACTCAAGGTAAGCCACATTCATCTCACCAACACCTACTCACCATACCAAAGGTTCCAATTTCACTGACAAATATGTCACAGCGAGGCACAAACGAAGTCACCATCGTCGGCCTCAGCCAGACCGTCGACCCCGACTCATTCAAAGTCGAGAGCAACGGCACCGCGACAATCACCAACCTCGAAGTCGAATCCGTGCCCAACCGCCAGCGCTTCAGTGAAGTCTACCCCGAGTCTGAATTCGAATCCGATTCGGAGCCGGATGATGACGACGACGACGAATCATCCGGCGACGAGGCCAGGGCAGAGGACCGGGAGCTGACGTCGGCTCGGGAGGAGCTCCAGGAGCTTACGGATGCGCTGGCGAGGGCCACTGACGACGCGGGCAATGCGCAGAAGCGGCTGGACATGCTGCAGGAAGTGGGCAGGCTCAGCGAGCGGAAGAACGACGACCTCATCCAGGCCATCCTCGAGCAGTACAAGCACGAGCGCTCAAAGGCCTTTGCGGATCTGGTTGCAAGCAACACCATACAGAGGGAGCGCAGCAAGGACGTGGAAAAGGCCGAAAAGAGGGTCAACAAGCTACAGCGTGCACACGACAAGCGCAGTGCAAAGGAAAAGAAGGAGAAAGCACGAGCCAGGAAGGAAAAGGAAAAGAAAAAGGCCCTCAAGGACAGGCTCAAGGCCGAGGCCAGGAGAGAGCGCCAGCGCCTGCGCGACGAGCAGCAGGAGTTTTGGCCGTTCAACGTCTACAGCGTGCGCATCACCCTCGAGGTCGCCATCATGACGCCCATGACCTCGCGCCGCGGTTCCATGTCCAGCGACGCCGACATTGTCCAGATCCCATCGGCGCCTTCAGCAGCCGAAGGAGGCGGCGATGAAGCTGACGACGCCGGTCCGGTCGAGTGCAACCTCGCCTTCTCGTATGTCACGGCGTCGGCGTACTGGACGCCGAGCTACGACCTCCAGCTGTCGACGACGAATGCCTCCGCGTCGCTCTACTTTGACGCCATGCTCACCAACAAGACGAGCGAGTCGTGGAAGAGCTGCAAGGTGACGCTGTCGACGTCGCAGGCGACCTTCTCCGGCTTGTACGACACCATCCCCAAGCTGAACCCCTGGCGCATCAAGCTGGCGTCCAGGGGCCAGCTCCATTACACCAACGGTGACATCACGCGCAGCGCCGAGGAGATGTCGTATGCGATGATCAGTACCCAGCAGCAGCAGCAGGCGCCGATGTTGCTGCAGCAGCAAAGCTTCAACCGAAAGCTGAAGAGGGTGTCTGCCCCCCCTCTTCCTCCTCCTCCTGCTGCTCCGATGGCTGCACCACAGTCGGGCGGTCTCTTTGGCCCATCTGCCGTCGCTCCAGGGGCAGCGCCTCGAGGAGGAGGCGGTCTATTTGGCTCCATGTCATCCGGGGCTCAGCCGGCGGCAGGGGGGCTGTTTGGATCATCCTTCGGAGCGGGAGGTTTTGGATCTGCTAATCAGCAGGCTTTGCAGCAGCAGGCTCAGCAGCAAGCTTTACTGCAGCAACAGCAAGCTCTACAGCAGCAACAGCAACAGCAACAGCAACAGCAGCAGCAGGGACAACAGCAATCGCAAAACGTTCTCAACGACTTCGACTTCGACTCCTTCCTCCAAGAAGACGCCCAGCCCAACGACGGCTACGACGCCTCCTTGGTGGAAGAAACCGGCCTGACAACAACATACGACCTGCCCGGCCTCAAGACGCTCGTGCCCAAGAACAACGGGTCCAAGCAGCGCGTCGCGCGCATCGCCTTCTCCAACGTCGTCTTCAGCCACACCGTGGTGCCAAAGTACAAGCCCGTGGCGTACCTCAAGGCGAAGCTCAAGAACAACAGCAAGATGGCGCTGCTCAAGGGCGGCGCCAGCCTGACGCTCGACGGGACCTTTATGGGCAAGACGTCGCTCCCGCGATGCAGCTCCGGCGAGTCGTTTAGCCTCAGCCTGGGCGTCGACCCGGCCATCAAGGTGACGTACTCGAAGCCCGAGGTGCGCCGCACGACGGCGGGCCTGTTTGGGAACCAGGACAGCTCCGTGTACGTCCGGACGATGACGCTGCACAACACGAGGGCCGTCGGGGGAAGGCCCGTGAGCCTGTTGGTGCTGGACCAGGTGCCTGTTTCCGAGGACGAGAAGCTGCGCGTGGAGCTGTCGTACCCGAGGGGCCTGGCGGTGGACGGCGCGGGTGTGCCGACGGGCGAGGCTGGCAAGGAGGGCAAGGACGAGGGCTGGGGCAAGGCCGTGGCGAGGCTGAAGAAGGAAGGGCTGGTGAGCTGGGATGTTACGCTGAATGCGGGCAAGGCCGTCAAGTTGTCGCTCGAGTATGTTGTTTCTTTGCCGAGCGGCGAGACGGCGCATCAGGTTTGATTGGGTATCTGTGGGATTTTGGTTGGGGTTTTGACGGGCTTTGGTGGTTGTCTAAGTGAGGTTATCTCTCGTGGGGAGACATACATGTAACTGGGGTAGACCAATATCATGGATGAATAGGGACGTCATTTAAGCCTGGAAGCATAGGTATCAATGGATAATAACAGGACGTCTTCTGAAATAACTCAAAAGGATATTTCTTGTTTAACAATTGAAACAATATAAGTGCCAGGTTACCTAGGTACTCGTAAGTGCTCCAAGCCAGCACAAGCAAAGCATCCGGACTTTCAGACCCGTATAAGACACCAACGTAATTCAGCCTATGACCTGTGAAACACCGCGGAGGCAGTACAAGCCGCCTAACATCTTGCCTAGACCTCAGCCAATCTTATATTGACTTACCCTGCGTTTGAACCTACTCTTTGCCTTCTTCTTAGGTACGTCATCATAACAATATCAGCCCCAGGCTTATCGTAAGAATGCCGAGCTTAAAGAAAAATTCGAGATAGCCGAGACTATTAAACGAGCAATCATCTTCCCCTTTAGTTTCTTTGTGATCAATTCACTTCCATCAACTACTGCACTAGGAAACAAACAGCAAGTTCTCTCTCTTCCACCAAAGGGCTAAACGCACGGGGAGCCTTTCTCTTGGCCCTCCTCCAAAACACCCGCCGCCGGCACGGATGGCAAACGCCACCAAGTCCCAGGATCTCCCGAGCACGGGGTCAGAACGGGCAAACATCTCACAGGTTCAGTTATGGCGCCCCTTGCCTCGAAGAGTAATTGCAGCCACACACTTCATTTTGCTTGGGAGTGAAAAAAAAAAAAAAACCCCATATAGAAACAATAAGAGCAGCCCAATACTAGCGAATGCGACTTGAAGTCATTTATCAATCTGCGCGAGCTTCCTCGTGTTGCTGCGAGGTAGGCACCTTGGCACCCAAGTAACACACGAGCCCGGGACCGAAACGATGCGGGTTCCTGGAACGACGCGCTATGCTTGGATCTACGATCTGCCACAGCCGCTTCTATTGCCCGCGGGCTGGCCACGGCCACGGCCCGAATCGCCGCCTTGGCTCGGATCATGTCGCAGCTTATTTCGAAATCCTGGACGAGGGCTGTCGAGTATTATTAACCCTTCACAATAGAGGTCAGCCAAAGTGCAAGACAACCAGGAACAAAAGACAACTCTCGATCAGGCGAGGGTCGTCTGGAAACCGCGTGTTAGTCCACCGGGCGTGGCATGATGCTGCGAATGATCTGACGCAGAGAGAGAGAGAGAGAGAGACATGGTGCGAGAATCGAACAATCCTCACAGCGCGGGTGAAGAAATCCCCCATGCTTTGCACTGTTGGAACGCATCTGAAGCAGTGATAGAGCGAAACAGCAACTGCTAATCCCAGATGAATCCAGAAGAGGGCGAATCAAGAGGGCGAATTGAGCGCCAAAAGTTGCATGATGCTAGCCCGCAATCTGTTCGCGAGAAGAAGAGCCGAAGCGTAGCCGCACACTGACCGACCAGGGACACACAAGCTGGATGCAAGTGATTGATGTTACTTGTTGACATGTTCGCGGACCCGGGCTGGAGAGCTGCAAGAAGTGCCAGGGAAAGCACAACAATGCGAAGTATTATTAGATAGTAGTAGGGCAATGGTCGATGGTACGAGCGTGAATGAGCTGCATGGGATCCCCCATCGGTGAAGACGCAGGTTGCGCTTCCTGGTGCAGACGACGGATCAATGATGCCTTGCTGGGAGCGGCATGGCATCTCGAGAATCCCAGCACATGCGCCGCCATTGGACGCCCTCGAACACAAGGAACCAACACCCGGGACCGGCGCCCTGAGAGTAATGGAGCATTGGAGCATGGAGCATGGTTCGAAGGGGGGGCTTCGAGTCGACGCGCCCGCTGACCGACTTGACAGACAATCAAATCCACAGGCGGGACGAGGCGCGGGCCAGAAATTGGACGCAATCATCGGAGCTCACGGAGGGCCCACCAACAAGCGCGTCGTGGGGTGGCGTCTTTTGTTCAAGTTGTCGGGTTCTGCCTGTTCCTGTACGACCGACCGACAGCTTCATGTTGCCTTGGCCAGCCCCCTAGGAGGGAGCAAGAAAGAGTGCTGGAACATCCTCCATGCAGACAGATGATACTAGTAGTAGTAGTAGTAGTAGTACCTAGGTAGTAGTAATATGTACTCGGAGGTGCTTGTCTTGATATTAGTAGAAGTATCGAGTCCCGAGAGGTGATTGCACCCTCCCGGAGATAGCACGCTCTCTCGCAGGCAAACAAGAGCCGGGACCGACGCTGTTCGCCGGCGGCACAGCCCATGGATACTAGTACTATTACCAACCGGTGTGGTACAGGCGAGATCAGCGGCTGACGCCCAAGCTCTTTGTCGGCTCACGGCCCTTGGTCCATGTGGCTCTCCATGCGCGGCTCGTCTGCTGGGGCTGCACGTTTTGTATGTACGTACAGGCTTTGCACACGTCGGCACATCATGCATTTCTTGCGTCGTCGCCCTTTGTCTCGGGCCTTGCCTGGTGAGAGCTGCTGGCTGCAGGGTGACGACAAAGGAGCGCAAGACGTGCCGGCACTCTCAACACACTTGGAAGACAAACAGGGGACCAGACACTGGAGACGACTGACAGGAAACATCAATGAACGGACGGGTCCAGGCTGTCTTGGAGGGCGCGTCCCCAGGTGGCTCGCTGGGCGGCATCCGTCCGGCTGCGGACAGGCTGATGATGGAGCTGTTCCGTGGACAATCCAAGGGTCCACCCCACCCGACTGGCAACTCCAGTTTCTCTCTCTCTCTGTGTGTCTCTGTCGCGCGCGCGTCCTGAGTGGCCGCCTCCTTTTCGCCCTCTCGCCTTTGGTTTTTGTTATCCATTAGTATATCGCCGTCAACGGCTTCGGCAAAGGCCCGCAGCCTGGGCGGATGTTGACACTCGTACGCTGCGAGTCTCTTAAAACTGACTGACTGACTGACTGTCTGATCTCTTCTGTTGCTGCTGCTGAATCCATCTGCCGTATGCACACAATATTATCACAGCATGCCTCGGGAAAATCAAGGAAAACCGAGGCGAAACGAAACGACTCGACACGCCCTCGACGCCTCGGGGCCGGGGTCTGGCGCTGGCTCTGTGCAACCGGGACGGCGCTACAAGTCACCCACCTGCATATTCCGTACTAGCCGGCGCCAGACCGTGCTCCGGAAAAAAAAAAAAAAAGCACACATAGCAACCTCCGCAGAGTGCCATTGGCTTGGGCCTCGGTTTATGTACATTGCCTCCAGTCTGTTGCTTGTACAGATCAAGGCCAGGTATTTAGGTCCAAGTACTAGTATGTAAACTTCATGATGTGGGAGTATTATTGCATAGAACGGCAAGACAGTCCCGGCATTTGCTCTCTAGGTAGAGCATCGAGAGACTGCCACCGGCGCCCGCCGAGGCCCTCTTTTGCTCGCCCTCTCTCCCCCGTCTTCGCGAGCAGGCCTCTGCCATCTTCAATGTCAGCAAGCAAAAGGTGCGCCACTGCACGCGTGTGCCCGCCGAGCCTGCGCCGCCTTCAGAGAGCTACGGCGCGCGGCGTGCAGTGGACATGGATTGGCACAGGAGCAACATAGGTATCAGGCACGAGACTGCTGGCAACCAAGTGGTCGTCGAACCGGCGCCGTGTGTGCACTTGATCCGGACGTGAGAAGCTGAAGGTGCAAAATGACCACCTAGATCTGGGGGGCGTTGTAACTCCAGCAGACAGCCGAAGCGCCGCCTCTTCTTGTCTCTATTCTCTTCGTCCCTCTTCTGTGGCCGACCCAACAAAGGGACAGCAGAGAAGCAATCGGACGATGGAGCCTCCTCGGTTCCGGCGCGGCACACGGAGGCTTTTCCCAGATGCACCACGCGGCGCGTCAGTCAGCCCATCTGCTGGGGGGCCACGGCTGATTGGCTGCATCGCGGCAGGCCTCGTCGCCATTGGCTCTCCGGACCACAAGTGGGCGCGGCCGGGCTTTCTGGGAGGGAGGCAATCGGCGCTTGGGCTGGTGAAATGAAGAGGGCAGAAGGTCGGGGGTGGTCCAGATGGGAATCTCGGGGGATGGAAAGGGGGCGAGGGCGGGTTCGCTGGTGGGAGGGCTCGCCGGCAGAGTCGCACTGGTTCTGTGGTGCGGACGGGGTCAGTTCGATCAATGGGCGCAAAGCAACGATTGACTGGATCCTGATGAAGAGCCGTTTTTGAATTGCTGTAGACGGAGGAATTGACTGCGTCGTGCAATACACACATCGTCCTCGGACGCGTCTTTGGACCCCCGGAGCCTGTCGATGCGCCAAGTTTTGTTGACTGTCAGAGAAACCGGGCAGGCTTCATTTCATCTGGGCAAGAAGACGGACGGGTCATGGTTACACAGCAAGTACTCGTACACGCGCAGTACGCCTAGAGCTGGTGCCTGGCTCGCGGAACGCAGACGCGGCTGGCGGACTCTCGACTTGCAGAACCAGCCGCACGAGGCGCCGGCCAAGTCCCTTCTCTGTACCGGGCACAAGCGCACGGCAAGGCGACAAAACTCCGACCTGGTGCTGGCTGCGTCATAGTGGGAATTTGGGGGGGACCAAGGGCTGGCTGGCAGGCAGGCCGGAAGAGCCCGCGACAGCCTCGATTGGATTTTCTCGGCTTTCCGCACCAGACGCCTCCTCTTTGTCGCTTGTCACCCGGCGTTGGCCCAGCTCGCTTTCGCTCATATGTTAAGCCGCGTGCGCTTTTTTTCTTCTTCCTGTTCCGCGCCGGGAGAGGAGGTGCAGGACACGGGAGGCCACAGCGTCTTTCTCTTTATTGGAGGCGGCGATGAGGGATTGGATGGATGACTCTGCTTGTTCCGACGTTCGTGTAGGTATTGTAGCCCGTATGAAGACGGGAAGACAAAGTGCCCGCTGTAATTTCAAGATCGTCGAGCAATTCCGGCTCCTGCGCCGAGCGCCAGCCCTCTCAACTCGCTGGAGGCCCGCTGGAAGCTCGCTGCAACCGCTGCGCGACGGCGCCCGAGCAGCACGTCGACAGCGCTGCAGCAGCGACTCTCGAACCCTGTGGGTGGGGCGCCAGGCCGGCACGACAAGGCCTCAGGCCGATCCGCCCGTGGGGCCTCGCACGCTGTGGCCGCTGTGGCCGCTGCCCGCTGCCCGCTGGGACACACCCGTCGACGCTCGCTGCTGGCCACCAGACGCCCCCCGCCTTTCATCCCCCCCCCCAAAGAGACGCTCGCGCCCCGTCTCCTGTTCCATCTCTTCCTCCCCATTCATACCTCACCTCGCCTCCTCTTCTCACTCTCCCCCTTCCATCCCTCCGACTCTCAACCTGCCGCTGCGCTGCGATTCCTTTTGGCGCGACGACTGAAGCGCCCTCCGCGAGACCATCGACTCTGTCATCTGCTCCTCAGCTTCGCGCAATCTCTGGCGCGAGCCCAGGTCGTCTTGCGCGCGCACCGCTCTCTGCTCCCGGACCTGCGGTGTCGCCATCTCCGGCCCTCTTCTCTCAGCTTCCCGTCACCCATCGCGGCGCCGAACCGAATCTTGTTCTCTTGAGTCCACGGCTGCGCGCCTCGCATCGCATCGCATCGCATCGCGCACATTATTCCACCCTTTCAATTCCCCTCTCTTACCTCTCTGCTCCCTGCTCCCAGCAGCCGCCTCGTTCGCCCAGCATGTCCTCCGGCGTGGTGCGCTCCACTGCCCTCAGAGCCGGCGGCGCCTGTGTGCGCTGCCGCAAGGGCAAGACCAAGTGCGTGTACGAAAACGGGCGCGCGCCGTGCAAGAACTGCGCAAAGGGCATGCACGAGTGCTATCTGCCCTCGGAGAGCATGGCCCATCACCACGGCCACAGCCCTGCGCGCCATACCGCTGCCCATCGCCCTCGCGACGCCCTGCCGGCCTCCGGGCCCGGTGCCTCTGACGCCAGGCAGCCCGTTGTGGGCTCAGGCGGAGCCAGGCATGCTCAGGCCACCTCCGAAAAGTGAGTGCTTTGTGTCCTCCCTGCGCCCTCGAATTGCCCTCTGGTCGCCGCATCGGCGCATCGCCGTCTTCATCGCTCTCGTCCTTTTATTCTCCCGTTTTTTTCGTCCGTTTTTTCTTTCTCGTCATCTTACCATCGCATCATCCCCCTTCCCGTGGCGCGGTGTTGCCGCCTTGCCGCCGTCTCATTGCCTCTTCCCCCTGCCCTAGCCCTGAAGGCCCTCGGTCCAGCCTCTTCCCCCCCGACGATTTCCCTCTTCAACCCCCCCGAATGGCCCGGCCGCCCTTCTTCCTAGCCTGCGCATTTCGCTGGAACCATCCTGCTTTTGTTGCTCTTCTCTCGTCTCCACTCGCCCATTTCCGTTCGGATGCCAGACGGCCCGATTTTCCCTTTTACCGCCGCCCTATGCGCCGATGCTCGCTGTCGCAGCCACTCTCTCCCTCCCCCCCCCCCTCCGGCGATTTCGCTGTTTGGCTCGTTGAAGCCGCCGGAACCCGAGCGGAACCCTTGCTGACTGATGCTGCCCCAGGCTTACACCGGAACTCATTGCCGAGTGCGAGCGCGTCGTGTCCAAGACGTTCCCGGCCTGCGTTGCCTTTCACAAGCCGTCGTTTGTGCAGCAGCTCAAGAACGCCTCGCTCGAGTCCAGCCTCGTCTACGGTCTGTTGACCTGCGCTGCTCGGTAAGTTTGAATCCCGCCTTCTTTTTCTTTCTGTTGCCATCGTGCAGGACGGCAACACGTGCTGCGTGTCTCAGCCTCCCGCTGGCTCTAGTGGATGCGCACCGCTTCCCCGGTGGATGCCCGCCGCATGTCAGGCTTACCTACGGCTTGGCCCTTGGGGAACGTCAGATCAGCTTGAGCTTGATGCGCTTTGCTGAATAGATACACTTTCGAACTGGAATTCCTGTAGATTGCTAACGGCTGCCTACCCAGGAGCTCTCCAACTCTCATCCGTCGCTATGGCGGTAATCCCACCGCGGCCGCAGAGACCTTTGCCGCAAAGGCAATCTCCCTCATCAACTCCAACCTGGACCAGCCCAGCCTCGCCGACGTCCAGGCCCTTTGCCTCGTCATTATCCACGAATGGGGTAGCCGGAATGCCGTCCGTGCCTATGTCTACCTCGGCCAGGCCGCTCGGCTGCTGCAGATGTACAGGATCATCAATAGCCATCACGCACCTGACCAGACCGACCCTTTCCTGCGCGATGAGTCGTTCCGCCGCACCCTGTGGCTGATTTACATCCTCGACTGCCTCCTCACCTGCACGCCCGGTCGCTACCCTGCCTTGGCCATCCAGGACACCGCCGAGGTCGCCCTGCCCTGCTCGGATATCAACTTCGCATTCGGTAACACCGTCTATGTGAAGACGCTCCACCAGCAGCTCGCCCAGCAAAACAATCATTCGTCGCCCAGCCACGTGCCCTCGGGCGAGGTTGGCGAGTTTGGCTACATCGTCCTGGCTGCGACCATCTGGCGCGACGTTGTCGGCACGCTCGGCATCTCCCCCTTCCGCGAGGAGGACTGCACGGATCTCGTCATCAAGATCGAGAGGCTCAAAGCCAGCCTGCCCATGCAGTTCGTGGACAAGCCCGGCCAAATCAACCTTCATATGACGATGGGTTCTGGCTACACTTATGCCATGCTGCACTGCCTGATCCATTGCGCCACCATTTTCGTCCACCGCCGGCGCCTGCTGGAGGATGTCACGTCTCCCTCGTTCAACTTGGAAGCGTACCGTATGACCTCTCGATGCCACGACATCATCGATCGCCTGCTCACCTCGTGCCACGGCACCTTGACCCTCCTGACGGCCATTGAGTCTGGCGCCGAGAAGGACCACGCCACCTGCTTCCCCATCTTCATGCTCTTTTCGGCCTTCACCGCCAGCGCAACCGTCGCCTATCTCTCGCTCAAGAGGCTGACGCCCCCCAATGCCGTCGAGACGGCGGCGCACATTGTCAAGGACGGGCTGCGCTTCATGCGCGACGGCAACGAGAGCTGGCCGCTCCTTAACAGCTGGCTCAGGCACTTGACGGTTATGCAGCGCGTCCTGAACAGCTCCCAGGGCAGCCCCCATGAGGCTCACCCCCACATGTCCTCGGCCGGCATCAAGGATGAGATGTCGTCGAATGCAGACACCAATCCGGACGCCATGGAGTACGACCAGCCGGCCGCCAGTGTCGCTCCCAGCCAGCAGGGCGTCGAGCACCGCTCGGTATCCGGCTCTGCCCGAGGCGAGAGCGAGCCGCCCATTACCCTTCCCCGGCGGCCCGGCGTCACCACCATCAACGGCAACAACATTGCCACACCGGAGACGGTGTCTCCCCCGCCTCCCGGCGCACCGCAGGCGAACATGCAGGTGCATGACGTGAAGCAGCAGAGCCCCGAGGACGCTCAAAACGGCTCACCCCACGACGGCGGCCAAACCACGAGCCAGGACATGACGTCGCCAGAATTGTGCTTGGCCTTTGAGCGCCAGCTCATGGACCACGATGACCTTGCTGCCTTTATGGGTGGCGGAGTTTGACTCGAGGCTGCGAGGGAGGCATCTCAGACGGCCGACACGGACGGGGCCATGATGCTGATGACACTCGCTGGACATGCAATCTAGAGACGAGAGTACTGGCCTGCAGTCTGCTCGGCTCCCTCCCCTTTCCCCTTGAATCTTTTGCAAAGAACGCTTCGCTTGGATGACAGTGTCTGTGACACGAGAAAGAAAGGGCCACACGAAATCCGCCTCATTCGTCACGACGATATTTAATGATAGCAAATAGGGAGACTTGAAGTTACGGCCTGACTTAATATGGGGGAGGGGAATTGTGTGTAGGACTAGTTATTGGGCAAGTCTCCTTATAATCTCCTTTACTACACTGGATTCGTTTTGGTTTTCCGATACCCCGGAGGGAGAGGAGAAGGCGTTGGGGTTCTAATGTAATGATAAAGTCCCAGTCAATTTGATAGTCTCTTGACTGATTTTTTTTTGGTTTCAGCTGAAACGACACATGCAATACGGTTTCTCGTATCTGGAAGATGATGGCTTGTCTTGGAAGAATGCTCGAGGGAGTAGAGTGTTGACTGAAGCCAAAATGCCTACCTTGTTCTTTTGTTTTGTAGTTGACTCAGGAAGCTTACTTATTAAGACATGATACGGAAGAAGGAGAAAGGGATGGCTGATCAGACGTGAGCTACGCTAATAAATGATTGCCATGCGTGATGACCAGATGTCAACATTGCAGAGCCCCTGTCTCGTTTGTCAAATGCTCCCGTGTTATTCCGAGTCTCGCCCCTGGACATTCTCCGCAGTCCAGACAGGAAAGTTGGAGAAGGGAAGGGGAAGAAAACATGGTGACATTTCGGGGGTCCCTGTGGTCCTTGGTGTTGTGGGGAAATCGAAGGGTAAAAATGCTGGGGTCGTGGGGCAATTAAAAGCCGGGGGAGGGATTTTGATGTCTCTGCGGGAGGGGACGATGCTCTTTTCGTTTTATGGGGAGGGTGTTCCTGTATGTGAATAGGTACTAAGAGAAAAGAGTTGGGGTAAGGAGGGGAGGGAGGGATTGTGGCATGGTCTGATGCTTTTGTTCGGAGTATTCCGGTCATACCAAGTTATATCTACAGGAGTGTTAGAAGTACAATGTATGGGGGAAACGATAAAGAACCGGGGCCTGATACGAAGATGGTCGGCGTGAGAAGAGGGGGTTTTTTTTTTTTTGCGGAAGAGGGCGTTTTGGGAGTGATGGTTTGTGTGTGTGGGGGAGGGACGCGAGTTCGGATGGAAGAATGCGTGGAGTTGCAACGGAGTAGTAGGGAGGGCCCTTCTTCATTCGTCTCTCTCTTTCTCTTTCACGATTTGTTTGGTGTGAGCGAGCGAGCACTTGAACTGGTTTCGTTTCTTACGAAGGGCTCGGGGAAGGCGAGGAATGGGACGGAAACTATTGCGTGGGCTGAGGAGAATCAAGGATCCAGATGGTTTCCAGTAATACCTTGGTCCTTTGCTGCACTACCTTACCTAGGAGGTACTAATGTACTACATGCATGAGATATCGCGTGGGTGAGTGGTTGCACTTACAACCTCCAGTCAATAACTCCCCCCTCTTTGTGTTGCAGTCTCCAAGCGTCAAAACTACATAGTACTAGCGCTTAGATCGAAAATCATTTCCAGAACAAAAGGAAACCCAAAAACCGACGGATGTAAAACGCCTTCGCCGCGTGGGGAAAGAAAGGAGCTCTAGATGCAACTCTAACGCCGTGAGACGGTCTCCAAATCGAACCGTCCACACTTGATTGCACTTGCAGACGTCACACCGGGCTTTGGCACGTCCTTTGTGTTGGCCGTTTCATTCTGCTTTGTTCAAAAATTTTGTGGTCCCCGGATTTCAGGGGGGAGATGTGAATCCTATTGTAGCAGCCTATTGTCAACGGATATCACGTGGAATCGGTGTCTGTGCTTTCTTTTTCTTTTACACAGTCGAGGCTGTTCTGGATTGGATTTGGCTTGTGTTTGCTGTTGGGGTATCGATGGAAACTGTACTCGTATGCTGTTGTGGGATTCGCTGTATCCTCGAAGGGTCGTATTCGGCCAGTCGGGCTCCGAAACCGCTGGGTATTCTTACCGAGTTCTTCCACGTTACGGTTGTAGCTAGAGAAACATGCATCGCCTTGTTATAATAAGCTGTATTATAAACCCCATCTCAGAAAACAAGAGTCCACTAATACAATGGCGGGGGAGGAGCATCTTGCTCGGCCATCCTCCGAATGGGAACTTGCATCGTACGGGCTCACTTCCTCATGTCGTACCTGTACATACAAGCTTGCTGTCCACGACTCAGGACTGACACAAACTACTGTTATTCCTGCGTGTGGCGTATCCTTCTATTCTGCTTCCCCCGGTCTTCTTCTCCTCATCGAGTAATTCGTGGCTTTTTCTCCCACTCTCCCTCAGACGAGCATCGCGTATCTTCTTTCTCCGTTCAAGCGAGCAACCGGCAAACAAAAGTGATACCCGAACGAACCGAGTTAGCCAAACGAATAGAAACGGCATCGTTGTGCCAAGAATACACTTATGTGATACCGCTAGTCCTCTTTACCGGTACTACCTAGTACTACTACTACTAGCACTTTCAATCAAAGCAATAGCAAAGCAAAAGCAAAGCAGCACACGAGACCAAAGGAATTCGGTCATGTTGGAAAGCACCAGCACATGGCCGGAACAGAGTTTTTGCCCTTCTCACCCCTGGTCCTGCACTTTGCACTTTGCGCTTGCATCTCAAGCGGAAGCGCTAACAAAAGCCAGGCGGCAGCGGGGAGGCTTTCTTCGGCCCCTGATTGGCTGAGGTGCCGGTGCCGTGCGCAGTTGCAGCTGCTGGACCAGAGGCCAGTTGCCAAGGCCAAGAACCGGCAATGTCGTGCCGAGAGGGCTGCCAACTGCTGCCAAGCCGGGCCTAGCCTGTGGCTGTAGCGCTGCAGATCCTTGTCCAACAAGACAAAATATCACGACTGTTCTTTACATTATTTCTTCTGATTTTATCATTTTGTGCTTGTTTTCTTTTTTTCTCTCTTATCGCTGAAATTACTGTTTTGGCGGGGAAGGAAAAGAAGGGCCTGGGGAAGTGCGGGAGCCGGTGATGACGCTACGAGTCTGATGATGATGTCGCCAAATCGATGAACGAGTGTGAGCTTGCCGATCTGTGGAATTAAGGTGCTGGGGAACCTGGAGATGGTGTGCCTTATTTTTTCTGGCCTTGACAAATGGCTCATTGTCGCCAAAAGCTGGGGATTCCCCGGACCATGGCTTGATGAATCGGCTGTGCGTCATGGGCGTTGCTTCAGATTCTTCCTGTTGGTGCTACGAGCTCCAAACTCGGGGTCAATGGTTTGTGTGTGTCTAACGCGCAGCACGTCTGACGAGGCTCTCGACGGATCATCCATCACAAGCCTCGTTCAACCAAGCACAGGCGGCCGCTAATAAGCAAGCGCAATCGTCAATCCAGTCCTACCGAGAAAAACGTGCTTCATACTCGATACATACAGGTAATACTACAGTCGCCGACCGTCTTCCGTCTTCGGGCAGACCGCCGACCCTTGCCGGATATGGCGTCCGCCTTTGCCCGCATGGTGCCCGTCTTATACACTCCGAAGACGCACAGAATATCCCCGTTCCCAGCTGTGCGAGGGCCAATCACGGCTTCTTCGCCGTCGATAATCGCGTGTTTGCACGGCAAACCGTCGCTTGGGGGCTTGCTGCTGCTCCGCCGGTCTGCGACATCCATGTCAAGTCACTGGTGAGGGAGGACATGGACCTCTCCGTCTTCATGGTGTGCCACTGGCCGGGAGACGCAGCGCAGTCATGGCTCCCACCCATGTGGATCACATACAATCACTCCAACTTGTCGTCCCCGGCCATGCCTGTTGCGTTCGTATTCCCATTTGCCATTTGCCATTGTACAGGTACGGATGGGCCATCCTTTGCTCAGCTGGCCTGATGTTGGCCTCGAGCCCAACAGCACCAGAGAATAAGCTTGTGTGTTGCCCGCAATGTCTGGTGGAGGCAAGGCTAGACGATGGCTAGGCTCGACTTCTAGCCCCATGCTGGCCCCATCTCCCGGAGCGACATGCTATTACCGGTTGCATCACGCACGGCTGTTCGTCCTGGCATCGGCTGGTATTACTCGTATTGTTGCTGTTGCTCGTGGCGAATACAACTGATACCAAGGGCAATCCAAGGTCCTCGACTGGCTCGGGGTAAGGGGCAAGGGGGGCCTGCTCCAGAGAATGCGTGGACTTGGGCTAGGAGCACTTGGTAAGCCTCAACCCTGGAGGATTCCCGCTTTCGTACATGATCACTCTGGGGTTCCCCAACGTGGGCTGCGTCTATGCATCCCCTCACCCTCCGGCTTTTGCTCCGCATTCTCGATACCCGTCCGAGTATTTGATCGCCTCTCCTCCCCCTCCTCCTCCAGTTTCCGGAGGGTTGGTTCTTCTTCCCTGCGGCCTCTGCTTCTTCTCCCTCCCGTCTGCCATCCTTTCGTCTCTCACAGCACCGTCAAGAGCAGCACAACACCGCCATCATGGTTGGGAATCGAGAGGAGTACTGGGTCCCCGAGGACTACGATGGCATGACGGCGGGCCGCTACCTGGCCACGCGCTTCTCGTCGCTCAAGCCGCCCATGCTCAACGTGCCCAATCCCATCAAGCTGTTGCGCATGCTCAACCGCCAGCAGTGGTCCTTCTTTGCCATTGCCTTTTGGGCCTGGACCTGGGACGCCTTTGACTTCTTCACCGTGTCCCTGACCGTCAGCGACCTGGCCAAGCAGTTTGGCAAGACCAACACGGACATTACCTGGGGCATCACGCTGGTGCTCATGTTCCGATCCGTCGGCTCGATTGCCTTTGGTGTTGCTGCTGATCGCTATGGCCGCAAGTGGCCGTTTATCGTCAACAACCTGCTGTTTATCGCTCTGGAATTGGTAAGAATCACGAGATTTTCTGTCATATGTTGTCGGTTTGCTTTTATTGTGTGAGCTGCCGCCAAGATGAGCCAGCGGTGCCACCCGTCTTGGCCGCAGAACTCTTGGCCAGCCAAACCCCGCCAATAAGTTGCGGCACTGCACGCACTGTTGCAACTGCCGGAGCTATTGGTTTTGTTCATTGACATGGTCCAACGAGCCTTTATCGACTCGGAAACTATCTTGCAAGGGGCAAATGCTAACATGGCATCTTTAGGGAACCGGCTTCTGCAACACTTACAAGCAGTTTCTCGCCTGCCGCGCCCTGTTTGGCATCGCCATGGGTGGCCTGTACGGAAACGCAGCCGCCACGGCTCTGGAAGACTGTCCGCAGGAGGCCCGTGGTATTATCAGCGGTATCCTCCAGCAAGGTGTAAGTCATCCTCCTCTCAAGCCGTGAAACTCCCACAACTACCTACGGGATGCTGACCCCTTCCAGTACGCCTTTGGCTATCTCCTAGCTGCTGCCTTCGCCCGCGGCCTCGTCAACACCACCTCGCACGGATGGCGCCCCCTGTTCTGGTTCGGTGCCTGCCCGCCCGTTCTCTTCATCGCCTTCCGGCTGATGATGCCCGAAACCCAGACGTACCGCGAGCGTGAGCGCATGCGCATCGAGGCCGGCCGAAGCAGGAGCAGCGATGAGTCCGTCGGCAAGGTCTTCATCACCGAGGGCAAGGTTGCCCTCAAGCGCCACTGGATCCTGTTGACCTACCTCGTTCTGCTCATGGCCGGCTTCAACTTCATGAGCCACGGGAGCCAGGATCTGTACCCTACCATGCTGACGAACCAGCTCCGCTTCAGCGCGGACAAGGTCACCGTCACGCAGGTCGTCGCCAACCTGGGCGCCATGACCGGCGGCACCCTCGTTGGATTCATGAGCCAGTCTCTGGGCCGCCGCTTCAGCATCGTCTGCTGCTGCATCGTGGGCGGCGCCCTGCTGTATCCCTACACCTTTGTGCACGACACGTCCGTCATGGCCGCCGCCTTCTTCCAGCAGTTCTGCGTGCAGGGCGCCTGGGGTGTCATCCCCATCCACCTGATGGAGCTGTCTCCCGGCGCCTTCAGGACCTTTGTCGTCGGCACCGCCTACCAGCTGGGCAACCTGGTGTCATCGGCCTCTTCCACCATTGAGGCGCGTCTCGGCGAGCGCTTCCCCCTGCCTCCCACGGCTTCCGGCGTGGCTCGTTACGACTACGGCAAGGTCATTTGCATCTTCATGGGCTGCGTCTACGCCTACGTCATTATCCTGACCATTTTGGGGCCCGAGCAGCTCCGCAAGAGCTTCGACGTTGCCTACGACCACGACGCGGCCGAGGTTGCCGGCTGGGACGACAAGCCCAAGGCTGTTCACGACGAGGACTTTGATGCCAAGACGCGGGATTCGACCGCTGAGAAGCGTACTGTTGAGGAGGTATAAGCTACATCTTGGATGGGAATTTCCTTGTGTGACTCTGTGAATATGGGATGGGAAAGGGATTTGACTTGCATGCAAGTGGTGGAAGAACACCGCATGTCACTTATGAGATATAACGCGCTTTGTATATGACGATCAATTTATACCAGCCCACGTGGGAATGACTTACTGCACGTGCTGCTGCGAGCATGAAGTGAATTTGGCTTACATGTCGAATGACACGTATTGGTTTGAACAAGGCTTTGGACAATGTAGGCAAGTCGAACCCATCAGGCTCATTATTGATATATATATATATTCATCAAAAACGCCCCTCCCCCAATCATAATCTACGTATGTAGCAGGCATGCAATGTCATATTCTTCATCAAATCATTCTAGTGCTTATGATGATGCGAATGGTGGTGATGGCCATGGTGTCCGCCATCATTGTACATCTTTTCCTCCTTGTGCTTCCTGCAAAAAAAAGAGAAACATTAGCCATGAAAGATTTTCCCATTTCCCCTCCGAGGGGTGATTATAGATTAATGATACGTACTTGTATGCGTTCTCAATGAGATTCGCCCCAATGGCTCCGGCGGCTGCAGCGCCCAGGCTGCCCAGCAGTCCTCCGCCGGCCTTTTTCGCTGCGAAAGCCGCCGCTCCGCCGCCGACGAGGGTCGCGCCGAGGCCGCGCTCTCCGTCGGGGCCTCCATCGACTCCGGCGCCGGGGTACTGCTGGTCATACCCTGGCTGCTGCTGGCCGTATGGCTGTTGCTGCTGCTGGTGGTACTGCTGAGGAGGCGCAGCGGGGGGGTATTGTTGCTGGTATTGGGAGGAGTGAGGCTGGGCGTAGGGGGATGTGCTGCGGTCGTGGTATTGTGGTTGTTGTTGTTGATGAGGGGGGTATTGGTTGTATTGCTGCTGTGGGGAGTATTGATACTGTTTGTTTGTTTGTATGAGAATTTGTGTGAGTCGAGAGAGAGAGAGAGCTTGGGAATTTGTGGTTTCAAGGCGGGAGGTAAAAGAACGAGGGACGAACCTGTTGGGGGTAGCTTTGCTGCTGCTGCTGCTGGCCGTATTGCTGCTGAGGAGGATAACCGTTGCTGCTGCCTCCGGAGGCGCTGGCGTAGTAGTCTTGGGCGGACATGGTGGGTGGCTGTAGTTTGGTGGTTGGTTAAGAGAGATTGATGAGGTGTTGCAACAAGAGCGGAGTGAGTATTACTATGTAGAATGGAAGAATGAGAGGAGAGAGAGAAAAAGGAGAGAGAGGGAATCTCAGCTGACGGGCAAGCTTAGTCTTTTATTGATTCTGGGGATTCCTACATTAGCAGAAAGTAGGTACATACATGTAAGGTCATCCATCCATCCATCATGCGGGCAGCGCAAAGGCCGGCGGCGGCGGCTGTGGGAGAAGAAGGCTGGGGGCGTTTGCCAGACAAGGCTTTGCCGCGCGACTACTATCAGATGTGCTAATGAATAATTTGGTCTTGTTGCAGGATTTACCTACATTCGTCGTTGCAAGGTGAGGAAAAGAACGTGCAGGTCCGTAGTTATGCAAGGTACCCAACATATTACATGGCGATGGGGGATGGCGAGGGTGGCGCAGTGACTGCGGTTTTCTGGGGCGCCGAGTCCTTTTTTGGTGGGATTTGAGCGGGATGACGGCGGTGACGGATGCTACTTGGATGGACCTTGGGGGAGTTTGTCTGCGATTTGTCGAGTTACGCATCATGCACATGGGAATCTTTGAGGATGAGGGTTCATTGCGCTGATCAGGGGTCGATATGCCGATGTGTTCTTCTGGGCACACCATGTTGGTTGGGGTTGTTGGTGACGGGTGTTAGCCATGTGCAGTCCATGAGGAGTTTACACTATTTTGGGGTATATACGAGTATCAACGAAGTCGGTACATTCTGTCGAGCCCATCTGACACCAAGGCATACTTCCCTTTACTACCTCGGGACATTACACACATGATGGAACTACCTAGTAGCAGAAAAGAGAGGAGGGGCGCCGCAAGACCCCGGAGACGCCAAAGCGGCGGCAACAAGCCAAGATGCAGCCATCATCCGCTCAGCCACGCCCTTTGCGTCTACCACCACCTTGGCAGTAATACCTACTACTACTACTAGGTAGTTGGTGGCCCAGGGGCATCATGTGTTGAGCACGCAAGCCACGAGCAAGGCACATCAGCTGAACGTGCATTGTCTTCTCTCTTCCCACATGGGCTTCTTGAATGCCAAGACTGATTCGCTCGCCGCATTCGTCCTGTCCTTGTTCCGCGGACATGGTGAATCTCTGATGATAGTATAGGCGTTGCTGATTTGCAACAGGCCGTATCGGCGTTGAACAACCGGTCGTTATCGTTCACAGGGACTGAACACCATCCGAAAATCCTCAACATGGGCATCATGATCAACCTGAACCTCAGTCGCTCCCCTCCACCGCCGGCCAAAATGCCTCCTCGGCAGCCAACACATCCCGCCACTTGGCCATCGCCCGCTCCACCAACCGCGCCTTGACAAGCTCCTCCTCATCCTCTCCCGCCTTGCTCCTCTCCATCTCCCGCCGCACGCCCGCATCGACAATCTCCCCCAGCGCGTCCACGAACCGCGCAAACTCGGCGGAGCTCCAGTTCGGAATGAGCTCCCGCCGCAGCGCCCCGCCGTCGGCGTCGTCCTCGGGCTTCCTGTCCGCCGCGGCGTCGGAAACCCGGGCGGCCGCGCCGGACCAGGCGTCGAGGTAGCACTTCTCCGTGGCCCAGAAGACGACGGCGGCTTCCAGCCAGGGAAGCGGCAACGGCGCGGCGCCGTCGCCATCGCCACCAGGGGGCGCGACGATGCCGTCAAAGAGGGCTTCGAAGCGGCGCAGCCCCTCGAGCTTCGTGCCGGGCGCGACTCGGCCGTCTTCTTCCCCGGCGGCGAGATTCACGTCGACGCCGTATCTTGCCGCCGTGCGCACAAACATGTCCTCCTCGCGCCGGATGTTGACCAGCGCGTCAATCATCCAGTGGAGCAGCCTCTCCTCGACGCTCTGCTCCCGCACGGCGTTCTCGTCGCGCAGCGGAGGCACCACGTCCGGCAGCTGCAGGAAGCTGAGCAGGCGGCCGATGCCGCGGATGTACGCGTGGATGTACAGCCTGTCGTTGGCGAGCCATTGCCCCAGGAGGGTCTTTGGGAGGCGGCCCTGGGAGGCGCGGGCGAGGAAGGGGGATTGCGTGGCGGTTTGGTAGGCGACGGGGTGGGAGGTGAGGAGGGTTTGCGTGAGGGAGAAGGGGGCCATTGGATAGGGGGGCTTGTTGAAGTCTTTGTTTGGTGCGTCAAGTGTCGATTAGAATCGTGGCGGGATGTTTTTGATGTGATGTGATGTGATGTATGTGTGTGTGTGTGTGTGCATGGAGGTGGATGAGGCTGAGAATGAGGCTCGTGATGAAGAAGAGTGAGGTTGTGTAGATGTGAGGACGACATATCGCCCTCATTACGTCACATGGGTGGCTTCGTCTAGGTAGATATATCGGCGTATAACAAAACGGGCGGCTCTTGGGAGGCGCACTCTGATAATAAGTCATTCTCATTCCACGGCCAGAAAATAAGTATAATACTCTTTATAATCATGATTAATCAATAAGATGATTTTTTATTTGGCATGGACAGATGTATGTACCTTATAAAGTGCTTTCCTGCTGAGGCTAGATTAGTACCTTGACGAACCTTGAAATATTTCCCTATGACCTCTTATAGCAGATATGGGGTTGGAAGCGAATAAGCGGGCAGAATGCTGATGACATGCAGTTGATAAAAAGGACATCTATTCTCATGTCTATTTCTAGGTACTTTTGAGTTCCTTTATCTTCTAGCAGTCTTCCCGCATGTCCCTTGTATGTAACTGTATGTCGTTCGACAGACGCCATGATTCGAAAAAAAAAAAAAAAAAAAAAAAAAAAAAAAAAAAAAGAAGCCGCATCTTCAATCAAGCATGCTTTATCCCCCGATTTTGTGGAAATTCGGTAAAAGAAAGAATGCCCTTCCATAACCTCCTCAGTCGTCCATAATCTCCTCACTGCGGAACCACGATGCCGTACTTTTCATACGGGAAATCCTCCAGGCTGGCAAGGTACTCGCCCCAGCCATCATCCAGCTCGCCAACCTGATGCATATCGACGTCTCCAGCCTCGCCCGTCCGGCCGGCAAGCACCTCGGCCTCGCGGCCGGCGTAGAGCGCCTTGAGCTCCTTGTGCGGGCACCAAATCACGCGCATGCCGGCGCGACGGCCGGCCTCGACGCCCGGGACGGAGTCCTCAAAGACGAGGCACTCCTCGGGCTTGATGGGCTCTTCGCCCTCGGGAAGAGAGGCGTTGATGGTGTCGAGGGCCAGGAGGAAGATGTCGGGCAGGGGCTTGCCGCGGCCGGGCTTCAGCCGCTGGTCGTCGCCCAGGACGCGGCGCTCGTCGGGGAAGACGGAGAAGAGCTCCGTCAGGTGGTCCGTCTTGAGCTTGAAGTTGGCCAGGTGGGAGCTCGTGGCGAGGGCAATGTGCACGGGCTTCTGCTGATGCTTCTGCGTCTTGGCGAGGTTGGCGAGCAGCTCGGGGACGCCGGCGAGGGGCCTGGTGGTCGGGAAGCGCTCCTGGTGAAGGGTGACGATGCGGGCCAGGTACTCCTCGGGCGTGAGCTTGAGGTCGGCCCATTCGAGGAGGATCTGGGTGGCCGCGGGGCCGGGGCGGCCCTGGAGCTTGGCCTTGACGTCCCAGGGGAGCTCGGGGCGGGTTTGCGAGTGCTCCTTGAGGATGACGTTGATGCACTGCGTGTAGATGTCCTCGGTGTCGAGCAGGAGGCCGTCCATGTCGAAGAGGCAGGCTCTCACGGGAGGGAAGCTGTGCATGTGTGTGTGTGGTGAGTATATTGGTCTCATGATGAGAAAGGGGGGGTGAAGACGTACTCTGTTCGAGGAGCCATTTTTGCAAGTGGTGAGAATGATATTTTGGTGTTTTGGATGATTGATGCTGGGATTGAATGAGATGCTTGCTATGCAATATGAAAAAGAATGAGAGACTCTAATATCTGATGGATAAGAATGAGGTGAAGAGGTTGACGATGTTTCTTATCCTCGCCACTCCAGCTTTTTTCTCTCTCGCTTGCGTTGGAGAGAGAAAAATAGTTAAAGATTGTCATTGTGCAAACTATCAGTAGATGCGTGCCAAAATAGCCTCGCATGTGCCATCAAGGTGCCCAAGCGCCTCTACAGCTTCTGCAAGTCTGGAATGTCACAGTTTGTACAGGGCATATGATTGGCACCCGCGCACTTTTCCATTCCAAGCTTCGCCGATTTGTGATCTCCTTTGAATCTCCAGCTTCAAGTGGCTGCAGTGGGGGCGGGGCCTGTTGTGCCTGGATTCGAGTCTCCCTTGATGGAATGGCCATAGGAGTAGATTGAGCATTGATATCCTACAACTAGGTAGGTAGCTATCGGATTGCAGATTATGAGAGATACATAGAATGATTGATTGAATTGTTACCTCCATAGTCATCACATTCCGAGTGCTTTCCCTTGTTCATCCCCTGTGATATCCCGCAGTCTATTTCCCCCAGCCTGCTGACATAATCAGGACATCCCCCCAATCCCCCATCAAGCCACAGCCATTCCCAAGCTTCCACATTCACATCTTCAATCTCACACTTGTCACTCGTCATCTCTCATTCCAGCACATTCAAGCCATGGCCACTTCTGATAAGGAGAGAGCCTCAAAAAACACAGAGAACCCATCTCAAAAGGAGAACAGCAGCGATGAGCCACAAGAGCTGAGATTTTCTCCCGAGGAGGAAGCAGTAAGTCAATACAACAAGTGTTGATGTCATCCTTGGGCCCTATGATAACAACCTCACATTCGGCCGTCCTGGGCAACGTCTGCCATCATTCCCCCGTTCTGTCACCTTTATAACCCTCAATTTCAGTCAAGGAAAGACCTCAAGTGATCGATTAATGAAATATTGCAATTGAGGTCCTCAGATATTCAGCCCCATACCCTCTCATACTGTCTACCGCTCACTCTCATAAACACTCATCTCAGAATATCAACCCAGATACTCATCATCTTCACAGGCCCTCCTCAAAGAATCCCACACCATCAAAGCCGACGCAAACGCCCTCTTCGCCGCCAAAGACTACCACAACGCCCTCTCACGATACAACGACGCCGTCGCCTCATGTCCAAACTACCTCCACTATGAGCGCGCTGTCCTGCAAAGCAACATTGCCGCCTGTCATCTGCAAACGGAACAATGGAAGGATGCCATAAAGGCTGCTTCAGACGCACTCGATAGTCTGGCCAAGCTTGAGAGCGAATCAAGTCCAAAGGAGTCCAAGGACGATACCACAGACGGCAAAACAAACAATCAAGACACCAACCCTGGTAAGCCCAAGGACGACGAAGAAGAAGACGTAGAAGAAGAAATCATCAGCTCCGGCGCAGCCCACTCCGCACCCCCAGCTCCTCCCTCCCCAACGCCAGAGGAAATCGCCCTCGAAGCCCGCAAGGCAGACATCCTCCGCATCCGCACAAAGGCCCTCCTCCGCCGCGCCCGCGCCCGCTCCGAGGAAGGCGGCTGGTCCAACCTCGCCGGCGCAGAGGAGGATTACCGCGCCCTCTCGCAGATGCCCGGCCTGACGCCCGCGGACCAGCGCACCGTCCGGGCGCAGCTCAAGGCGCTGCCGCCGCGGACAAAGGCCGCCCAGGAGGCCGAGATGGCGGAGATGTGGGGGAAGCTGAAGAATCTTGGGGATGGCATTCTGAAGCCCTTTGGGCTGAGTACGGATAACTTCAAGATGGTCAAGGACGAGAAGACGGGGGGTTATAGCATGAACTTTTCGCAGGGAGGCTCGTCTTCATGACATGATGTCCAGATGATGGTCCATTGCCGATATAGCGTTTCGTGTATTAAGTGGTTGTCATCATTGCCGACATGTTGTTGCTTGCTGTTGAGCAGGAGACATTGATAGAGCGACTGGATGAATCGACCTGGCCCTGCCAATATACCCCTGCCTCCCCATCGTATGGCCCAGTCAAAGGCATCAAGTGAAGGGCCTCGCTTGTGCACTACCGATATTCAATCTGGGCCTTCATCCTCTGCAGAATATCCAGGACTTCCATCTGCTCTCCGTCTTCCGTCAAAGTACTTGACGCAATCAACAGTGACTGCACCGATATCGGCCCCAAGTAGCGGTCCTCCGTATGGGCCACGATTCCGCATACTTCTCGGGCATGGTGCAGCTGAAGCGCAATCATCTCTTCCGAAAGCATGATTTGCTCCAGCGGATGCGTCTGAGTCAGGATAAACTGCGCCGTGTGGTACAAGAGACGACAAAACACCGCCTCGCGTTTGGGCAGCCTGATCAAACCAGGGTCAGTCTCCTCATACCACAATACAGAGCGAGTCGTATCCCAATACGTACCATGCTTTCGGAAATGCAGAATTGTTTTCTGCTTGGTCGGGATACATGTAACCCAAGGGCCGCATGTTTCGCGGGCATGCGTCGTTCCACTGGTCACAAAGCAGCTTCAAGTGCTTCCATTCCGGCAGACGATCCTCCAGTGTCCTGTTCTCCCGCAAATCTATCTCTGTAAACGACAGCACACACAGCCGGTAGCTAATTACCTTGGCCAAGATGAATAGCATCCTCTGCACCCACAGCTCTTCGCCCCTATAGGCCATCCCTTCGCCGCCTTCGCTGGAGAAGTCCATATTGATGCTCCACGAGTCGACATACAAACAGTAGCCGACATCCAAGCTCCCAACAATGTCCAAATAGGCATTCAGCCAGAAACATGCCGAGCCAATGCCGTCGCTGTCTGTGTTCCACCGGCTCTCGCTAATGATGGAGTTGAGCACGGCGAGGCTGTGGCCTCCGCTCTGTGGCCCTTCTCTAAACATGACATTATAAAGCTTGAGAATGACTGCTACAATCGAGCAGTCTTCCACATCTCGCTCTGGGTTCTCGTGGTAGCGGAACAGATGCATGTTGGCCGTGCTGTAATATGCTGCAGCTATTTCAGCCATGTCCGGGTGGCGGAGTGCCAGGCGTCGTATTCCGCAGGCCAGGAGAGAATAGAGTAGTAAAGGAGAGTCGAGTGCTCGGTATGGCAGGCATTCGCCAAAGTATTTTCCCTTGTTGAACGAATCCATCCAGGCCGCAACCTCTTCCACATAAATCTGCATATATCTGACCTGCTCAGGCGTGTCGAGGAACTCTCGTTCAGGGGTACTGAGCGTAGTCGTTGGGCAAGTGACGCTGTCATCTTCGAGGGGCTCGCTGACATTCGATCGGTCTTCGACCTCCGAGAGGCTCATTGGCCCTGATTCAACTTGACCTCCCTTGCGCCACTCGGTTGCTTGGAGTATCAGACTGTCGCTATATATACTCCTTGTCGAATTTGAGCCTTCCGGCGAGATATAGACATGCCAAACATGCCCTTGCAGGATATGCTCAGTTGGTCCTAGATCCGGACTGGAAGACTGCATCTCAGCCTTGATGTTGCAATCGGCGGGTGGGCTTTGCGGAGGATCTGCATATCTGCTTGACCCGCCCTTGTACTCCGAGGCGATGCGTCGAGAATCGTCCTGGAACATGACTACATGTAGGTGAATGTCAGCGAGATCAACGCAGAAGTAGCAACGGTAGATTGGGGCATCAAAGCATACAGTTTCGTGTACTAACGGGCACCAAGTAGGACGTATCATGCACCGTAGTGTTTGAGAAGTTGAGTCTGATTCCACGTATGCATTTTCGACCGCCCTTTTCGCAGTTCCTGCAGATCGGGACAGCCTCGTCGCATTTCAAGTGCCGGCCGCGACATGTTAAACAACCGGTGCGCACTCGCTTTGACTTCGTTGGAGGCTTGGGCACGGGCAATTCGCCTCGGTAAATGTCTATCATTGTCACCTCTGCCGTTGGCATGGGTATCTGATGGGGATGACAGCCGGGATGTTCTGCGTGCATGGCTTGACTCTTTCGGATGGTCGAATGAAAGGTGTAGGCTCGGCGCCGCTCTGACGAGGAGCGTCTTTTACCCGTGAACTCTACTCTCAGATAATTAGCTCAGAGGAATATTCATGGGCCGGCCGCTGGGAAGCGTTATCATCATACCTCTTAGCTTCCCTTGTGGCGATCGAAGATCGGTGATGCTGTACCCAAGGAGCACGTAGCGGTATCTTATTCTCCATAAAATGGCCCTTTAGTCGGCTTCTGTTGCGGTTATCGACACCGCTGAACCGGGCGTCTGAGCTCGCCCAGAGTCTGGAGTTGGCGTATGTCGTAATGTGATGTCTTTGAAGTCGTTCTAGATATCATCCAACGTACACTGCGGATTTGCGTCTTGCGGTGAAGAGGTTGGGCTACAGCATGCTGGATACCGACTCGCTGTCAGGAGAGTATATACAAAGTGACCACCAGCCTCTAATGGCAGAGCAGTAACGTCAGCACTCGGAAGGCCTCTCCAACAAATGAGGGGGCCCCAAGCAAACGTCGGGAACAACCAGACTGAGGGATATGATTTGATTCCGCAGTCGGGTCCAGGCCAGATTGCACTAGCGTATGTGACGGTGATACGAGATGTTTGGCGTCTGTCTTGTCTAGGGAAGACGAGAAGAAGTGAGGAGAAAGAGCAGATGGGACATGTAATAAGGGTGCAAGCCGGTGTGCCAGAGACTCCTTGTTGCCCGAGTTCTTGTAACACCGACGCCAAGGGCGATGTGCCTTCAGGGGCGCTGAGCGACCACAGATCGAAATCAACCAACTGTGAACATGGACTGGTTGCCTCTTCCCTGACTGAGGGTTTTGACTATAGCGTGGCGCTTGGGGGCATCGAAGTCAACCGTGAATCGCTCGAGAGTGGCCGCAAGCTGGCGTGGGATGACCTGGGGCTCTCGAGATCTCCTCAGCAATGGTCATATGCCGTATTTTGGCTTGGGCTTTTACATGGAGCGACAAGGCGTATGCCCTGCAGACTTGGCAGAAGTCAAGAGCATATGTCGCGCACTCTTCAGTGGCTAGCCCTCTCTCGCTTGTACAAGACTGACAGCAGTTGAGTCCAGTCAGGGCCTGCAAATTGCTGTAAGACATACTAGTAGTATATGCTTAATGAGAGGATCCGCTGGCATGGGTGCAACCATTGACATTGTGCATAGCAGAGCATTTGGAGGATGCTTCTCAGCTTGATTCGGTGAGCATCCACTGGTTCGAGCTTGCTGACAGCGAGTCGTGATAGCCCTTCTCTTCATCATTGGGCAGCGGCACGCCTCCTGTCGAGATGATAGACACTGCCCCTTGAAGGTTTGCTGCAAGTGTTCAGCTCTTCAGATAGCCCCATCAGCTCCTGGATGTGGCTGACCGGTGAACGATCCATTTCCGCCATTGGAGCGAGCAAGCAATTTGGAAATGCCGGCCTCAAAGCATTTCGTATATCCTTCAAAGTCTTCTCTGGAACACGCCGAAGAAGCAAGTCTGCAAAGGAGCATCATCATCAGCATCAGATTTAAGCACGCTCAAGCACATCATTTGTTGCTGCCCGACGCTGCTTGACTTGTTGCAGTAGGGCTTTAGGAAGTATTGCGTTCGCCGAGCCCGCATGAAGCTTTCGGGCACCAGTTCTGTCCCGAGTAGTAGGTAATGGCCTGGCCTGCTGAAAACCCATGACGGTGGCTTGCTGCTGCTGCAAATAGCAAACAAGGCAACGACTAGCACTAGTCCGCGGGATATTTTGAACAAGAGCCATGCCAAACAAACATGCGAGGGGGCCAGGGCCCATGGATTCGCCCTATGAGGTGTAGGGCTTCCCCTCCTTTCCGTCCATGCGGAGGCCTGGAAGCAAGAGGCCAGACTCATCGGGATAACCTGACAAGGCTGGCTTGAGGCATAGGCCAATCGCGAATCACCAATCACCAAGGCCGCTGGTCAGCTCGCAAAGCCCATATGCATGTCTCAGAAAGAAGAGCCAGAAATGAAGTAATATCATGAGCTGCCTGGCCACGCTGGTGCCTTGTGGGATAGGGATCGTCGCTTGCTGTGACCAAGGACATTGGACGATGGCTCACTCAGGTAGCAATAGACTGAGACCTTGGAGGTAACGCAGCATAAGAGCAGGCTGTAAGTCGCCGGTCACGGGCCTTTTGATGACGTTCAGGACATGGCCTTTGGCGTTTCTCTCCCCCCACGTGCTGAAACATCTTGGCCACGTCCCTGATGCTTGTTCGAGTGACTGAATTGGGAGAGAAGCAATGATGAGGAGGAGAAGAGGGGTTTGTAAGGTAGTTGAAGGAAGAGGGAAGTTGCTCGAGGGTCGAAGCTGTGCGAGGTGTACATACCTATGGCAGCGCACGTGACTGATGACAAGCTCTTGTACTTTGTATCACTTCTAATCGACGAATCTCTTGGACCGTAACAAATTCAACTCGCACTTCACCAGCCCATGAATCAGCGCTCTTCTACTTCCTCTATGAGCATCGCCCTCTGCTTGGGTAACAGGCAATGTTTCAGCTGACAAGCACCGGTCGGGTTGGCTGAAAGAAAGGCGGGGGAAGTACTTCGCAAGGTACGCAGCACCCATGGCTGAATCAACGCCGTCGCCAAAGGCGATACTGCGAGGGCACAAGGCCCAGATCCATGCCACCACGTTCGTGAGACACAACGAGCGCCTTGCGACGGGCGATGCCGAGGGCTGGGTCGTGCTCTGGGACTTGACCATCATGCGGCCAAGAGCCGTGTGGAGGGCTCACGAAAATGCGATTCTCGGCATCAGGGGGTGGGATCGCGATAACATCATCACGTACGTCTTCACTTCACAGCATCGGCTTGACTTGTCCAGTTTACTGATTGCCGTCTCCAGCCATGGCCGCGACCACAAACTCATTGTGTGGAGGGTCAGGGAGGAGGACGAGGGCCGCCTCAGCGTCGCGCTACCCCTGGAAGAAACCCCCACGCCACGACCTCAGCCGTGGGTGCTTCACCTCCTCGAAGTCAACACGATGAACTTTTGCTCATTCGCTGCTTGTCTCGGTGACGCCGCCCAAGGCTCCTTGGACAGTGCCGCGTCCACAGCGCAAGTCCTAATCGCCGTCCCCAATACACTGGCGTCTGAAGCCGTAAGTAGCGTGACGTTTGGACGCCGTCGTACCTTGACTGATGAACTGTGTGCAAGATTGACATCTACGCCCTCCCCAGCCAAACCAGGATCCACACCATCAAAACTAGCCAAACCAATGGCATGGCCATGAGTCTGTCTCTCTTTCACCACGATGGGTGTTTGACACTAGTTGCAGCATTCGAGAACGGTTTCGTGTCGGTGCACCGACTTGACTCTGATGGGTTTTGGACCATGACTTACCGGTCCAAAGCACACACGCAGCCGATCCTATCCATAGATGTTCATCCTAGCCGAGAGTGCTTCTTCACTTCGGCAGCAGACGCCTTGATAGCGAAGCATCCCGTTCCAACCTCCTGCCAAGAAGTGGATGTCGATGCTGAGTCCAACCAAAGGGTTGTGGAAATAGTTGAGCCCAACCAAAGTAATGCGGGAAAGTCGCTTCTATCAGCGGCTTTGAGCGCTGCTGGCTCTGCAGAGACCAGGGCAAGGCCCAAGAAACTGAAAGAGTGGGAGCATCCGCTCAAAGTGGTCAACACCAAGCATTCCGGCCAACAAAGCCTCAAAGTTAGGTCCGACGGAAAGCTGCTGGCCACGGCTGGATGGGATTCCAAGATACGCGTGTACTCAACAAAGACCTTGAAGGAGCTGGCCGTGTTGAACTGGCACAAAGTTGGAGCCTATGCGGTTGCTTTTGCGTCCGTCGACGAGCCGAGCACTCCTTTGACCACTTCGCAGCCTACAGATTCCATGCAGCCTGTCGAAAGAGACATGAGAGATACCACTGATGTATTACAAGATGAAGAGGGCTCGACTGGTTCTCGACAAGTCAGGAGCCTGGCCAAGGGAGCTGGAATGAGCGTCAAAGACCGCAGGGTTCAGCTTGCAAAAACAGCACACTGGATTGCAGCAGGAGCAAAAGACGGAAAAGTGAGCTTATGGGATATATACTGAAAAGCCCCTATATACAAATCCATTCATCCTAACATGTCCGCGTTGACCCATCTAATCGTGTCAATACCGAGATTGGGCTCTCAAGAAAGGGGAGCTTACCCAGTCCATACTCCTCATGATATCAACCTTGACTCCGGGTCGATGCACACCGATACGGCTCTGATGCAATCTGTCAGCTGGTGGAGGGCTCTCCTCATTGCCTCTTTGCAAGCTCGGCCCAGACCCTCGACATCCACGCAGAGATCAACACGTCTCTCTGAACAGCACCCATCATGGCGCTGACGACCAACGTCATCAGACCGTCTACGTCCACCTCTCGCGCAATCAGCTGGCCCTCTGCATCGCTCCATTCAAACCGAACGCTGTTGTCCTTCACAGGGAGCGCCGAAAATAGCACATCTCGACGCACTAACCGACGGTCCAGCGCATGCGTGGCGCGCAGTATGCGATAGCCCTTGGCAGAAGACAACCTCCTCGGCCGAAAGGTCTCCAGCCCAAACGCATAGGGGCTCTGCCGGGACGTGGGTTCCGCGTGGTACGCAAAGGTCGGGCCCGTCACTCCCGTGGGATGCTTCAGGTCATATATGTGCCTCTTGCGCGCCGCCAGCTGGGCCACGCCGTCGCGCCGCTTGATGGAGTACTCGAGCCTCTCGATGCGCACATTCCGATCCGAGTCCTTGAGAAATCCCACCGAATGGGAGAGCTCGTACAGCGGCGGAGCTCCCGGATCTGCGGAGTGAATGAAGCGGCCGGCGACGTAGAAGGTCGTTGGCGAGAAGACTCCCTCTTGCAGGCCGGGCTGGAACACGTTGGCCTGTTGGCTCGATTCTTGGTACGAAGGCGGATCCTCCTCCATGGATGCATTTATAGGAATAGTTTGTCTTGGCGATGACGGAGCTTGAAGTCGCCCCTGCGAGCGGACACGAGGGATTCCCAAGGGTCGGTTGTCTCGGTGGCTACAGTGCCTTGAGGATGACGGGGTGAAGGCCTGGACTGTGCGGTTTTGCTGGTCCCGGCGATGCATTACACCGAGTGACGTGGATTGTCTCTCATCCGGTTCTGATTCGCAGCTTCGGATTCAAGCTTGTCCGCACGCAAACTACGCCTATAAGCGCTTACAAAGGCGTTCATTGGCTTCGGCAGCTATTGGTGGTGATGGTTGAAAGAGAGCTTCATGTTCAGTGGGATGGCATCACACCTTGCCGTTAGCGAGTTGCGAGCTATGCAAGCTTGGCAAGCTCCCGCACATTCCGGGATTTATACGGAGATGCGCCAACGATGCCATCGTGGGACCTGATCGGGATTTGGGACGACCAACGGCGCTATCAACCCCCAAGGCACGACTGTCTTGACAAAACACATCCGTCGTCACTCGCGATCTACTTTGGAGCTTCCAGAAAAGACTTCGTACCTATGAGATAACAGGACCTAGATAAGCTTATTCTGCGGATATTCTTACCCGCGCGGTGTCGCACTCAGGCATCGAACATGACAAAGCTAGGGAGGTCCCTTGTCTGCACGCCATATCCGAACGGGAGACGTCCTTAAAAGGCATTCTCGAGTATACAAGTCGAGTCAGAGACAAAACACACCTTGGTGGTGAGCGGTGAGATGCCAGTCCCTGGTAATCTCAGGGTGCGGTACCCAGTCGAGCAGTTGGCCCCGGTGAAGGAAGAAACGAGGGTCAGCAACAATAAGCAGCGGGCGTCCATCCGCATACGATTGATCTGCACCGACTACAGGGGTTACTGACTTCGTCTGGAGGTCGGACTCTTGGCATGCTGCTCTCATGGCTATGCGAGGCACATTGACCTCGGTGATTGGTTGGGTTGCTTTCAAGAACAATCCTCAATGATCCTCTCATGGGTCTGTAAGGCTGTTGATGCTTAACACTTTCTTGGATATTACGACAGACATCCACAGGATCGGGGCCCTGACACTCCTACAAGGTATATGTTTTGCGAGTGTGAAGCGACAGCCCCTTTCAGCGATGTGCAGGATTGTACTGGGAGTGCAGATTCAGTCTCTAGGGAATAACTCGGAGGTGCCCAAGCTTCGAGGCCTTCTCTCCAACTGTTCACATGTCGTCAACGGCAACTTACAGCACGAGAACTGCAACAACAAAGACAATGGATGACGTTTTTTTCGAACGTGATACGGAGCTCTGCTACCTTGCCCTTTCTCCAGCAATCACATCGCTCTCGACGCTCTACGCATGGCGCAATTGCCCCTTCATTACTCATATTGCAGCCGATGAGCATGACCAAGTGGTGTCGTCCCCTTCAAGACTCAACATGCCTCAATCACCCTGATTCACAATAATTTGTCGTCCTTGACGGAGAGCTGCAGAATAGAGCTGCACGACTGTTTGCATAGCCACTCACAGGTGGCCTGCGCTTTGCTACGCAACACTGCCATGTGCCGGACTCCACCACCTTACTCAGTCCCTAGAGGAACAGTTGGGTATAGCTGCACATGATTCCCTTGTTATATCCATACTGGAGGGACGAGGGTGTCCCAATGGAGTAGCTGATCATCTCTCTATGCCCCCTTGATTCGCAGCAACATGCCAAAAGCTAAACCGCGTATGGTAATCACAGGTATCCCCGTTACCTCGCGGTTGCTGAGAGCATACACAACTACAATCGGGTTTGATGAGGCTCATGATTGCCTGCGAGCTGTCGGAATTGCCACCACGGCGGCATGCGTAGCGGGTGGTATTCATGGATGCAAGCAGACATATTACTAAAGAGTTTGCCTCCCCTGGTTGCTGTCACCTGGAAGCTTGCTTGAACAGGGGTAAAGTGTGTGTTTGGCCGGCCAGTTCAAGGGCATCTGGACTACACAGCATGATCTCTGCCGGTTGAACAGCAAAGTCCTGTTGACTTCCGCAAGAGGGAGGGTAAGCAGCATGGAGACGGGCATGCGAACTGAGCATATATACCGAGCGTGTGCCAACAGCGTCACGGCACTTTGACACTGCTTTACTTCGCCTCTCATCCGGCTCTTTTCCAGAGACTCTCAACGCCAGTCCACAACTTCACAATCATGCCGCTCATTACGACACCCAGAGGCCTTCGGTACTACCGCTTCAGTGACCGCACAAAAAGGATATGGCAGTACAGGCTTGAAAACGGGAACTGGCTGAGGCTGCCCAAGCCGATCCGGATTGCTGAAGGGTATGAGGACCAGTATACCTTTGGCATCAGCCACTTTAGCGACCCTCTAAAGGAACCAGTGGTGAGTAGCATACCGTTTCCATATTCTTTGACAATTCGAAACTTATAGCCAACCCATTAGGTCACCTTTCTCGCCGGCGGTCGAAACGAGTCCATGCTCGAGTTTCAGTGGGCCATAGACGACAATGATGCCAGTCAAGTCGCTATCCCGGACTCTGTCCGAAAACTGGCGAATGGGAACGTTGCACCTGTTTTGCTCGATCCATCTCCAGCTCTTGATGCCCCTCCTAGTATCTGGGGTAAGCAATGGGCGTTTCTAACGGGGTAAGATGGAGTTGGATTTCCCCCTGGATGGCATGTTAGTGAGGCTGATTGTGGAAGCAGTGGTTCGAATAAGTTCTCGCCTGTGGAACTTGAACGTGCTACACCGGCTGGCTGTTGGGAGGGAAGAGAGATACGAGACAAGAAGCTTTTTGCACCTTCGAAAGTGGCTGCTTGTGTCAATTTCACGGGATTACACCTGTTTATGCCTGGCATTTATGACGGTCGCTATGGACTGATGAAGGCCTCTCGGTCCTTGGACAGTGAAGAATACACAGGTACATCCAACAGAGTTCTGCTCACTGCCATTATATGCTCTACCCAAGGCTTGTTGTACAAATGCTCACTTACTGACCGCTTGCCAGTCGACGTTTACCTCAATGTCCCCGACGAAGCAGGCATCATCATTGATGCAGCCTTGGCAGCAGCTTCATGGAACGAAGAACCGCGCGTCTTTGTCCTGACCCGCCAGAAGGATAGCCCTGTTCGACATGTACAAGAATGCGTGTACGATGTCGATGAGAAAGCCATGGCACTCCGGCAGCTGACCGAGTATGACGGCTGGGTTGGTGTAGGCATAGATGGGCAAAATGTCGTCGTTGCGTATGAGGATCGGGATGAGTATGGGATTAATCTCAAGACGCTTGTCTGGGATGAAGAGGAGGAGTGGTGTGATGGACCGGATATTGATCGGTGGGAGGGCGCGAATGGGGGTTCCTTGAGGGAGATGGAGGAATGAGCATTGAAGGGAATGCAGTTGGGAAATGGTTCCGATATGGCATATAGTGATGCGCTTACCGATATTGTACGTGAGGCCATTATCATCAGTTTCTTTTTCGGGCTACCTTGAAAAAACGACGCAGTAGCTTGGGAGGCATTCGTCGTCACGTACATCATATGGCAGTTTATATCACGCTTATGTCCTCCCATACATGAACGAAGAATCGATCGATGATATATTGTCCGACCAGACAGCGTAACAACGGATGGCGGTAATCCAGGCAGCGTCTCTAAGTACTTCACGCTCAATTAGAGACTGTGATTAAGCCAGGAAGGCCTTGGAACTATACTATGACATGGCCGATGTTTGGGCGTAGGGTATGCACTTCAAAGGGGGGCCGTTTCAGTATCGAGTGTTTGAGAACGTATCTAGGTGATTTGATGTACATGAAGCGCCTCGAATTAATCTTACTCTCCCATCGGGGTGACAGATCATGAACGGCCCTGACTTGGAATAGGAAGAGATACGTTGTATCAAATGTTCTTGTTCCATGAACCGCATGCTGCTTGACAGAGTCTCAGCGGTAGTTGCCCGAATCTTGCCTACCTGTAGCGAGAGTCCTCACAAAGCAGCTCAGCTAACCTCACTCCAATGCGCTTAGACCTGCCGAAATACTCTCGTTGTATGTCACTGATAACGACATCACTCAGCCAAAGGAGAGGTGGACCAAGTACACCAAGATGACGGGTGAGGGGAAGCAATCCCCGGTTGCATAAGTACCATATCTACAAGGGCCTCCATTCGATGATCATCTTCTGTAAGACGAATAGTCACAGCAGGATTCTCATCAGTAACCTAGTATAAGCGTAATAATTGTTCGGCGTCGCCGAAATAATGTCACGTACTCCATTGCCATTCTATTCGTGTGTAGGTGAAAAGGGTGCGAATCCATCCAGCGCGCTATCATCATCGTGATTGAGGCGCTTAAGCAACTCGTGAGCTTAGACATCCTAGAAGTTACTCGGGCCAATCCATCGTGAGCAATGCTTCACCTGAGATTAATTCTAAACTCCGGGCAGATAAGCTTTGGGCTGCAGTCATCTGCAAACTTGGGTGTCTCGCAGCCCAAATAAGTGGCTATGTATTCGGTCTCACACGTACTAGCAGACTTTATTGGTGTAGTCTGACAACGAAGGATCGTGATACCTATGTAGCCAGGGAGACGCTTGTCAAGAGCAAAGCTGCCGATAAATCAGTCTGCGAGCTCTGAGACCTGCGTCCTGGCTTTGCTTACCTTGAGCAAAAAGGCCCTCCTGCGCCCTGCGGATGAGACAAGGAGGCCTTGAGCCAGGGTTTGTTGGGATGCATGCCTAGATAGTTGCATCTATATGCACAGAGGCTCTTTGTTGCGATATGCTTCAAGCCCTCAGACCAGCATGGCGATGTTGCATTTGTGCTTATACAGGGGCTCTTGATATCTCTATATACTGGGAAAGGGCCACATCATCTACCTATGTTCAGATGTCACACGATGGACGAAGATGTCAATAAAGATGATGCTATTGTCTCAAGAGCTCCTAGAATATGTATTGTGCCTCTAAGCAGCATTGAAAGGCGAGGAGAATAAAGAGAGGCATCCAGCCACTCGCCAACAAAGGCGATCTGGATCTACATATCCGGGCTCTCCTCCTGTATAAACAGACACATTTCTCCCTGCATCTAGCTTCAGCAGCTATGTATGCTTCTTAAGTGCGCTTTCACCGGGAGTAAGAATGTTATCTCCTTGTTACCCAAGGCCAAGAGTCGGGTAGTCACTCCACACATCTTGCATCGTTGGTCCATTTCAGCTTCTTCTCTCCCCCCTTCATGGACGTATTGTACTAAATCCAACTGAACGACACATGTATGCTCCACGAAGAGGGATACACAACTTATCCTACAGACGGACCATGTATCTGTCAACGACTCATTTCACATAGTGTTGTCATAGCAGCGGAGTTTCACACCCCGCGGCAGAAGACGCAATACTGTACAATGCCGAGTGCCCTACAACACCATCTCCCACCTCCTTCTACATGCCCCCATCGGAGTTACGGACTCCCTCTATTGCGAATGATTGCTAATAATATAGCCATGGAAATTCCCAAAGACGAGCTCAACATGACCTCGCTTTGCATGAACCAATTTTTCCCCGCAAAGTGGCAACATGGCATCAAAGACATCCTCCTCCCCCCCCCCCTTTGTCCCAACCATCACCACCGCTAACAAAACTCACTTCCACCCGCATCTCCCCTTTACGTGGATACTCACTCCCGGGGGCTGGAGCAAACAAAGTTCCCCGACATTGCGTCAGTCTAAAACAGATGTAGGGAGTCCGATGCAGATAACGTCTTCGTTGAGCTACTGCTGGCTGATGCACCGCAGCTGATCCGGCTGTGAATGAACGCCACATGCTCATTGTTTGATGGCAACAACAGACATAGTAGCATCCTATAAGAAAGAAAAAACAAGCGAGGATGTAGCAGAGGGGGGCACGTATACGCTGCACGTTTGTTACTTTCTCGAGCTTTCATCATGTGATGGTTTCATCTGTCCGGGGTGCAGTGACATGCCTGCCCCTTATCATGTAAAGCATAGCTACCTAATACTAGTACCAGAAAACCATCGAGGACAGAGACACTCGAAGCGAATGTGTGACACGAGACAAATCAAAAGTCCATCATCCCGCATAGGTAGGTAGGTACTTACCTACATCTCATCCAGCGTCCAATCCTTCTCTCAAAGCTGACTGCGCTTCCTTCAAGCCCACAGACTCTCCCATCTGCATCTCCTCAAGCACATCAATGCCCAGCGGAATCCCGCCCTTCTTGCGGAATTATATCCTACTAATACCTACCCTTCCGTGCTCTTCTTTCGAGATCCTTGACAACAATAGCAGATCATCAAGAAGAAACAGCTCACAAGGGTGTCGAGATAGCTAAGGTAACGCCTTTCTGACTGACTGACTACCTACCTAGTAGTAGTATGTTATGTTAGGTACTACTGCAATCCTCATTCCTCTCGGGAGCGCATCTTGTCGTCATGACGTCCAATCATCAGGTCCTCACCATCTCACCTTGCGGGCGGACATTTGCAAACTCCGCCGAAAACGATAAAACGAGGCTTACAAACGCCATCCAAAGCCACCCGCAACCGTTTCGTTCCTCGTCCTTCTCAAAAAGCCACTAGAAGAAAATCTGATGGAGCTTTTTTTCATTATTATTAATCTTATTTATCATTTTAATCTTTATTAAATCCACCTAGGCAGCGAATTGCTTCAATGAATTAAGAGAATACAGCGTGAGGAACCTTGAAGTAACTGGAAGCCTAGGCATGTAAGTCGCTTGTTGTCGCACTCCGGTTCAATATTTCATCCGCTCGCTTCCGTTTGGTCGAAACCGTAAAATCGAAGCTGGTGGAAATAACTAAACTTGCAGCGTGCTTCGTCAACTCTTTGGGTCTCGGAGTCCTAATTCCGTGATCCGAAAGCCTCTCGGACAAAGATCACGACTAGGCTACCGCTAGTAGCACGATGCTTCATCTTATTAGCTACATACATACATAGAAGCAGTGATACTGTACAGTATTACCGTCCTGTAGGAGAGCCCGGCGGGAACAGGGGGTGGGGTTCCATGATTATACGGTAAGCTGCGTGCGGTAGGAGAATTACATAGTCAATATGCGAGTGGATGGGTGGAGGGGTGGCCTTGTTTGGCTGGCTGGCTGCTGGTGGTGGTGATTCGGCTGCGCCAGTTGTACACGTACAAGCATCTCCAGCATGATGGGACCAGCAGGGCGGTTGAGCAGAGATTTCGTGCGGCTAGTGACTCACCGGGGCCTCGACACGATGCCTGTTGGAGTCAAGGCCGGATCCTTGGCGAAGCTTGTTGAGAGGGCCTTGATCCATCGTTTTGGCCGTGTCATTATTTCGACGTTAAGCGTTATGTTATGCTCGCCCGTTGTCTTCTTCTACTACCTGTTTTTGTCTTTGGATCCGGGCTGACTCGCACTATGATAATACATCTCCATCAGTAAGTAATATTATAGTCTAGGCTGCCAGCAAGAGTAAATTAAATACCTTGGTCGGAGGACAAAGGACAACAAGCACAGAGCATTTAATCTGCACGTGCGAGAGTGTTGGCCGAGTTGGGTATGCGCACATGCCTGATGCAAGGGACGCAACCCAATGTCACCTCAACAACAACTGGCTCTGAATAGATGCAGCCGTGGCTTCATACATACCTGCTTCCACGTACGTACATTATCTTGATCATCATCATCATCATCAGAAACAGCGTTTCAAAGACTCGGCGTTTGCTTCGTGTCCGAGCATCGTATGGAAACAGCGTTATCGCGTAACCCTCTAGAATCTTCATCCGAGCCACTCTCCCCACCGAGCCATAACGCAAAACCATCATGTTACTACTCGTACTGTGATACTGTACATGCCTCTCTGACGCTGGCGGCGGGCTTGCAAATCCACTCCGTCACTCCGTCATTCTCCTCCAGAGCCTAGCCATGCGTAAGGCGGCCAACCAGGAGTCGACGATTCTGGCTCACACGCCGCGACCATGAGCTTAATTCCTTTTGGTGTCCGCGTCCAGTTGTCAGCATTGCGAATCTTGTGCCAACCCCTGCGGACTTTGGAGTTTAAGCGTAAAGTGTCCGAGCCAGAGATGGGCTGCAATACTAACAACACTTGACTTGCATTACGCCACGGAGCGGGTCTGCAAGGCTAAAGAATGCTGAGATACGAGCGTTATGGCTGCTGCTTGTTTGTTTGTGTGACCCATAGGGGGGGGGGGGGGGGGGGGGGGGGGGTGTGAGTGTACCAAAGGGCAAGGTACAGGCTGCCGGAGTGACCCAGGCGCCAGCGGACATGGAATCCGCCTCGATGGAGGAGATGGAGGTTGTCTGCTTTGATAGTACGGATACCACAAAAGGCAATGTGGTACCTTGTCGCATGCCGGCATGGTATATATAGAATGGACGAGGGCCAGGATGCTGTGATGGAGCAAGCCTCGACACCTTGTCAACCCAGCTGCCGCTCGCCTACTACTACTAAGTAGCAGTGCAACCCTGATCTTGATCTGATATCGCAAGAGACAGGCCCCCCCAGTCGCAATGGCAGACCTGCATCGGAATTCCCAGACCCCTGAAGGGCTACATGCTGCTATAGCCTCGACGGGCACGACTCTCAGAGAGGATATGGACAGCAAAACTCCCGTGCCCAGCATAGGAGACAACTACGATGGCCTCGATGAGAAGCAGGAGGATAGGCCAGCAGACGAGAAGCGAGAGGAGACGACCGTCGACTCGCCGGTTCCGAATGAAGAGCTGGCCGACGACGAATACCCTTCGGGGATCAAGATGTTCTTCATCGTGCTCGCTCTGGTGCTGAGCGTCTTTCTCCTGAGTCTCGATATGGTGAGTTTGCATCCTTTCAAGGAATTTGAGATGTAGAAGCTAACACCTGGGTTTTCCTTGGCAGACAATCGTGGCAACCGCCATTCCCAAGATCACCGACGAATTCAAGGGCCTCGACAAGGCCGGCTGGTATGGTGCCGCCTTCTTCATGACCGTCGGCGCGTTTCAATCGACATGTAAGTCATCCGGTCTTCTGCATCAGCGCGGCATTCCAATACTAACACACTTCTTCCAGGGGGCAAGGCGTACAAGTACTTTCCGCTCAAGGCCACCTTCCTCACCTCCATCATCATCTTCGAGCTCGGCTCCGTCATCTGCGGCGCCGCCCCCAACGCCGAGGCCCTCATCACCGGCCGAGCCATCGCTGGTCTCGGTGCTGCGGGCATCGGCGCCGGTGCCTACACCATCATTGCCTTTTCCGCGCCGCCCAAGAAGCGCCCTGCTTTCACGGGCATCATCGGAGCTTCCTATGGTTTCGCCAGCGTCATCGGACCGCTGCTGGGAGGAGCGTTCACCGACCACGTCAGCTGGCGATGGTGTTTCTACATCAACTTGCCCATCGGCGGTGTCTCGGCAGCCATCATCTTCGTCTTCTTCCAGACCCCTCGAAATGCGGTCCCCGTCAAGGCGACTATGCTTGAGAAGATCCGGCAGATGGATCCCCTCGGTGTGATCCTGATGATGGGAGCCACCATCAGCTTCATCCTGGCCGTCCAGTATGGTGGCATCGCGCACCCCTGGGACTCCTCCGTCGTCATTGGCCTGCTGGTCGGCTTCGTCCTCATCATCGGTGCCTGGGCGTTCGTGCAGTGGTACCAGGGCGACTACTCCATGGTGCCTCCCAAGTTGTTCGCCAAGCGCACCAACCTCGTCATGTCTCTCGTTGCTTTCATCCAGGCCGGTGGCTTCTTTGCTGCCATCTACTACATCCCCATCTACTTCCAGTCCGTCCACGGCACCAACCCGACCATGAGCGGCGTCCGCAACCTGCCCTTCATCATTGCCGTCTCCTTTTCCACCGTTGCAAGTGGCATGCTTGTCAGTGCTACCGGATGGTACCAGCCTCTTCTGCTCGGCGGAACATCCGTCGCCACCATCGGAGCCGGTCTCTTGTATACGCTGGGCAGACACACATCAACTGGCAAATGGATTGGGTACCAGATCGTCGCGGGAGCTGGCTGGGGCACCGCCTTTCAGATCCCCATGATTGCTGTGCAGGCCTTGTCCGACCCCAAGGACCTCGCCTCTGCCACCGGCATGCTTCTCTTCTTCCAGGGTCTGGGCGGAGCTTTCCTCGTGTCTGGAGCCCAGTCAGCCTTCATCAACACCATGGTCAAGAACGTTCTCCAGCACGCCCCCCAGGTCAGCGAGGCGATGCTCGTCTTGACTGGCGCAACTGAGATCCGCAACAAGTTCCCCGTGGACCAGCAGCCATTTGTCATTGACGGTTACATGGCCGGCCTCAGGGTTGTGTTTGCCATGTGCGTGGCTTGCACAGGATTGGCCACTTTGATCGGCCTCGGAATGCGGTGGCAGAGGCTCAACCCGGACGCCCTCAAGAACGCCGGAGGAGCGGCATAGATGGTTCGATGCCGGTTTACTTCACATCATCTCGTCACGATACATGTCACATAGACACAATTCGCACTCGTCATCCTCGACAAAGTCTGACAAGGCCGGGCCGGGTTGAGGACATGATGAGCGACAAGATTGCATTGCAGGCGTTAATTTGCGTGTTTGGGTTTTATGGATGCAGCGGGATTCCATGCTGTTTTGCGTAATAATTGGCGGAGCGTAGACATGACACATGGGGGATTTGTATTTTGTGTATACCATATAGATCATAATTGTTGCAAAGAGAAATCACAACTTACCTATCTTGCGCAGTCTTGTGTCCTTGGGCAATGCTGTACGCGTGTTGGACCGTGATGCATGAAGCGGGTAGATAGTCAGCTTACTTGAGCTGTTTGGCCGGAGAATGAGAGAAAATGATGCCGAGCTGCGGAGTGCGATGACTGGTTTGCGGTGTATTACATGTAATATATCGAAATGGCGGCAATGAGACGAGGCTGCTGCGCCCGTTGATGGCAGGCAATGATTCAGGTCTTTGTGCCCTGGTCTCGCACATGTAGGATTGTAGCAAGAATATGGAGACGGATGAAGAGCAGAAAGCGAACAGAGGTCGAAGACTTGATGCTTGTTTCCGCTGTCGGTTACCGTAATCTTTGACTGAAGAGCTCATTAAAGCTCAGAGCCTTGCGGATGTAAAGGAGAGAGGGGAATAAAAGGGAGAGAGATGCAAAGGGGAGAAGAAGAAGAAGCTCGTCAAAGCATCTGCGGCATGACGTCTTACACGATGCGCAGCAGCTCCTCCATCTGGGCATCTCACGTGGGACCGCGCCTTCCCATCCCAACCATCACGGCCAACTCCGATCTTTCATGCAACCCTCCAATCATTTTTTCTTTCTCTCTCTCTGTTCTCTTCCTCCTGTCTCTCGTTGTAATCCTTCCGGGGGTCATGGAGGGCTGAATCCGCCAGCCTGGTTTCGTTCCCGGTCGTGACACGCCGGGGCAAATCCATTCTTTTTTTTTCCCTCTCTTAATGGTCTCCAAAAATTACGGCAGACGTTTCCACCCCTCCTCGTCCCCAAAACTCCGCGGCAGAAACCGTCACGAAATCGTTCTCTTGACTCAGCCATTGCGCGTCGGCGATGGCGACGACGGACTCGACTCCCATCTGAACGCCTCGGCTGAGCGGAGAGCTTCACATTGCCGCACTTATATATTCGCTCACGACCCTGCCTCGTCCCCTGCCGCTCTTTTGTCTTGGAACAGCATCTCGAATTACAACCGATCGACTCGAGGCGCAAGAACCACCGACCGTCCGACGATCACACAACAGACGCAACAACAAGGAGCAGCAGGACTTGATTGAAACTCGTCCTAAGCACTCACAATGTCGCCTCAAGCCTCCCTCTCGCGCCTCGTCTCCCGCTCCGCCGCCATCCGCTCGCTGCGCACCGCCGCCGAAACCATCCCCTCGACGTCCATCAAGGTCCTCCGCGTCGTCGACGCCGTGCGACAATGGCGCAAGCCTCACATGGCAAACATGCGCTCCGTCGGCCTCGTGCCGACCATGGGCGCCCTGCACGAGGGCCACTTCTCGCTCATCCGCGCCGCCGCCCGTGAGAACCACCACGTCGTCGTGAGCATCTACGTCAACCCGGCCCAGTTCGGCATCAGCGAGGACCTCGCCTCGTACCCCGTCACCTGGGACACGGACGTTGCCGCGCTGGCCCGCCTCGACCGCGAGTTCGCCGACGACGGCGCCAACCTGGGCCGCATCTCGGCCGTCTTTGCGCCCCCCACGTCCGAGATGTACCCTTCCGGCTTCCCCGGGCAGGAGATTGACAGCAAGGGCAGCTTCGTCACCATCACGCCCGTCGGCGAGGTCCTCGAGGGCGCCAGCCGGCCGACCTTTTTCCGCGGCGTCGCCACCGTCTGCATGAAGCTCTTCAACATTGTCCAGCCCGACCGCGTCTACTTTGGGCAAAAGGACGTCCAGCAGACCGTCGTCATCAAGCGCATGGTCCGCGACTTCATGGTCCCCACCGACGTCGTCGTCTGCCCGACCACTCGCGAACCTGACGGCCTTGCCCTGAGCTCGCGCAACGTCTACCTCGGCCCGCGCCGTCGCCGCGTTGCGGTTGTGCTGAGCAAGGCGCTGCGCGCCGCCCAGGAACAATACGACAATGAGAAGCTGGACCGCAAGGATATCCTTGGGGCGGCAAACCAGGTCACGGAGAATGTGCTGCAAGAACAGATGGAGCTACCTCCATCCCAACGCGTCACGTACGAGGTCGACTACATCTCCTTGGCGGACCCCGATACGCTGCAAGAGATTGAGTCTGTAGATCCGACAAAGGGAGCTGTTCTCAGCGGCGCCATCAAGATGAAGCCTGTTGAGGAACCTCAGGAGGGCGAGGACCTGGGACACTCTGGTGGACCGGCGGTCAGACTCATTGACAACATCATCTTGGCGCCAAAAGTCGAGTGAGCTTGGGCGATATGAAGATGAAAGATTGGATAAGAATCACGATTGACGAACACGTTAAAACAGTAGGAATCTAAAATAAGAGTAGGGACATAGGGACAGGTATCATCATAGAGATGGAATGATTTAACATGGCGGGTCAAGAAGAAGTACCAAAGCGGCTGCTGATGCGCGCAATCTACCTATTTTTGCATCTCTTCTTTTTCGTATACATAGCATCAACATTATGGGGTATAATAATACACATCAGTACTCAAGAAAGTGAGAAAAAAAAGGGGGAGGATCGAGCATCCTTCACAAATGTGCCCTTCCCTCCAACGTCCTCCTCCGCCTCGCGCTCTTGACGTTCAAATCCACCGCCTCCTGCTCCTCCTTGCTCAGCCTACTCGGCACCTTGGCCTTCCCGCCCTTCTCCGCCTCGTCAAAGAGCCTCCTCCCCAGCTCATCAGTCAGACGCAGCACACGACTACTAACCGTCGCCCCGTCACGCCGATTCTTGCCCTCGCGCCGCGAGCTCGCAATCTTCTCCGTGAAGTCCCAGAGCTTGCCCTCGGCGAGCAGGGCGCCCGTCTCGGGATCGCGCGAGGGCCGCCAGGACGGGTCGAGGCGTAGGCGCCGCGGGATCTTGGTGTCTTTGGACTTGACCACGTTGATGATTTGTTCTTGTTCAAACCGGGTGTACGAGTTCTTGAGCGTCTCCTTGTTGACGGCCTCGAAGTAGGAGAGGTCGCCTTGGTGGTAGAGCGTTTTGCCGAGCTGAATCATGTCAGAATGAATGAGCGGGCGTGTTTTTTACTTCATGAGGAGAAAGCAAAAGACGTGGGAGAACGATTTGCTTACCAGTTGTGCGCTGTTCTGAGCCTTTGCCTCTTCGATCCAGACATCGCCGTTCTTACCCTTGGGCGGAGTCAGGCCCATCAGCGACACCGCCGCAAGCCAACTGGCCTCGATAAATGGCCAGATGAGGAAGCAGTAAAAGTCGTAGTTTTCTCGCCCTGCCTTGCGCTCTTCGTCTGACAAGCCAACGGTCGTAATGTTGCCCTTTTCATCACGATCCAGACGAACCACATGGTCAGCCTCCAAGCCGCGGAGCGTGGCATCCAGGTTTGCGGCGAGGCCGGCTCCTGCAAAGATGAATTCACCGCGGAACAGCGAAGACAGAAACAGTACTTGGGCCTTGAGCTCCTCATATGGGATATCCTGGAACGCCGGGCCGCCTCCGCGCTTGATGCGCGTATACATGGCCACGCTGACAATGGCCTCGTAGACGAAAAGATGGATCGTCATGTTGCGATAAAAGGAAAGCTGGAAACGGTCGACAGCATAGTAGGTCGGCTCTGCTAGTCCCTCCACCACTCCCACCAAGTCCTTGCCCAAAACTTCCAGTCCTCGATCGACAATCTCTGAAAGAGGCGCGTTTCCGAAATGCGCAACTCGTCCCCCCTTGGCTCGGACGCGACACGTCAGCCACTCTACGCGACGAATCAGTTCGCCTTTGCCGACGCCACGACCACGAAGGGTGAGTAGCACGGTGCCGATGAGGGCGGTAGGCATGACGACCGAGACCGCATTGATGTCGCTAAGGACCTTGTAGCCCAGGGCACGCAGAATCTTCTCTCGAACCGCTCGTACTTCGGGGTTGTGCTGGTCGGTGCTGAGTCCTGTTGGAATGCTGGAAAGCTTCGAAATCTGGTTGTCGACAAACTTTCTCAGACTCCACGGCTCGTGGAATCGAACATCGACTCTTCCCAGCTTCAGAGAGAGAATGGATGGGCCGTTGGACAACAGATCTGCCAAATTCTCCTTCTTCTTTGGCATCCCCAGCAGCTCGTTGACGTAGCCCTCCGTTTCGATGACCTTGTCGTACTGAGTGCTGACGGGGCATATGATGGTGTCTTCAACCCGGCCAGAGAGGACGCTGTCCAATACGAAACTCAGGATACCGAATTTCGGGGGCAGCAATTTGCCTGTGCGAGACCTTCCTCCCTCGATAAAGCACTCGAAGTTGTAGCCTCCTTGTAACAGCGTATCGACGTATGACTGCACAACTGCTGTGTACAAAGCATCGTCACCAAAGGATCTCCTGATCCACATGGCGCCAGCGTGCTGCAAGAAAGCTCCTACAATCGGAAAGTTGAGGTTGTCTCCGGCGACGACGACCGGCAATGTCAGGCCAAGGCGATAGCATATCAGCTGCAGAGAGACGTAGTCGACGTGTGATCGATGGCTCGGCAGAAACACAATGCTCTGCTTTTTCTTGGCCGCCAGCTCTGCCACTCTCCGTAACCGCAGTACCTCCTCGCTGGACACATGGATTCCTTGGTGGTAGGCGCGCGTGACAAGCTGCATCGTCAGGTAGTATGCGCCGCGGATAAACGTGTTGCTCTCCATCTTGCAGATCATGTTGTCCGTCAGCTTCTCCGCAACCTCCTGAAGCCAGCTTTCTATGGTGTTTCGCCGCTGCGCGCGCTTCGTCTCGTAGTCTTTGTCATCCTTGTTCAGCAATCCCTCCTTCTCTTCGACGGCCAGGCGAGCTTCGGCAAGCTGGGCGATTCGCTTCTGCAGCAACGGCGCCGACAACACCATCGAGGTCATGTTCTCCGAGAAGCCGGAATAAAAGACCGGCTGGCCGATGACGCGGTCGTAGGCCCGCCATCCTTGGCCAGACACATACAGCGACACTTCGCGAAGGAACCTGTTGCCAACGGAATTAGCGGGAAGTCAGCAGAGCGGCCAACCTCGGCAAATACGCACTGCAGTGGTTCGCTGCGAAACGAGTGCGAGTGGTTCATCAGAGCCTCCTCCTTGTCTTCCTGGGCCACTGGCTTGGGCTCGACGAAGCCGCTGGGCTGCAGCGTGATTTCATCGCCCAAGATCTGGAGGTCGGGGGCCGAGCTGCTGGCTTCGTCGACGGGATCGCCATCGTGGGACATGGCTGGAGACGGCGGAGCTGAGAGGGGAGGGACGGCGGTGTTTTGTCGATGCAAGCAGAAGTTATCGAGAACAGTCAGAAGGGCATCGACATCAATGGAGCATTGACGGCATGGCCATGCTAGAGGGTGAGGAAGAGGCGTTCAGCCGAGGCCGAGGATGATGCATATGACAATGGCAGTAAACAGATGGGACGACCAAACATGGAGTCTGGCGATCCTGGCAGTTCTGATCCGGGGTACGGAGTATTGGGTACTTTGCTCGTGTACCTTCCATGACTGCAGCAGCTGCCAGTTGTGGGGCAGTACAATAACGCGAGATGCCGACAAAAAGCGGTACCTTGACGCATGTACCTCCAGTAATAGCAGACTCGGGATCGACTCTGTGAGTCCAGCTCCAAATTGGCTCAAAACATGTGATCTGATACACGTCAGATTGCGCACAACCTGAGGGTTGCATCCAACGGCAGAGACGGCCGAGCCTCGTCGGTAACAAGCACCGAGCTCGCCCGTACCGACCACAGCTTACGGCGCATCCACAGGTACCCGTAGCCTCGTACCGACAACTTGCGGGTGTGGAGAGACGCGGAAGTTGAAGAGCTCCACCTGCAAGGCTGCCAAGCTGTGACATCAAGTGACTGCCGATTGGTTTTTTTTCTTGCCAACATACATTCCATCTCTCAAGCGACATCTTCACCTCACTTCCTGCATATCAAGCGCTCACAATTGGCAGCAAAAGGCTTGCCATTGTGTGAAGAAACACCTTGTGATAATAAAAAAGCGCACAGCTTCTTCATCATGGCGTCGTCCGAGCAGATCAAGGTGACGCAGGATCTGCTCGCCAGGGCTCACTCTCCAGACAGCGCCAATCGCATCTACAGCGACAAGATCCAGTATCGCACTCTCCAGCTCAAGCCGACTTCTCCCCCTCCTGCCGCCCTCAACGCCAGGGCAGCGCGTCACAGAGCTCGCCAGCAGGAGAAACTCCGTGGAAAGCAGAGGCCGAAGCCACTGTCTGCCCGTGAGCGCCGCCAATTGGGCCTCTACGACATTCCCAAAGAAGGACAGAAATATGAAATCTACGAAGGACTGAATAAGCTCTGGATGGGCTACGCCATGGAGATCCTGGGCAACGACGTATACACCGGCGGGCCATTGGCCGCGGCCAAACTGGCAAGCGCCGAGTTTCACGGAGCAGAAGCCGAAGTGGTGAGGAGTCGGTGTCCTGGCCGAGTGGGCCTCAAGGGCATCATTGTGAGGGATCGCAAGTTTGTCGTCGAGTTGATTACAAGAAAGAGGGGGCTCAAAGTCATTCCCAAAGAGGGCACTGTCTTCCGTGTGGAAGTTTCTGCTCCTCCACAGACCGGAGACTCCCCGGAGACATTCGCCTTCGAAGTATATGGAGACCAGATGATGCTTCGATCTGCCGACCGCGCCAACCGGAAATTCAAGTCACACTTTCTCAAGAATGTTTAACAAGCACACACACGAGCGTCGTTTGAGTTTGACGGGCATTATTCTCGAAAGGGATGGCGTCCTCTCCAATTCAAATTAGGATCATGTTTCACGCGCTGCAAGCTCAACGGAAAGATGGCTTGCCTTCGAAGTTCCGGAGGCTGATCACGGCAACAAGGCTATTCCCTCTCATTATGAACTAGGGAAACAGACTACGCGTACGCGAGCCCGACGACAGACCATGGCTGGAGTAGAAGGTTTAAGGCTGACTTTAAGGACGCTTTATCTCGGCGCAGATTTCTGTAACCGCTAAGCCACCGCCAGCTCATCAATTTGATGGCCTGGCTACAGGGCTTCCAGGAACCGCGTTGCTGGCAGTTTTCAGGCATATAAAGAGATGGCTCTCCCCCTGTTAAACCGGACTTCTCATCTTCATTTCACATTCATCTTTCCATAAGACACAATGGGATGCAACTTTCCTTTGTGGGCGCTGGACGATACCAAGCCCTGGCATCTGCCGATGCCCTTCGTCGGCCCGGTGTTGAGAACCTTTGGCGGTCTGCTCTTACTGACCAACGTGAATGCCCTCTACGAGAAGATGGGCATCTTTGGCTACCAGAGGGCATTTCCGATTTATGCCCTGAACCTAGTCTTGGTACGCATAGATGGATGCATGGCATCTTGAAAGCTCACAGCTAATTGTCTCCAGATTGGTTTGATCTTCTTGGTCATCAGTGTGTTCTGCTCTCGTCGTCTGAACAATTACGAGCACGACTGGATCACCGTTTTCACAACCGCGTCGGTCACCGTTCTCTGGGCCATCACCTTTTCCCTCAATATGGGCATAGTCGTTGCTGGCTTTGTAAGGTGCAACGCCCCTCGCCTCCGAAAGCATTCCCCTTTGGACTCTGGCAGCTATTGTCATTTCTTTGGCAATCCGGAGCTGGCCGAAAAGTCTGGGTGGGATGGAAAGGCTTGGCCGGCGTACTACTGGGCCAGCCTTGCTCTATTCCTGGCGGTCGGCTTCTGCCAAGTGTGCGTACCATTCTCCCCCGTGATCACTATGATCAAGCAGAAGCTGACTTCAGTTCTCAAGTCTCAACTGGTACATTTGGTTCCGCACGGTCCTGCCCATTGTCCGCAATCAAAGGCGGCGAGCGGCTCGACAGGCGCGAATCGACGAGCAGCGAGAAGCGACACGAATAGAGCTCCTGAGACACGAGAGGAGAGCTGCCAGGGAACCGCAACAGCAACTGATGCTCCAAGACTTGCCACCTCCGAGTCCGGCGGCCATCACGGCAGCTCAGATCGAGTGGGTATAAAGCGACTCCGAGCAGGCAAGACGACAAACGTGGACTGGGCACTCTTTGGCACGGGATTGGGCAATCGGTTAGCGGACACGGTTCTTTTGGTAACGGGTACGGCACTTTATTCGAATTGGTCATTGGTTACGGATTGAGGATTTGGGCTTGCGAATCGGTTACACAGTTGTGGACAAAACACTAGGTAGATGGGGATGGCTTTACGGACAGGGCGTTGAGGCTGGTTTGTTTTGGGCTTGGATCTTGATAAGGATCTCAACAGAGCAATATCATTCGGTGTTCGGCAATACCTTACTCGGTACTACTTGGTTGGCTTGTCTGCAATGCTCAGTGGCGTGGGATGAGATACGTACAAGGTTAAGCTTCTTGTGGAAGCTTGATGGCGCAGCCTTGATGTCAAGTGTAACAGCAGGGTCTTTTTCTGTGTCGGAGTAGGTAGTCTTGATGTCCGACTTCAGATGAGGTCCCTCTGGTACCTGGTAGTTGATCGTGCGTGTTCTCGATAATCCAGATCTGTTTTGCTAGTATAGCGCATGTAACCCTCCCTCTACAGTAAGACAGATTACCTACCTACCTACAGCACCATTGTTCGATCAAAAGAGATACCTACTATACCTACCTACCTACCTTAGGTCGTGATGGTCGCATGCGAACAATGCAGATCTTGCCTGGCATGATTCCTTTCCGCGTAAATCTGCCTCCATCCGCCCAGTCACATACGTCCATGACTCCATACCTATGAGGGCAAACCACAACTCCTCACTGTGCTTCATAGGTAGAGGTAGTAGTAGGTACCTAAGGTCGGCATCCAGACAGCCTCTTCTAAGTACCTCTAGCAGTACTTCTACCAACTACCGAACTGTACCGGGTACTTTTCGCAATTGGCATCACCGTCTCGGCTCTTCCTCTGTCTCTCTTTCTCTTTCTCTTTCTCTCTCTCTCTCCCGTCTCCCTCCCTCCCATCAGTACCCCATCGGTACCTCGTTCGCCCATGCCCTCCCTCGCCAGGAACCCCCGCCCCTGCGCACCGCGCTTTATGGCAACATGTCGTAATACCGCCCGCGGTCGCGCAGCAAGGTTCCTCAATTAGGATTTAGCCCTCGCACAGTAGGCTCGGTTAAGGTCCGGCGTGCCCCGTTGCGGCCTAGCGGCGCCCAGCCTCGCTGTACATACAGCCTGGGGAACCAGCCGGAACCATTTTTATCTTTCCCAAACCTCAGGTTTTTTTAACGCCAGCACAGCACTGGTAGCTCTTAGTTTTCTCGTTCCAGCCTTCAGCCCTCTCGCGACCTCGCCCACCTGCTACCCAGACCGAATCTTCGATCTCTCGCCCGCGCCATTGCACTCGCACTCGCATCCTCCTGCCATCCGCAGCACCTGTTCGATCACCTCTCATAACCTGCCCAGACGCCCGCCCACCCGTGTCTGCCCTTCCAAACCGCTGTCAGTCGACCCACGATTGACCCTGTTCCCTCGACCAACACCCCGCGCCTCGGTACACGATCACGACCCGTGGGACACGTCCAACCATGCCGTCCAATCTCCCGTCAAGCTTTGCCTCGGCCGCTGCCGGCCAGAATGCAAACCGCGATGCAAGAGGTGGTAGAAGTGATGGAAGGCCATCTGCTGGAGGCGAATGGTGAGTGTGCTTTGCCCCTCGCCGGCGCCTGCGCTGGACGCGAGACCCGGGCAGCCCAGGAGATTTTTGCGTCATGCACGTCATTCGTCCTGCTTCCGTGCACTAGCGGATGCCGCGCCGGACATTATTTCTATTTTGTCGATATTCTTGTCATTTTTCATCATTTTTTATTCCGGGCTTTTTTTTTTCCATGGCGGGGATGGATGGGCTCACGACACAGTGCCCCTCTGGCTGCTGTCCGGAAACGGGTCATGCTTGTCTTGTAGAACATCGCGGCTAACAAACTCGGTGCCTATTTAGGTCTCGAAGAGATGGCCGTTCAGCCAACGGCACCCTGACCTTCCGCCGCTCCTCCACGACCCCTCTGAGCCAGTCCTCAAACCCCCCGCCCGCGAACGACAATGCTGTCCAGCCTCCCAGCGTCGAGGAGGCCCCCATCACACAGCCTACGACGTACGAAATCGGTCCCTCACGCTATACCAAGGATGATCTTCTCGAGATGTACCAGTCCCAGAGGCCTGCCGGTAACCCCTCTCATCTCTTCATCCCAGGCTGGGACCCGAGCAACTCTGGTGGCGCTGCTGCAAGGGGCTGGGGGAAGAGCAACGAGAACCACGTGCCACAGGATCCTGGCACCTGCTGGGATGCCAACGGCCAGACGGCTCCCATAGGGCTTTCGGCGTTTACCGAGGAGGAGAAAGAGGTTTGAGAGCTCCCCCATTCCATTGGCAGTAAGAAAGCTGTGATATGGGTGCTGGATGACTGACTTTGAACAGGCCTTTTCTTCCGATATCAACTCCCCTCTCAAGCCTCCCACGCAAGCCAAGGAAGGGCACCAGGCGGCTGTGAATGGGCGCAAACCGTCTCTTTCCCATGCCCCTGGAGGCACGTTTGGAGTGAGCTCTCCGTCGTCCGCTGTCCGACCCAGCACTCGCCGACGAGAAACTGTCGATTCCAACCCCTTCAGCCCGAGTAATGTTGCATCGCCGACCGCCAATCGATTTTCCCGTGATGACCCCTGGTTTTCACGAAAGAGCGGCGAATTGCGAGAGTCCGACGTAGATGATCCCGAAAGCGCCGAATCGGCCTCGCGCGATGCCCCCAAGCCCTCGATTCCAAGCCTACTGCGAGCTAACACCTCGACCGGTGTGAGCATGACGTCAATGTGGCCATCTTCCAGCATCTCGGGTGCTGGCGGCGGTGCCTTTGGTAGTTTTGCCCTGCCAACCTCGCCGGCCATTGGCGACAAGCGGCCGGGAGGTACCGGCGGAGGCAGCCGACTGGCTCATCTCATTCCCAAGGACAGTGGTGAAAGCTCAGCGAGCAAGCCCTCTGAGGCCCAGAACCCTCCTGCTCAGCAGTCTTGGCGCAGCAGACCCCGAACTGACACTGACCCGTTCGGGGGGGATGAGGTGACTGGCAGCGCTGCTCTAGGGGGGGATGCTGCTCCGGAAGCTCAGCACCCTCCTGCCCGAGCACCGCTCTTTGGCTCCACTGGAGATTTCGGAATGTCCAACTTGAACTTGGGTGGTTCGCCTTCCGGGACCAATGGCCCTGCTAGCCCCTCGGAAACGAATCCTTATCGCAGCCCCCCCGCCGAGCGTCACGATCATGACGGCCGGTCTGAGTCGGGCGCCGGGGACAAAGCTCCCGGCGCAGGGCATGAGCAGCCACACTCCAACTACAGCACGCTTTCTCGAGGTTTCGGCGCCGCCTTTGATGGAAGCGATCGTAGCCAGACGTCCAGCGTAGGCGCGAAAGCCTACCTGTCTGGCTGGCCCGCTCCGGCTGGTCCGTCCACCGGAACCCCGGACCGTGAGCGATCCACCTTCGGAGGAGCGTTCGGCAGCTCTCTCTTTAGCCCGATGGGTGACATGCAGTCTCCCGGCCTGGGCAACCTCGGAGGCGTGTTTGGACCGTCCACCACCGGTAGCATCGGTCGCGGAAGCAAGTTGGGCTCTCTTTTCCCCGCCGCCATGCAAGCCCAGATGCAGGCGCACGAGCACGAGGGCAGCCTTTCCGACTCTCTCAGCGACCTTCGACAGAGCAACCCGCTTGGTGCCATTGGTCGAAGCAACTTTACGGTACCAACTCGAGACACCGACAGCCCCATGAGATCAAACCGCGGGGTCTTTGAGGAACTATTTCCCTCTAGTGACAGCTCGAGAAACCTCGGCCCCTTTGGAACTTCAGACGCTGGACAGCCAGGTATCGCCGCTGCGGCGCCTCAATCGTTCACGCCGGTCAGTGGCGGGCTACCTTTTGGGAGCGGCCAGGCCGGCGTAGAGCCCCCGTCTGCTCAAGTTCGCCAGATGGTGATGCCTGATCGGATGCGATGGGTCTACCTCGATCCCCAGGGCCAGATCCAGGGTCCGTTTACCGGGCTGGAAATGAACGACTGGTACAAGGCCAACTTCTTTACCCCCGATCTCCGAGTAAAGAAGGTGGAAGACCCAGAGTTTGAGCCCCTCGGCCAGCTCATCAGGCGAATCGGAAACTCTCGCGAGCCGTTCTTGGTTCCCCAAATTGGCATCGCTCACGGACCTCCAATGCAGAGCGGCCCCTTTGGACCTGGAACCGGAAGTGGCATCATCCCTCCCCTCAGCGGCGTCTTCCCAACCTTTGGCCGAACTCTGACTGCCGAAGAGCAGAACAACCTTGAGCGTCGCAAGCAAGAAGAGCAGTTCCTCATGGCCCAGCAACGAGACTTTATGATGCGTCAGCAGGCCATGGCCAAGTTTCAGATACAGCCAAGCCTCCAACATCACTCCAGCGCTCATAGCCTCCAGAGCCAACCGAGTTTCGGCAGCATGACATCGCCCCTGGGAGTTCCTCAGCAGCAACATCACCAGCTGCCTCATCAGCAACCCATCGGCCCCCTTGGTCAGGCCACAGTCTTCGACACTCATCCCGGTGCCGCGAACCCCGCTGCCGTCCGCGCCTCTATGGGAAACGGCGAGCTTTTCAGGCCCGAGGACCTGGTTAATCTCTCGGCCACTGAACGGCAAATGCTCGTATCCTTGCAGGGCGAGCCTACCGGTACTGAATCTGGTGCGCCTCAGCCTATTGGGACTCCGGGCGACGCAAGTCTGCGCTACGGTCTGCCAGAAGCTAACGAGCTGAAGGAGGACGATGAAGGTTTCAAAGATCGCCTGAAAGAGTTTGAAGATCTTCGCGCCGAGCACGACGCCCAGCAGGCTGCTGCCGCGGCAGTTGAGGAACAGCAGGAGGTCTCCGCAAAGCCGGAAGAGACGACGACTGTAACGACGACGACGGTCGTCTCCGTCGAGCAGCGAAGCGAACCCATTGCCCCAGCTACAAAGCCTAGCAAGGCATCAAAGAAGAAGGCCGCGGCGGAAGAGGCGGCGTCACTGTCTCTGACCCAGCAGGTGCAGAAGACTCAACAAGCATCCGTCGTCGCGTCTGCGGCTGCTCCCGCTGCCCCCCAGCAGAGTGAGCCCGGGATGCCAATGCCGTTTCCCCCTCCAGCTACAATGACCCCCCTCCCGGCACCTACGGCGCAGAGGGCCAGGTCCAACCTGCCTGAGCAGTTCAACCGATCGCAGAATGCGACTCCCGACGCTGTCGCTCAGCCTCCCCCCTTGGCCCCATGGGCCAAAGACCCCGGCCAGGAGGGGCAGAAAGGTCCAAGCTTGAAGGAAATCCAGGAAGCCGAGGCACGCAAGGCCGCGAAGGCCGAAGAGGCTGCCGCTGCCATGCGAAAGGCGGCGATGGAGCAAGAGGCTGCCCTGCTGAGGGAGAAAGAGAAGTCGGCTGCTGCGGCTGCTGCGGCCGCCAACGCTGGCCTCCCGGCAACCAGCACTTGGGGCCAAAGCTCGCCCGTCTCGTCCGTCAGCCCCTGGGCTAAGCCGGCGGCTGCCAAGTCGAAGGGAAGCACCCCGAGCGCTGGAGCCGCTGGAACAAAGAAGACGCTGGCCGAGATCCAGCGTGAAGAGGAGGCACGCAAGCAAAAGGCCAAGGAGGTCGCCATCCAGAGTGGCGGCGGCGCTCCCATCAGCGCCGGCAAAAGCTATGCCAACCTCGCCGGCAAGCCGAACCACACCGCCGCCCCGACGGTTCCCTCTCCCATCTTGACCGGTGGAAGCGGTTGGGCCACTGTTGGAGCCGGTGGCAAGGTGAAGAGCCCATCGACGGTTCCATCTCAGGTGCAAAGTCGCTCAGCTAGCGTCAGCAGCGCCGCCAAGCCTGCTCTGGCCACTCCCGTCAAACTGGTTCCCAAGTCCATTGTCGTCAACAATGCTGGCTCAGCCAACACTGCCATGGACGAGTTCAACAAGTGGGCCTACAGAGAGCTCTCCCGGGGTATTACGGGCGTTGATAGTAAGTCATTTCTGCAGGTCTAAAGCATACGGGTCTTGAGTGTTTCAACTAACGGTGCATCTTTGCAGTCACGAGCTTCCAGGCAGATCTTGCTGTCCTGCCCCTTGACACCGGGCTGATTGCCGACGCTGTCTATGCCAACTCCACTACGATGGACGGCCGACACTTTGCTGAGGAATACGTCCGCCGCAAGAAGCTGGCGGAGAAGGGCGTTGTTGAGAAGCAACCGCAGACAGATAGCAAGGCGTCGAGCTCCGGCGGCGGATGGAGCGAGGTGGCCAAGAAGAGCAGCATCTCGCAGCCCAAGGACACCGAGTCGGCGATGCAGAGCGCCGACTTCAAGGTTGTCCCCGGCCGCAAGAAGGGCAAGAAATAGGTTCCTGTAGGAGCGTTGATCGCTTGTGATTGCCTGTCTGAGCGAGGTATTTTGTCGTCTTTTGATTTGGATGGGCTTCAAGATGTGTGTCGTCGCGGGAGGAAAAGCGTTTGTGTAAGCGGAAGGACAGATGACAGCTATTGTATGTAGATGCATGTAACAAGCTTTGTCTGGTCTTGATAGCCAACGGATGACTATTGTGTCGACGCTGTTCCTATGGATATGATTTGCATCGTGATCATTTACACACACGCCATCGACAGGGTTACTTCCCTTGGGTCTCTGTTTTGCATTTCTTATTCTATCCTAGATCTACCATTTTTTGATTGCCTTGTATTTCAGTCGATCAACTCCTGTCCGCCTTCAAACCGTCCATCAAGCCCTCCAACGTCCTCCACCCCTCGGTCCCCTCCCACGTCGCCTTCCCCCGTCCCATGACGCTCCGCACCGCACTCCTCGCCTTGCCCTTCCACTTGGCCCCAATGCTCTCGACATCAGGACCCCAATTCTCCAGCACGGAAACGAGCTCGTCCGTGCGCTTAACAACCTCCATCCACGCCGCCTCGTCGCTCGTCCAGTCCGCGCTGCCGGAAGACGAATCACCCGGCAAGAGGCCACTTCCCGCACCAGCACCCACCGCAGCTCGCCACGCCCGTTCCGCAGCATCAATCGCGCCAGCGAAGTCGTTCCTCCAGGCACGCAGCCGAGAAACAAGCGTCCAGAGCTCGGAGCGAGTGGTAATCAGCGGAGTAATCTCCTCCTCGACAAAACGAATGACGAGGCGTTCGACGGAGCCCCGCGGGGGCTCGTACACGCCGCTGGAGATGGGCGCCTTGTCCTTTGACAGGATGGCGTCCTGGAGGAGGGCGGCGAGGACGTTGGCGTCGAGGGCGTGCTCGGACTTGCGGATGCGGATGATTTGCGAGAGGGCGAGGACCATGTCTGCAAAGGGAGGGGGGTGGATGCGCGAGGCGAGGGTCACGACGTTGTCCCAGATGCGCCAGTTGTCGTGGGCGATGGAGGCGCCCTTTTTGTAGGCTGCGAGGGATTGGGAAAGGAGCTTGCTCGGGTCGCGGGAGGTGGATTTTTCTTCTGCCGCAGGGGCTTCTTCACCTTCTTCTACTTCGTTTTCGTCATCATCATCATCAGTGGTGGTGGTGGTGGTGGTGGTAGTCTTTGCTTCGTTTGCTTTGGCGTTTGTGCTCCCGGGGGCCGTCAGCTCGCAGTAGAGGCTGTACAGGGCGCTGCCCAGGTTGCTCCACGTCCGGGCGCCTTCGCCTCCCTCGGTGTCGTTTGCGCAGCCGATGGACCGGCTGTACGCTTCTGCCGCGTCTTCAAAGTTTCCCAGGCGCAGGCTGATGTCGCCGAGACGACCCCACATGTCGGGGCTCAGTCTGTTGACGCTGGTGGCTTTCTTGTAGGCCTCGAGAGCCTTGAAGAGGTCCTTTTGGCCGAGGTGGTATTCGCCCAGGGATCTCTGGGCACGAGCGTAGCGGTGTCTGGAGATTTCCCATGCGCGCTCGTAGTGAGCTGGGTCGTTCTCCAGGTCACCCAAGATGCACCACAGACGAGGGGCATTGGGAGGCGGGGGCTGCCGTTCCGGTCCGGAGAAGTCGGATGCCTTGAGGAAGCCGACGTCTTGGCCGACGATTTCGTCGTCGGGCTCGGACGAGGAAGGCGTCGTGGCTCCGGTCTTGTTGAAGAGTCTCCAGCGGATGATGCCCTTGGCCTTGTCCTCTCCGCCGCTGCCGCGGCCGTCCTCGTCTTCAGAGGCGGCAGCGCTGGCGTAGCAGAGCGCGACTTCGGCCCATAGCTTCAGGCGCTTGAAGATTTCCAGGGCGGATGTCATGGAGCCGACGCCGGCCCAGGCGTAGGCCAGCTCGGACTCGAGATGCCATCGCGGAGGGGTGGAGAGAGCGTGGATGTAACGGAGACGCACGCGGGCAGGGGCCGATTCGGAGTTTGATGCGGCGGGCAGGAAGGTAGTCGGCTTGGACTCGTCGACAGGCGCAGCGGTTTGGCCCGGTGCGATGACCTGAATGGCGGGAACATCCGTCGAGTCCGCATCATCATCTTTGTTCTGATCTTCTGTGGTTGAAGTAGAGAAGGTGGTGTCGGTGAGGACTTGGTCGGCCACGGCCTGGAGCTGAAGGACGCCGCGCTCAACGGTTCTGCTTCTGTGGATTTCTATCCTTGAGCGAACGAGCAGGGCCTGTGTGTAGATCTGCCAGTTGACGGACTTGTCGGTCAGGACACGGGTTGCAAAGGGGAGGATCTGCTCAGACGTGAGGTCGTCAACGGGTGAGAAGGCGTCCTTGATGGTTGCCTCGGTAAGAAGAATCATCTCGTCAAGGGGAGACAGTTGAGGTTGGTCATCTGGCGACAGCTCAGCCAACGCAGGTGGCAGAGTGTCAACTGCCGCTGCGTCCTTCACAGGCTCCTTTGTGAACTGAATCTCCTCCAAAAGAGTATCGTCGTTGAGCTTGAGGGCATCTGGCATGGCAGCAATCTCTTCATCGTCATCCTTGCCTTCTCCGGTGGCGGCTCCAGCGACATCCTGCTCAGGGGCACTTTTCGCAAAGACAACCAGCTGGCTCAGGCTATGCTCCTGGAACTTTGTTCTCTTTCCCAAAGCTCCGGACAAGGCATACGTGACGCCAGTCGTCTTTGCAGCTTCCTTGAGGGCCTCTTTGGCCTTGTCATGGCGGCCAAGCAAGATGTAGTTGTTGGCGGCCTCGATCAGGAACAGGGCCTTTTCCTCTCTGGTCCACGTCTCTTCTGTGGCCCAGACTTCAGTGCCCAGGACTTTCTCCCGGACGGAATCAATCTCTTGGCTTATTTGTGTCGCCAAAGAGGGCACATCGCTCCACTGGGAGCTCTTGTTGAAGTTGGACGACGAGCCCAGGGTCGGCTGCGTGATGATCTTGTAGTGCCAGACGTTGACACGCAGTCTCTCCCACGCAAGGCTGTGCTTGGCGGAGGTCTTTTCGGATGAGGACAGCTCAAAGAGGTCTTTTGTTTCCGCAGACAATGAGTCAACCAAGATGTACTTGGCAAGAGAGAAGAGCTCCAGATAGGGAATGTAGGCATAAGGCGCAACGCCGTCAACCTCAAGATATCTCAGACAAGCCCTTCGAAGCTGGTGCAGCGCAACAGCTGCACTGCTGGACTGTGCATGGCTAGAGTTCCAGGCACTGACAAAGAGCTTTTCGACCTGATTTGACTCGTTTGCCGGAAGAACGGGGCCGGTGACGGTTGCTTGGAGGAAGGCGTCGAGGGCGGCCAGGCCTATTGTGAGGAGCTCTGCAGACGAGTGCTGTGTAGATGCAGCCGAGGCCGGGGCCGATGCTGAATCTGCCTCGCTTGATTTAGAAAGCACATGTGATACATGTTCCGTTATGAGCTGCTCCGCTACCGCGCTGCCAACCAGGGCGGCCAGGGTGCTGATGTCGCCAGATGATGAGTCCATGGTGGGGGTTTGAAGAGATCCGGAGTCGATGGTGTTGAGTCTTGACCACGGCCTTGGCAGTGACAGGATCGCCGAGCTGCCACTCCGGGAATGAAGCAGACGAGAACTGCAGAAGGGATATGGCAACTTGATCTGAAAGCAAATAGATGCAAGCTGCTCTATGAATGCCTCTGATACTGTGCGCCGACTGTGTGTATCTTGCGCTTCTTCTTCTGCTGCTGCTATTATGCTTCCTTTTTTCTGTGGTTTTCTTATCGATAGCGAGCCAAGGTGGGATGCCGCCGTTTGCCAGAAAAATTTAGCGTCCAAGAACCCTGAACCCCGCCTATGTACGAGTGCCTACAGCATCAGCTTACAGCATTGGAGACGCTGTGGCCCATCTGTGACTAGAGGTACATGCTATCCAATCACCTTATCTCATGGGTCTCTCATTCTCGTTGTAAGTATGCATTGGGCGTCACTACCTGATCTTCTACCTTACCACGAGGCTATTCCATGGCAATGTGATGACACCTATGGTAAATTCAAGAGTTGGTACCATTAGTTCGTCCTGCTCAAGGTTCCCTACTGCTCTAGTCGAACGCAGGGTTCATGCAAATAGGCTCCAGGCTGTAGCCATCTTCACCGCTAACATGCTTAGACACAAGCGGTTGGCTCTGCTCCGTGCTTACACGCTCATTTATTATCAAGGAGTTTTGTTGAGCTTCAGTTTACAGCTTTCTGACATGTGATTGTCCATAGCTGGAGATCTGGACAAGGTATTGCATTCTAGAACGAGCCTCGCTTAACAGAAGTTCTGCTCGTCGCTGTTTAGTAACGTTACTTATCAGGTATTTGTTAAGCTTCTCCTCTAGACTCTGCGATGGCTTCATCCCAAGAGAAACAGTCCAGGCATGCACATGCTCCGTTGCTCAAGTTATTCCAGTGGTCGAGCGATCCCTTTTGACCCTTTGATTTCTTTGCCCCATCTCACGCATGTTGGCTTTTACTTGATGCGCCGGGCCTTGACAGAGCCCCACTGGCTCACCAGCTGAGTGTGAGTGGACTTTTGGAGAAGAGTTTTTTTGACCTCTGCGGCTTTTACTGTAATACTGTAGTAAGAGGCCGAATGTTCAGATGACAACTGATATCATGTCCCAAGTCCAGGACAAGTAGATATTCTGGTAGGGAGCATCGATGCAAGTGTGGAATAGGACGGAAAGAAGTGTCATAGGATAAAGGGCCTCAATCGACATCTAGGTACTAACCTAGGAGAAAATCACCGCTCAAGCAGGCAGGGCAAGATGTCACGCGACAGCAGCAGCACATGCAAAAGAATAGACGCTGTAAACCACTCATCAACATGCCCGACAGGAGCAAAGCCTTGCGCTGTAATTTACCGTTAGCGTCCGTTTCTTACGGCGGACTCGGCTGTGATTGGCGACCTGCCACGGAAAACTCTAGCGGTTCTGACGGCTGAAACGACTGTCGGCGCCGTCTAGGACGCCCTGAGCAACAGACCAACCTAATTTCTCATTCTAGTATTACTACTCGCAGACTTGCTGGCTCTGAGCAGCAGCATTCACATGGACGAGGAGGACGGACGGGCTTTGCGCTGCACGGGCGGAATATCGCACTGTGCTCCGTACACTTACCCACGGCAGCACAGTGCCATGGCAGAAGTCCCACCGCCTTTCTGCTACCGTCGTAAAGCCTGGGAATACGAGAGCGCAACCTGAATGCCCTCGTGCGATACGGCCAATGAGCAGTCACTAAAAGGTAGCTGCCCCATGGCTAGCGTTAGTGGCCATTTGGGTGCGCCGTATTAACAAGAACCCACACAACAGACACGGAGTTTTGCTAGTGCCAGTCCGGGCGGCCCACATTATCGCTCTCTCTCGCGACAGACAGTTTTGCTTCCTTGATTCTTGCCTCCTTGAACCACTAAAGACAACAAAACCATGGAATTTGCCATTTGCCATTCGTTTAGCTCGCATTGGCCAGCCTCGGCGTCCCTGGAGAGGCTTGCCGTCGACTCGGCCGAGGGCAAAAGATGACGCTCATCTGCAACTGCTGCTGACTCGCGGCTCTCTGGTTCTAGGTGGTGACCAACTTCCGCCGCATGCAGCTCATTGACAGATGCACAGAGTCCTTGCTGCCAATCCATTACCGCCAGAGCCTCGTCTTGTCCTCACGGCCGTTCGCGACAAGGATCGGATAAATGCTAGTACTACTACTCGTACTGCTAGTCTTCTCTCGCGGCTTTCGGCTGGCTCGTCTCATTCTGTGTGTCTTGGCATTGCCGTTGGAGCAGTGCTCGAGGGCTGTTGGGATGCCAGATCGGACAAGGGCTTGCGGAGGTGGCACTGCCATCTGAGATGCTCTACGGAATGCTGCAATACTCGAATCAACATCGCATCTCAAGCCCCCCATCTCGTCAACCTGCTGTCCAGCATCGAATTTCTCGAGTCACCATCACACACTGTCTGTCAACTGTGCGACCAGGAACACCCTCCACTGAGCCACAGATCGACGATACCCTCTAGGCCAATACAGGCTAACAGCGGGACAAGGCTTAGGCAAAGTGACGTCAGTTGGGGTGCAGGGGATTCCTTCAAACGGATGCAGTTTGGATCATGCCGCTTTCAAGCGTTCGCCGAGGCAGCTGAGCAGCGCCAGCAGCGTCTCCTTTGAGCGACGTGCGCTTCATATGTACTACATGCAGCCATGGAGGATGTGCTGCCAGAACAAGGGGCCGTGGCAAAGGCCTAGGGGCTCGCTGTGAGGCCCTTCAGAGACTTTGTGCGAAGAGGCTATGTGCACAGTGTTCGAAAGGGTCTGAGACGTATCCATCACAGGGCGACAAAGCGAACCAAAATGCAGATGGCCTCATCGATCAATTGTAAAGGTGCACGAGATGGCTGGCTACATTTCGGCATAGGCACCACCACCTATCCCGTCTCTCAGCTCTAGTCACGAATCCGAGCGTTCGGTATCTCATCTCACGCCAAAAACAAGGTACAGCTCTCCCGATTGTCTAAGGTTGGACGAGCAGTTGGTCTCAGAATTGACACCGGCTTTCCATCAGCTCCCGTTACAGAGATCGATCCCCTCATAACAGTCCCTAGTCATCGGATGAGATGACTGGTAGTACCTGGAAGTTGAGAGTTCACGCTTCAACCAACAGAACTTCAGACTGCAGTAACAGCCAAAGCATCTACTGGAGCTCAGGACTAACTGATCAGCGATCCGGGGTGAGACGGCCCTATACGCACTTGTCATTAGGCCTTGGCCTCATCAGGTACTCTGTTGAGATCCCTTAAAGCCCATCTACTCTAATTTTATGGGGGATTCAGGACCTATATCTCAGTCGACACACTGCGGGCCTCATCACCACCACAGGCTGGGGGCGTCGAGTGCCAACGGCCAACATGTCGATGTGGCCTCCAAGATCATCTAGCAGGGTAAAGCTTGATATATTACACGCTTCCTCTGAATGTCTATGCCAGTCGAATCTCCTTGGCTGATAGATGATACCTTCAGATACCGACTGCGTCAACACCACTGACTACAGTTACACCCGGACGACGGACAGTACGAAAACGGCGGCAAACGGCGGGAAATCTGACACTGTGCCCTCCCCCTGCCCGCCTTCTGGATCCCCGGCCCTCCCTCCTGTGTGGATGGCTGGTCATCCCGCCCGGTCTGAGCAGGGTCTAATGCGCTAGCTCTTGTCTGGCGTCCTCCTTGGCTTCTCCACCAAGAACGACAATGGCAGGGACGCGCGCAGAATAGAGAGTGAGTCGCCAGACGTAGGACAAGAGCAGCTCTCGGGGCAATGTGCCAAGGCGAATCCCGCCGGGCTGCGCAGCAGAAGCGCAGGAAAATGGCCTGAGCAGAGGTGGGAAGTGTTTCCAGCTCGGCCTTGTCCCCCACATGGGATACAGCGTCGCAGTGAGGCCGTCCAATCTCATTGCGACGCTGCGTGCCCGGTGTCGTCTTCGCTCTCCTGCCAGCCCCCAGTTGACTGGCTTAGTCCTCATCCATTGAGTGACTCTCAGCCGGGCCTTGTCGTCGAGGTACCCTCGCGGAGGTCCCAACAATTGTTACATATACTCCTCCATCGCCCGTCACTCCGTCTGTTTCTGTGAAACTTCATCCCTCCCCCTCTCATCTTTCCTTTTTTTTTTCTCTTCTTCTATCTTGGCCTGACTGTTCTTTCTGCAATCATCTGCAGCTAGGATCAGCCTTCTGTCAACATCAGCTTGTGAATGCTCATTGTATTGGCAGTTGGCTTGATCACTGTGCCGTCGCCGTTTCTCATGAAGACGACACAATAAGAGACCATACTGGCACCAAATTAAGGCTTATTTAGTTCTTCAAGATGGCGACTACCGACGACGAGAAGCATCCAAAGCTCGAGGCCCCGGGTTCTCCAGACGTGGGGTCCCAGGACTTCGTCGAGAATGCGGATGGCCTGCAGCGGCGCCTTAACAATCGCCAGATTCAGCTCATTGCCATTGGCGGCTCGATTGGTACCGCGCTCTTTGTCAGTATTGGAGGCGGACTTTCCACAGCCGGGCCGGCCAGTTTATTCCTAGCATATCTTCTATACTCGATGGTCCTTGGACTGGTGAACAACTCGCTCGCGGAGATGACCGTCCTTATGCCTGTGTCTGGAGGTTTCATTCGGCTGGCCGGCCACTGGGTCGATGATGCTTTGGGCTTCATGGCTGGCTGGAACTTCTTTTTGTACGAAGCTCTGCTGATTCCCTTTGAGATTACGGCTCTCAATCTCGTCATCTCCTTTTGGGACGAGAGCATCACCAAGCCGGGCCCGACTGCGGGTATTTGCGCCGCCGTCATTGTCTGCTATGCGTAAGACTTCCTTTCATTTATCGAGAGAGCCCGCGAAAGCGATGTCAGCTTCGCTTCGCTTCTCTCTCTCTCTCTCTCTCCTTCCTCCCTTTCCATGTTTCAGAGTATACATGCTGACCAGGTTTGTCGCATGCAGTCTGCTAAACGTTCTCGCCGTAAAGGCCTATGGCGAAGCGGAGTTCTACCTATCTGGAGGAAAAGTAATTCTGATCTTCATGCTTTTCTTCTTCACCTTCGTCACCATGGTCGGCGGCAATCCGAGTCACGATGCCTTTGGCTTCCGATACTGGAACAACCCCGGAGCTTTCGCCGAGTACCATTCGCAGGGCGCTCTCGGCCGCTTCGAAGGCTTTTTGACAGGCCTTTGGAGCGCAGCCTTTGCCGTTGTCGGACCCGAATACATCTCCATGGTAGCAGCCGAAGCCCAGCGACCACGCATATACATCAAGACGGCCTTTAAGACCATTTACATCCGCTTTGGCATCTTCTTCATTGGCAGTGCCCTGGCCGTCGGCATCATTCTTCCGTACAACGACAAGACGCTGGCCGACCTCAACAGTGGCGGAAAGGGCAGCGGCACGGCAGCGGCTTCGCCGTACGTCATTGCCATGCAGAACATGGGTGTCACGGTGCTGCCTCACATCGTCAACGCCCTGATGATGACTTCCATCTTCTCGGCTGGAAACACGTATACCTACTGCGCAACCCGCTCGCTGTACGGCCTGGCTCTCGACGGCCGAGCCCCTCGATTCCTCCGCAAGTGCACGAGCAAGGGTGTTCCCATCAACGCCTTTTTGGTCGTCATGTGCTTCCCCTTCCTGTCCTTCCTCCAGGTCGGCAACGGCTCCGCCATTGTGCTTGACTGGCTGGTGAGCCTTATCACCGCCGGTGGGATCATCGACTACCTGGTCATGTCCATCACATACCTCTGCTTCTACAGGGCTTGCAAGGCTCAGGGCGTTGACCGAAAGGCTTTCCCGTACTTTGGCTGGGGACAGCCTTACTGCGCCATCATCGCGCTGGTCATTCAGCTGCTCGTTGTTGGAGGATACGGATACGAGGCGTTCATGCCCTGGGACGTCAAGGCCTTCTTCCGGAGCTACACCATGCAGCTGTTGGCGCCGGTTCTCTTCATTTTCTGGAAGGTGGTGAAGCGCACCCGGTTTGTCCGACCCAGCGAGCTCGACCTCGTGTGGCAGCGGCCCACGATTGACGCCTACGAATCGCATTTCATGGAGCCTCCGCAGGGCTTCTGGAGCGAGATGCTGGAGTTGGTCGGGATCAAGCGCAACAAGAATGCGGCTAGCCTGATGGCATGAGGCAACCAAGAGCTAGCTGTCTTGGTGTTTCCTCCCAGTAGCAGCCATTTATGAGCATATGTCCTTACGTCCCCTTTCCTGTCTTGTGTATCATTGTACATATAAATATACCCATCATGTTTGTGGAATGGGAGATTCTACACGGGATATACGGGGTTGAGACTGAATGAGTCAGCTGTATAGACGATATACCCAGGACATATGAGATGAATAGATTACATATCAAGAGCGTCTCAAACATTTTCTCTCCGCAACTATATCCTGACAGAGATGAGTTACACAGACGCCATATGCATCCCATCAACCTCCGCAACCCCACAGCCCCCAAGTTCCAATTCCTCCACCCTACTAGTACCCAAAAGCACCACCACCACCACCACCACCACAAAGCCTAAATAAAATACTCTGAGAAAAAAAAAAAGAAGTTGAAAACAAGGGAGAAAAAAGAAGAAGAAAAAAAGAAATCACAATGCGTAATCTGGGAATCGAACCCAGGGCTCCCCGACGTTGCGGATGGCAACGGAGAATTTTACCACTAAACCAATTACGCTAAAGAGAGAAAAGCCGCCAGAGACATACACTCTAGCGATTTGCGTGAACTGGGAATCGAACCCAGGGCTCCCCGAATCTGTTGCGGATGGCAACGGAGAATTTTACCACTAAACCATTCACGCTCGTATGATTTTGTTGGAAACCGGCGGAGGAAAAGTCCTCTATGGAGTTTTTCTTTTTGGGGGGGTGGGTCGAGTGGCGATGTTTTCTGAGAATTTTTCATTCTTGCCACGAGGGGGGGTGATTCACTTTGGTTTGTGGTTTGGCTTGTATGTGTACTTTCGTAGTTACCCTGGAGCTTAGAATGAGTTTATTCAGTATCTCTCACTCTTTTTCTTCTCTTAAGCTAGATAGAGTATGATGGATTATTGAGAATGGTGTAGCAAGAGCAGAACAACACGAGAAAAGTAAAGGGAATGGTGAACCCTTGAAAGCATTCAAGGTTCATGGACGCATCAACCTTTGACGTCTTATCAATTACTCTCAACTTTGATATTTCAAGGGCTGGAGTTGCAACTCGGGGGTTGGGAAATCCTATGTCCCATCTGGCCATCGTCAAGCCGAGCATCCACCAATATCGCTGTTGAAAATGACTTTGCTGGAGAAATAGTTTGTTGATTGCCTGCTCATCTTTCATAGCCATTCTCGTCGAATCACGCTCTGTACCGTCTCTGGGACGCACAGCAGCCCATACTGTAGCCTAGATATATAACACAAAGCATAGGTTGTACCCAAGTGTCAGATGACAGTCACAGACACGCGCATGTAGTTTCAAGATTTCAAAAATCTATTCGGGTGTCTATCTACCCTTCGCCTTCCCTCTATAGCCCAAGGTGCAAGAGCTTGTTCCAACAATGGGGGTCCTCCATCCCCAAGTCGCAAGTCTCGCACTCATCCAGACCATCAGTCTATTGAGAAAGGCCCTCTCTATGGGCAGCCCGAGCATGCAAATTGCAACAAGGCATCGCAACTTTTCCGTTACCAAACCGTGACTTTCATCAGAAAAAAAAATGGAAAAAAGAAAAAACAAGAAACGTGAACAAGAAATCTCTAAGTCGTCAAGGGACTAGGCGTCATCGAGATGCCATGATGTGGGGGTATGTTGAATCGTTTACAGCTCATCCTCGTCGCTGAACACCTCCTCACCACGCTTTCGGCGGGCCATACGCTCTGTAGAGAAAACAAGTTAGTGACTGAAGTCATGTTTGATAATGTTAGACGGAAACTGGACTTACCCTTCTTCTTCTTTCGCAGCTCAGCAGAAGACAGCTTGGCCTTCTTCTTGTTGGAAACAATCTTGTTACCCATGGCGTCGAACTTCTCCTCCTCATCGTCATCCTCCTTGAGGCGGGGGCCGGAACCCTGGCCCTGGACCCAGTTGTGGCCGGAAGGAGTCATCTTGCCGTCCATGACAGCCCAGACTTCCTCAGTCAAGTCCTTGGTGAACTCGGCAGAGTGAGTGATGATGATGACACCACCCTCGAACTTCTTCAGGGCCTTGGACAGAGCACCCAGAGAGTCACGGTCCAGGTAGTTGGTAGGCTCGTCAAGGACGATCAAGTGGGGTCGCTGCCAAGAGCAAGCAGCCAGGACAGTCTTGACACGCTGGCCACCGGACAGACCGCGCATCTGGGAGTGAGAAACCAGCTCGGCATCGAGGCCGAAGTTGGCGCAGTGGGCCTCAATCTCCTTGCGGACCAGAGGTCGGAACTGACCAGAGGCGAGGGCCTCCTTCATATCGACATCGGCAACCATCTTCTGGTGAGAGGCCAGCAGCTCGTTACGCGGCAGCCAAACGTTGTCGGCGCTCATCATGGGAACCCAGCGCTCGTTCTTCATGCCAACGTTCTCACCCAGAGCGAACGAACACTCGTACTCGTAGCTGTTCTTGAACTTTCTGCGAGCGTTGATGCCAATGACACGACGCTGAGTACCCTCGATCTTGAAGATCTTGTTCATGGCTTCCTCATCAGCCTCGGTGATGATCTTGTTGGCTCGGTCCATGGTCTCACGATCCTCACCAGTCTGGAAACGCCACTGGATGTACTGAGAAGGAGTCTTGTCAAGGTGGTTGTCGATGTGGGCAAAGGCGTGCTGCTTGATGTAGGCGATACGGATGTTCTCGTGCTGGTAGATCTCACCACCAGTGGGGATGAGCTCACCGCAGAGAACGTTGATCAGGGTAGACTTGCCAGCACCGTTGGGACCAATGACGGCAATACGAGAGCCCAGAGAGCACTGGAAGCTGATGTTGCTGATCTGGGGCTTGGAGGTACCGGGGTACTGGAAGGACATGTTGGTGGCACGCAGGATAGCCTTGGCCTTGGTCTTGACACCCTCGAGGAAACCGGGCTCGGGGAAGGTGAACTCCATCTCGGAGGCACCAAGCTCGTAGTAGGACTTGGCAGAAGGAACACGCTTGACGAACTCCTTCAGGTTACCACGGTAGCGCTTGAGCTTGAATCGCTCGTAGTGGATGATGTGCTGGCAGACGTTGTCGAGGAAGCCAGAGTCGTGAGAGACGATGATGGAAGTGCAGGGGGAGTTGATGAGGTAATCCTCGAGCCACTTGACGTTCTTCACGTCCAAGTGGTTAGTGGGCTCGTCGAGAAGCAGGATATCGGGCTCCTCGAAGACGGCACGGCACAGAGCGAGCTTCATCTTCCAACCACCAGACAGGGCGGAGATCTCGCCCTTGATCATCTGCTCGGTGAAGCCGAACTCGACGAGGCGCTTCTCGACGTCCTCCTTGGCGACGTTGACCTTGGCCTCAGCCAGCTTCTTCATGGTCCAGTCAATGGTGGTCATCTCAGTGTCGGCAGAGTCAAGGTCGTGCTCAACGAAGACAGTCTTGACTTCGCTCTGCTTGGGGAAGCCCTCGACCTGCTCGTTGTTGATGGCACGCATGAGGGTAGACTTGCCGGAACCGTTGGGACCGCAGAGACCGTAACGCTGACCGCGCTTGAGGCGGAGGTGGGTCTGGTTGAGCAGGATCTTGGCACCGTAGGCAAGAGAGAAGGTGCAGTTGCAGAGATCCTCGCCCTCCTCATCATCAGCCTCGCCCTCGGCCTCCTCGGCAGCGCCGGGAGAAGCACGCTTGCGCAGAGCGTCGACAGTGGCCTCAGCGTTGTCGATGCCGGTGATGACAGCGACGTAGGGCTTCAGGCTCTCGACCCAGACAAGGGCATCGGTCTCCTTCATGTCAATGAGCTGGCCGGCAATGGCGGCAATGTACTCAGCGACAGGCTCCATCTTCTCGAGGAGAGAAGCGTAGCGGGGAGTCAGGATCTCCTTGAGCTTGGCAAGGACGATCTTGACATCGCCGTCGTTGCGGGCCTCCGGGATCTTGCCGTCAACGACGTTGCCGACACGGCAAAGGGTGTCGAGGGCCTGCTTGGTCTTCTCACGAGCCTCGGGGTCAGCGAGGGTGTCGTAGTTCTCCTTGAGACCGGGAATCATCTTGTCCAAGAAGGGAGCGACGATGTTGGGGTCGTCGACAAGCTTGCACATGTTGTCAACAATGACAGCAGACTTTCGCTTGATGGCGGTGTCGTTCTCCTTGAGACCACGGCTCAGCAGGGGAACCATGAGGGCGAGCGTGGGCTCCTGGACCTCGGTGACGAAGGTGGTGGCACCGAGAAGGTGGACAGTCTGGGGGACCCTGTCGGGCTGAGCGATACACTTGATGAGCTCGGGGATGAATCGCTCGATATCCTTGTTGACGATGAGCTGGCAGATGTTCTCCATGACCTTGTAGGCGTGGGCAGAGACCTCGCCGGCAGTGGACCACATGGCCTCAGAGACGACGGGAATCAGGTCGGGAACACGGTAGGAGAGCTGAGCGGGAGCCTTCTTGACCAGGGTGAGGATGAAGTCCAGAGCAGCCATCTTGGAGGTGGGCTTGGCGAAGTCCTCCTTGATGGTGGCCATGACGCAAGGCAGAGCAGCCTTGACGGCATTGCCCTTGATGGCGTCGGCGACGGCCAGGACAGCAGCGTAGGCAGCGCTGGGGGGAGCCTCAGCGTAGTCGACGACCTCCTTGGCGCCCTTCTTCTTGTCCTTCTTCGCAGGAGGCTTCGCGCCAGCGGCGATCAGCAGGTCAGGCAGAAGAACGACGAGGTAAGGCTCGACATTGGCGCCAAGCTCAGCATGGCGGGCAATGGTCTCGACGGCGACGGCAGCCCTGTCACGGGCAGCGGCGTCCTTCTTGTTGGTGAGGCCCTTCTTGAGGTCATCGATGATCCTATCAAAGAGAGCTTGTTAATAACCGTATCATCACTGGTAATGATGTGCCACGGCTGAATGAGAAAACTTTTTTAGGGGCTTTGGCAGCTGCTGTAGCCCACTGAAAGGAGGGGGTTACAGGCCTGACCCCGCTATGAGTGGCGGGGCGCTTCACTGCCTGTGTAGGCAGTGAGAGGCAGAGGCCGCAACTGGGAAGAAAAAAAAAAGTTTTCCCTGCCTGTGGACAAAGCGGACAATGTGTCCAGAACCATTGCGAAGAGTAGACTTACTTGTCAGGGACAGCCTGGTCATCGATGCGGCCGTTGATGAAGCTGGCAATCTCCTGGGCAGCCTCGTTGATCTCGGCGGCCTCCTTGGAGACGGAGAGCTTCTGGAAGAGCTCGTCCAGAACCTTAACGGACTCGGTAGACATGTTGTCGGTGATGTCGAGGACGTGGAAGGATTATAGGAGTATCGGAATGAAAGAGGCGATCGGAGTCGGTTCTACTCGGAGTAGGGACTTTTCGATCGCGAAGGCAACAGAGACGATGGAGGAATCGACTCTGCCGTATCGAGGCTTTTTTGATTTGAATGTGTCGAAATGAAGACGGCGGGGCTGTTCGATGGGGAGGAACCAAAGAACAACTCGTCAATGAAGAAACGAAAGGGACTGTGAAAGAGGACAAGTCCAAGATTCGTCAAGAAAACACTGACGACCAAAGATGAAGGAGGGAAAAATGAAAGGAGATGGGGGTAAGATCGAAGGAGGAGAGAAGTGGGAGGGCTGGCGGCAACAGTTATTATATGGCCAAAGGCTGCGGCCCAAAAACTTTTTTTTTTTTTCTTTTCCACTTTCGCGGGGTGTGTGGCTAAAAGTCGGGCAGCCCAAAAAGATTTTTTCGCTGCCCCTCCATTGGGCGAGGCGACGCTTATCAGCTTTATCAATGACGCGCTAAGCCGGAAGTGGGCAAACCCTGTGAAAACCAAGGGCGGTGAGGCGTTTGAGTGAGGATTTGAAAGCCTCTGGGCTCCTCCTCGGTGGCGGAAGATGAGAGGACTCGAGACGCCACTGAGGCTTTGGAAGCATCGAAGTTTCATGGAAGGTTTGAGGCTTCGCGGGCCTCAACGAGTTCATCGACTTCAGTACGAGTACCTATGTGCGTATCGCCGTACATACGTAGAGAACAAGGACCAGATCCCTTTGCAAGCCCCCTTTCGTCACGGCCCAAGCCAATGGGATGTCAGTGATACAAACAGGGCAGCCTATGTATGTATGAACCGCAAGATGCACCCTTGACTGGCCGCCTCTTTTCCTCGTACAACCCATCTTTGCTTCGCACTACTGGAGCTCTCATCTAGGCAACTAGGCTCGTGTCAACGCCCCCAATCGAATACACGGTCGAAAGAGATGGATACAGTTCTCGCAGTCTTCTTCTTCACGCTGAATAATGATGGCAATATCGACGTCGGTACATAGTCGTGCCTGGGGCAAAGTCTGGTGTGGGACATGCTCAGGTGCATGCTCCTGTGATCTGCCGCCACGCGTTGATCTAAAACGGAATTGCTGATGTCTCACACACTTGTCCCAAGCGGGATCCGCCCCTGCAGATGGAGCGGTAGTATCGCTCCCCCTCCAAGTCTGGACCGGCACTCATTGGTCCCATTGCCATCAGGATGGAAATGCGCAGCCTGCGATGGTTTTGCATAATGATAACGGGCTCGGGCGGTGTCAGATGCTCTCACACACCTCATCGGCCCAGCCGGACTGCCTAGGCAGCATGTTTCCCTGTGTCTAATTCCCTGCTCAGGGGGGGGACAGACCTGTAAGACAGACAGGCCATTGCGTTGTCAGCGCATCCTTCCCCTCCACGCTGTAACCCGATCACAGCTGTATTACTGCGTAGCCGTACTGGCAGGCCTGTTGGGCTCATTGCATCTTCACGGCAGCGGTGGGGCTGTCACCAGGAGAAAAAGTCGAGATAAACTCGGCCTGCCATTCTGGTCCGGCTTTGGCGCCACGTTGCCACCTCCCGTCCGCCTCAGTGGTTGGTTATCAAGAAAGACGGCGTGGGGAAGCGCCCAAAACTAGTAGTACATACTGCAGCACGCACTCCATGGTGTTGGGTGATGTCTCCGGACGAAGAACGTAGGCAACGTAGGATGGATGTGAACGTCCATCGCCGGGTCGAAGAAGTGCTGCTGATTTCGAGACGACCGTTTCAGGCTCGCACCCTGCAGCCAGAGAAAGCCTTCGCCAGATAATTCTTCAGATCTATCGAATCGCCATGATCCACCACCATCGCGGGGCCCCAGAGTCCAGTCTGCAGTCTCTGCTCCATGTGGTGTCAGCCCATGTTCGCTGCTAACTGGGACTCACCGACTCAGCTGTCAAGTGCGGCATAGCCGGGGCTTGTTCTCTAGGCGTTGTTAGTACTGTATGCTCTGTCTGGGGTGGATTGACGCCCATCTGGTGCTATATCGCCGCTATGCTGTCGAGCAGGAGTCGCTGTCGTACACGTCTGGAGAACGGACTCATCAGCAGCAAGCGAGTACATGTATCTATCGTGACTCGGAGGCCTTACCATGAAAGAACAGGTGCTGGGGTTTGTCGACGACCTTGAGTGCTGACTCATCAAGGTATCGATAGGTATCATCCTCGACTCCGTCTCCTTGCCACTTTGTCCATCTATAAGCATCCATGGGGTAGTCTCTAAACAGTTTGAAGTACCTGATTTCGCTTCCTTGGCCCAACAAGAGTTTCACAAGGTGGTGATGTGCTTGAGCTCTCAGTTGTACATACTTAGAAGTACAACCGCGCCTTTAGACCTGCCCGATTCGCTCTTTGAAGTTTCGAGAGAAACCCTTTGCGAATTTCACCATTCTTCTCAGGCAATGTTATTGAACGTCTCTGGCCTTTCCATATTATATAATAGGGTCCTGAGCATACATTATATGTCTTTGTCTTGATCTTTGAACCGGGCTTCTGGGCAGTTCTTTATTCTCTCTGCGCAGGTCAAGGAGCCTAGACCACAAGCTTCAGAAGGCCAGTTGCCCTGCAGCCCTTCTTTCGCCTGACTCTACCATTGTTCTTTTCATCTATTGCAACATCATATGACTATTGGAGTGTCAGCGCTGAGTAATACGAAGCAAATGAGTTTGTCTGTTGCACAACACTGTCCCTTGGCTGCAGGACGCATATCGACGATGAGCCTACAAATCAACCTGCTCCTGCAACACCGATTCGACAATTCCAGATACAAAATCTGGTTGAGTGCATAGAAGTCACTGAGATGCCGACTTGAATAAGCAACCACAGGGTCAGACGAGGTCTCATTGAAGGCCACCCAGTCCTCTTGACTCCTCCAAAAGCGACAAGTAAATGATCGCGACAACGCAATATAGGTGTGTGGGACAGTAACAAAGTCGCTACGTGAAGCGACATTCCTACATAGTTTGCCTAAGAGCGTAACATCAACTTTCCCTTCGCTCTCAGCTGGGGGAAAAGCTACTTCGTGTGAAGGTGATGTCAAAGAGCTGGCGCTGAGCTGAAACATGTACCCCAATGAGCACAAGACACAAAGAGGCCCCCATCCATCACCGCCGTGGGGACCAAATGCAGCAGAAACAATGCAATATCAACTGAAGACCGCGAATACTATCGAGTGCCCTCACTTGATGCATCGTATACGGTGGCTTTCACTCGAACAAGGTCCTGGTTCATCGAGCGAGATCGTCGAGTACTTCGTTTGCACATCGTCATTCGCACGCTGGTCGAGTCCTGATTCTGGTATCGATACGCCACAGCCACGTGCCCGGTAATTGACTTTGACAACTCCTCTGCGGAGCTGCTGCTGCTATTTGTTCTTTCACCTTGCTCATAGACGTTTGTTTGTTCGATTCCATCTTCTTCATCCTCTCTTTTCTCTGTCTCTTTCTCTTTCTCTTCTCTCTTCATTCATGCCAGGCGAGCAGCTCCGTGCATTAAAGTCTGTGCTTCTGAAAAGCAGCCTGACGCTAACAAGCAACTATACAAAGCATCAAGGTAACGTAACCTGTATCATCATCTCATCATCACCTCCATCACCTCCCGGAAAAATCTCAAAGTACTGACCGTTACAAACAGCACCCAAATTCGCCCTCATATCCTCATATCCCAATCATAAAGCTTTCACCACCGCCAAAATGCCGTCCAGAGTCGTCCGCAGCGTCGACGACTTGCCCACCATCGGCGCCCTCTACAGCAGCGGGCAGCTCCCCTCGGAGACACCCACGGCTCCCTTGCGCAAGCCCTCGCAGGACGTCAACCGCCGTGTCAGCCTCGTCCGCACCGACATCACCAGCCTCGCCGTCGACGCCATTGTCAACGCCGCCAAGAACTCTCTCCGCGGCGGCGGCGGCGTCGACGGCGCGATCCACCGCGCCGCCGGCCCCGGCCTTGTCCGCGAGTGCCTCGCCCGGTACCCTGACGGCTGCGACACCGGCGACGCCGTCATCACCGCCGGCCACAACCTCCCCGCCCGCAACGTCATCCACACCGTGGGACCCATCTACCAGAGCCAGGCGGCCAGCGAGCCTCTGCTGCGCAGCTGCTACCAGGCCTGCTTGCGCACGGCTGTCGAGAACGACTGCGCGACCATCGCCTTCAGCGGCATCAGCACTGGTGTCTACGGCTATCCTGCCGACAATGCGGCTCATGTGGCCTGCAGCGTCGTCCGGGACTTTCTCGAACAGCAGGACACCGAGGGGAAGATCCAGCGCGTCATCTTTGTCACGTTTCTCGACAAGGACGTGAATGCGTACAACTCTGTTCTTCCGTGAGATCTTCCATCTCGCTCTCCGTCTCAGGCTCAAAGTCATATGCTAACGTGTATCGTTTGACAGTCTTTACTTTCCGCCTGCTGAGAATGAGTTGCCGCCTGCCAGGGGGTAACTAAGGGCTGACTGGCAAGAGACCAGCAAGCAAGGAGATTCGGGTTTGATTCTGTCTGGCGTTTTCAGGTTTCGTGAGGAAGCTTTTGAGAGAAATGCGAATATTCTGAGATTTTAGAGAGTAATTGTTGCAAGCCACGGGCACCTGCATGTCTGCTGATTGACCAGAGATGATTTACCAGGTTGTGATCAATGCATCCATCCAGGCCGCACCCTTCATCGAGAGCACGTTGCAGTTGATTTCATCGAGTGACTAAAAGTGTGTCCAGAAAGATATATAACCGCCATGATCCAGCAGGCAAATGGGCATTGAGAGAGCGCCCCGGACATATACCAAGCACGGGATATAACTACTGTGCACTCATTCAAGAATTTATGCGGACCTGAATCCTCTCTTCCCAAGTCGTCGTTCCTGTTGTAATTTTGAAGTCATCTCGTGCTTAGGCCCCACTAAGCCCCCTTCTCCCGCCAGCCTCAGGAGCCTCACCTCTGCTTTTTCCAACGACATACTTTCAGCATCTTGTTTTTCTTTTTCCTCTACTTATAATACCACCAGTATACCTTCTACCTCTGATCCATGCACTCTGACATAAACAAAGATGCCTGCCGACTTTGACCAGCAAGCATACTGGCATCGCCGCTTCTCCACCGAATCCTCATTCGAATGGCTCCTCAGCTCCAACGACTTCATCGCCATCCTAAACCCCCTTCTCAACACTCTCGACCGCACATCAACCCGGATCCTCAACATTGGTTGCGGAACAAGTGATTTGCACAACCACTTCCGCCGTCTCGGCTTCTCAGACGTGACAAACATCGATTACGAGCCTCTGGCCCTCGAAAGAGGGCAACAACTCGAGCGGCAGGCCTTTGGCGATGTGAGGATGAAGTATGCAGTCGCAGACGCCACAAAATCCTTGGTCCTCAATCCGTCATCATCAAACCAAAACGACTCATCAGAAACTCGTAACGAAAAGTTCAATCTTGTGGTTGATAAGAGCACCGTAGACGCAATTTCTTGTGGTGGAGAAGAGCAGGTCCGTCGGATGGCGCATTGCGTGAGGGAGTGTCTTGCGGATGATGATGATGACGCGGTTTGGGTGTCGTTGAGTTATTCTGCGGCGAGGTTCGAGCTTGAGGGATTGCCGTTTGATGTTGAGGTTTTGGAAAGGGTGTTGACGGCGAAGAGGGCGGTGGCGGATCCGGATATATATCACTGGTGTTATTTGTTGCGGCCAAGGTAGGACTCTGTAGTTTGGATAGCAGGGCATATGGGATGTTGTCTGAATTGGGATTGAGATTCAATGAACAGATGATGGATATCTTCAAAGACATCGATTACGCAATGGTAACATGAATCAATGTCAACTCCGGAGCTTCCATGTGCGTGTCTCTCTATGAATGTGCCATGTCTATCCTGTTGTCCATCTCTATCCCACGGATTCTGGTCATTCAACCGACCATCTTGCAGGGCCGTCACCTGCTGCTCCCCATCATCCTTAACTTCTGCCTCACAAGCTCCTCAATCTGCCTCCATCGTTTCGCCAGAAGCGCTCTCTGATCACCCCGACCAACCCTCAGCTCTTCCACCTGCCGCACTCGCACTGCAACAATGCCATCCAGAAACTCACCCAGCAACTCCACAAGATACGCTTCCACTCGATCCTGAACACGACTTCCCTTCTCCTTACCATCAAGAAAAGCATCAAACTCCTGTTTTGTACAACAGAGCAAACGCAAGACTCCCTGCGTACGGCGATACTCCTCAGACAGTGACCCGAGCGGATACTCTCCAAGCAAATCTCGCCTTTGGAGCTCAGCCTTGTGGCTCTCGCTCAGCTTTGGCATCACCACATCGTCAATGTATACATCATCCAACGAATTCTCGTCCGGGATGAAGCCGTACTCGAGCAAGTTGTAGTCGTTGGAATGGCTGCTGTACGAAATAAACAGCTCCTCACCCTTCTTATACGCTCGATCCGCAACGACATGGTAACACCCCTCTGGCGAGTAATACACTCTACACCCGCCGGCAGCATGATTAAACAAGTCCGCCACGGGAATCAGCGCCAGCCGGTCTTCCCAGGGATACTTCAACGTCTCGGGCGTCTCGTGGTAAAACGTCCGCGTGTTGACCACCAGCCAGGCGTACGTATAGTCATCCCGCGGAACATCCGGAAACGCTTCCTTGAAGTCGTCCCAGTTGTCCTGAAACTCCTTCTCTCGCCTTTCAAGAGTAACTTGTGACTCCAGAGGCAAGAGCTGCTTCAGCTCCCGAGGCCACAGCATCGGCATGCCCGCCTCGAAATCAGCCATCTTGGGCAGCACGGCTTTCCAGGGCTTGGAGTTTGCGCTGCGATCGAGCACCAGGTCCGCCGCAAGCAGCGCTTGGATCGTCGAGTCCGCGGGCAACTTTTCCCTCACTCGCAACGGCACCGATTCCAGACAGCGCAGAACCCGGGGCGGCACTCTCAGTATCTCCTCTTGAGCCTATTTTTTTTTTGGCGCGAACAAAAGCGAGGTTAGTCTCCTCCAGGTGCGAACAGACAAAGACAGACACCATCGGAGATCCTCTTCCGAAGTGGTACCTTGATTTTGCGCGTCGCGAGAATGCCAGTGCCTCGGCCGGGGATCTTGCTGGGCTGGATGCCGTTGATGGCGACGCCTTGGGCTTTGGCCCACGTCATGAGGTTCTGCAGGTGGCCCATCTTATTCAAAAGCGGTAGTATGTAATATCAAATGATGTCAGCCAATGAGATGTGGAACAAAGGAAATGCAACTGAACACAATTTTCGGCATATCGACTGGGGAAAAAAAAGGAGGAAATAGTCATAAGAGTGTTAATGTCGAAGCTGAGGAGCCGCGGGATGCCCCTGAAGATGTTCCCGGCCTTGCTAAGCCTTCATCGTGGCATCCCTGCTACTTCGCCTGTGAGTTCAGCGTCCCCGGCTAACCGCTTAACTGACGTCTTTATCATGCCCCTAAGAGGGAACATGAGCCCACGATAATACCATGTCTGTTTTTCGCTTCCATTTCCCCGTTTGCAGTCTCGAGTTCACAATGGAAAATCACTCGGCCCGACAAGATTGCGTCTACTCCGTACCTAGGTAGTACCTAGTATCTATAGAATCCGGATGTTTGACTGAACGCATCATCACATGCCTCCTATCCATCCTTATGTAATCACATGTTGATGTTCCATACAGTATTCGCCTTATGCCATTCCGAGAACCGAGAACATGGAAACGGCAGTTAACGACAACAACAAAGCCCACTCAATGTTTACTTTTCCAAGAAATAAACATCCCCCATCAACATGTGTATCGACATAATATTTCTTTAATCTAAATGATGCGTGTGTGGGCCTCTTGACGAAAAGTCGATGCCTAGAAATCCTATTCGCCCGCAAATGGGATCGCGCATGGATTGCCAGCTGGTAAGACGTGCATTAGCACATTTTCCTGCACATCAAGGAAGTGGGTAATAAACAAACACCAGAGGGAAGCCTCCTTTTCGTCCGCCGGCATCCACAAGTCATTTCCAAGGTAAACAATGGACTTGGTCTGATAATAAGGGGGCCAAATCATCAATCCATTGCTGGTTATTACCTCACTGTTACTATTAAAAGCGCATGCTAATCTGCCCAATATACCTGGAAATCGAGATTCCTCCACATGCTCGGATACTGTAGGTAGGCAACGAACCAGCTTCTAGAACCAATCTGCAGCTCACAATTTCACACAATCCCACCGTCTTGTATCATTGCCCCCTTCCGTAGAATCCGCCTCGTCCGCCTCCTCTCCCCCTCCCCCTTCCCCTCCCATCACGGCCCCCTCTCCCTCTACTACCTCCGCCTCCGCCCCCGCCTCTACCACCGCGACCCATATGATGCACTTCAATCGGCCCCCTGGCCCTCCGCTGCTTCCTCTCCTCCGCGCTAGCATCCCAGAGGTTGTCGACGCCCAAGAGCTCGCAGAACGCTGCCGTCTGCGGGTTCGTGTACTCGTGCGGCTGCTCATTGACAATTTCAGGCGTCCCGGGAACGTATGGCGGTGCCGTCTGCTCCCAATTATCCGGCACATCCAGCTTCCCCTTTTGCACAATGTTGTCCTCAACCCATGCTCTCTCTGCCTCAATCAGGGGGAGATAGTTCTCCTCGCCTAGATCTTCGGGTACTTGGGCCGTGATGTCGCCAAAGACGTTGAACTTGTGAAAGGCTCGGGTAATGGCCAACCACTCGGGGTCGTACTGGAGTCTATATCGAGGCCCTGAGGGTTGGGGTGGATAAAGAGATAGCTGCTCTTTGTCAAAGGGCTGGACCTCACATAGCTGGAGGTAATGTCGCCCAGGCAGGCACTTGTCCAACGCCAGAAAGCGAACTTCGGTATTTTTGATACCAGGAGGTACAGGCTGGCCGGGCGTACGCCTCGCTCTTGGCGTAGGACGAGCAAATGATGCTGGCAACTGCGCTCTCAAGTCTTCAGGCACAGAACTAGTCGCTTCCTCGGCCTGATCTTTCGTCTCCCTCTCTAGATTTTGTGCAGTTGTTTCTTTGGAGACATCGTCAGGCTTGCCATCTTCATCATCCATGTCCAGGTCAATTTCGTCTGGGTTATCCTGAACGGGAGGCACAATTCCGGAAGGATCGGCCGCTTCTGGAGCGGCCTCATTTGCCTTTGGCGAATCGTACTTCTTGAGGGCGGCAAACTTGACATGCAGATGCGCAGAGAACCAGTACGGCGGCCGCAGGCGGTCCATGACATATTCGGCAGCCACGCTGCCTAAAGAGCCATCCATAGACTCCTGTCTGAAGAATGGCTTGTCTCGGAACAGCCTGTTGAGGTCTCCGTGAGTTTCGATCTGGCGCGGCCAATCATGGCTGAGGCCAACATCAACCTGCGACTGTAGCAGGAGGAGCTTCCGGACGTCAATCTCTCGCACTGAGTAAAACGACTTGACATCGCTGCCATTGAAAGGGAGCCTTTCGTAATGCGGCTTGCGGTAGTTCATGCCCCTCCAGATCCCAGACAGGCCGGCGATACGGATTGGTCCCAGCCGCATCACATTGGCAGCTCCAAGATAGTAGATGTTGGGGGCAACCCAGCCGCCGTAGTAGAGCTCCCAGGAGTGCGAGGCGGCCTCGTGATTTCCGCCAATAAAGATGGTCAGGTAGGGAGCTTTCCTGACGCCCGAGTAGTACTCGTGAAAGTCGCCGAGCTTGCGATACTTGACGGGACACGACATGACGGTCAAGTCGGCGGCATTGCGCACAGCCTACGGGCATCAGTACCTTGCAAATCGACGAAAATCAGCCATATGAGGATACGAAAAAGGGAAGTACCTGGAAATCTCCGCCAATGATGAGCAATTCGACGCCATCCCAGCCGCGCTCCTTGGCAGATTGCTCTACGGAAGCGTATATCGCGTTGAGTTTGGCATGGCCCTAGAGATGAAAAACAGGTCAATCGAGGTCATGACCAACAGACGATAGAACCGCAGTAGAGGCCAGAGAGAGAAAGAGAGAGTCATGGTCTTACACAGCCCTCAACTGCAATTCGGACGCCCTGCGATTCGAGCGTCTCAGCTGCCATTTTCGAGCTCGAGCAACTGAAGTGGTGTCGAAAAAGAGTCGTGATGACTGGCTGGCGTCTAGCGCGCGTCCACGCCAACTGGGCGGGCCGAAACGAGTGCCTGATGATACAACAACCGCCGGAAAGACTGAAGAGCATCCGCAATCAAAGGCGAAACCGTTCAGTCAATAGAGGGAGGTTGTAGCTTGTAAATGGTTGGGACTTGAGGGGAGTTTTTTTCCCTTTGTAGAGGTGGAAGGACAGATGAATGTGTGTCATAGCGAGTTAGGCAGCCACTGTGGCTAGAATCGAGTCACAGCAGCAGTTTCTACGCCACTTTTCACGATGCAGGCAGAGATGTGATACTACCAGGAACGAAGAACAAGCCTTGCCTTTCGAGAGACATGTTCTCGAGTGGTTTTCTCAAGCGGCGTCATCTTGCAAGTGGCATACAAGAGATAATCATTGTGTTGATGTTTGCTTTACTACATCTGTCCACAGCAGATACGCACCAGTCTACGTCCATGCAACCACCACCACCACCACCACCAAGACCAAAAACAAAAAAAAAAAAAAAAAAAAAAAAAAAAAAAAAAAAAAAAAAAAAAAAAAAAAAGAAAAGGCATGTGCCCCTACAAAAAAAGCGAGAGCTCAACGGGAGAACTGTGAGTCAAGCAGAGTGAGAGGGAGGCAATCAATCTTCCAAATCTAATAGACGTTCAACCCACGGAGGAGTGAGAGAGGAACGCATATGCTGAGATGGTGTATCATCAGGGTAGATTGTCACATTTCGGGGCCAAGGGAAACGGGATGCTGTGATTTTGTCTTGTCATTATTTGTATCTTGTCGCCGACATTCGTCAGCTGTGTGGTATCATGTCGTCGTATCAAAGGTAAGTGTGTAGATCGGCCTATGCAAAGCCCTCATTTCGTGCTCATGTTGGCCCTGTCAATCAAGGTTAGAAGTGCCTGTAGCTCGACTCCCACATGGCTTACTGATCCAAGCCCAGGTAATCGGCTGCGGCCAGCAACTCGAGACACAGCTCGACGGGAATGTCCATGTCGGGCACGTCTTCGCTGTCCTTGTAGCGGTACCAGTAGTGAAAGTACTCGACAACTTTGTCGAGGACCGTTCCGCTGTCGTGCGTCAGCCAGCCAGATCAGACACCCATTGCGATCATGATAGCAAGGCCAATCCGATGCGGAATACGTCGGTTCAAGTGTAGTGCAACTTCAGCCAGACCAGCGAGCACACTCTCTTCCAGACGTCGAGTCCGGGAGAGATGGCAGCGTTCTGTCAAGCAAATGCTCATAAGAGTTATCGTCATCCGAGGGCATCCCGTCTGCCGTGCAAAATGCTCATTCTCACCTCATCTCTTGGAATACGCATCGGGCGTGCTGAGCCTCGACGAACTGACCTGCGCAGAGGTGTGAGCAGGCAAAAGAGATGGAAAGGGCTGCTCCTCCTTCATCTTGACGCACTCCTCGGATCCAGCATGCCCTTGATGATGGGGCTCACCATGGCAGCCTCGCGCAGCACGACAAACTCGAATCCGTCGCCGGAGACGAGGGTGACGTATTTGCTGGGGGGCGCGAGGTCGTCCATGGTGATGAGAGAGCTGGCGTAGGTAGGTATTGGCTGGCTGCTCGTGTGAAAGCCGCGGGAGATGAAGAAGCAAGCAGGTAAAAGGTAAAAAGAGAACAAAGTCGAAGAAGAGAAGATAACGCAAGTGATTTATACCAACCATGCAAAATCCTCGCCCGAGTGTAGAATTTTCGCTGGGCGGCTAATGCACGGGCCAACCTCGGCGCCCGGATCCAGCCGCTGGGGGCCACTACCTTACTAGCAGATTACCAGCCACTTTCGGCAGCACGTCAGTGCACCGCCCCAAGGTTCGTTGCCGGGCCAACACCAGAGGTACATACTCAAGCCCTTTTTGGCTCCCGGTTTCCATCAGGCCCAAGCTGCAGCAAACTGTCCCACCAACAAGTCTCGTTGCCCGGAGCGAACAGCAGCAGCAGCAGAGCCAAAGCGCCTTGGTGCATCCGTACAACATCGTCATCCTGCCGCCCCCAGCCTTTCTCTCGTCGACTCTTTTTTCTGCAACCCTTCCGCCAACGGGGGCCTGCGCTACCACAAAACCAGTCCAACGAAGCTCGTCTCGCCGCGAATCTCAACTCCCACACCGCCGCGAACCTCGTTTCCATCGTCTTCACCCATTTCGTTATCATCTTTACTTGTTTTCCCTTACACCGCATTGGTCCCTTTTTCCTTCTGGCTTGCATCCCAAGCGCTCCCCAGGGCGAAACCAAGCCGTTCCCGCGCTGTTTGTTTCCCGCCGCGGTGTCCACTCCTATTTCTTCTTTGTTTTAAGAGCATTCCTGCCCGAGATCGAGGCGACCGCGAGACGACAAGAAAAAGAAGAGACGGACGGCTGTTGAACCCGAGACAAAGGCTCTCGAATCCCCGAGCGCCCCCCCCTCGAGACGCATCCGCATCCGCATCCGCATTCGAATCTGATTGCACCATGGCGGCGTATCAGAACCGCAACTCGCAGTATGCGATGGGCAGCCACGAGAGGCGCGGCCAGCGCACCCGCTCCAGCGAGGGAACTGTCAGTACAACCATGAGCTCATCGTCAGGCCGCGAATCAGCAGCGACTCACGTAACGGAGGCCCCGACATATTCGAAGAAGATTGTCGTTGTAGGAGACGGTGGATGCGGCAAGACATGTCTGCTCATCAGCTACAGCCAGGGCTATTTTCCAGAGGTGAGCTTCCTTCAACTTGTTGCCTTGCGCCCTTTGTGCAGGCTCAGCCCCACGCAGCCAGCCTCGCCGGCCATTGTTTCGCCCATCCCCTATTTCCTTTGTCCTCCACACGACGAGATACTGACTGTCGACGCCCTCAAAAGAAATACGTTCCCACAGTATTCGAAAACTACATCACGTACCCGACGCACCCGCCCACCGGCAAGACGGTAGAGCTCGCCCTGTGGGATACCGCCGGCCAAGAAGAATACGACCGCCTCCGCCCGCTGTCGTATCCGGAAACCGACCTCATCTTCGTCTGCTTCGCCATTGACTGCCCCAATTCGCTGGACAATGTCATGGACAAGGTAATGTCCAAAGCTTTCCGCAGCCCCCCTCCCCTTAACCCCCCCCCCTGAATCCAATTTCCGGCGTCAACTGGTTGAGGCGACTCTCAAGTCTCTGCTAACTCTGAGCAAAAAGTGGTACCCCGAGGTTCTGCATTTCTGCCCTTACACCCCCCTAATTCTCGTCGGCCTCAAGTCAGATCTCCGGCACAAGAAGTCATGCATCGACATGCTCAAGACGCAGGGGCTCACGCCAGTCACCTCGGAGCAAGGCATGGCCGTCGCCAAGAAGATGGGCGCGCAGTACATGGAATGCAGCAGTAAAGAAATGCGCGGCGTCGACGAAATCTTCGAGCAGGCCATCATGACCGTTGTGGCCAACGACCGGAGGAACCTGGAGACGCCCACAGCGTCGGCCGTGGGCGGAGGCGATGGCAAGTCATCGGGCCCCGCGGTAGGGGGCATCAAGAGGAAGAAGAGAAAGTGCCAGTTCCTCTAAGGGACACGCTCAAGGTCCCCTTGCGCTCTCATCACATCTGCATAACGGAACCTGGTTGAGCGCTGGAGAGCGAATTTGCGGATGCGGACAAGAGAAATTTGTTACGACCATCAGACGACCCTCAACGACGATTTGCGCCCCTTACGAACGAACGACGTCCCAACGGCTATGGTCAACGATTTCAAGAAGCGATGAAAGCAGGGGGGAAGAGGGAGGGGGAGACGAGAGCTGCTGGTGCATCTCTCTCGTTGAAAACAAAGGTACAGCCAGGTATATAAGCGGGAGTCCGCGTGGTTGATTTTAACATATTCGAGCCGGCCTCTTTTTTTTTTTGGATTTGGGTTTGCGCTTCAGATCCTGCTTTGCCTCTTGACGCATGGAAAGGGAAGGGCGGATGTCGGAGCCACCAAAAACCAAACTGTTGAAACGCAACCCGGACATTGGGCGGATGGTGTTGCTACTTTTTCTTCTTCTTTTTCTTTTATTCCTCTTCTCTATTTCTTCGTTTTTTTGCGAAACTCGTGTGGTCTTTTAGTATTCCGCTTTTATTATCATTGTCCTCTTTTGGCTCTTTGTCGCTGTTTTCTTTCTTTTTTCATCCGCTCTGCGTCTTTGTTATCATATGTAGCATGATACTGTCGAGATCAATCAGGTTGGGGATTGGGACATAAAAAAATCCATCATATTCACACAAACGCACAACTCACACAAATGCACAAACACACACAGACACACACCCCTACCGGCTGGCTCTTGTTGTTTCCCCCCCCCTCTCCTTTCTCTGCTCTCCTCCTCTTCCCCCCCTTTTTTTTCTTCTTCGTTGCTCATTTTCCGATCTAGCGATCGCGCTTGTAGTGATAGTGATAGTGTAGATTTCTTTTTTTTGTGCAGTTTATACAAAGCGTAATTTTGCAAAGCTACTCGGTTCGAGGGGGGTTGTACGGTACATATCTAATTCGCCGTGCGTGTTGTACGTAGCAACATTATCCGTTTGCAGTGTCTTTCCTTTGCCTGTAGATCTTCTCTCTCTGTGTCTCGCTCTTCTGTGGGGGGTATATAAATAGCAAATGTAGGTAATTACGTCAAATCCAATCATTCGTGTCGCGTAGTATCTTCGCCCTGTTGCGAATCATCATGCTGCTGCTGTTGTTGTGATGATGCAGACGAAGCGGCCTTGTTGGCATCTTGTTCGTCGTCCTTGGCCATTACGTTTTCGAATTGCGACCAGAGGGCTTCGACGGAGGAGAATTCGTTGCCGACCTGGAACCCCGAATCCCAACCATTAGCCTTTCTTTCTTCTTTCTTTCAATTTGTGTTTTTTTTTTTTTTTTTCGGTCGAGACATTCATTGATTAAACCGATAGAGGGAACATTGGGAGGGGCGTGTTAGACAGAGGGACGTACGGCGATGACGGCTTCGAGGGAACGGTTCAGTTTGTTGATGTTTGCGAGGACATGTTCGAAGCTCTACACAACAGCACAGCGTCAGCGTTAGCAACAACAACAATTATAAATCACATACATCCGGCGCTACATGTCCTCAATACAACGAAAAAGAACGGGAGGCAGAAGAGAGAACGCACCTCGGCAATGTCCCCGATGAGGGCCTCGCGCTGCTGTTCAAAGTAGGCCCTGCTGCTTGCGGTGCCACTGCCGCTGCCGCTGGCGCGGGTGTCCATTGCTTGACGCCCCGGCTGCCCCCCTTTGATGGCTGTCAAGAGTCGATTGCCCTTGATGCTTTTCTGCCTGTGTCCAGAGGGGATAAGAGAGATAGGTAGGGCTGGGTTCTTGGGAAAAGGTGGTGCAAGTTGGTAGTTTTGGAGGGTTTCGGGGTGACGCGCGCCGAGTTCGTTGGTTATCGATACGGGGCACTGTACATACTGTAGCTCCAACATGCCCTGCCAATCAACGCCAGCATTTTCTGATCGATGTCATACACACCTACCTACTAGTACTACCTACCTAGGCACGGTGATCTGGAATTAAATCAGCAAAAGCCCTCAGAGTTCATACCACACTTGATTTCGAAAGAATTCCGCAGTGAGACCTCAATCATATACGCTCTATAAACATGGTTCATCATCAGAAACTATAAAACAGCATCGCCTCAAAGCAACACACAACAGACACCCCAAACCAATGACTGTGCCCAGTTACCGTCCAGATTTGTCCTCATATAACAACCTATAAGTCGCAACCATTCTATCAATCGAGGATTCATGTTCGGAAATAAACAAAGAAAGCATCTCGTCTTTGCGTTCGTGAACTAGACCCCCTATTCAGTTGACAGCTTTCTTCATCATACCTTACAGCCTAGAAAGCCGCCCCATGTCGCATATAATAGATTCCCTCCCCCCCTCATACCCTGAAATTGCCTCTCTATAGAAAAATAATGCCAATTTGAGCGAACTAGCAAGATCCGTATACCAGATTCAAGAGCTGAAGATGAAAGCACCGGAAAAGCAAAAAGTCTGCGGCAGGCATAATGACCGCCGCTCATCCCTCGTCTTCAAACGCAGACACCCTTCATCGTCCATATCTACTGTCTGGGTGTCGGTCGTACTCGTGAGGTCGAAGGTTACCGCGGTTCATAATGTCGCGCGGGTCCCTTGGATCTCTCGGGTCTCTCGGGTCCCTAGGATCCCTAGGATCCCGCATATCCCTAGGGTCTCTTGGGTCCCTTTGGTCTCGCGCATCTCGTAGCTGCATCTCTCTCGGGTCTGGTGCTGGATAACCGTGTACTTGTGCCTGAGTAGGTGGCGGCGGCCGACTGTCATAGACACTCGGCGTATAGCTCCGGCTCGACGGCTCTCGTGGATCTCTTGGGTCCCTTGGATCTCGCGGGTCTCGTGGGCCAGGAGTCGACGCGTAGCGCGGGTACGGCTGAGACGACGAAGACAAAGGCTCGGGTCCCCGTGTCGTCGACTGGTACCGAGATTGCAACGAGTGCTGCTGTGATTGTCCGTATATTGAGGGTGGCCCTCGCTCATCTCTCAAGGACATATGCTGTTGGGGTGGGGGTGCCGCTGATGGCCATGCCTGTGCTGGGGTCCCAGGTTTTGTCGAAGGGTGCTGTGACCCCCAAGCTGGCTGTGCGTGCGGGGGAGGAGCCTGAGCGGCCTTGGACGGCTGAGGCGTCCAGCTATTGCCTTGCGATCGGATGTCGGACGTCTGTGCTTGGTGACCCGACGATGGCCAGACGTTATCGCGGCTGCTGGGCGGGATCTCACGGCTCCTAGACGATGAGTGTGTCGCATATTGCTGTGGTGGCGGCGACGTGATGTGTGCTGGCTGGGAACCTCCCCCGTACGACGTGGGGTAGCCGGTTTGAGATTGATACGGGGGTTGGCTCGATTGCGCAGGCGGAGGGTACCGCTGTGATGTTTGAGGAGAGTTGGTTCCGCTGGCGGGATGGCTGGGCGGATAGGCGTGCTGTCTGTAATACTCAACCTCCACCGCCGGATCGGACGGCATGCTTCGGTGTCCGCTGATGTGTTGCGGGGGAGCTGGCGACGAGGAATAAGGAGGCTTGAGAGAAGGCATGGCTGATGGTCCGCTGGACGGCGTTCGTCCGTAGGGCGAGTAGTGCGCATCTGTTTCCCGGCGGATCGGGGCGGCTTGTGCAGACGCAGCCGGGGGTGGCGGCGGCCGGCCGATGCCTTGAGAAGGCGGCGTCGGGGACGGCCCGGGCGCGTGAGTTTGCGTAACCTCGGCGACCCTCTTAGGCGGCGGAGGGTCATCGTTCAGGAGCGCCATGATGTTTGACTTCCGGGGCTCGGGCGGTCGTGCAGGCGTAAGTGGAGGCATCGAAGGGGTATGCTGAGCTTGTGCAGCTGCGCCGTAAGGCTCATGCGAAGGGCCTGGGGGCATCCTTTGCTGAGGAGTCTGGGCTGATCTAGAGGACGGGGGCGCCAGGGGTGGTGAGTGTACCGCCACGGGCTCCGAGAGCAGTGTACGCATCGGCTGTGGTTGTTGAGGTTGTGGTTGGGAGACCGTTGTAGGATACGGCTGAGGGGGGACGCCGCGGGAGGACTCCTGGGGCGGCCTTGCCAAGGTGAATGGTTCTCGAGGACCTCCGCCATGGCTGAGCTGCTGTCGATGGCCATAGGGCTCGTAGCGGTGAAGTGGTGCCTCGACCTCTTGCTTCATCCTCATCGACTCTGCTTGCCGGATCTCCCTTTCCCTCTCCCTCTCCCTCTCGCGCTCGCGCTCCCTCTCGATTTCGATTTCCCTTTCTCGCATGAGCTGCTGCTGCTCTCTATGCTGCTGCTCTCTGTGCTGTTGCTCCCGATGTTGCTGCTCTCTATGCTGTTGTTCCCTGAGCTGCTGTTCCCGGTGTTGTTGTTCCCTGTGCTGTTGCTCTCTGTGCTGCTGCTCCCTATGCTGTTGCTCCCTGTATCTCTTCTCCATATTCATCCGCTCAAGCTGAACAGAGCGCTCGCGCTCAGCGAGGGCCTCGGCATGCGCTGGCTGCAATGGCTGGGCCACAGACAATGGCCGCGGATCTCGGAGCTCTGGAACTTGGCTGGCAGGCGCCTTCTGCGGCAGCGGCACCCGCTGGGGTTGAACAGACTCGCGATCGCGTTCTGGGAAGCCAAAGGGCGGTAGTCCTTGATGCATGGAGCGCGCATTGGGAGATATGGCTTGCTGCGTCGCTTGGGGCACTGCGTGAGTTGGTACAGCAAGAGGAGCTTGGCTTGGCTGTGCTAGGGGAGTTTGGGCTGGAGCCTGCGCAATCGGTACTCCGTAGCTCGACAGATGCTGCTGTTGCCTCAAGGGCTGTGGAGGCGCGGGCTCAACCTTTGGCTGAGGAAGATCGCCATGAGGGTCTGCAGCTCCTGGAGCCACCGCAAGGGGCCTTGAAGTTCCAGCTGCAGCTCCTTCGAACCTCCTGCCCCGGCCGCCAGTAGTAGGTACGGGAGGATCAGGTCTCTTCTCTCCCCTAGCTCGCTTTGCATCAGCCTCTTGAGCAATTGCCTCCCATTCTGGTTTCCCAGAGTCCTTCTGCCGGACATAGTAATTCTTGACCTATTCGTTTGTTAATGAAACCTCGTTCACACACAGTGCTTCACTTAGGGGGGGGGGGCATCCACATACCATGACCGTAGTCTTTGAGCCCATGTGTTTCGCAATCGCCGACCAGTCAGAACCAAAAGCTCTCAGGAGTTGGGGGAAATCATTGGCTTCCGACACACTCCAGTAGCTCGATGCCTGGGACGATGGCTTCCGTTCGGAACTCTGCTGTGTCAAGTTAAAGGTGGTTATAGACGATGGAGGAGGCGGGGGTGGTTCAGGTCGAAGTGAGGGTGCCGCCATTACCTCCGTAATGGATCCAGCTACGGCTACGGGCTTTGGCCTCTCGATGAGCGGTGGCTGCGGCACGGCAAACGGGGCTTGGATACCCGGCTGCAAGGGCTGCTCGAACGGAACTGGCAAACGATGAGGGTCGGATTGCAGAGGAGGCGCCGTGAGAAATTCCGCAGGCACCGGGCGAGATTCGGCCCGGCCTCTTCCTTTCCCGGCAGCGGGACCAGGCGCAGCGGCAAGGGCCTGGTTCGGCTTGGATGCCTTGGCTTCCTTGTCTTTTTCCTGTACCTTGTCCTTGTCCTTGTCCTTGTCTTTGTCCTTGTCCCTGGCCTTTCGTCTTCCCTTTCTCCCATCCACCTTTTCGGGCTGATCGCCCTTGGACGCAGCAGATGCTCCGCGACGCCCAGGAGTAGCAGCAGGGGTGCTCTCCCCATCCGTAGCGGGTTGTTCGAAGCCCCAAGTGGGAGCAGCAGCCCGCCGTGGCCTCCGCCTCTCCCCGTTCTCTCCGCTCTCCTGGGGCGCCTCCTCGCCTTCCGGCTCGCCGTTGCCGAGCTCCGACACCAAGGCGCTGGATCTCTGTTTGCCTCGGCCACCCTTCTTGCGCCTCTTTGGCTGTTTCTTGAGCTTCTCCTTGAGGTTAAGTTCTCCCTTCATCAGGTAGTAATACTGGATGCAAGCACGGAAGTCACGATGCGGAAGAGCTTCCGCAATCTTGCCCCATTGCTTAGGAACCTCCAGGTATCGTTTCTCAAAGAGCTGCGCTTCTTCTTCTGTAAAGTTGTTGACGGGCCGGAATACCTGCCATGCGGAAACAAGCCTCTCTGGGGGAGTGAATCCCGACCGATCCACATACTGAACTCGCTGCTTCTCCAGGTCGTCCCAGTACATATCCGGAATAACGGCTTCCTTGTCGCTGCGATATTTTTCCTGCTGGATTCGAAGCTCTCGCTCCTTTCTCTCCTCATCTTCACGCATGGACGCCTGAAGCACGCGTTCGAGGTCACGCTCTGTGGCGAATCTCCTTCCAGTTCCCCTACCTTCCGGTTTCTGCTCGGGCGTCGGGGTACCTGCAGTCTCTGAGGGAGCCGAGACGGAGAACTTGTCCCTGCTCTTCGTTGCCGCGGGGTCGTCTGACATGGTAAACCGTAGATACTGCATGTAATTGGCGGCATAAGTGTTCTGCGCGCGGCGCTGTTCGGTCGACCTCGTAAGGTGGACCTTTTCAAGGAACATGGTAACAAAGTCGTCAACGTTGGGATCCGATTCGAGCGTTGTGAGAAACTCTTTATCTTGGTACCAGAGCGGCTGATTACCATCTCCGCCGGGAAGGCTATCCACAGGCGGCGTCGCCATGTAACGACGAACTGTGTCAACAGCTACCGCGGCCTGGGCCTCCATAAAAGCCTCATCCTCTGTTTCGGTCTCATCATCCTCGTCTGCTACTTGAGATGGAGTGCTTGGCAGTTTAGGCTCCACTTCGACCGGTCTCGGGGAGCGAGCAGCCTCATCAATGGTTGGTAAGGTCTCTGGAATGGGCACGGCGTCTTTGTCCTCAGGCAAGTCGTTGGTCACGGTCTCGACCATCGGCTCCGGTTCTTGAACGGGCTCAGGAGGTGGAAGCGTAGGCCCTTCATCAATGTCCATTTCCTCGGCCTTTGGTTGACGGTCTTCCCGCTCTTCTGGAAGAGATGGTTCGAGACTTGCTTTCTTTTCGTCCTCTTTCTTCTCCTTCTTCTCCTTCTCCTCTGCCTCGGCAGATACTGGAACGAGCTGTTCCGTGGCCGCCTCAGTCACAGGAGTGGCCTCCTTGACCTCTTGCGATTCGAGAGGTTCATCGCGTGCAACTGTCGGCTCCTCGTGTTGTTCAGTGGGCTCCACTTCCATCATATCGGCCACAGGCTCCGGAACTTCTGGGGTAGAGCCGAGCATCCCTGAAAGCTCCTCTCCCTCATTCAATATCTGTACCATTGACCCGTGCGATTGAGTCATGTACCTGCGTATTACTTCTACAGGCATCTTTGGCTTTTGCAGTTTGCTCAGTTCAGCTTCCGTCTTGTTGATTTCCATGTCGAAATAATCGCCCATATCTTCGTCGTCGGATTCGGGAGTCTCTTCTTGTGCGACGGTTTTTGGAGGTATAGCAAATCGAACGGCACGCGATTTGAAAAGCTTGTTCTTCTGTTTCGCATCTGCTGCCTCGGTAGGACGTTGAGTTTCCTCGCTTTGTTTGTTTTCCTGCGGCTTGGGTTGTAAGTCTAGCTTCGGAGAGGTAGAAGGTAGCTCAGCAGGGGGTTGTGGGCGATCTGAGGTGCCAGCGTCATGATCCATTAAATCTGGCCGCCTGTAATCGACCGCTTCCTTTCCCAGTGGCCTTTCGACCTCAGAGCTTGCAGTAATTTCGCCTGGCTCCTCGCTGTGATGGGCTCGCATCCTGTTTTCCGACCCCAAGTAGGGATCTGACTTTGCGTCGCTACTACGCGGTCGCCTCGAGTCAGACGGCTCGACTTGCGAAGCGCCTCTTTGAAGCGGAAGAGGTCGTGGCTGGGCAAAGCTTTGCGACCTCATGACCTTGGGCGACTCCGGCGGCGGTTTCTTCAAACTCGGATTGATCCATTGCTTGCTAGACGGGCGTGGAGGTTTGGGCTGTTGCAGTCGGGGACCCAAGGGAATAGGCGGGCTATCGTGCGGCATGACCTTTGAGGGCCCAGTAGGCGGCTGGGGCGTTTCGGGAGCAATGCCGGAGCCCTGGCCTGCAGAAACAGGACGGTCTCCAAAGGCCCGCGGAGCAGTAGGAGGCGGCTTGTTCGATGCGACGCTGGGAAGAGGCTGCGCATCGCCGGTGCTCGGAATCCGGTTTGGCACGGAGCCAAATGCAGGGGCTGACGGTGCTACAGGAGGAGGTGAAGCATCCTTGACTTGCGCAGCCGATTCCTGGGCGGCTCGCGCTTCCATCTTGGCACGGAAGAGTTCACGCTCTCCTCGGTCCCTCTCATCGCGCGGATCGCGACGCACGTCGGCCTCTGGGTATCGATCACCGCGCTCACGCTCTTCCCGCTCACGCGCCCAGCGACCTTCCTGAGATCTACTGCGGGGGTAGCGGTCACCACGATCATCGTAGGGAACTCGTCCTCGACCCCTTTCCATGGGCCAGTCACCTCTCCCGCCTCTCCCACGGCCGCGAATGAAACCTCCGCCACGAGGAAAAGGTGAGACGCCGAACAAAGGCTCTGATGAAGACGAGCCAGCTGAGGGAGGCCCGCCATCGCGAGAACCACGTCGTGATCTTTCGGCATCGAGTCCTAGAGGTAGATCCCGCTCACGTTCTCGAAAATCTCGCGTCGGCGACCGTGCTCTTCCGATTGGTGATCTGCGCAGGCGAAAATCTCTTGGGTCACGCCATTCCCGCTCTCGCTCGCGCTCCCGGCTTCTCTCGTCTCGGTATCGGTCTCGGAAGTCGATGTCTCTATCCCTGCCTCTATCACGGCTGTCATCTCTCCCAGGCCATCCTCGCCCTCCCCTACCTCGCCCCCTTCCACCTCGAAACTCGCCAACAAATCCTCCTCCCCGAGGCCCAACCGGGGGCTCTATCAGAGCCTTGGGACCACGAGGGGGCTCTCTGCGCAGTTGGTCACCGAAAACATCCCTGCCTGGGGGGAAACCAGCCGAGTTCGTTCTGACTTCCGCAGAAGAGCGTCTTCTGTCGCCGTCGCTATAATGTGATGCCCGATCAAAGCGATCCGGCGAACGATCTCGAGGCGACCTCGACCGCCGGTCCGGGTCGTATCGCGAGTACCTAGACGCCCTAGAACGAAGAGAGTGAGTAAAGTCCTCAGTGACGTATGAAAAAAGGCAATCGCGGCCTATTTGATGGCGCACTTGAAGCCACCCGCGAAAGTTTGCCAGCGTAATGAAGCCGTTTCGGCGCGCTACTTACATGAGCAATGCCGAGCCAGTGCCGGATGAGACTTTCCAGCGGTGTCGCAAGTCTCATCCAGAGGCCGGTGTCGCCGCGAAGCCCAGACAGAAGATGCGTCGCGAACTCGGCTCCTGTGGTGATTGACACGAAGAATCCCAGCCACTCTATACTTTGGGCCTGGCAAGCAGCGCCTCTGCCTTGTGAAATCGAGCGCAGGGGGTCGTTGTAAAGGTCGAAATCACGAGGCCTCGGCGGTCCTAGAACAAGAGGGCAAATAAAAAATCACCAGCGACGACGCCTGACTGGGACGCTGCGGGCTGTTCCCAGGGTATTGATGCAGACGGACGTCGGAGGCTGGAGGGATGAAGGAGCTGAAGATGTCGAGGTTTACCGAGAGACTTCAAAATACATCCAGATCGCGTGGCGCTTGGACAGACAGAGCCTTAGCCATTCTCTGCCGCGAGACGCTGGGCGCTAGTCCGCTTTGGGGCCGCGCTGTTATTCAGCACCCTGGCCGGCAGGCGGGGGCTTCTTGCAGGACCTCGGGTATCAAATCGCTGGGTGTTACCGCTCTAGGCTTGGCGCGTAGTACTCGATCAAGTGTTGGCTGTCAGATGGATTTTCGAGGTCTCTGATTATGTAATTCATTGAAGGGTGCAATTTTCTACTACTAGCGGATGAACCTTTGGAGTTACCCGCGAGCTCTGCAACTTGTGAGAGACATCGTCTTCAATTCTTACTCATACTATTGACTTTCAGCAGGCCTGTCATATAAGGGAGGGGTGTCTTTCTTTCATTCTTCAAATCCCTCCATTATAGCATTCGTGATCTGGTTCGGAGGGGCTACGAGAAACGCTCATATCTGACCAACCTCAGTACATCATCTTTTCATCTCAATATGGCGGATAATGGCAGCTCAGGTGCGCCTCCGTTGGAGGTCACGAATGCAGTGCTCGTCAAATCCGAGGAAATGCCCAAGGATGCCCAAAAGGTGGAAGAGCTCGACTTTAACAAGCTGAAAGGGCCCATTACCGCAGAGGATTTGTTCCTGGGTATGAGGAACATGGGATTCCAGGCAACATCCATGAGCGAGGCTATAAGGATCATCAACGACATGGTCAGTACATTTTCTCTTCTATAGAAGAACAATCTGCCATGACTGACACTAAAACAGAGGGCGTGGAGAGATCCCGAAACGGGAGACAAGACGACCATCTTTCTCGGATACACCTCCAATCTCATCTCATCTGGTCTAAGGGGTGTCTTTCGGTGGCTGGTGGAGCACAAGCATGTCTCATGCATTGTCACGACGGCCGGAGGCGTAGAGGAGGATTTCATCAAGTGTCTCGGTGAGACATACATGAGCTCATTCAGTGCCCCCGGCGCAGACCTGCGGAAAAAGGGCCTCAACCGCATCGGGAACCTCGTCGTACCCAACGCCAACTACTGCGCTTTCGAGGACTGGGTGGTGCCCATCTTTGATAAGATGCTGGAGGAACAGGAGGCCAGCAAAGGAACCGAGGACGAGATTCACTGGACGCCGTCAAAGGTCATCCACCGACTGGGCAAGGAGATTAATGACGAGCGATCAGTCTATTACTGGGCGTACAAGAACGACATACCTGTCTTCTGTCCCGCGCTGACGGACGGCAGCCTTGGAGATATGCTCTACTTTCACACGTTCAAGACCTCACCACAGCAGCTCAGGATTGACCTCGTGGAGGATATTCGACGCATTAACACGATTGCCGTTCGCGCGAAGCGAGCAGGCATGATCATCCTGGGAGGAGGTGTCGTGAAGCACCACATTGCAAATGCATGCCTCATGAGAAATGGTGCGGAATCTGCCGTATATATCAACACAGCGCAGGAGTTTGACGGCAGTGACGCCGGTGCGCGGCCTGACGAAGCAGTATCATGGGGTAAGATCAAGATTGGCGCAGATAATGTCAAGGTGAGTTTAATCGCTTTCACTGACGATGAATATGAGCTGACGCGAAGCGATAGGTCTATCTCGAGGCGACAGCATGCTTTCCATTTATCGTGGCGAATACATTTGCAAAAGACATCTAGACATACATATAAAAGATAAAGGCAGTTCGACCTTCTCGTTTTGGCGACGCAATATCTGGGCAGATCGTGCTCTTACTTACTGGAAACGTACCGGGCGAAGTTGAAGCCTTGAAGCTAACGGGAATGGCTCTGAAAAGCTCCCATCCTCAATAGCCAAAGTCTCATGCACAGACACCTGCCACAGTCTGCCATTGCCTGACAGACCATCAGGAAACCTACGATTCCCCAATGAGCTGTTTGAAGCCCCCGAGCGCAGCCTCCCAGTCGGACGCTCCCTCACCCTCCGCCCAGGCACCTACAACTTCAATGCCTTCCAAGTCTTCTTTCATGTGTGTCTCGCTTGTTGTGCCATCCAAGATGGTGGTTCCTTCCAGTCCCAATACCATCGAATAGAACGCCGCAACTGCTCCCACTCCGGCCTTTTGCGCCACCTCTCGCACAGGGCTGCTTTGAAGAAGATGTCTGTTGGCCGAAATGGTCCAGAAAGATTGAAAGGCTATCTTGTGTTCGCGACAGAAAGCTCTGACATCGGTCTCGTAGTCAGTCTTGTTGTGAAACCGATTTTGCACGACGGCCGGCTTGACGGCCATGTTGCTGACCAAGGCCATCAGGACCGGGAGGGTCGTGTTGGATATTCCCAGATGGCGAATCTTGTGCGGCGTGTATGATTCAAGAGTCTTCCACACCGTGACTGTCTCTTGCATGGTTTCCATGGGAGAATGCAGCACAAGGCTATCGAGATATGGCTCCTGGCCGTCGATGGTGAAGTTTGCCAGAGACGACTGCACGGATTGATGCACTTTATCAGCCAGCGGGGCATTTATATCGTACGGAGTAATATGGTTCTGCCCTCCTGGAGAAGTGAACTTCGTCTGAATCTGCACCGTGCTGTCAGCCGGCATCCCACTGAGACATGCCCATCGTGTAAGCGCCGAGGTCAGGTCATACAAAGAGGTCTTCACGCTTAATGAGGCCTTCTCTTATAGCACGCTTGACTCCGGCACCAACACCACGCTCATCGTAGTGCTTCGGCTGGGCCGCAGTGTCGACGCCACGGAAGCCGGTTTTCAAAGCCAAGTATACGAGGTCCGCAGTCTGGTCCTTCTTCCAGGCAGTGCCATAGACGAGTTTTGGGATACGAGCGGAGGTTGTGGAGAAGCCAAGAGGCAGATCTCGCGCAAGGCGTGATGCCTGCGCTCCAATCGCTGGACGTGCCATCATGTATTGTGTTAAAGGCTTTGGGAGTAGCTTTCGACGATGATGAAGATGGCCTGGGACTAGTATAAGCAACGATGATGCCACTCCTGGTTCATCGTGTTGCACCGCTCAATGAGGAGGGAGATGAATGATCAAAGCCGTGGCATTGAAGCTTATCAGATTTGGAGCTGATGATAAGCATCGATTCTTATTAGAGGAGCTGTCAAGCGCGGGGCAAGAGCAGACACGACAACTGGGAAGTTGGAGGGCTCCTTCTTCACTTGATTGAGTTTGTCACTGCACATCACGACCAAACTTAGGTAATCAACAACTTGGAGAGCCTTCGGATTTCCTCCATCTTACTTGCATCTCGATCTTGACTTCGACAATGCAATCCAAGAGCCGAAACCCCTCAGTCGCCTCTCTGGCTCAACCGCCGCGACGTCACAGCTGTCAACTACTATCGGCCTGCTTGCTGTCTCACATATTCGGGGTAATTGGAGCCGTGGAAATAAACGCCTCTATTGAGCCTAATTGGATCGCATGCTCCGATCCCCACCACGGCCGAATCCCGACTAGCATCTCTACCATGACGAACGATTCGATTCGAGCTATAATAAACCCGTGGGCAAAAGAGAGAGAGATTGAGAGAGAAATACTTGCCGCGGGGCAACTTTGTCCGCAGACTCAGCCGTGGGTTACGGAATCCCCTCCACCACATATCCGGCTTGGGCGGTCGTTGATTGGCGAGGGCGAGGATCGACTACGCGGAGTGTGGAGCACTCTGCCTTGGCCGTTGATTAACTGAATGACTTCACGCTCCTGTGAAAGAGGGCAGCGGACAAGAGGCGACGTATTTAAGAGTCGCGAAGCCTCCGACTTGGAGCCCTGAGCTACGAGAGCCATCGTCATCGTCATCGTTTTAATTCAGCAAATTCAACCATAGCTCATCATCCACCATGGCGTCTGGAAACCCTTACACCCTGAAATGGGGCATCATGGCCACCGGCGGAATCGCAGAGAGTCAGTATCAATCGTCTCTCAACAATGACAACAATGAAAGGTTCTGGGTCTAACATGACAGTTCTCAGCCTTCTGCAAGGATCTCCTGTGCAACCCCGCGATTCGAGGCGCCGATGATGTGCGCCACGAGATTGTGGCCGTGGCCTCTTCCAGCAGCAGCAAGAGAGCAGAGGAGTTCCTCCAGAGAATCGACGGTGCCTTTGACGCCAAGACGTACGGATCATACCCGGAACTTGTGGCAGACCCCAACGTCGACATCGTCTATGTGGCAACTCCCCACAGCCACCACTTCCAGAACACCATGCTGGCGCTGGAAGCCGGCAAGAACGTCTTGTGCGAAAAGGCTTTCACCGTGACGGCCGCGCAGGCCCGAAAGCTGGTTGAGACGGCCAAGGCCAAGAAGCTCTTCCTGATGGAAGCTGTGTGGACACGGTACTTTCCGCTGAGTATCAAGATTCGAGAGCTCATTGCCGCCGGCGAGATTGGCACTGTCTTTCGAACAATCGGTGAGTCTTGACGTACACGGAACAAAAGGGGAGGATGAGAGACATGTTAATCCGGAACAGCCGACTTGTCCATCAACGCAAACTCAGAGCAGGGTCAAGCCCTGAAATTCGCAGACTCACATCGAATGGTCAACCCGGACCTCGCAGGCGGTGCCACCTTGGATCTCGGAGTCTATCCCTTGACCTGGGTGTTCCAGACCCTGTATCATTTGCAACCGGAGGAAGACAAGGAGGCTCCCACCGTGGTTGCTTCCAGCAACAAGTACACCACTGGCGCAGACGAGAATACCGCCATCATCTGCAGCTTCCCTCGCCACAACAGCATTGGAATTGCTTCGACGACGATGAGGGCGGACACCGACCCCGAGAAGGACACCATTCCGGCGGTCCGAATTCAAGGATCCAAGGGAGAAATCCAAGTCTTCTTCCCGACCTACCGACCGCTCAAGTACAAGGTGGTGAAGACGAACGGCGAGGCGCAGACGGTTGACTGCCCCATCCCCGGAGACCCCGCGCGCAAGGGCTCGGGCCACGGAATGTTCTGGGAGGCGGACGAGTGTGCTCGATGCCTTCGCGATGGCAAGTTGGAGAGTGCCACGTTGCCATGGAAGGAGAGCATTGTCATTATGGAAACGATGGAGGAGGCGCTGAGGCAGGGTGGCGTCACGTATCCGGAGCTGATTACCACGGATGTCTATGATCCCAAGAGCCCTCTCAACACGGGGAATCAGTAGACGGGGACTGGGTCGCGAGTGGAACGGGTGGGACAATGACAGAGCAAGATGAAAGCAACTGCTAATACAAGCATATCTCTTACGAAACACCAGGTTTGGAAAACTGGACAACACCCCAAGGATTGGAACCCGAACCTGTCGTGTGCGCCCTTGCTGCATGTAAGAATTGCCGGGGAGATACCTGCATTTCCAGGGCTCGTCCCTGGCTCAACAAGATGCTTATTGCCACATAGGAGGGACACCGGCATCCTGCACCCTTGCAATGTTCCTTGATATTGCATTGCAGCCAAGTGTAAGATGACGATTGCCATCTCTCTTGCTGCTTGTGACGGGAAATTGGTGGCTTCTTTCCCATCCATTTCGAGTCGGCGTTGATGTATGAAAGACATCAAGAGTACCTGATGTGATATGGACCCGTCTACAGGAGGATGGAGCCGTGATACGAGGAGACTCCCGCACATCCATGACCCTCCCTCCCCCCTCCCTTCCGGGGCATTCCGCCCAAGGATGCTCATCCGCTCTCCCCGAACGTTGTCCCCGTCCCCTGTCAAGATACACCACACAGGGGGCCCCCCCCCAACCGGCAATTCGACCGCAATGCAACGTGAAAGAAAGAAGGGACTACTAGTCCACTAGTATGGCAATTGAGCGCTCCTTGGAATACAGAAGATAGAGTCACAAGGGTCTTTGTCCTTTGCATTATCTGTTCTGTTCTGTTCTGGACCCATTCACGAAGTAATGGAGGGATGGGAGAAATTAAACAAGGAAGTAGATTAACCTTGAATTTCAAGGAACATTGCCGTAGAATTTCTTTAGCTTGGCAAGCCTGGGTTGTTGGGTAGCAGTAATAGATTTTAGTGTTGTTTTCTCCAACGAGAGCCGGGTTCCGCGAAGGAGGGGGGTATAACGAAAAAACTATTGTTCCGTAAGGATTTCGAAAGGGTAGAAGCTTGTGATTTCGTTAGGGGCACGCCTTGCGTTTTTGGTGGGCAAAAATTCAATTGCACGCCCTTCTAGGTACCTCAGCCTTGTGTCTTTGACATCTCGAAACAAGCACCACCAAATCTACATCTTGTGAGAACTTACGGCTGTTTGAGCGTGGAGTATCGCATCTCATTTCACCTCACCTCACGATCAAGTCATACACCCTCTAAGCGGCTTCTCATCCTTTCACTCAGCTGCACCTCAAACAGACCGCAACAGAGCAAATCTCAAACCCTCCCGCCGGCGTCTCAACACCAAAACCCCATCCTCTCTCACCACAGCCTTCCTTAGCCCTTCACAGCAAAAGAGAACAAAAACACCATGGATCCCTCTCCAGAAGCCTACGAGGCAACGCACGTCCACTCCGTCTACAACGCCATCGCGCCTCACTTCTCCTCCACCCGCCACAAGCCCTGGCCCTTCATCTCCTCCTTCTTGACCTCCCTACCCCCGGGAAGCATCGGCCTCGACGTCGGCTGCGGCAACGGAAAGTACCTCCCCGTCAACCCTCTGCTGCACATCCTCGCCTCGGACCGCAGCGAGGCCCTCGTCCGACTCGCCCGCACGGAGCAGAAGAAGCTTACGGGCCCTGCGTCCCCGCCGCAGGTCGTCGTCGCCGACGCGCTGAGCCTGCCGTATCGCGAGCGCTCGGTGGACTTTGTCATCTGCGTGGCTGTGATTCATCATCTGTCGACGAGGGAGAGGCGGCAGGAGGGCATTCGAGCGTTGCTGGACTGCGTTCATGGCGGCGGACGGGTGTTGGTGTATGCGTGGGCGCTGGAGCAAGGATCTAGTCGGAGGGGGTGGGATGAAGGGTCGGAGCAGGACGCGCTGGTGCCGTGGGTGATGCGGTCAAAGGGCAAGCCGGAGGCTACCTTCCAGCGGTATTATCACTTGTATCGCAAGGGGGAGCTGGAGGAGGATGTTGAGGCGGCGGGAGGAAAGGTCTTGGAGAGCGGGTATGAGAAGGACAATTGGTGGGTGATATGTAGCAACAGCCAAGCTTGAATAATGGCGATGACGATGACGATGCTGAAAATTATACCCCGGGGCATGATGTTGTATTGAAAAGACCATGGCAACTGAGCAGACCCAAGGCAGCAGCCAGCTCCATCAACGTCATCATCATCATCATCCATTATCAAGACACACTGACAATGTGCAGACGCCAGTTCCTTGTAGTCTAACTCATGTCATTGAATTTATTGTTACAAAGCAAACGCTGCAGATATGCTTGTGTACTAGCTACATGCTTGGGTAAAATAGACGCAACAAAATCGGCTGTGAGCCCTGTGTTAGTTGTGCCAATGTCAGTGACATTCCATGTCACTGCCAGTCTTTCCAAACGAAAACGCCCGCCGCTCCTGTTTCCTCCCAGCCTGTTCTTTCGGCAGTCTATCCCATGGACGCCTGCCATCGATGCCCAATAAGGTTCTGTCATCAGCCTCTGTCGGCGAGTCGTGTATCCTCTAAGCCTTATCAATATGCTCCGTCAAGTTCCATACCCTTCCTCGCAAAACAGTAAGTCAAAGCCTTTTCTTTAATCCAGAAAGCGCCTCTAGCCGTGTGCCAAAGAGTAGAGTGAAATATGAGAAAAAATGCAGCAATGAGAAATGAAAATATGAAAGGAGAGCGCAAAGAAGCAAGTATCAAAACGCCATAAGCAGTCAACAAAACATGGAAAATCATCAAACAAGAGAATAAAAAAGTCAACAGTTAACAGTAAACAAAGGAAACAAATAGCAACTGTATGAGTGTCGTGGTCGAGCGTATTGTGCTGTTGATCCCTTCCCCCGCTTCCTACCCTACTCCGTTCTGTATTCCTCGTCCGTTGGTATGGCAATCAATTGTCTAGGTCGATGCGCATCCATCCGCATCATCCATCATCTTATCGGGTCCATCCAGGTGTGAGTGTATCGTGTATGGTTGCCCCTCATCAAGTAGAAAGCGTAATGAGCGACGGGCTGCTCTACTTTATAGGCCATCGCCATCACCTCTGCTCCACAGCGCGATACCCTTTGGTTCTTTTCTCCTCTGCTCTCTCTCAATACATCACACCAATTGGTAGCCAACTGGGTGACGAGGTAGGTAGACTCAGAGTAATCTTCGCCTGTGAGCGCTGTCGGGCCGTGTCATGTCCGGACTCGCTCGCCGCTTTGTCCCCGCCGATACCGCCGGTTCAAGGGGCAAGTAACGGGGCAACGGCGTAGTGGTCATCGCAGGCAGAGACGTGGGCGTTGGCGGCCCGCTCGGCGGACGATACGGACTCATGCCCGTCGTCAATTGCGCAACACTCGGCAAGGGGCCCGACATGTGAGACGGCGGGTGGGGTTGTATCGGCGCCAGGCCCGGGCCGGGGCTGCGGCGGTAGTCACCAAGAGGGTGTGGCAGAGCAGCGGCGGGAGCCGGTGGTGGTGGTGGCGGTGGCTGCTGCTGCAGAGCCGGCCCCGGCACGACTGTGTGAGGGGAATGGGGTGTCTGATGCATGTGTTGCGGAGGCAGCATGGGGGGAATCGATTGCGGGTTGACATGTCCTCGTCGGGGAGTTCGCGGCGCCGGGGTCATGGGGGCGATGGGTGGCATCAGCTGGCTGCGGCTGTAGCTGGAAGGGGGGGACGGTGGTTTCATTTCGCGGCTGGTTTCTTGCGGCTGAATCGGAGCCTGGGATCGGCCAGCCACGCTTCTGTTGCTCCCGGCCTCGTTGTTGACATTAGCGAGAGTAAAGGGAACCACACCAGCACGTCGAGCCATGTCCGCCTCTCCAAGCTGCCAGTGCATGGCCTCGGCTGCCCGCCATGGCACCGCCAGCTCTTCAGCTACCTTGGCCCACATATCAGCTTTGAATCTGGGAATTGACATGTTAGTCTGTTGGCTGTTGTATGATCGTGAATAAGGAGAAGGAAAGGGAGGGAACGATGCAAACGTTGAGATCCAAGTTGACAAGAGCCCCCTTGCCCTCACGAACGATCTGTACGTACCTCTCATACAGCCGGGCAAGCTTGTTCTTGCGTTCCTCATCCCACTCACTCCGTCTCTCAAGATAGTTCTGGTAGTGAAGTCGGCAGCTGATGGCGCTGCGTCCAGGAAGCCGCTTCGAAACGTCCTCCCACTTCATGTTCTTGCCCCGCAGCTCAATGATGAGGGCATCCTCTTCCGAAGACCACTTGGTTTGTTTCTTGACTGGCTGATCCGGGACGTGAGGCGTCATGCTTCGCCTGCTGCTCGGGATGAGCGTCGGAGCTACAGGCGGTGGCCTCGCACGCGGAGGGAGGAGATCATGAGGAGTATTTTTAGGGGTTGATGGCACCGAGGCAGGTCGAAGCTGTCTTGGGGGCGACACAGGGGGATCGTTTGAGGCAGAGAACCGAAGCAGGGAGGCGATATCCACGGTGCTGGCTGGCAACCCTCGGCCGCCCATACGGGGTCGGTCAGCAGCTGCGCCAGAAGCGCGGAGCAGGTCGATGCCGTGTGCGACCACGTTGAACGACGTTGGTGGCCCTGCCTGCAGGAGGCAGACCGGCGACTGGCTCTGGAGTTGAGCCAGCTCAGCGACTGCCTGATTAAGCCCGGCGTGGGCTATGCAAATGAGGCGATGAAGAGGTCCGGCGAGGCAAGACCCAGTGAGGTGGCAAAGCCGTGTCAGCAGATGTGGCAGACACACGCGGTTTCCAGATCGTCGATGCTCCCGCTTCGGTATGCTTGCTGTTCCAACAAGAGCCAGATAAGGCAGCAGACAGCAGCACTAGGCAGACCGGTGCTGTCAAAGGGGGAGTCACGGCGTCAGAGGCGGCAAGGGGAGGATCGAGATGGAGGTATGGTTGGCGTGTCCTAGCGTTCAGAGGGTACGTTGGCGCAGAATCGAGAGTCGATGATGGACAAAGATTCAGGCTCAGATCGTGTCAAGCTCGAGGTACTGTGAAAGGGGGAGAAAGAGTACGAGGTACGGAGGAGAAAGAAGGATGGTACTGTCTCAGGGCTGAATACAATGGGCGTCTGGTCCCGGGAACGTGTTTATGAAGAGAATGCCAACATGATTGGCGTTCCCGGGGTGGTTCCTGGGGGCCAATGGGGGTGGGAGATGAGAGGAGCCGATGAAGCAGACCTGGCTCGGCGGCAACGCGGGCCACTACGTCAAGGCCAGCCCGGGACCCTGTCATTAGATCGGGTTGCAGTGCCTGTAGGAAGGAGAACAACCTTGGGACAGTCACAAGTTCCATCTCGACAGTTCCATGAGAGAGTGGAAGTCAGATGGTCTAGGCAGGGGTGGGAGGACCCAATTCTGGGACGCGGACGCCAACCGGGAAGCCACCTGCTGGTACAGACAAGGGAAATGGGCAAGCAATCCAGTTCCCAGGGGTGTCCACAGAGAGAGACAAAGAGGATTCGAGAAGCTGATTGGCGGTTGCCAATGCCAGCTGTACTGGAGAAGGGGAACGGTGGGGGGAGTGTATTGGGAACGAGTGCATTCAAGGGGGGGCCAAAAAGAGAGACCAGAGAGTGGCATGTTGTTACTGGCTTTGAACGGGTTTGCATGCATGGAGAAGCAAGCAACATGAATCAGCCTGGGGTTGTGAAGCTAGGACGGGCCCGAGCAATAGGGCTAGTTCCCGGTAGATAATGAAGTCACTTAATTAGCACTGGTACTAGAGTGAAAGGACTTGGCCCCGTAGTGAGGCGGGAGATTGAGGAGAAAGGCGGCTGATGGAAAAGAACAGCACGGCTGGCCGAGGACAGTGTACGGGATATTACTATATGGCTGTTTGGCCAGACCAGAGCAGACCAAGCCAAGCCAAATCAGCAACACAGTGAAGAAGAAGAAAGAATCAAGTAGGAAAGGGGAGAAACGCCTGGGGAGAAGGGAAGATGAGAAAAAAGAAAAGAAAAAGAGGACGAAGCCCAAATGCTGAGCAGGGGGAGGGGTGCAGCTGAAAACAAGACCAACAAAGTCGACAGCAAATAGTTGCCAAAAAGCAATGAAATGAAAAGGAAAAACTCAGTACTACCAGCCTGCCCAAGGCAGTCTTCCAGCTGTCGATGTAATATCTAGTCGGTGAACAGGGCGGTGTCCGTATACTTGGAAGAAGCCACCAGGCGAGGTGCATGACAACGTCTATCGGTAGCTAATCACAGGCTCTCTGCGTTTTAGGCCGGTGGAGGGTGGAGGGCTCCAATGCCTGGAGGTTGGGCTGAGAAATCTTGCAGCGGCGTCGTGGCCTCTTGGTTGCACGTTTCAGCTGTTCCACGTCGTTCGTCCAAGTGGCTGAAGAGGCTCTGGGTTCAAGTGCCGGCGGTGCATCATTGCATCACCAACCTTCCATGCTATTCTGGTCATGCATTGCCGCAACAGCTGGTCTGTTCGAAGTACAGTACATACGAAGTGCGGCGTACATGTACCGGGACAGGGTCGAACCGAAGGACGTCGTCGTTCGAGTGCCGGGCCCTTGTCTTGGAAGTCTTGAGGTTAGCATGAGCAAGCATCAGCATCAGCTCAGCACCAGCACCAGCACCAGCACCAGCACTTTGTATCTCTGCCTCATCGATCTAAAATCGTCTGCGATTCACGCTCGCCTGAGACAACCATCAGCACCAAGGCACAGAGGCAATGGCTTCTCTCGTTTTCTTTCCCTGCGCGTGGAGTGTACCCAAAAAACGGAGGACATGCACCCACCGCTTCGTACCGTCCCACGGGTCCCAGCGTATCGCGCCTTGCCACGGCCTTGCGTTTGGGTGCCTACAGAGGAGACTCGGTAGTATGGCGTATGCGGCAAGCATTCCCAAGTTGATGCTACCATGCAGCTGGTCGGAAACCTGTCCCTCGATCCATGTCACGGAGAAGGACGGAAGCAAAGCGCAAGCACAAGGGTTGGAGAGGGGGGAGACAACGAAAAGGGAGGGGGCGTGGTATTGAGCTCTGAGAGTTGGGGACTTGAGGTAGGAGGTAGGTAAGCAAGGTAAGGTAGGTAGGTAGGTAGGTCCTGCGAAGGTAAGGTAGGTGCGAAGTACAAGCAGTATGTACATACAACAAGGGCAGGCACGCGGCAAGTGCTAATTGAGGTGTGCTGTAACTGCCCAGTGAGGCGGCGCACTTGGCACAGTACCTGGCAGCTACCTGGCCTCCCACAGCGCTCTCTGTGGCCTCCAGGTTGCACCTCAGTACAGTCAGCTAGCCACAGCAGTTTCAACTGCCCGGATCTTCAGCGCACGCCCCCTCTCCAGCTCCTTCCCTGCGGAAATCTCCGTTCAAGCCAACTGTGGCTTTTTTTGCGTGTTCAAGTACCTACCTAGGTACCGCGTACCTCTCCGTTAGTACCTACGTACCTCACTCGTCATGCTCCGTAAAATTTTCCATGACGGTGAGGTAAGGTAAAGTTAAGGCCGAAATACTTCTTCCGTATCCCGCACATCAAACATCCACCATTTGATGCTTCAACAGCTGGCCAATGGGCTACAGGCATCATTCAATTAACGTCTCGTCTGATTCCCTTTTCCGAGCTGCCTCAGACCTACCTGATAGGTATTATTACCACCACGCGCATCTCAAGCAGCCACCGCATCCTCTGCCTGGGGCCTCATATATTATATGCAGTGTAGCACATGACCAGAACACGCATTCATGCATCGTCAGGTACCTACTAATCGTGAGATACGTGCTTTAGCACGGTATCCGGCATGCTCAAGTCTGCTGGGCACACGCACCGGGTTCCATAGTTGCCAGTCCTTCGTGCCCAGCAGAGGCAATATGGACTTCGACCTGCTGTTCTTCTTGCCTCCTTGCTTCCTGCTTGTCACGTTGTCATGAGATTCCTAGGTAGGATCGCTGGTGATCGGAGTTTCGTCAGGCTCTCTGGCATGGGTTTTGCGTTGGCAAACTCGCCGCCCCCAAATTGCTGTCAACATGAAGTTGCTGAGCCATGCTCTCATGTCTGGGTCGAGTAGTATTCTTGAGCCTCCTCCCTAGCGTCACCTCCACCATATTACCACCGTGTTTCTGCGGGACGGTGTCGCTTCACGCATGGCGTTTTGCCAAGAACTAGACGACTAGAGCGGTAGAACGGGAGCAGAATAAGTCTCCAGAGAGATTCCTGTCACATGGCAAAGCGCAGAGTGTCCGGAATGTTTCAGGAGGTGAAACAATGGCCGGTACCATCCGCAAGGCTGTTTCCGGCTATGGCCGTGCTTCTAATAGCGAGAAACCACAATTCGGGACCAAGCGTATCCTCAAGACCACACGTCCCGGTGTGTCTGGAGCGGGTGTCCCGATCAACTTACGGGGAGGACTCCCGTCATTCTTTCTATCTCGAGCTTGCGAATGGCCACCTCCCAAGGCAGTATTGTCTCTCCAATTCTTCTCACAATCCTCCAGGTCAAGCACTGGGGACTAGTTGGATAGAGCTGAAGTCGCGCTCTCGAAATTCAAACCTGGTCAAGCTGTCTTCAGCTTATCGTGTCAGCTCATTCGCCATCTTGGAACCCCTCCGCCACTATTGTCACTCAATCAAAGGCATCTCGACGGTCTTTGTCTTGGCTTGCTACTTTCTCTGCAATACCCGTAGCGAGACAGTACTGCGTCATCTTCCTTCTTTCCTGAGACACTCTAAGACATGCATCTACGACCATTTGGACAACGAGAACGCCACGGCAGGGTTCGAAATGGCAGCTCTCCAACGTCGTCAGCAGGCCAAGCGAGCTTCGTCCTGGTTCGTCGAGGCCCAAACCGCGGTGAGCAACTCTCCCTTAAACAAACTGTCCCTCCTTCGGGCTTCTACGGAGAATATCAACTGCATCCTCAGACGACTCAGGTATGAGTACGTGTATTCTTCGTAAAGGCGACGCATCCTAGGCTGCCACGTCCGAGATGCTGCATGCCGTCACTTGTGAGTTCATATTCGAAGGGATGGAAACGACTAGAAGCGCCACAAGTCTGCAGCCAACATCTATCGCTTTCCGGATGCGCGTTCCGTCCACCCTCTTCGCATCCCGAGCCATTGCTGGTCCAGGGGGAACGGTGTTATACCGGTATGGAGCACAGGGCGCCAAATCAGATCACCATCTCACAGCTCTGTAAACGCTCCCTCCATGATCTGTTCGATATGCTCCTGTTGTTTCACTTCCTTCTTCTCATTCTTCTGACCTAATCGCAAGGAGGCCTCTTGAACCAGAGCGCGGAGTTGTTCGTAGTACGTAGTGTTTACGTTCATGGTCGTGCTC